CGCATCTGTGGACCTCGGCCAAATGTCGGAGATACTCTGAAATCTTATTTTTAAGCTTATTTTCCTTACTTCTTTGTTACTTAGCATGCTTGGATGTCTCGCAGCGTAGTAATTGACTTGACAAATGGTGCAGGGGCAAAGGGGGTATCTGTTCCAATTCCGTTGGTCATACGGAGGACTCCGTAGGGAGTGTAGACTCTTATCATCCTATCTTCTACGTTAGTTTCAGTTTGTCAACCTATTGCATTGCTGTATAGAGTCGAAGCCACAGATCGGGCAGACAGTGATCTGCGTATAGATCAATAAAAGAAGAAAATAACATAATATTAATAACAGCTGCAACACAGATTGGCCTGCATATTATCCAGTTTCTATACCTGTGGTTGTGCTATTAGTATAGAGGCTTCCCCGCCATCCGGTCAGTCCTAACCCAGTGTGCAAAACCGTCGTCGTAAAGCCTCTCGGTTCAACACGGATCTATGAAATCATATCTAGCCACCCCACAGCGAAGCTATTTACCTGCAGGGATATTCCAAAATGACCTTCCAACCTACAAAACAAAGGCTCTGAATTCTCGTCCATGAATGTGAAAATGTGAACTCGCCACTATGTTTCGCACGGCATCTAGCTAACTTGAAACAAAAATAGAACAGGGAAAAAGCATACAACAGGAACGATCACTAATGGTCACCCACCTGACTACTAACTCACCGGCCTGTAGTTTATGCTCGATCAATAGTTCAGTGGGTGTCATCCGGTGGGAACCAGGCCAGGTTGTGCGGTCGACGCTCTGGCCTTCTAGTACTTGAAAATAGTTAGTTGATTTTGCACTCCAGAGACAACTGGTCTCTTGACATACGCAAAAAGCCGCTGTATTTGCTGGAGATTAGCTTTGCCGAAAGTGCTTCGCTTGACACTATTGAACTTCTAAATCCCACACCGGTAGCCTTGAAGAGGCCGTGCGTATGCTTAAGATAACTCGCAGGCCCAGTGAATACATTTAGGACAAACTTTCACGCGTAATGATGAACATTAGAAATGATCTAGTTAACGGGTTAATAAATGTAGATGGAGACTTTCTATATTATGTGATAGTCGGTTTAAAACCGGAAGAAGTTCGCCTTAACCTTAGGGAAAGCCTTAGGGAAAAGAGGTCCTATTAATTAATTTAATTGCTCAACTCGATAGATGTTTGCTTCTTGGCAAAAACTCCATTCGCAAATCCCCGTGCCGGGCCCACGAACCCCGATATATACCATTCTCAACGATAATTCCGCGATCCGCAATCCTTAGAGCGTCCTCTTCAGAACTTGGCGTCACTTTGATCTAAATATTCTTATACTTAATAGGCAGAATATACTTTCGCATTTGAGAATGCATGCATTATTCAGTTCAAAACTAGTAATACGACGATGACAGCCGTTAGTCCCAGCCGCTCCCTGGCCCTTCTAGGTTTCAGGTCCTCCCTAGGGACCAGTGTGGTTGAACCATAGCGGTCCTTGGTGTTCACCACAACCCTACGGGACAGAAGTTGTTGTACGACTTCCATGTGACCTCTCCCACAAGCGAAGGAAAGCGACGTGCGTCCACAGGTATCCTTAGCTTCAGCGCTAGCTCCCTTCCCAAGAAATAGCTTAAACAGCTCGATGTGCCAATCAGCGGATGCTAAGTGCAGCGGCGGTAGATCGGATATCGGATATCGGTAGCAGAGACCTATGTCGATGCTAGCCGCACCGTGTCCCGCCGGGCAAACAAGGCTACGGTGACAACGGTGACAACGGTGCTGCACTTGTAACCCTGAACATTCCGATAGTCTGTATAATATGTTGGTAGTACTCGATGTGGGCGAGGTTCTTACACTTCTTGGCTTTCCCCGATTTAGAGTTAGCCCGCTGACTCAGATCTCGATGTGGTTTGCGACCTCTCGTGACTTGCGGCTCCTCGGTTAGACCGGGTCCTCGAGATAATTAAGTGCCGATTCTTGAATGTCACTCGATCGCTTGACGGGCTTCTGTCACATCCTTCGGTAATCATCCCCATCGCATTTCCTCTGCTCGGACAGGTCACGCGTGCTGCGACGCACCCAGTGGACCTTTGCGTCAAGCTCTGTGCAACTTGCCAAAGCTCCGCGCCTTGGCTCGAATACCACTTTCTCCCCAACCTGGAATGGTCTAATCAGTGAATGTCGCAAAAACCGCGAAAGCTTCAGCGCGTCTCCAAGGCCTGTAGGTCCCCTAATGTTCGATTATTTGATCTGGAGTTCTCCACTCTTTAGCTCGGCGGTCTAAACCCCGGACATGAGGCCTGCATTCGCTAACGTGCGCAACCTAATGCAGGCGACTTTTGTAACAGACGCAGCATCAAATGCAGTCAGAGCGATGACCCGCTAGGCCGCTGTCAAAATTGTGCGGATTTCGATGTGCCGTGCACCTTTGATCGCCCCGGAAAACGTGGGGGCGTCAAGCCTGGCACTCGGGCGAGTGGTCGCGATGCTCAGTTTGTGAGGGCATCAGTCGATCATGGTATTCCAACGGCGGCAGCGACTGTAAGCGGCGGAAGGGCCTCCTGCTCTTCGCCTTCTACCAGTTCGTACCGTCCATCGATCTCCGCTGATCCCTGGTCTACCTTTAATCATGGCTGGTCAGCCGAGGGTGATGATGACGGGGCGCTGCGCAACTCTTGGAAGGCATTTGCCATTGCCTGTGACCGGCAAATAAGAAATTTAGTCCAGGTTTATTTCGAGATCGTCTATCCAATGTATCATGACTTCTAATCCTCCTGGCTGACTACGTTGACTGAGCATATCATCTCTAGATTTCCCTTGTTTCACATGCCGTCGTTCATAGAGCAGGTCAACAGCAAGAAGCATCTCTACAATCAAGGGCTCTTTGCCTCCACGATGGCTGTTTGCTCTTTGGTCTCCGCCCGAGTGCGTGACGGTGCATTGTTCTCTAATCGGTGGGACCGAGAAGAGCTCATAAATCCACCCTCCGAGGCTTTCTTTGCAGCTGCTAGGGACTGTATTCCTCAGGACCTTGTCGCATCTAAAGGTATTCAATATATGCGGGCGTGTGCCATACTTGCTATCGCCAGCATTCAAAACGGCCAGATCAAAAACATGCAGAAGTATTCCGGCTTATACCACACCTTGACTTCGATGGATGGCCTTTATGACGAAAAGCTCTGGCCAAAAGACTTAGGTCCAATTGAGACGGAGGAGCGGCGGCGACTTGTATGGAATATACCCTTTACCTGTTATCGCCTTTACTGATTACAACGGCAGTTCTGGTCTATCTATACGCTGGACATCTATTCGACCATTGTGTGGGGTGGCGTTATTCGATATCGTGAAGCCCATTCCTTGGTGCACTATCCAAGCGAAGTAGACGACGAATTTATCACACAACACGGCTATGGCGTGCCGCGTGTATCCCCGGAATCGAACTCGCTTCCGCCTAGCAACGTGACCGTCGTCTCCCGCCAGCCTGTGACCTGGCTGCGTGGTTGGAACTTCACCACAGACCTCTACCGCATTCTTGAGCATGTGGTCGATGGCAACAAACGTCGCTTCTCTTCGGCTAACGGGACGACACAAGTGTGGTCACTATTTGATCCATTACCTATGTCAGAGCCGGCGGTTATGGATCAAGTCCTTACTATGTACTCAGCACTTCCATCGCAGTTTCGGGAGACGCCGCCCACTACCGGAGACATGTCTAAGGACTTATTCGGGTTCCAGTCTGCTAACATTCAGGCGACGCTACAACTCCTTCGGATGGTACTCTTGTCTACGGAGGAAATTGGAGTAGAGCGAAAATGTGACGTAGCCGGAGAACTGCTCAGCGTGTTTTCGAATGTGCCCGTCGAGTACTTAAAAGCAATCAGCTCCCCTTTGGTATGTGCAATCTTCATACTTCTTTGGGATATGTACTGATAGATCCCAGCTCCATCACCTCGGCGGAATTGGTTACATCCTCGGCTCTGTCATGGAAGGGAATTTGTCTGAAGCATCCTACACCCGAGTTCGCACATTACTGTACGTTAACTCATTCAGTGGTAGCCGACTGAGGCCCTGAGTTCAAGCTGATATCTTCGTATACAGGCTTCAAATGGCAGATCTCTTACAACGTCTGGAAACGGGCCTACACCGTGCCTCCGGTGCCGGCGAACGACTGCGGTCCCAGGTTGATCGAATAGATGGCTACATGCGTACCTCGCTTCTGCTAGATCTTACTGCACCAAGTAACGCGATGCAAGTCGTTGAAGCAAATCCCGAACCTGGTGTCCCGTCAGCTTATGCACAAGGCACCCCCGCCGTCGGAGCCTCGCCTGGTGCTGGCCTCGACCAGATGTCCCAGTTTCAGCTGCCACCAGATCTACTCTCGGATTGGCCATGGCCATTGGATTCTTACAATACCGAGGGATTTCTGCCCCTGGCGTTCGAATAGTTTCCATTTTTGGTGGTGAGGGTCTGGAATTGGCATGTTCAGCTAAGCACAACATAAATGCGGGTGTATTTAATCATTTCCTGTGCGATCCTTGTTGCTACACATACGATTATACCCTGGGGTTAGAGACAAACACAGTCTGTCCCAGATCATTTTCCCTCTGTTTTCAACCCCCTTCAATAAATCTGCCAGGATCACATCTCGATCGATCACATCGCAGGACCAGGTAAGAAACTCCCAGGAGTTCTGGTACGAACCACCAGGTCGCTGTGTTCGACGGTGTGGTGCTTGAATTTGACTCTTCTGAAAGAGGAGAAAGCGGGATATCTAAGGCAGGTCGTGGGGTGCTCCGGGCCCAGGCTTTGTCATCTTGGAGGAAGGCAACATCCTGGAAGCCCTCGCCTATCCTGACGGTAGGTTAGACGTCGTCTACTGCTCTCAGGTCTTTGGGCATCTGCCGCCGTCGGGCCTGCCATTCCGGGTCGAAGCCGAGAGATATGACGGATCCTGAAGCCAGGCGGCATCCTGCCACGCGTAACGCGGCGGACCAGCCTACGGGAGTGAGCATGCCCACGCTGGCCTGCAGCGCCAGCTTTTGATGCTGAAGGCGGCAAGGTCCACCTCGGCGCCAGAACTACGGTGTGCTCGGGGCCGGAAACCCGGAAGCGGCTGGCTGGGCGCGCCGCCGGCCAGCTGCAGCACGGAGATCCACTCCGTCAGAGCTGGCTGGATGCCGGCATTACCGAGGACGAGATACAGCAGACACTGCTCGCCGTGGCGAACTGAGGTCGAGGCGGAGGATGCCTTGTACGCGGCGCTGCGTGCTAGATGCTCGTGTGGAAGTAAGCGACCGGACGGGCTAATGGTGAAAGGAGCTTGATCAGATTAAATAGGGTAAATTGTACTTTGAATAGGTACTAATATAAATGTCCTAAATTGTCATTGAGGAATCCCTCTATTTCATGATGGATGAACCATTTAGAAAAGCATTCGACTGCTACGTGTATTCATTAGTGGTATATATTGACCAGGGACACCCCAAGACATTGCCTAGGCCAGTATCAAAATCGTAGCATTCATCTACGCCGCCGTGGCTGTCAGCAGCTCTCACCACATCGGCGAAGCTAGGATCCCCTGGCGGAAGCGGGTAAGGGCACAGTCGATGCTATCCTTCATTCACCGTGACTTCCATCTTCCCTTACTATGATAACCAAGCTAGAGCACTCACCATCGATGTGCCACTGTTCAGACCAAGGACGGTCAGATCCAAGGCATGGCTCTCTAGTGCCGTTGACCATGTTTGAAACCATGATCGATCTACACAAGAGTCCAATGACGCTATCAAGTTGCACACAGAGTGTGCGCGGGGATTAGGCCGCAATTAACGGAAGCCGAAGTCCCATCGCTGACCAAATAGTAGAGAACACCAGCCAGCATGGTATACATTTGACCTCCAATTAGGCTCAACGCCAAAAATGCTAAACGGTCGCTTCGGTTAAGCGGGAAAGCGGCAACATGTTTATTGCGGCCTCGCCGTTGCCACTAGGTGGCCGAGTGAAGACCGAGGCTGAAGAAACAAGAAACAAGCTCAAACTCAGCAAATGCTGTTAAACGGCCACGCGCCTGAATGAGAGCTGGATGTTCCCCCGCGCTTCTCCAGGATCAGCTCCATTCCGATCGGCCGGGGACGGATGCTCCACCTTATAAAGCATTCGCGAGCCCCCGATAATTTCGATGTAGGAACTAAGACAGAGCAATAACAAAACATGGGCTATACAACGCTCTGGAGGCGGCTCTCGCCACGGCAGCTGAATGTCACCATCCAGGTGTTCTCGCTCATCTCCATCTTCTTCGAAGGCTATGACCAGGGTGTTATGGGCGGTGTTAATGCCTCGCCTAAGTACGTGACCCTAGTCGGCATTGGGAAGCCGGACGGCACCGTGACGGACACTACACACCAGGGCGGAATTGTCAGTGTCTACTACCTGGGTGCCATCTTCGGCTGCTTTGCTGGAGGGTGGTTGGCTGACCGAGTTGGTCGAATCAATGGCCTGCTGATGGGCGCGTTGTTTGCATTGGTGGGCGGCGCATTACAGGCTGCCGCTCAGAATTCGGACTTTATGATCTGTGCTCGAGTGGTGACGGGCATTGGCACCGGAGGTGAGTTCTTTTGTACGATGGCCGATTGTTCTAACTTGTTCTAACTCGTGATCATGCAGCCTTAACCGGCATCACCCCTGTCTTGGTGTCGGAAACCTCTTCGGCAGATCACCGCGGCGGGTTTCTGGGATACGTCTTCATTGCCAACTGTAAGCAGAGTCGGAGGCCTTTCTTTTGGGATTGTCTTGCTAACACCTTTCAGATCTCGGGATATCAGTCGCATACTGGATATCATTCGGTCTCGCCTTCGTCAATAACGGATATTCGGACGTGCGATGGCGGTTCTTACTTGCCTTCCAATGCGTCCCAGCCCTGATTCTTGTCTGCTTCATCAAGATGCTGCCGGATAGTCCCCGGTATCTCGCTTCAGTTGGTAGGAACGAAGAGGCGCGTGAGCTGTTGGAGCACATTCGCAAGCACAAGGCCAGCCCAGAGGAGATTGATCGGGAATACTTGGAGATTGTTGCCATGGGAGAGAAGAGCCAGCGCAGCTCCCCTATCCAATTTGTAAAGATTTTGCTCGGGAAGGGTGGAAGACAGCATCCGAATTTGGGCAGACGAGCTTGGCTGTGTGTCTGGCTTCAGATCATGGCCTCTTGGACAGGTATTACGGTAGGTGCATCCCGGTCAGAATTACTCTCTGACAATTTCTAACTTGGTCGAATACAGGCTGTCACTGCATACTCTCCAGTTCTCTTGCACCAGGCCGGATACAGCACCATCACGCAAAACGGTCTGGCTGGGGGCCTCAACACAGTAGGCATCATCGGTACCATAATAAGTGCCCAGATCGTCGATCGCCTAGGTCGCCGTATCTGTCTCATGGGTGGTTCCGCAGTGCTATTTGCTGTCAATATAATTGTATGTCTCTACTTCCATGGAAATTGCGGTCCCTTCCCTGTCTCTAACTGGATGCCAGGCTGGAGCTGTCTACGAGGGCTCATTGCATACCCCCGGCAAGGCTGCTCAGTTTGCTCCCGCGGCTGTTACCATGCTGTTTTTGTTCAATATTGGGTTAGTCGACCATATATAATTCTTAGCTGTCCTCCTATACTAATATGATGTCTTCTAACAGTTATGCTGCGACCTGGGGTACTGTCGCGTTCTTGGTGCCCACGGAGATATTTCCCAGTGACTTGCGAGCCCAGGGTAATGGCTTCGGCATCACCGGCTGGGCTATTGGCGTGGGCATGACGACTTTGGTCAATCCGATTATGTTCCAGGCCATGACGGTAAGCTTAGCAAGTAATCCCGTTGTACACGAAGCTGACCACTATTTCACAGAGCCGCACCTACTTCCTCTTCGCCGGCCTTAATTTGATTTGGATCCCCATCATTTACCTCTGTACGTTCTTGCTACGACAAGGAATATTGAAAGACCAGAGCTAACAACATTCATAGTCTACCCCGAAACCCGTAACCGCTCCCTGGAATCGATCGAAGCACTATTTTCTACTCCGAGTCCCTTCTACTGGAAGATGGAGCAGGCGTATAAACTGCATGGTGATGTTTTGGTGGAATACAGAGCCCGTAAGAATCATGGCCTTGATGCTGACCAGAATGAGTTGGAATCATATGAGAAACCAGAGGAGCAGACGATTGCTTGATGCTCTGAATAATTTGTACAGTATATTGAATATGATTGAATCAGTATTTCTTGCACGTGGAATGAGGAGAAATCGCTTCTACAATGAGAACTTACCATGGGTTCACACTCAGTCCCCGAATCAAACTGAGGGCTTCACATACAGAGCTTTCCCGCCTGAGGGATAATGCCTTCATGCGTGTCTGCACTGCCATTCTTCTCGTCTGTTCGGAGCTCGGTATTGCACTTCTGGAAAAAGGAATAATATAAAGAAGCAGTTACTTAGTAGTCCTTTTTACACCTAAACTGATACAATACAAAGGTCTCCATAGCCGATATGTCCACTCCTAGGAGGTACGCGATCTTCGACGGGGAGATAGGGTCACAGTTCTCTGAAGTATGTAACACCGTCCTTAGAACCTAGGGCCGCACAAGAGTAAGACAAAAAGGCTTAAGTGTAGTAGAGCGATATCATCATTAGAGGCACTCCTATCGCAGCTCAGTCACAGAAGGCACAAGATGAACGTAGTAGGTAGTATTTCAATGAAGTAAAGATGAGGAGAAGAGAAGAAGGGCGCGAGAGGAAACATAACTATCAATGAGATGCCTGCGGCAGTAGGCACCAACCAGGCATCCACATATTTGAACCGTCACAACAAGAGCCAGATAGCAGGTAGACCGTATCGCAGCCAGTAAAGCTTAGTCTACTCCTTAGACACCCCAGGTGTCTCCGCCAGGCGCAGGACATACTTCTTTGCGGACACCTTACCCGCCTCGAGATCCTTCAAAGCACCCTCCAGTCCAGCCAGCCCTCCCTTCGCAACTTCGTAAGGATGTCCCGAAAACCAACCGTCGGCCAGGCCAAGACTGATCAAATTGTAAAGGGTGGCACCAAATTCTGCATCCCCAACCTCAGCTCCCACTTTTGCGGGGGCGTGGATAGTGCCAACATTAGATCCCAGCACCGTGATTCCCTCGATAACCTCGTCCTCTTTGGGCACGATACTCATAATCTTTCCGGCCTTTGGAGAGACAACCTTGCAAAGCATTTCCAGACTCGCCTTATCAGAAACAGTGTTATAGGCGTAAGAAATATCAAGCAATTTGGCAGCCTTTTGAAGCTGCTCATTGACGTGATTGGCTCCCTGGCGGTAGTCGATGACGATATCACCCTTGCTCTTGTCAAGCAAGGTCTCCACGTAGGGAATGCCTTTCCCTGCGATGGCGATAATGGGATGAATGCAAGACAGGGTTGCAAACTTGATAGCAAAGGCTCCCACAGCCGTTGCGGCTCCGTTGACCACTAGGGGTGTTGGGACAGTGACCGGGTCCCATGGTAGCGGCAGCTGGAGTCTCCGATAGACGCCAAGAGCAGCGGTCATGCCAGCAAGCGGGATTGTGGCACCCTCTGATTATCTGTAAGAAACAAGCCGTGTGCCATATGTATGCAAAGCAGACACATACCTTCAAAGGTCGTGGTAACGGGAAGATGGAACGTTGCCTTGGCGGTCGCCACTGAGTACTCCGCGTAGCTACCATGGGGAGCAAACATCTGGTGGAAGGCAGCAACAGGGTCGCCGGGACGGAACCCCGTAACTCCTTCGCCGACTGCCTCAACATAACCGGAGATGTCATCGCCATGATTCGCTGCGTCCCCTCCAAGTAGTTTAGGCATTTTCCAGTCCTTAGGGTTTGTGCCTGACACAATTGTGCGGATGAGCAGATCGCCCGGCCCGACTGCAGGCACGGGAACGTCACGAATCTCGACGTTCAGGTCTTTGTCGATATATGCTTCCTTCATGGTTGTTGATAATGCGGGGGTTCTTGTCTAGTATTCTGCTCTTTCCGAATAAGATCAAAGGTTTCTTCTGGTCGTGGCAGACTTTGTTTATATACCTGATTGTGCCGGGCACAACCGGTCAGACGCATATCTCTGTTGGGGTTGTGGAAAGACAAATTCACGAGTTAACTAGGTGACTATATGCCATTCACACCTCTAATTCCCATTGGCAAATCACTATCTCCGGGTCTGTTCTGGTAAATCGGATCAAAAGACTGCTCTAAAACCTCTCGTGTTATATTAATAAACGTTTAATTCAAAGCCCCATCGCCATCGATTTGTCTATGAGGTTGCTTATTGTACCACGGCCGGAGGGGACTCCGAGCCATTATTCAGCAGTGGAAAAGCCTTAGTTAGTATTTCATATTATTAACTATCATGAATTAGTAGTTAACAGAATACCTTAATTAGTAATTTAGGAGGGTTAACTGTAGTATTTAAAGTTGCGGTAAGGTTTTCTCGGTAGATTCCGTTCTCCACAATTTGTCGCGTTGATTTATCAGCGATCTGGACGGCCCGCAGTACCCGGATTTCTTGTCTTGGCCACGCGCTATCTGGTCTGGGAATCTCTCTCATCGATACCTCAATCCTTCTTATCCAGTTGATAGAAATGGAAAGATCGCGAAAGGCTCGCCGCGGCCGTCCACAAATCCAAGACGGACAAAACGTGGTAGATATTCAGCAGGTCAGTCGGGTGTAACGAAAAGAGGGACCCACCTGCTTTACTTCACTGAACCAAGCTAATGAAAGTACAATCTTCAGAAGAAAAGGCTACGGATGCGCCTTGCACAGAGGTTGTACCGTGCCCGGAAAGAAGAAGCACAAGAATCAGAAAGGATCCGGGCTGAAGAGCTTAGCCGTGCTCTTGATAACGCATTTGAAGTCTTTTCCACGCTCCATCAATGTATTCTCGATACCTCGCAGATACGAATTTCGCCGGATATTCTCTTCTATTTGAACGACGCAGCCAGACGAATGACTGCCATAGCATCCGACAGGAACAAGGTCTTATCCTTGTCACATGGTCTTATAAATTCGAGCCCAAGCTCTTCCCCCCAAGTTAATGTAACGAAGAGTCGGCCACCTGCAACTGGTGTGATTCGAGAACGAGACAAAGAGTGGAGTTCGCAGCTTTCATCTACAGAGCGACTTGCTCCAGGCCAGTCAGTCACCGGAGATTCCAGGGCTATGGTCATATCTCTACGGACCAAAACCTCCAATCGGATCTCATTACCAGCAAGGGTTTTTCGAGCTTGCTTCGAGCGTGCGGTAAATATCCTATCTAACAGCACGGTGCATGGCAGCCAACCGTTGCCCTTGGCTCTTCCCCTTCACTTGCTAGGGAGAGAAGCTCTAATGATCAATTCTTTGCAAGGTCTGGCGTCATTTCATCCTCCCGTGGCTGATTTCCAGTATCCGTTACACTCCGCTCCCAGGCAACCGCACATGTACCGCGTCGTTGAAGGTGGGACTAAGACCACGTCAAGAGCGCCAACTCCGTTGGTGCAGCAGATAGTGAGAGGCAAAACAAGGACAATGCTAGACACGAATTTTGCGCCACTCCAAGGAGAATGGCTGGAGGCCGTGGATGTGGAGGAGTACCTGGAAGAGCGAGGAATCTATATACGCAACGCCGTCTCAAACAGCATGACATCAACCGACGAGACCTTTTATGAAAAATATGTCCCAGACAGCGAGCAGAATACACCTATGCTCGCTCTGTCAGGTGCTGTACCAGGAAAGAAATTGGCCTGGACTATCAACGATAATACTCTCTCACAACTAGGCAGCATGGAGCGACCCCCTTCCGCATCTTTATCGGCCGATTTCCATGGCCATGAGCCTTCAGACTATTCAGTCTTCGGGATTCCGAGGCCGAGACAATGGCTGCGTCCTACCAACAGCCAACACCTTCCAACCGTTATGGCAGGTGTCCTCTCAAGTGACGCATCGAGTGTCCTGCAGTCGAACTTCAAGTCTCAAATCGCCCAGGCTCTTACCGAAGCCTCTCGAATCACTGTCAATCTTGACAAACTGGTACATATACTCGCGGAAAACGCCATGTGCCTTGGCCCCGTCCCGGGGATTAGGAAGGCTGCCGTAGATGCCTCGATTCGGGGGTCTATCATTTTATCTTGAATTGTATTTTGTTATTCCTACGCTTGCTGTAAAAGATTTTGTAACGCAAATGGATGTGAAGGTGCTCTGGCCACTGCAAAATATTATAACATTAAGAACAACCCACGGTCCTGTCTACTAAAGATATCTGCTCAGGCCTCCGCCACCGACCTAAAAACCAACACTGTCTAGGCGCTACAGAGTCACCTGAAAATAGCACGTGTTAGCTGCGATAGGATTGGATTTGCTGACGATACCACGGGTTATGAAGGAGTGCTACGTGACCTGCGTGGCAGCGCGTTAGGGCTAGAATTGACGGCGAGCAAGAGCGCGAAAATCGCCTAGAAGGCTAGTGACGCAGCACTTGCTGCGCTTCATCTCTCTTAAGACGCACGCATCGTACTGCTATTGATTAAAATAGGCCAAAGAGCTAGTTACGTGGCGAAAAAAATCGCAGAAGCAACACAAGCGTTAACCAATAGGGATGTCAAGCTGTTTGATTCTACTTATCGTGATATGAAGCTTGGCAGTATAAAAGTGAGAGAAGTTGCCAATACTGTTATTGGTGAAGCTGCCATGCAGGTATTCGAACTTTGGACAGAGACATAGCTTCGCAATGGGCATAACGCGGTAGAATTCAAAGATTTACTATTGGAAGTGGACACAATTATCAACTGTCTTTAGGGCGAGTCAGCCGACGTGTAGGATATAAAGGAGATTCGCAGTGTTTCTATAGACTTTTTGCAGGATTGGGAAAATCGTGTCCGTAACACGGGCGTGTCGCAAGTTAGGGACAACGCACAGCAAAAGTTCGAGCCTTTAACTGCTGTTAGCACGACTATCACTTATGTTAGAGGCAATGTAGGCAACATCCGCGAAACAGAGGATTAGACCCTAGCCGAGGCTTGCATAGATTTGTGCGAAATTTTTAAAATTGGCAAGCCGCTAAAGGAAAAACAGGCGCTGCTTGACGTGAATCGCATCCGCCGCTTGGACCAAATTAGACAGCAGATATTCAACACACAGACGATGGTCATGCTAAATCCGTTAAGCGGGCGTGTTAGCGGTGGCCAACCTGATAGGACAGTTCGACTGCAAAATCCTCTGGGTCAAACTCATTGCATGCTCTAATAGCATCATGCAATAAACAGACACGGCCGTTCTGATCGATTGTCAATGATATTCTGTGCCAAGGGACCATGATTTTCAAGTTGAGGCGATGGAGATGTCGCGTGCCTTGCTGATACAGGTAATATACGAGAAGCTATAGTGTAGATTACCCGCTGTATGCTTCAATACCGCGTTCAACAATAGGGATTGTCCGGAAGAATCCCAGTATGAAATAGTTTGTCTTGGCATTTAGGGTTCAAGAAAGGAAGACAGAGTGTAGGTGGTGACACCAGTTTCGAGACGTATTGTACGGTTATAAATATTCGCACAAACTTGCAGCAATTTGGAAGTGTTCATGCACCCCCAGCTCGAATAGGTCTTTCTGCGCATGGTGGTATAGAGCTTATGTACAGAACACATTGCACTCACTCCAAAAATCCCCAAATGTTGTTCAGACTCTCTGCTAGAGTGGGATGAGCCAAGACTGCGTCTTGCAATTTTTGGTAGGGAACATTTCCGATTATCGCTATTTCCACGATGCTCATGATTTCGCCACCCTCGAGGCCCAAGCAGGAAAACCCTAGAATCAACCCTGTATCACCGTCCACGACAGCTTTCATCATTCCTCTCGACTCGTCCGTTTCTAGTGCGCGGGCGACGTATGCCATTGGCATTTTCGCAGTTTGAATCCTCTTGTTGGGGAACTTTACACGAGCTTCCTGCTCATGGAGGCCGACGTGCGCGAGTTGGGGATCGGTGAACACCACGTACGGGACAATGCGGTCTTTGATAGAGAGCCTCGTAGGTGGTGATGAAAGCATGTTAGACCGAAGGATGCGAAAGTCGTCGTACGAGATATGCGTGAATGCCGGTGGTCCTTTCACGTCGCCCATTGCAAAAATAGAAGGAGACGAAGTCTCGAGGTATTCGTTTGTCACAATATATCCTCTCTCGTCGGTGTCGATATCTGCAGCTTCTGGCTTCAACCGGTCTGTATTTGGAATGCGGCCGGTAGCGAATAGGATGTGCGTTCCTTCGACGGTTCGCTCGCCATTATTGGCGTGGAAATAAAGTATAAACCCGCTAGGCGACGGCGCAATTCTGACAGGGTCAGAGTTCAAGTGTACCGTAAGTCCATCCTCCTGAAAAATATTTCGCAGCAGGTGAGCAATTTCTTGATCCTCGTGCGGTAGTAATTGTCTTCCACGCTGGATTATGGTGACCTGTGCACCTAGTCTGCGAAACAGTTGTGCGAATTCCACTCCCACATATCCTCCTCCAATCACCACGAGGTGGCCAGGAACCTCGTCTAGCTCTTGAATTGACGTGGAATCCAAGACTGCTTTTTGATCAAGCAAGCCGATCCCTTCAAGGAGTGGTGGTGCAGGTCGTGCTCCGACATTGATGAATATCTTCTGGCCTTGGACAGTTCTCATGTTGCCACCACTATCTTTGTACTTGAGTGTCTTCTTGTCCATGAAAGTAGCCTCACCAGTCAGGACATCCACGCCAGCATCTCTTAACTTAGTCTCACTACCACCGCGGAATGAGGCGACGATGTTGCGTTTCCGTTGGCGGACCTTAAGCATGTCGACCACGGCCACATTCACATCGGTCTCATGCTCACAAGTGTGTACACCATAATCTAGCCCCTTACGAACTAGATAGGCGATGCGACCTGATGCAATTAACGTTTTTGTCGGTGTACAGCCTTCATTAATACAGCTTCCACCGATATGCTCGCGTTCAATCAGCGCTGTTTTTTGTCCTGCTTTCGCAAATGCGGCGGCCAGGGGTGTGCCGGATTGGCCAGAGCCGATAATTATGACTTCGTACTGTATGTTTGTCGCCATATTGCAATAGTGCTTCAGCGATTTGAGCACAGCCGGGCGACGAAACATCAACTACTAATTCAAAATATGAGGTCGGTCCGGCTCGAGCACGTAAATAGGAGTCAGTAGTTGATCCTGCACAGGTTCTGAAACAATACCTAGAGCTATGCTTCAATGGAGGTATTAGCCTAGCGACAAGGCAACCAATTCACCGATTCAATGATGCATGGTCTTGCGTTATTGGTCGGAATGTGGAATCATGAACGTCACGACGGGTTTCGAAGGCATAAATAACGTAATTCCCGGCTGAGTTAACCACCCGGCTGATCGGGCCACTTCATCGCTCATTACTATTTTCTAAATTAGCATATTTCAAAAAAAACGCTATGATGTGTTCACATGTAGCTAGCTGCCTTTACATTGATTTAATCTATGCATAATCTTTCCGCACCTACTAACCCAAGGCTGCATGCGTTTGGGCGGCCGAAGCGGTAATACAGGCTACTGAGCAGCAGCTTGCGGAAGTGATTGAACGCGTTTAAATGGGTTGGTCGGCAGCTGAAGTAGCTCCAGCTCCACCGAGGTAAACTCGCCTTGTCTACTATCTCCATTTTGGGAAGTGTTTGTTTTTGCCGCCTCTTCTCTTTCGTTGATCAGCCATACGCTCTGCCGGAAGCCAATATTCAGCCGCTGCTCCGCTAGCGGTCGAGAAACTCATCCAAAGGTACAATTGCATTGGACTGTCGAAGGCCCCCCACCAGCGAAAGCGGCGAGAGCCCGTTTGGGGACGCATATTGCGCAGTACTGGGGGAAGTCGTGGTGTTATTGGCCGCATTGGTCAGCAAGCTCATCCACCGAGCGACAGACTGATATATCCTCTGTCCCATAACTTCGCTGGAATACACGACCTACCGGCGCCTTCGCTAGCAGCCCAAAGTATATTATTGTCTGTCATAATGACCGGAAATGAGAGTGCGATGAATTTGACCAGGAAAGCAATCGAGGAACACTGGCGGGCATCGGATGACAGTGATACCGAAGCCGAATACGCCATCTATGCCGTAGACGCGATCCTAGACTACCCGCAATCAGGGGAGCGTTTCAAAGGTCGTGCGGCAATTTCTGCACAGCGTGGTGGACACCCGGCTGACCGGCATTTCACGGTGCTACGGATCTCAGGCGACGGCCATCTATGGGTGAGCGAGTGCATCATCACCTATGACGGAGTACCAACATATTCAGTCTCCATTATGCAGTTTGCTCGCGAACTTGTGGTGCACGAGATACAGTACTTTACTGAGAAATTCAGTGCACCTACGTGGCGAGCAGCGCTCGCCGAGCCTATACCAGGCAGGCATATCGAAGAGGCATGATCACGTCCGTGGCCCAAGCCAAATCTTCCACCTTTTTGAGAAAAGTGATTTTGGACAAATCTTTACAGCGGTAGTAACATCTCTGGCGTGTCTTTGGAGCACTTATTTATTTGTGCCTAAGTATTCAATATGTGTTTGGATTTCGACCTTCTTGCAGAAGCGGACGAGAAGTAAGACTAGAGCAAGCTAATCTGGTACTGTTTTACACTGACCCTGCATCTCGCCCCAAAGTTTCACTGGCAAAGCCAGATTTGCAGATGACGAGAAAATGTGGCATTCTAATATGCGATTTCGTAGCAACCTTTGTACTACTGCAAGCTATCATTTGTTTAGGACACTTTGGTGAGGTAGAGCAGCATCCCCATTCGCATGTCACAATCTACTTGTACAGGGTAGAACACCTATCGCTCAGGTAAGATATGAGATCTGGGATGGGTCAGATACTCGAAATAGTAGAATAAATTGATACATGAACTGATTCTTGTAGAAGAGAAGTAGATACGTACAAATGCAGGCAGTATCTGATATTGTTGATCACGATGGAATTTGGACACTTGGACTGGTGCTATACCAAGAGGAGACCAGCCTGTCCGTCTGAACCCTATCCACTTATCACACCCAGGCTCATCTACGTAGACGAGGTGTTATAAGCAAAACTCCGAGATCAGATGACAGTGATCATCACTTAAATCCGCATTTCGCTCCCTATCTTTTTGTCGAGCCGTCTTCTTTGACCACCCTTTACGATACAGGGCGTCGCTGATCGTGGAGTTAGGTGTGGATACGTCGAATTTATCCAGCAAGAACAGTTCCATCACATAAAGGTATAAATTCGGTTTCTCAAGCAAATGATCGCACGAGGCTTCTAGCATTATCAGCGTGATTCCTATAGCCGTCTAGCTTTGATGGAAAGGGCTTTGATGGTACTAAATAGCTGCAGGTTAGGCTGGATCCTGATGATTGCGCGCTTGCTCCAGCCAGCTGCTTCAGCCATCTGGGAGGCGGTCAGTTCACCGCTGAGGGTCTTATTATGAATAACTTCGAGCGTAGATTCCGCTAGATTGGGAGCCATGGTTCGTTCCACCACTGGTATAAATGATTAGTCGCCAGTGGAGACCGAAGTGTGATGGGATTGGACGTGAGGCAGCGAGGTAGCAGTATCTGTATATTATCCCTTCGAAGAATATCAAACGTATAAGATGTAGCTTGAGACAATGTTCGCTTAAGAGAACATGCACTAGATCAGTCCAGCGTCGAAGACTCCTCATCGGCCAAAGCTTCACTGAAGACTTTCTCCATCTAGCTGAAACCACGCATGGTCGGCGAGCAGACCATAAGGTCATCATCACTCATCTGACATAGTTGTGTATAGTTGCCTTTTGGTTTGTTTCTCTAAATTCATCGTTCGACCCTCGTCGATCAGTGAGTCGATGTTCAGCTGCTTTAAAGAGACTTGAAACTCCTTATTCCGAGTTCATTTCTTTTAATGCAACAAAAGCCTCGGGATTTCGAGATGAAGATTAATACTTAGTGCATAGATGCCTGTTTTTGCCGGCAGACTAAGCACTTGTTTGCCTAAGGTGCCTCCATAAAAGACATCTTCTTTGCTGATTAGAATACAGCAGATTGTTCTTCCTAAGATAACATATTCCAGACCTCGAATTCAGAAGTACGGACTATTTTGACCTGCAGCTATACAAACAGTAGCTCGGCAGTTGCCCTTTTTTTGTCTGTGGATGTTTTTCTGTGGATGAGATACTACAAGTTCTCTAGACCTAGTTAGATACGTTCCCGAGCTCTTCAACTGGTTTTAGTATTCCTCCTTCTTGCCTAGTTATGCTACTGTAGAATCACTTCAAGGCTAAGAATCAAGGAGCCTAGTGGCTTCTAGAGCATCTGTTAATATAAGGATCGTCCAGAGTGCCTGTATGGCTCAGTTTCCTTGGTTTTAAATGGAGCTGACCTAGCAGGGTAAGACCTAATAGGTCTATTTACACCGATGCACCCGGACAGGTCATGTCGTCCGTACCGCAGACGTTATGAAGTGACATTGAAGAGCATAGTTGGATGCCAGCTAGAAGGGAAGGTATCTCAGCTCGTAATACCATAGCAACGGGCATTCGACCTATATTACGAAGAAATTGGCATAGCGCCAAAAGCGCGGCCGAGCCATTTATTAGTACTTCTCTCTCTCTCCATTCTCCCTCCGCCGGTTCCCTTCACTCTCCCTATTCCATTCCCTCCATGACAATAGATTCGTCGACATGACCGAAACTCTCCTTAGCTACCTGGCGCAACGCAACTCAATTGTCATTCCTTATGTCGACCCAGCACAGACAGTAAATATTCAATGACTCTTATGAAAATTGTATGGGAGTTAGCAATCCTCAGCTGACATGAAGTGACATCCCCGGGAATCTTCTTATCTAGCCTCAAAGAACTGTTGAGGTCAATGAAAGATTTTGGATGAAATGGTCGGCATGGTAAAGGAGCAAAGGACTTGCTCTAGCACAGCCAGAGAGCTTGATGACATTGGGAGGAATCTATGGGTGTTCCATTCTGAACTCAGGAATCCTGGAGAATCTAATATGAATTGGACCCTGAATTTGCTACTGTAAATCACCGAAGAAGATACATAATGCAGGGAGGATCTGATTGGTCCGCCCGATCAGCTGGCAGAAAAAAGTTGTCTCCGCCCAGTCTCACCACAGTCGGAGTCGCAGTTGCTAGGCTGGAAACACCCAATTCAGACATTTTGAGAGTGTCATCCGTCCTCAGATTATACACTGTGTATTGTCCGACCCCGTTGTAGCCATACGCAGCAACAATGGCGAAGCTGACCGACACTGAGTCGGCTCAATCCCCGGCCTCAAAAAGCTCGGGTCGAAGCTCAAGAATGCGAAGAACTCTACAGACGAGAGCATCACAGACGCACAGCCTGAAGGAATCGACACCAATGACGAAGAGATTAAGTCCGGCAAGAAAGACAAGAAAAAGCGCAAGAAGTCATCCTCCGAGGACGCTGGCCCCGAAATTGATGCCGAACTGAAGAAAAAGAAGAAGCGCCGCCACTCCGAAGACGATGACCAGAAGAAGGACAAGGACTCTGAATCAAAGAAGAGTAAAAGAAGCGAGTGTCCTTTGGACCTGGGACAAAGGAGAATGACGGCGACGACGACAGTGCCTCCGAGGATGTCGACATGGACGAAGCTGCTACCACCGATGGAGCCGAGGCAGACACCGAAGACAAGGAGAATGACAATGCAGTTGAAGATATGAAGAAGCGCAAGCGGGAGAAGAAGAAGCAAAGAAAAACCGGCACCGCCCCGACTGAGGCACAAGTCCACGAGACTCCAATTCTCTCCTACCTTAGCCACTACCACCGAGCACGCGCGACCTGGAAGTTCCAAAAGAACCGCGAAACCAACCTCTTCAAGCACCTCTACTCTCTCGAGCATGTCCCCTATCAGTACAACACTTCGCTGCTGGCGTACATGCAGGGACTCCGTGGTGACGCCGCAAAGCAACGGTTGAGCGATGCTGCTAGGGATGTGATCAAGGCCGATATGGATCTTGACAAGCCCAAGGACGATGAATCAGCGGAAAACCAGGAGGAAAACACAAACACTGACTACGTCGAAGCTATCAACGCGTTCCGTGAACATCTGCCGGAAGCAGACGAGAAACTGGACAGCATCAACATCGGAGAGGATCTGAACGCAGATGCCCAGAAGCGTCTGCCAAAGAGGCAGCGAGCGGAGCTGGTCTTTTCGCTGTCGCCGGCAAGCTGTTCAGCGCCGAAGATGCCAAGCCCAAGCGGAAACCCAAGTCTACAGAGCCCCCAGCCAACAAGAAGCGGAAGAACAGAACCGTCGTTGTTGATATTAGCAGCAGCGAAGACAGTTCTGATGATGATGCCCCGGCTCGCAAGAAGGCTGCCAAGCCTGCCGCGGATAGCAGCAGCGATGAAAGCACCTCTTCCAGCGGTAGCAGCAGCGACAGTGACAGCGATGATTCTGATGCTTCGGCTTCTGCACCCACCCCTGCTAAGCAAGCTGCAGTGGACACTCCCTCAAAGAAGGAAAGCAAGGCAAGGAAGAAGAAGAACTTGCCGGTCCGTGAAGAAAAGCCTAAGCCCGCGCCTGTGCCAAAGGTTCCCAAGAAGACCCAAAAGCGGAAGCTTAGAACTGCTCAAATTGAGATCTCGAGCAGTGAAAGCGACAGTGATTAATTTTGTTAGGCCACTTTCTGGGGGGGATCGTTACCTTAGTTTTATGTGCATATCTCTACCACAGCATATGGGACGGTGTAATTATGTTGATGTTCATATACTCAAAAGTCATTTTATTCATGTTGACCACCATTGATAAACTATCGAAGTATGTGTTCTTGGGTAACCTAGTCGAGTAAGAAGGGTGTATCTAGTCTTTATGCTTTGGTACTCATATTTGCATGCAACTGAGAAAAGCATAATGGTACTCTGTAGACAGCATTGGCAATCTAATTGCCAATTCATAAATTAACGGTTCACATTGTTAATTATGTCTTGGAGTGCACCTGGCCTGGTCAATGGCATTGAAGGCGGTGAGGCCGACCTCAAGCTTGAGCTTAGGCAGCTCAGGCACGCGTCACTGCTCAACCCCCATCGTCTCATCTCCAGGACCCTCTCTCTTATTCCTTTCCTGTGTTGTTCTTTATCCCGTTACAAAACACTTGAAGCACCGCCATCATGTCTGGTATGATCTCTGGCCGATGGCACAGCCTAGCCCCATGACTTCATCCCGACTGACCTTGGTTCTCTCCGCAGGAAGCGCCTACGACAGACATATCACTATCTTCTCTGACCAGGGTCGATTGTACCAAGTCGGTATGTGCTCTTGACTCCTCGATCGTTTTCACTCGTCTACCCCCCGGCCTCAATCCCCGCGCTGTCATCATGGCCGCTCACCTAACACTTGTGTCTCAGAATATGCATTCAAGGCCATCACCTCGGCCAACATCACCTCCATCGGTGTGAGGGGGAAGGATTGTGCTGTGGTCCTCTCCCAGAAGAAAGTCGCTGTAAGCTGGATTCTTCGTCCGAAGCCGGAGGCGCACTTATGCTAATCTGTCTCGCATCAGGACAAATTGATCGACCCATCCTCCGTTTCACATGTTTTCCGGATCTCACCTTCCGTAGGCTGCGTGATGACTGGTTCCATAGCAGATGCTCGGGCGTCTGTCGACCGGGCCCGTGGCGAGGCTGCTGAGTTCCGGTACAAGTTCGGATACGAGATGCCCTGCGATGTTCTGGCAAAGCGACTGGCAAATATCAACCAGGTCTACACACAAAGGGTAGGTCTCAGTCACCGTGCAACACTCTCTCACTTGGGGGCAAATTGACTAACGTGGTTCTTTTGAAATCTTCCAGGCTTACATGCGACCACTCGGCGTGGCTACAACCCTGATCTCCGTCGATGATGAAGCCGGCCCTCAGCTCTACAAGTGTGACCCAGCTGGATATTACGTTGGATACAAGGCGACAGCATCCGGCCCCAAGCAGCAGGAGGCGCTCAACTACCTGGAGAAGAAGCTGAAGAACAAGGATGCCGCCCCAGGCTCCTGGGAGGAAGTTGTGGAACTGGGTATCACTGCCCTGAGCAACGTGCTAAGCGTCGATTTCAAGAAGCACGAGATTGAGATTGGTGTTGTCGGTGGGCCGCGCGAAGATGGCCAGGAAGGTACCACTACAGGGTTCCGCGCCCTGACAGAGGAAGAGATCGATGAACGCCTGCAGGCCATAGCTGAGAAGGACTGAGCGAACCTGATTTGCAAGCAATTGAGATAAGAGACCAGGAATGGAAGGAACCCCGTGTTTTTCCTCCCTTTTCTGCTATTAGACAAACAAACGATCTGAATGATAACTCACTTCCTGCAATGCTACGGTTTCAGTCGTGTTTCGGAGTCCCCGTGTTCTTGCGAGATCTAATCCTGCATCTTGACGCCATACTTCTTTGTTCATGCGGCTCTTCAGCCCCTAGCCTCGCGTTTTCTCGGGCCAAGACTTGTTAATATCAACCTCGGTCCAAGCTGTGGGGGATTTGCCACAGGTAATTTAGTTGCAACTCTCTGATCAATCAGTCCAGATGGAGATATGAGGAGGTTGGTAATATTCTGCATTATCGCTGCGTCGCGATCTATATAGCTATAGAGAGCTCCCCTGGTATACTTAGAGACTACAGTAGTTACTGAATTGGCAAGAGACCCTTGGAAGATAGTTCTTAAGACCTGGCAAAGGCCTGGCAAACAGCTAGCAATATTCTTGTTAACGTGATAGGTATAATAGTAAGAGAGGTCATCACAACAACCATTTGGAGCCAATAGCCTCGTTACCCCCTTACTGCTCGAAAATTGAACGAAGCAGTCTTTTCTTTTCGGTCTTCGGATTTGCAAACTTACACTTGAAGAATTAAAAATGTCTCATCTTCAGTAGATAGGTTGGATTAGCGAAATTCGTGGTCTGTAAAGCTGATCTGTGGCGGTTCTGGCCTGGGTAGGATCCTGGCCTGGGTAGGATCCTGGCCAAGATATACCTAACAACAAATGCACCCCATGGTACAGTAACCAATGGCTCTTGTCCTCGTCATGGTGCTGGACCAGTGCGCGCAGAGTCATACCGGCCTTTATCAGATCAACAAACACAAGGTGCCCCGTTCAAATTACTTATATCTGATTAGAAAGCTGATTCCATTGCACGCATAGTTCTTAGCGGGCCCGATCATACCACATCATACCAGGAATCATCAAACAGTTCAGGAATGCTCTTATCGGTCATCCGAATAATGTCAGGGTGGTAGCAAATGTAAGTAATGACTGAGACTTTGAGAAAGACAGACCCCAAATACTGATATAACCGTATGTGTAAGAAGATAGAAATATGCAGGAAATGTGAAGCCTGGTGAGCTAGATAGTACTTGGACCGCGGTTCTCCTCCCTCGTACTATTTCAATACTCTTCAAGTTTCAATTTGTGTCTCGGGTCACTCATAGGTTAAAGGAAGACTGAAGTGTTAGAACGGGATTATTGATAACCGCCGTCACCAGCCACATCCACTGGGGTTGGGGTGGTCAGCAGCCTGTGTCCGTATCGCGAGGTACCCAACACAGCCCTCGATCCAGGGAAGCCGAGGCGATTGGAACTGTGAATCTCACCCCGGAAGAAGTTGAACCCCCTGTTAAAGATTGCCGAAGTGAACCAGATCAGCGCAGCTATGACACTGGCTGTGGCGTATCAATAGAACGTCTGCAACGCTGAGGAGGATCTGTTGGTCTTAGCAAAGTTACATGTAGAAAGAAAGTCCAGCTCCGAGCCGGGCGCCACATGTGGCTCAGCAGTGGCTGGGCTGAACGCAGGGCCTAAATATAGACACGTAATGGTCACCTTTCCCTTTGGTGGAATTGGACAAAGAAGGGGAAAAATACATCAGAATAAAAACATACACACAAAAAGCTACAGCCGCATCTAGGCGCGTAAATTCCCTTTGAATATCCAACTATTTCCTGGATAGGTAGGCGGTGATGGGTCAAAGTGTGGCAAAGGCAGCTGAACCCTAATTGCTTCGCTCCACTTCAGACAGATCTCGCCTATGCAGGTCCAGGGCTGAACTTACTCCTTTTTCCTATGCATAAAAAAATAATAAGTCCCCACTTGAGTAGTTCGTCCATTCTCCAATCAACGTCCTGAAGTCGCCTGTCTCTCCTCAGGAGAACTCCAAATCGAAGTGCACCGGAACCTAATCTTGCTCAATGCGGAACTAACGCTCCCCACTGGGAGATTGCAGCTCGGGCCTGGTTCTTACGGAGGCAAAACAAGCCATGTTTCCAGGCTATACGCCATACCTGGCCACGCCCCTCTTGCTCTCTCAGGCATCTCCCCACTCCTGGTTCCCTCTTAGGGAACAAGGGTGGTCCTGTTGCCGTTGACGGTTTCTCGGGAGCTATTCCATGGCCCACTCGCGCTTTACATCCCAGCTGTACTCGGCCACCCCAGCTCCCTGATCGTGGGATCTTCACCGTCTATTGGTGCAGCTGGTCCCTGGGATGATGATCCTACTGACGTTTGGCTCCGCTGTCACGGGCTGAGAACCTTCTTTAGGTTATCATTATTATTTTGAGGATATTTCTTTTTTTTTTTTCCCTATTCGACCCATCGAGGTCGTTGGCTGTCATCATGTATGGGGTAAGGAGAAGGCTGTTTCTACTTTGGAAGATTTATATCTTCCTTCTCTCCCTCCGTAGGACCGTTGGTGGCCTAACATTCACGAGTTCGTGGACAATCAGTTCCTCTAATCGTTGCCTTTCTTTCTCTAATTGGTCATCTTTGATGCCACTTTATACTTCTTCTTACCCACTTCCTTCCACTCCTTGGATTGACCTATTATCTCCATTTTATACTTAATATACCCCAAGAGTCATGGCGGACGGACGTAAGCTATTCTCAATCCATCAATTAGAAGGTTCACTTGCCGAACACAGTGCTGATCACCCCCTCACAGTCAACCAGGCCCGCGCTATGCGTGTCGCCGAGATCATCAACGACTACCGCACTCTCCTGTTGCACATCTCGCAACAGCGTATGGAAGTGTGCCAAGCGGATCATAATGAGGAAGGCTATGTGGTACTCCGGGAGTCTCTAGCCTCCGCTCAGAATTTGTCGTCTGCCAACTATCAGCCCTGTCCGGTTACAGGGCAAGGCAATGTCGAAACCGAGAAAGCCGAGCTACAGAGGTACACGAATCTGCACACCTCAACCAGGGTTCCAATCGTTCCAGACTAACACGAACTTCCCTCTTTGCAGAGTCATCGTGGATAGCAGCGCACGCCGATTCCAAGCACACAAGATCTACCTACGTGCCGCCGCAGCCCGACGATGGGCCATAGCCCGCATCAACATCCTACGTGCTCAACGATCACCAGCTGACAAAGCCGCAGCCCTGAAGACCGCTACTACCACGCTTCATCAGGATCTCAATGGCATCACGGATCACCATGTTGTTTCGGACCTCCGCGCCGCCGACATGCGGGCAGGCCACTGGCTTGACGACGACCCGTCCCTCGAAGCGATCCGTCGCTGGGTTGCGGGGCGGTAATGACGATACATGAAACCGAACGAATACATGTTGTACGAAGTTGAGAGTCTTTTGGGGAGCCTTGCATTCTACTTATTCCCGGACGCTTGGAGTCCGGTTGGCCATGTATGGGCTCTTTTATTAGAGGGGCATACACGGGATAGCATGCGGGGGCGGCGGGTACAGCGCTGGTCGCAAGTGTTGGCCGCCCTCGAGTGAAGCGAAGGACAAGAACAAGTCTGGATTTACTGCGTGGTTTTTGTTGTAGCTACGATATCCCCTCTTGTTGTCACTTTTTTTGGATTGTGTTTTTACTTTTCGTTAAGGTGTTATGGGATGTTGTTGAGCTTCGCGTTGAACATTGAACACTCACACTCTGCATTGTATCTGCTGTGTAACTTAGGCTATGAGAGTTTGATTGATATCCTTGTTAGTTTCCGCTCTCTCGTTTTCCCAGCTCGAAAGACTTGGTCTCAATTGCCACTGATCTCTCAGGTGAATCCTGCATAACCCTAATGACCCCACACTAGCTTGAACCATTGGGTGTCTAGCGTTAAGAGTACGTGTTCATTAAGAGTATACTCATCACGTACTTGGACGTAGCTCGTATGCAAAGGGATAGAAAAAAAGTCCAGACCCTGTGCGCTAAATTAATCAGAGATGCCTCCCTACGTCCGTCAACCCTATGGGATCGATGTCATTGGCGAATCGCACAGACGGAAGAACCAGACACGTGGGGCGCTCAGGCAGAGATACCAGCTGAAAGGCAGAAAAAAGAGGATCAGGAACCACACCGGTACACATTAACTGCAGATTAAGTCTAAAATGTGCATGTAAACACCGTACTTGATTATACTAAGAAACCCGGGCCTCGGATATCCGGCGGTAATCCTTCTAACCGGCCGAAGTATACAGTGTTCCACGTAGATGGGCCCAGATAATGGCGAAAAAGACGTTTTACCGATCGGCATATGGGTCAGATTTTCGATGGAGATTTTGGAGAGACGGCATCTCGGTGGATCCGGGGCTAAGGCTTTAGTCCACTGCGTGCTATGCCAATCGGTGCGCTGCACAGCCATGTGTCGGCTCGGCTTCAGCTGGTGCTGGTTTTTCAGGCTTCCTTCTGGAAATTGGAGTTAAAGATGATGCTTTTTTTTTTTTACTTGTATTTTTCTCCGTTTCAACTAATAAGTGGATCTACTCGGAAACCATATCCTGCTTAACCGTCGCGCTCGTCTCTTTTGGGGTCATGTCCGCTGCCTGAGGTGCTATAAACTGGTTTCTCTACGGAGTCCTAGATTATTGATGAAACATTAGTGGGGCATTCTCTTTTTTTTCTCCTTTGCTTCTAGGCTAGAGTGACATCTGGTGTTGCCATGTGTTGAATCGTCTTTTATGTGTCTACCCACAATTGATCATTTCCTCTTTCGGTCCAATGAACAGATTACTCCACTGTGCATGAATCATGTGTATGGTGCTTTAGGTCTTGGGTTAGTTTCACCTTTTTGGAGGGAGCTAAACAGCGTAATGTCAATTGATCCTGCTGGAATCCCGATCTTTTGGTACGGAGGTTCAATAAATATTTAGTCCGGCACTCTATCCTGTTTCTTCAGGTCTACGTTCTCCACTCATCCGAAGCTACATGGTGGATTCAAGGAAGTACCACTGTTCTAAGGCTGAGAATACCACATCCACGGTGGTGCAATTTGTGTGTTCATATATTGTCTAGGTCACTTGGTACTTCTGTAGAATAATGCTAGTGCTTCTGGAACTCATTTTTATTCTATTCAAACAACACTAGATTGGTCTTTCGCTCTCTATGTGACGAGGAAATGCATGTATGCACGCGCCCTTTTCGCAATCCACTGCTGCTTTGACAGTCTAGCTGTTCGTTGTACAGGGTGTAAGGATTGTTTCCCATTGCATCTGGTTTCACCACCAGATAAGTTTCATCTCTGCTCGAGCGTATGCAGGTGGGAACTTGGTTTCTAGACTCCTGTAGCCTATGCCCTAAACAGATTGAGGTATCAAATTGATGATATGAAATGACTCAGAAATGTCCGGGAAATCACGAGAATGACGTAGATTTTGCAGCAGGTCATTCCACTGTCGACTTAGGCACAGTTTCTAGCACATCAGGATACGTATATTCCATTGCACTGCTAAAGGTGTTTATATATCACCAACAAACACGTAAAAGAATAAGCATACTGTAATAAAAAAGAAAATAAAAGTCATCCCCTTGATTATAGATTACAGTGAAAAGGAGGGGGGAAGAAAAAATACTTAACGTGGCGCCAAAGTAGGGTCCAATAAGTTGTGCCATTGCATATGCCTACTCATCTATCGATGGCCTTGATGTCATGGGTCACTTGCTACATGGTATGCAGAATGACAATTGATTGGCGCCAAATCAGCGAGATAAGTAATTAACTCCGAAAACGATGTCTTCGGCATAAAGACTTTGGTCGCCTGACATTTCATGTAAGTGACGAATGATCGATGGTGAAAGTTGGTGCCAAGTGCCATCCTAGCAAGGGAGGATACTTTTCGATTTTGTTAAGACGGAACTCAGAGCCGTCATAATCAGCAAACTTTCCGATTGTGTGATCTTGAGTCTCTTTCTAGCAGATTTAAGATATATGAAGTCAAAAGGTAAGCCAAGTAAGCGAGGTTCTTATGACTAGGAGTTAGAGTTCCAAATAACACGGCATTCCTATCCTCATGCGGACTAAATGTATGTCTCATTCTTGTCCAGAGCATGCATACTTGGGAAACACGAGCACATGAGACCTCCCAATTTGCTTTTCTTAATACACACCTCAAATTAAGAGATTTCAAAGCAGTGCAAAACATTGTCAAAGGTATATTTTAGAAGCATGACTGATATCTTAGGTCGTACGGCGACTCTGTGCAGGCAGAACTGTCACGCAGCACGTAATTCCTAGTGTTTACCTTCAAGATATATAAACACTGCATTTCAAGTACTATAGTAGCCTCTCTTTCTCTGACACCTATTGCTAATCTTTGATCTAAACCTCATATATATTCAGCCACAATCGGTGCCTTAGGTGAGCTGCACACCGCCACACCAGGTCCCTGCCCAATGACGTCGTGGCGTTGTTATTTATAAAATGCCCAGGTACAAAGATCCGCTAACAGTTAGGCTGCGACATAAAGTACCCCTCCATTTAAACAACTGCACTTGCCTTTGATTCTGTCGAGCCTCAACATAACTTTCTTCTGACGTTTGTCGAAACTGTGGCCTATCAGCTGAAACCAATTGCCTTCATTGCCCTGGTGTTTGTGGCTGTTCTTGTGCAATACTCTTACTACTTTCGTGCCACCCCTCCTGCATCAACCATGTCTGAAATGAAATCCGTCGCCTACTTTGTCAACTGGGTATGTGCTTACGTTTGACTTGTCGTATTCACTCTGATAGCGCACGATCCGCGTCCTATCACCACACCCAGTGCTTGTAGGAACAACCCGTATTGACAAACTTGCTACAGGCGATCTACGGCCGCAACTATAACCCGCAGGATCTGCCCGCAGAGAAGCTCACGCATATCCTCTATGCATTCGCTAACGTCCGTCCCGAATCCGGAGAAGTGTAGGATCTACTCTTTACCCTTGCAAAATGCAGAGCATTCGCTGACCGAAGTTGCAGGTACCTGACCGATTCTTGGTCTGATATCGAGAAGCATTACCCGGGAGACTCTTGGAATGACGTCGGGACCAACGTCTATGGATGTGCCAAGCAGCTTTTCCTGCTCAAGAAGCGGAACCGCAAGTTGAAGAACTTGCTGTCCATCGGTGGCTGGACTTACTCGGCGAATTTCGCACAGCCTGCAAGCTCAGACCAGGGTCGTACTGAATTTGCTCAATCGGCAACACGCCTGGTTCTGGATCTAGGATTTGATGGTATAATTTATCCCTCAATTTGTATCAACGGAACTCTGGCTGATTCTTTCAGGTATTGATATTGATTGGGAGTATCCCAAGGGTAAGCTGATTGAAATATACCAGAGGAGAGGAAGGGAGACTCATGCTATTATCAGATGACAACGAGGCTTTGAACCTGGTTCTTCTGCTCCGGAAGTGCCGAGAGGTATGTCCATTTCCCTGAAGGCCAAATGAACCAGCTGACCAGGATTAGGCTCTTGATAATGCAGCTGGTCCTGATCGTCGTTTCTACTTGACGATCGCCTGCCCTGCAGGTATGTTGACGATGAACTCTCTCGATCTTAGATTTGCTTTGTGTCACTAAACAGACAATCACAGGGCCCAACAACTATGAAAAGCTCCGACTGCAAGAGATGACCCCGTTGTTAGACTTTTACAATCTCATGGCCTATGATTTCGCCGGAAGCTGGGATAAAAATGCTGGCCACCAGGCGAACATCGTCCACTCCAACTCCAACCCTGCAGCCACTCCTTTCTCTGCCGATTCTGCCATTAACTACTACATCAATGTTGGTGGTGTTCCCCCGTCGAAGATCGTCATGGGAATGCCACTGTATGGACGTGCATTCACCAACACCGATGGGCCTGGCGCTCCATTCTCGGGGGTCGGCGAAGGCAGCTGGGAAAACGGCGTCTGGGATTACAAGGCGCTGCCCAGGCCAGGAGCCCAGGAGCAGTTCGATGCAGAGTCAGGAGCATCTTGGTGCTATGATGGCGGTTCGCGGACCATGGTCTCGTACGACACTGTTCATCTGGCACAGGTGAAGGCTAACTACATCCGGCAGCGCGGCCTGGGTGGTGGCATGTGGTGGGAGAGCAGCGGCGACAAGGGAGGCCCGGCGGCCAATGCATCTGATGGAAGTCTGATCGGTGTCTTCGTCGACGCAGTGGGTGGCCCGGGAGCTTTGGATCAGTCGGCGAACGCTCTCCATTATCCAGAGAGTAAGTACAACAACATCCAGGCTGGGCTCCCAGAGCAATAGTTCGATGCCCGCACAGCATTGCTTGGTTGAAAATCATGGCTCCGTTATGGGTTACATAGTCAATGTTCATAGCATACGAATTCAAGTTCTCTCTACATGATGAAATAGTTGGAATACACCAAAGGTTGTTTATTTTTGTCTAGATCGTAGCACACAGCCATCAACCGTAACATCAACAATGATATCCCAATACGTCGCCCCAGCCTAGCGAAACCATGCTAGAACTCGATACTGGAACACCACTGCTCAACTTAGACCATTTATTTGGCCTCGTCGAAGACGTAGGTGAGGTGGCACTTGCCGCAGTACTGGCGGTTGTGCATGGCAGCCATGAAGACACCGGCACCACACTGTAATAATATGTTAGAATCTGATGATCCTGGGACTTGAGAATGTCTTGCGACATGGGTAAAACATACCTCGGGGGCGGGGCACTCGCGGCGGAGACGCTCGATCTTGCCGTCACCGTCAACCTTGTAGTACTTGAGGATGGCGAGCTTGGTCTTCTTGTGCTTGTGCTTGATCTTCTTGGGAGTGGTGTAGACCTTCTTCTTGCGCTTCTTACCACCACCACGCAGGCGGAGGACGAGGTGAAGGGTCGACTCCTTCTGGATGTTGTAGTCCGAAAGAGTGCGGCCGTCCTCGAGCTGCTTGCCGGCGAAGATCAGGCGCTGCTGGTCAGGGGGATACCCTCCTTGTCTGGTGCGGGGTCGAACGTTAGATACCGTCGCAAATTCGAGAGCGGCACATGCGCACGCTCGGGGTTTCAGATGCGCTTACCCTGGATCTTGGACTTGACATTGTCAATGGTGTCCGAGGACTCAACCTCGAGGGTGATAGTCTTACCCGTGAGGGTCTTGACGAAGATCTGCATCTTGATGAAGGCCTGTGGAAAAGTCAGTGGGATGCTCGCAATGAAGGATATTTCATTGAACAGTAGAAAATGCAGAGTAAGCTAGTCGCATGCTCATCACATCTTCATCTGCTCAAGAAAAAGTCCAACTCACCTCGACAAGTGTGTCTTCCTCAACCTTGCAAGATTAGAGAAAATGGTTGTGGGCTGGAGCCGATTAAAATCGTTGTGCGGTCACGTGTGTGGATCCTGACCCGAAAAAGACTAGCACGAATGAAGAGGCTGACTCAAGAATCACATGACCTCAGCTTCGGAGAAACAATGTCCCGTTGGAAGCAGAGCGCCTGACACGTGACCCAGATGCGGTTAATTATTTTATGCCTCAGGTTGCAAGTCCCGTGTTGGATAGGTCGAATATCAGCTTTAAAAATGTGACGACATGGAAGCCACAGCCCCATCTATGGAGCCTTCGGGCCATCAGATTGACTGTTTATCTACTTGTTTACCCCAATCTCCCCGGAGACGAACTGAGGAAGGTCAATTTGCCGGTAACTTTACGTAGGGACTGATGATATTCCAGGCTCCTCGCAGCACCAGAAAGCCCTTGCAGAAGAACATGGAGAATAGTTGCAAGCAAGGCCTCGATCTCAGGCGAAGAAAGAGCATAAATCGGCCAAGTGGGCAGGGGTGGGCCCACCAGCGTCAGAGCCTGGTTTCCCAGACGCCGGGCCCTGTGCGTTGCCATGCCAACACCCAATTGTTGATGGGAACCGCGGGTCACATAGATAGATCTCCAGTGCTCCAGAATAAACCTTCACATCTTCACGTCCTCAAGGTTTCTACTCAAGTTCAATTCAGAACATCTGGAGCTGTGTGATCTTTGCCTTGAGTGGTCACTTCTAAACCCCTTTCCATCTTGCTATAGTTACTTGAGGCTCTAGCAACTTCCACTTTCGCTTTTCGTTCTTTGCGCGTTCAATTGTTTCAGGTTCACCGACTGACACCTTACCAGGATCAACCGTCAACCGGCTGCACAGCCATGATTTCCGCCGCACCGAACGCGCTGGGAAACGGCCGCCATCGCCGTCAAATTTCCACACCAGCAGCTCCATTCGAGGTCGCCGCGCCGGCAATTATGTCCAATATGCAACCCCGTCGCTCACATCGTCGGGGCCAAACGGTAGACTTCAGCTCTTTCAGCCCACATGTCGCCATGGACCGACAGCATATGCCGAAGACGGTTTCGCAGCTACGAGACTATTTTAACGAAAAATCAGGTTACCCATCTCAACAGAGGAACGTACATCAGTATCAATCTTATGCCCCACAGCCAGAGCAGTCATATATGCCCTCGGGTATGCCTGTGCAGCAATCCTATCAATACCAGCCCTCGCTCGGCTCCGATTGCCAGGCCTTCAACCAAGAACAACTGCAAGCGATCCACACTAGCACTGGCAGCCCTTCACCATCTTCGATCGGTGCTCCGGCTCTGTCCCGGTCAGCCAGCGAGTGCTCCGAAAACACACCATTGAAGCTCGCTCTGCACCGTATGCAGCAAGAACAATTCTCGAACCAGCAAAACCAACAGTTCATAGACAATGCCGATTGGGAATTGTTTCCCCAGCGCAACATGCCAATGGCCCAGAACGAACAGGTGACGGCTTTTGCAGGATCGATGCATCCAGTCTCTGTTCAACCAAAGGCTCCTTCTGCGAGGATTATCTCGCAAATGTCTACTGATTGTAGGTTTCATCGCATACTTGAAATTAACTTGCGCTAATATCCCGTCAGACGCTTCACCTCTCACCCCAGATTCTACCCCTTTGAAAAGATCCATTGATTATTCCATGTATAGCAATGACCCGACACCTACCAAGTCCCAAAGCTTTTCCTTCCCCCATGTGCCTGCTTCCTGTGAGATGCAGAAAACCCAGTCCCTTCAAGGAGTCCCTCGTGTCACCCCCATGCAAGTCAAGCATCAAATACCCTCGCCCGCCAATTCCCCTACCGGGTCCTCGTTCACCGAAGTTGCTGATATGCCATCGCCTAACTCTTATGGAGTGACCCCGCAAAAGCCCATGATCTCAGCACCATCGTCCACTACCAAAGCCAAGAAAGAGTCTCTCCCCCGCATCATCTGTTATTCAGCCGGCTGCTTATGATGGAGATCTTGACGCCAGAGTCAAGGCTTCTGTCCAACAGACTGGTGTGTCAACTGATGAGATTGCCAAGTACATTTCAGGACCTGATCCCAAGGACGGCAAGTGGGTATGTCTGTTCACGGACTGCCTTTGCCGCTTTGGCCGGAAGGAGAACATTAAGTCTCACGTCCAAACACACCTTGGAGACCGTCAGTTCAAGTGCGACATCTGTGAGAAACATTTCGTCCGCGGACATGATCTCAAACGTCACCTCAAGACACACAGCGGCAATAAGCCTTTCGCATGTGCTTGTGGTGCCAGCTTCGCCAGACAAGATGCTCTCACTCGTCACCGCCAGCGCGATATGTGCGTTGGCGGCTTTACCGGAGTGGTTCCCAAGACCACCAAGCGTGGTCGCCCTCCCAAGAGAAAGAACAACCGTCCTGATGTCGATGCTCGCCAGATTAAGTCCACTCGTACTCGTCAACGGGTTGCCGAAAAGGCCGCCTCGCTCCCCTCAATCCAGACCCACCGTACTCTCCAAGAGGCTCCTGTGTTCAACTCGCCAAACTATGCACCATCCGGTGCCGTCTCGTCATTCACGCCGCCTACCTCCCCTGGCAACAGATACAACGATATTTCCTCGCCATCTGGAACGTACAACTCTCTCGACGCCAAGCTCGAGGATGACATGCTGCCACTATCACCTCCTCAGTTGGCTCATGCCAGATATGAGCAAGCCATGGCACACTACGGATCAAATCTGACTTCTGAGCCGTACTCGCAGGAATCTATCTACAGTGGATCTGCCCTTTCCCCTCGGGAGATGTCTTCTCCCCACACGGCGCCCACCCTGATAGAATCCTCCATTGGTTCAGATATCGATATTTTCATGACGCAAGACCCATCTGAAGACCTACAGAAGGAGTTTGGACACCTTACCAACTCGGGTCTGCCTAGTTTCCCAACTTATCAGTTCATGGACAGCAGCGACTTTGTCACATCATCTTTCTACCCCGAGAAGCACTTCTCTGGTCTCCCCACCCTGGACGATGAGCTGGCCGACCCCATTGACTGCTTGTCCAATGAATTCCTCGTCGACCCTTGAGCGAGTTCTATCAAGAGATCACCACGGCTTCACGACTATATAGATGACGCAGCTGACCCTTTTCTTCACGGCGAGACTTTTTGCAACGATACGAGATGACCTTGTACACTTTAATGACACACGACACCAAAATCTGGGCGTTTTTCTTCTTTGCACATTCGGTATTTGAAATGGCTTTGCGGGACTTGGGGTGTTTCAGGCTCTTGCGTTCTGTCCCCTTATGCCCTTATTGCCCCTTTGTTTTTCCCATTTTTATTTACGTTTCCTTTTCATAAGCATGCCATTCCCTCTGAGTTTCACGTCTTTTGGCCTTATTACATCTCTTTGCAGATGTTTGGTTTATATGACGGCGTGATTCTACATGATTGACATTTCTTCCCGGTGTTTTGTCCTTATGTGTTCCCTATTTTATGATGCTATATGTACTTCAGACGTCTTTACTTTCAATGGATCTTTTCTGTACCTACCTGTCGACGAGGTATGACTTACCTGATTGATGTTCTCTTTCAGTGCAAGACACACTTGAAGATAGCCTGTACTCTATTATTTTCAAATATATTACGCATACAAATGAGCTTATGGCTACAATTCTAATTCACCCTGTGTAAGCCCATATGCATAGCGGAGTTTCTTATGAAACTATCATAATTAATGGTAGAGACGCCCTTTCTACATTTCCATCCATATATATTTCACATTTCTAATCACCCTCGTAGCCGCTGTCATTCAGACCCTCTCCCTCCTTTGTGTGCCGAAATCTCTATGGCAAACTCCGCTCTATCCCGCGAAAATAAGTACAAACGCCAACTATAGCAGAGGACGAGAAAAGTGTCAATAGCTCTTAGACGCCCAGGTGATTTCGATCTCAATAGACCGTTCTTCCTGCGAAGCATACACATTGCTCTGTGTACGCCCTCTTGGTGCCTGATCAGCATAGAAGGTAGTCTTGTCCTCGTAGGAGAGTTTCCCATCCTTAACCTGCGTAGTGTGAGAATTTCGAATAAAGGGTTAGAGCAGATATACGCACAGTAAATTCGCTAGGGGTTTTTACATCCGGTCCGCAAGTAAGGGTGTCCTGCTCAAAGGCACAGGCCCCCTTGCTGGATTTCAAAGTGAACGCATCATCTGCAAGAGAGTGATCATCACGTTAGCATCTGGCCATGACCTAATAGATCATATGCTGGAAGTACAGCTACTTACCTGATATCTTCTCGGTCCGGAAGGTAGCACAGGTACCCGACGTAAACCATGTTCCGTAGCTGATGATGCAACCATGCTTTTGGTTGCGGTTAGAAACAATCAGGTTACCCCTACCGGAAAATGGGTCGCTGGGTGCTGTAGGATCGGGGTGGCCGCTAGTTGTTGTCTGAGTGGGCTCGGGCCGAGCATGCTTCAGTGGGTACCTGATGCCCTTCGAAGGACAGTTGGATTTTTGGCCATCTGTTATACAAGTCAACGATGCAATTCAAAAACAAATTACTTTTTAATTTTACATACCAGGGCTCGCAGGGTGGAACTTCCCTGTTTGCAGACTTCCCGCGATGTTGAAATAGTACCAGACCTCATTGAGGGCACCGCGTTGGCAACGAACAGTGACAGGGTTTCCATGGGCACGCTCTAGTGCACCTTCAATGTCGGCGAGAGCATAGGTCTGTGTTTGTGATGGTACAATTCCATTATTGGCCAGGAACTAGATGAGATTAGTACCTTGATCTGAACCACTTTTGGTTGCTGTCGTATTGTAAAGGGCAAAGCTTACTTCATGAGTAGGTAGATCCTTGAAGACCTCCACCGTCCTGTCAAAGTAATCCACAACCTCCTGTTGCGGGATGTAATCTTCGTAGCAATGAGTCTCAAGAGTACTGACACATGTGCCATGCTTGTTCCACTCATGTTGCCAAAGGTTCGAATCATCACCGCGGAAGTCTTTCCAGTATTCGCTCATGTATTCAAGTAGATCTCCGCGACCTGAATCGACAATAATCAGCGAAATATTGCTGTATTTGCGTCGGGAGTCACAGAATTGGTCGAAGCCGCCGGCACAGTGATCGGGCCTGACAGGGGTTAGTGTACCCTCGGTCCGGCGATATAGCACAAGCTTACCAGAGTCCATGAATTGTCCAGGAGTCTTCAGGGCCAAGGGCAGGGTCCACATCCCAGAACTGCGTCTGCAGCATTTGGCCACCGGGGTAGTTGAAACAGCAGGTGTCTTGGCCATGATACTTAGCTTGACAACTGATTTCGGACACAGGGCAAGACGAGGAGGTCCCTGCAGATGTTTTGACTTCTGGTGTCTGCGAGAGCCACAAAGACCCAAAGGTTTTGAGGATCTTCTGGGGTCCTGGGATCCCCAGGAACTGCTGCGACGATCCCCGCATCATCGATTGACCAGTCGTTTACTCGAAATTCAACGAATGTGCTTAGATGAACGAAACAGGTAACAGAGGAAGTTGATAAATATAAGTAGGAGAGTCAAGGAAGTTCGAATCCCGCTGGGGATAAGGTTATCTAAGGCTACAGGGTCGTCGGCGAACTGCTGCAGTCGTCTCGTGCGGAGTCACAAATGACTAAGCGCGGGGGCAGGTGACATGGTCATGCGGGCTTTGTTTACAATATAAATTGGCCCCGACAGCTAAAAAAGTTCAGAATGAAGTTGTATTCAAGAGTGAAGGGGTATCATAATCGGAACATTTACAAAGTTTAATCTCACGCGGCTTCGGCTTGGTTTTTCTCCTTCCGCATATTCTCCTCTTGTTCATGCATTCTCTCTTTCCATAGTCGCAGCACTTCGAATCCAACCTCGACAGCGATGAGCAGAATGATGATCCATTCGAGTCGAAGACCATGTGTCTCACTTAGACGTTCTCGGAGGACACTGGCAATTTCTTGCGCATAGTCCATTTTCTCGTTCAAAAGCTTGATGCGAATTCCAACATCTAAAGCTCGGCCAGCTTGTTCATAGTAACCCTCCAAGCCTAGTTCGTGTCGACTGTCCCAAAATATATCTGGTAGAGAGTCGGTGAGCTCCGAATAGAGATTGAGCTGCGCGCGGACACTCAATAGCTGTCCAGTCTTGCGGAGGATGAAGTCTCGTGTGAAAGGAAGACGAGATCCTTTTGATAGAAGAGTCGGAATTGGTCGGGTCGACTCGAAATAGTTCGACAGAAGACTCTCAAGAACAGCCAACTTTGTACTCCGAGCGAGGCCAGACGAAAATGCAACCTTGGTCAGCACTGTATCAATAGATTGTTGCGCCACGAGTGGTCCTTCTGCGTCGCTGTGACCAGGGTTCGTTCCCAGTATGATCGTGTCGCCCTTGATCACACTGTTTTCACGGTTTGGGTCCTCCACGAATTCAAGATCCTCTGTCTCCAACTCGTCTACATGAGCGCCCTCTGCCGCGGGCAATAGAGTTTGTGTTGCCAGAAAAGATGTGAATCCCTCGGGAAGCGACCACGCCACGACCGTACCGGAGGGAAACACAAAGACATCGCCCACTTCGTCGGATGGTAAATCGACGCTAGAAGGATTTGTAATGCGTCTTATAGTGTCAATAGGTATCTGAACGTGAACAACTTGTGGAAAGAGCCCCGTCTCGAAAGGATCTGGTTCGTATCCTTTTTTCTTGCAAGATGTCTCTGACTTGGCGAATATTGAATTGTTCGGCCACGGCGTAAGCAGTCACTGTCTAGAAATAACAGGAGACTTAGCCAAAGATAGTCCGTGAGATTATCAATTGCTCCTACCTTAGTCCGATATAGACCCTGCTCTTTGAGAAGCGCCTTAGAGAGGAACCCGTCCTTCGACCTTTGTGCCTCGACTGCTACTCGCCGTAAGGAAGTGGGAGCTGCTGGTAATCTGTTACTCCTCCGTCGCTGCTTTTTCGAATCCAAAGCATCATCAGTGGGCTCATCGGTGTTATATTGTCTTGAGTTGGCATTGGATGAGAACCGTCGGGGGGTGCTAGTGAAGGAAATGATTGATTCTGCGATCGCGTAAGAAGCCTTGCTATTGGCCGTTTACAAGCCAAGTAGGCAGAGGGTCGGGCAAACATAGTGCTGTGTCAGGAACAATTCTCGAGAGTTCGTCAGTGACATCGTTTTGCAGGGGCGAAGAACCCCGCTTAGTCATGGCACCAAGCTCCCCGGGCCCGCGCCCTGACCTACCCCAGCTCAACTCCAGAACCACAGAACCAACTTCAACCCGTCGAATTCCACTTCAAAACAGCCCGGAGCTGCAGGTGCTGAGAGGGACCCGCCATGGACGCGCCTGGCGCGACACCGGCGAATGAAACTGCCGTTCAGGGCACTCCCGAGCACTCCACGTCAACTGCACGAAGCAGATCAGCTACGGACTCAACTAAAGATACCCAGGACGGAGGCCAACTCGAAAATGACCACAGCTCAAATGGCAGCGATAACGAGGACCAAGAAGATGAGAACGAGGAAGATGAATCAGACGACGATGACGAAGAGCCCCGCCTCAAATACGCATATCTCACGAAGCACTTGGGGTCTGTATACCGCAATGGAGATGCGACAAGCTCTTTCCTTGTAGCAGGAGACAAGATGGTGAGAATTCTCGGCTGGAATAGCGGAAATTGATAAGCTAACGAGCTATACAGATTGTCGGAACACATAACGGAAACGTCGTAAGTCAGCCACATCTGCGCGCGCCGCTCCACGAGCTGACCTTGTCAAGCATGTTATGTCCTTGCCTCTCTTACAGTCTTTGCGTGTATACCATGCGCACTCAGCGAGTGTCACTTCTATTTCTATATCGCCTTTCCTGCCTCCTTTTCCGAACCTCAAGCAGGACCCCTTCAAGCAAGCCCAGGATGACCATTCCCCCCTACACGATCATCTACCAACACCAGCAGCATTCGTGGCCAAAGCAGGACGAACAAGGCATCCATATCCAACATACCGTCGAACTCCATTTACATCGGAACCTCTTCAATCGATGGCAACGTTTGTATCTCGTCGCTAGTAGACCCCAAGGATGTGCTATTGCGCAATTTCGGTCGCCCGGTTCAGTCGATCGCATTGTCCCCCGATTACAAAAGTGACAGGACATTCCTCTCTGGTGGCCGGGCAGGTGAACTGATTCTAACAACCGGCGGTCGTATCGGAGCGAGCTCCAACTCGACAACGATGGGGGGCGCGGCCGCAACAGCATCAAGCTGGTTAGGGTCTATGGGCCTTGCTTCCAATAGTGGAAAGGATACCATTGTTCACAGCGGCGAGGGTGCTATTAGCACTATCAGATGGTCCTTATCTGGAAAATATGTGACCTGGGTCAACGAGGAGGGCATCAAGATTATGCGCTCCAATCTACATCTGGACTCGTCCGAGTCCGAATTTGCTTGGAAACGGATCAGCCATATCGATCGTCCGAACCGCCCAGGCTGGGAAGAAATGGCCAGTGTCTGGAAAGCACGCGCAGAATGGATTGACCAGTCTGCTTTAGACAGCCATGACAATCTTGACGTCAACGACAATCCGGCAAGCTCAAATGCGCAATCGACCGTGTCTGTTGATAAAGTAGAAAAGCTTGTCGTCGGATGGGGAGGAACTGTCTGGGTTATTGATGTTTACCCCGAAAGAGCAAGCAAGACCTCGAAGGGCGAGAAGTTGGGCTCTGCTGAGGTTGTCACAATGTAGGTTCTGCTTTCAGTTTCCCATCGATTCATACCTGACCTTCGAGTACAGATTGCGGACAGATTGCGTGGTATCTGGCATTTCGTTGTACACGCCTCGTCTTCTTGTTATTCTCGCATACATGGAAACCGAAAATGACACTATTAATAGCGGAAGGGGCACTGGAACACGCAATCGAAAACGGGGCTTGGAGCCTGAACTTCGTGTCATTGACATTGAGACTAAAGAAGAAATCAGTGCCGATACGCTTTCAATCAACCGATTTGAAGGTCTCTCGGCATCTGATTATCATCTTAGCGTCTTGCCTCCGTGGAAGACTCCAGAGGGACAAGTTGTTCATCGTGGTGCCTTGGGGGCACTTGGTTACGGACTTCTGGATGCTACTATGTACCCTGCACGCCTTTTTAGCTCAGGTGCTAGCATACGCAGTACCACAAGTAGCGGAGACAAAGGCTCTGCTAGAGCTCCCCCGTCTTTCATGTCCAAACACTCGGTCGAGGAGACTCTCCCGAAAGAGGTGCAGGACGTGTCAGGTGCTCCTGGTGCCAAGATATTTGTCCACAGTCCATATGACTGCGTTGTTGCAGTCAGGCGGGACCTTGCGGATCGGCTGTCTTGGTTAGACTCTCACGGTCAATACGAGGAAGCTTGGAACCTCGTCGATGAACATCCTGAAGCTGCAGGATCCATATCCGACCTGGGTGACATTGTCTCAGAAGCTGCCGGCAGGTCACAAACCAGTTTGGGTGACTTTTTTGCAGATGATCGATCATCAATTACAACAGCTGGCCGGCCGAAAGTCTCTGCAGCAGAGCAAGAAAAGGCTCGAATCGGAGAGCTTTGGATTCAACAACTTATTAGTCAAGAGAAGTGGGTTGAAGCTGCGAAGATTTGTAGTAAAGTCATTCGCAATGCCCCACGATGGGAGCACTGGGCGTGGATCTTCATCAAGAGAAGCAAACTGGACGAGATCACCCCGCACATTCCGGTTGACCTAAATCCGTCGTTGTCTTCTGCGATATATGAAGTGATTCTCCGCCACTACGTGTCTCGAGACCTGACTAAATTCAAAGAACTAATCGAAACCTGGCCATCTGATTTGTTTGATGCAAATACCATTGCAGCAGCCATTGAAGAACAACTGAAATCTGGATCAGTGCGCGATGATTCCGAGGACTGGCGAACTCTCACTAATTGTCTGGCCAAATTGTTCTTGGTTGGGGGCGTTACCGCGAAGCTTTGCGGTGCTATATTCGATTGCAGGATGGAGATGCAGCCATGTCGTTGGTGAGGGAACACCGCTTGCTTGACGCGGTCACGGACGACATCCCGGCTTTCATCATGATTCGCGTTTCCAAGGATCAAATGAAGTCGGCTACCAAGTTCGAGTTGGAAGAATTAACTTCTGAGCCGACACGTCTTCTTGTTAGTGAAGCATACACAGGCATCGTTCTTCCGGAAACCGTCGTGTCACAGTTAATTGCTGCAGATCGTTTTCTGTTTCTTTATTTCTACCTTCGCGCGCTCTGGCGAGGCGAGTCTCTACCCCATGAAGTCTCTAAACCCCGAAGAGGGCGAGGGGCTCATGCTCGAGATGCGGCCAGCAAGCTGGCTGCTGACGAAGGCAAAGCACTCATTGACAATTTCGCCGATACGACTGTCGAGGTATTCGCCGATTATGACCGACCTCTGCTGATGGAGTTCCTCCAAACGAGCATCTCTTACTCCTTTGACAAAGCCACCTCCATATGTGAGCACCACAAATTCACGCCTGAGTTGATTTATCTTTTGTCGAAGATGGGCCAGACGAAGCGGGCCTTGAACTTGATATTGTCAGATCTTAAAGATGTGTCACAGGCCATTTCATTTGCAAAGTCACAGGAAGACCCCGATCTGTGGGAAGATCTACTTGACTACTCGATGGATAAACCAAAGTTCATTCATGGTCTTCTTGTTGAGGCCGGTACAGCCATCGACCCAATCAAGCTTGTGCGTCGAATCCCGAGCGGATTGGAAATCGAAGGATTAAGAGAAGGTCTCACTCGCTTAATTCGTGAACACGATCTGCAAGCTAGTATTAGCCAAGGCGCGGCCAGGGTTATGCAAAGCGAGGTTGCTCTTGGGATGGACTCGCTGCGCAAAGGCCAGCGCCGCGGCATCAAGTTCGATATCAACGAAGACAGAGAGGAAGACTTCAGCTTGACACCCACAGCCAAGGCCCAAAGTCAAGATCAATTATCCCAGACTAGTGGTGCTAAAAAGTTTGCAGGCACTGGACAGGGAAGATGCGGTGGCTGTAACGCCGCCTTCCGAGCAAACGGTATGTTCCTTGGTCCCATCAAGGCCAAACTAGATCATCGGAAAGAATGCTAATTCAATTAACTAGAGCGGGAAATCCTTGTTGGCTTTGCCTGTGGCCATGTATTCCATCTTTCCCACTTGCATCCAGGCACATCACAGCAACAATCGGGCACAAGCAGCCGTGATCGATCTGCAGATCGAACTCCACGAGCCTTGTCTCCAGTCAACGAGCCTTCTTCTACCACTGCGTCTCGCACAGTGGGTCCTAAAGTGACCACGGCAAGGATACTACGAGATAAGATCGGCGACGGCTGCCGGATCTGTGCTTTGACGAGAGAGATTGAATCCCTTGGCGTTGATGGCGAAGTCTAAACTCTTCCTTGGATGGCACTCAACCACTTGTCTAGCCTATGTATACTTACTTCATGTGCACATACCCACACATTCTCTGCATTTCCGTTATTTCCCTGAGATACCCTGGCCTTTTCTTAGGTCGCCTGGAGCCAAGTCGGGGGATATTTGCATGCCATTCATCTTCATCTTCCAAGACCCTTTGTCATTGGTCCCTGTCTATCCCTTGAAGGTGAGTGTTTACGCAAAGCATTTGGCTATCCCATCCGGCGCCGGGTTTTCAATCCGATTATAAATTCAGTTTTTACACCTCGTGTGATTATTTCTCTCTCTTATCTCTGTGCTTAAAGTCACGACCGATGACCTGTGAGGGAGGCGCTACCCAGTATACGTGCTATACCCGTTTAGGTATGTTTCTAGTACAGTTGGCAATTGAATTTTGCGAACAACGCCGCCATTATAGGCCATGTGGCTTAGCATGCTGCAGATAAGCTATGTATTGTATCTCAAGCTTGTTATCTCGTCCTACGGGTCTCCATTGGAGCAAAATCCCATGAAAGAGGGTCTTGGCTAAAATGTTGCTAGCCGGGACCGTACATGGTGGCTGTGCAAGAATAGCCGTTCCATGTCGTCTTTTGCAGGGCTCTATATATCACATGACACGTTTCTCAAAGGTATAGTCAACCCAAAGCTCTAAGTGTCTGGACTTGGTTTGGAGGTAGGAAGTCGAGGAGCCCGGGGATTGAATAACCTAAATGAAGACTCTCACTTGGTCGAGATTCGTCCAAGCCCCTACGATGCACCAATCTCACTTCAACATGCAGCCGGCCTGCGCCCTGTGCCCGGGTAAATGAGGCTGTGCATGACCAGGATGTCGAATATGATTAAAAGGGCAATATCAGCCTACGTGGGGCATCGTTTGCATTTCTCCATATCTCAAATTTCGAGTAATTCAGTTGTCGCAAGAAGTCTGATATTGACGAATATGATCCAGACGGTGTTCAATTCATGGTAACCGCAAGGACTGGAATTCCATTCCCAGGGCATCTCCAAGAAGAATACCTTGAAGAAGATATACAATCTAGGTTTTCCGTTGACTCCGAACTGGAGGCCTGGCCAGATTTATCTGACCAAAGTTTCCATTTCACCTCGTATGGCTCTTCGGCCCTTGGCCGCACACATGGACGCCCTGAACCAGTCCCCCTACTCGGCATACCGCCTTGATATGTAACCCACGAAATGGAGCCAATAGAAAACTCGATTCATCGTCCGGATGTGAATGATCTCTCGGAGATACAGAAGCTTGCACAGGCAGCTTCAGCCAAGATCCCTTCGTTGAACAAAGCTCAGTTAACAATGCCTAAATCTCAACTGGAAGACGTGCTTCAAAAGGCAGATGCACGACTTCAAGAGACTAATTGGCCAAGCCATGAGGCTCAATTGATAACGCCTCCCGCTTCGGGCTCCAGCATGAGGGTCAAATATCGCTGCATGCTATGCAATACGTCGCAGGAAAAGCCCGGTATGGGAACGCCTAGTTCTTTTAAACGACATTTAGCTACCTTGCACTGCTTAAATGAGCACCAATTTCGGTGCTCGGAGCACGACTGTCCTGTGAGCTACAATCGTAAAGACAGCCTTAGAACACATATCATCCAAACGCATCTGTAAAGGCCCACTGCCCACGATCTACAAAACAACAGCTTCCGGTTCCCATGCCCCAGCATCTGTTCACTATGTTCCCGGCTTACCAGCTCTTGGGATGAATTCTACCTATGCATGGCTTCACATTGCAAAATAACGCCGACGGGTAATTACCTTTCAAAGACTCCAAAGGAGGAACACAACTTGGAAAACGGACTGAGAGACTTCGAGTGTCTCCGCCCCAACAGAAGAAGCGCAAGCGTGAGGCGAAAACGACAAAAGCCCCAGACAAGAATTCTCCTGGCCGCAAAAGTTGCAGGCGATGCAACCATAGGTGGGACAAATGCTCCCAATGCAAAATGCAGCCCAAAACTGCTCTCCGTTATCACATATGCCTATCTGTACTTGAATGGGGACCCCGAATAAACCCAGTACTAGTTTTACCTCCTCGGCAAAGAGTGCTGCGAAGTAGCACCAATACCGAAGGATTTTTGAATCCTGAGCTTTCCTCTGAACCCTTTGGGACGGGAATACAGCATACAGCTGCGACACACCGAAGACAATCAACTCTTCGCTTTGACTCTGACTCGTCGAGTGCTCGTTCGAATGCAACAAGCATCACAAGACCAGATATTGATGAAGACTCCATTGATGCTGGCATATCCGAAACAAAAGGTATGAGCCATGTTTTGTACGCAGCTCAGTACTTTAGTGAATTGGATGACCTTGAGTTGAAAACCGCTCAAACTCTGGGCATGGACAAAAGGCCATATAGCAAGCTAATGTCTCTGGATGATTGTTACAATTATCTCAAAGACTGGAGAAGTGCGCTTGTGTATCTGCGGTCTCGAGAATTTTGCGGAAACACCATGACTATATTGGTAGACCGGGGCCGAGACGGTATCGCAGATGCTATCCATGTGTAATTGAGCCATATTGATCATTTTATGAGCTAATATAAGAGCCTTCGTGACTCTTTCGACGACGTGGGACTCGCAGCTTTGACAAAGACCTGGATCCACGAAATGCTCAGCGTTCGAGAAGACGTGTCCTCTAGTTCTAATCTGGAGGGGCTTGTTCGTGGTCTATGCATCGTGCTGTCAATTGGCCTCCTTTCATTCACTGACTCACATGTGTACCGATTTGATCTCAAGGTTTGGAACAAAGAGATGGAAGAGATTGCTGTTGGCCTGGATGAATATAGTTTCCAGCCCCGGAAGCTGGCTTGTCTCGACGATTTCGTCGGCGGTCCGGCGTGGATCTTGGGACAAGGTACTAAGAAAGAGCAGCAGCAGCAAGAAGGAATGAAACTTTCGATCACCATTCAAGACCTTCAAGAGCTGTGGGGCCCTGTGTCGCTGCTTGGGGGTACTGCAGATGAAGCACCAGTCATTCGAACAGAAAGAGGATTTATAGTGGCACTTCCACGAGAGCAACAGACCAGCTCGTACACCCCCTTATCCACTGGACAACCGAGGTTCCAGAATGCCTCACCGAGAAGAGTTCAGAAGTGCCAATCCTACTCAGCAATACATCCAGGATCTTAATCGGGACGACCAGTGAGACCAAGGTCGGCCTTGTTGTCAATCAAAAGTGCAAGTCGTCAATCGCGACCATTCATCAGCAGATTGCCTGTCGGCTCCTGTATCCAGGGACATGCAAATCAAGCTACATGAGTGATGGCTATGACGTCCAACTGGTCGGCGGCCAATATGTCACAGCAGGAATAATAAAGAAGTACAAGCGGATCCTGAAGCGCACACTCAAGGCAATGCTCATTGAAGATTGTGCGAAGCCAGGCACAGGACTGGTACCCCTTCTCAATCTCCGCGTGGGATTGGAAGTGATTGCATGCACCGGCAACGCCCAGCGAGTGACGCTGTGGGATGCACTCCGCCTCTCTCAGGCAAGTATCGAGTCCACCGATGATCCCATGTATTGCGCGCACGAGATCGGCGATAGACTCTGCATCAGTTCATGCTGGACTCGGTGCCGGTCTGTAGACGATATAGATTGCGATGATATGCCCAGGCAGGGCAAGCCCTTCAGTGGCATTGAATCCCGGCGTGTAATCATCAGCTCCATCCTCGCACTTAAGCATTCGGGTGTAGATAGTGAAGGGAATCTTCCGGTCTCCTGAGCCCCGTCAGCTGTCCTGTATTTCCATCCACGTCAAAGGAAGCGCATCACTGGTTTCGGGTCGTCAAGGATACGCAGGACACGTCGAGTTTTGCTGTCTTCAGTCAACGGTGTCTGGAATTCCCGGAACAGGGGCTCGTTCGACCGTGTTCGGCGCCATGCAAGAATGGGCATTTCAGGCCGCTGCAGACCATTCTCTCGACGCGGATTCTGACTGTAACTGAAGAAGGGTCAGTGTCTGGATTGCTACAGGGTGCCAGGTTTCTGATTGGGGAGGCGCATCTGACTGTTACCAAGGCAGTGCAGGAGAGTCAAATGGCGATGGTAGTTGCGGCTGTCAGCATGAACCCTTTGAGCCCTTTGCGGTATCGACTCAGGGATATACTGCCAGATGCGAAGTCCTTCGACTTCAAAGAACATATTAGGCCTGACATTACGGCAGGACTCTCTGTTCCGGTATTTGTCTATTGATTGCTTGGTTTGGGGTTGGGCGACATTTGACGACCTAAATCTTTCGATGGTGTGGCTCTTTTTGTGTGACAAAGAGGCCTGTTTGGACTGATTCTTCTGATTTACATGTTACAAGGTACCCAATACTATTCATGTGCACGCAATGAAATGTGAACTTCTGTGAAATTAGACAGCTAAGCTGCAACTATGTAATGAAGTCACTATTAGATATTGCAAAATTAATGGGATCTCTAATTGCATCCCCACGAAAGACAACGCATGCTAGCCCACAAAATCGGGGTTGCTTCAACCTTCATCGTAACCATAAGTATCATGTTGGGTGCCGCCATTGCTACATCGAAGATGGCTAGGCTTGCCTCTCAGCATGGAAAGAAAGATATGTAGCGGTTTTCACGGCATTACAAAGTGGGCAGCGTTAGCGAGCACAACAAAAATGCTCATAGTAAGCAGACGACCATCCACAAACCCAGCAGCGCTGGCACCGTTGAAGACAGGAGCCGAAGGTGCCTGCGACTCACTGGAGGCAGGGTGGGGAACAGTTGGGGCAGCGATCTGAGACTCTCCGTTTTGAGGAACTTTCTGAGGAACATTAGAACCCTTAGGCACAGGGGGCTGAGGAACAGTAGCCAGTGTAGTCTGGACTGAAACAGGGTGGGTTGCAGTGATAGTCTCAGGGACCGGGGCGGAAATCTTGGCCTGGGGAGGAGACTCAGGAATGGTGGTCTCCAGAGTAGGAGCAGGTGCCGGAGCAATAACATGAGTGGTTGTCTGGGGGCAGAGGCAGGAACAGTCTGTTCGGCCTCTGTCGTCTCCTTCTTAGGAACAGCAGGCGGAGCAGGGGCTGCAACAGGAACCTCGGTAGTCTCAGGAGTAGTGACAGTGACCGGGATAGGCATTACAGGCACGACAGAGACCGAGATAGCAGTGGTGACAACCTGGGTGCTGACACACTTGGTAGACTCGGTGCAGGGGATGTCCACAGTCACAGTGATCTCAGTGACGGCAGGAGCAGGTGCCAGTTCGGTGCCACTGGGGCAAGGCTCAGTGACGAAGTCAGTGGCCACGGAGGTCTCAGGAGCAGAAATGATGACCACAGCTGGAGCAGTGGGAGCAGTGATGTGAGTGCCAGTAGGGTTAGAGAAAACCAAAGTGCTGGTGGAATATGCCTCGGTGCTGCGGCACTTCTCAGTGTGACTGCATGGAACTGTAATGGTGAAAACGATCTCAGAAGTTACCGGAGTCGGAGCAGGAGCAACAGGAACACCAGTGACCTTGCCAGCAGCAGGAGTCAACTCAGTACCAGTGGGGCAAGGCTCAGTCGCAAAGTCAGTGTTCTTGCCAGTCACAGTGGAGCCGGGGACAGGAACTGCCTTTGTGACACTGGAGGAGGTGACCTCAATGCTGGTAGTAGAAGCAGAAGTTGTCTCAGCGGTGCTACCGTGGGAAGAAGTCACGGGCTTAGCAGTAGCGGTAGATGTAGTGGCGGGGACAGCTGCCAAGCTGCTAGACATGGGAGTACCAGACTGAGTGGTAACCCCGATTGCAGTGGCAGTGGCTTTGGAAGTGGTAGATTTCGAAGAAACAGTCGACACCCCAGTAGTGCTAGACACATGAATCGAGGTGACAACGGGCACCACAGTGGTGATCACATCAGTGGGGGCAGAGGCAGGAGTAGAGACAGCCACGGACGTGGTTGGGACAGTACTAGTCTCTAGCACGGTGGTGGTGAAAGATGTGATCACAGTGCTAGTGTGGGAAATAACTGGAGGAGTGCTGACTATGGACACAACAACAGGGTCCACAGTACTGATGGAAATCGTAGTCGACGCGACACGAGGAACGCACGATGTCTCGGTGGTGGTGATCGTGACTGATATCAAAAGTCAGTTTATTGTGCCATCAGGTTGATGTGCTTCCAGCAGATCTCTGCCCGAACGATATGGAACTGGTCTTACTCCAACCATCACCAGGGCGAACAGCACGGCCGAACAAGTTGGGAGCAGGAACGGGGATAGCATTAGCTGTGTGTGTGTCAATCATTAGCCGTAGGGTTCAAGATGGGTCAAGGGTAGGCACAGGGAAGGATCATGACTTACCGTCGCCGACGACGTGGGATTCACCAGTGTGAGGGTTCTGGAGGAGAACCTTCACGATGGAAGTGCAGTCTGTTTAGTGGCAAGGTTAGTCACACGATGTTTGTTGTCATGGGGGACGGTGGGAAAAAGAGACTTACCTTCACCAGTCACATCAGTCACAGCAGCCATGCCCATGGAGACCATGGACACAACCATCAAGAGGAGCATCTTAATGCGCGTCAAGGAAGTCATATTGACGTGCAGCAACGAGTGTGGGTTGATTTTTTGATGGGTTCTTGATGGAATCTAGGAAAAAATCGATGAGAAAGGCAAAAGCGAGTGTGGTAGAGAAGGAGAGAGAGAAGAGGAAGAAGAAGAAGAAGAAGGGAAAGGAAGAAAAAATAGTAAACAAAGGTTGAGGGGACAAACCGGTGCTCTCGAGGCAGGAACGACGCTGGTGCCTCTTTCCTTTTACGGCTACACGTACTCTCACATCGAAACATGAGATACCTACGAAGAAGTCACTACTTCCCCTTGAAGCTTAAGCGAAGTACTTGGCCTCGGTGTATATCTTGTTCCTATCTGAAAACTGAGCTAAATGACTGCTAGTGTTACTCTCAGAGAAACTCAAAATGGGGTACACCGGCAAATCTCGACGTATGACCACAGTGAGACGGTTTCTAGACAATGGAAGAAATGAGCCGTGCATGTATTATCTCCTCGCTCGAGGCGGGCTCGAGCTTTGGCAGAGCCATCATGCAATAGACAAACTGCACCGGTGAAGACTGATGTCGGTATTCTCCCCAGAGAGTTGAGTTCACTACCTGACCCGTAGAACTCCAGGAGAGAGATGTCATTTCCACAGAGAGGTTGGGGTGTCAGACGAGGTTGGCATGCCACTTGTCAAGTACAAAGTATCACGCTGCTGATGAGGACATGAGGACAAGCTAATATTCGCCATACATTCTGCGAGACTGCTACAAGTCCAGGTTGCCCGGAGGATGGGAATTGAGTTCGAGTATAGGACGTGATAGCAGGTGATGGCCGGGATATAAACTTTAAACGTCATGATTAGCGTGAACGGCAATCTAAACTTAGATAGGACACCAGGTCAAGTGCAGAAAGGCAACATCACTTGAGCCTCGATATCTATTAATGGCAAGTATTGACTATGATTCTATTTCGACTCAGACATCAGCCCTGCAGTCTATGCCGAGGGCCGGTCAGGCTGCCAGGGGCAGAGTCACACAACTTGAAGCAGGGACGGGTGAGATCAGAACAAAGTAATCAAACATCAACGTGATATTTAAGAGTTCAAGTCCTTTTCCATCATATGGTTCCGATTGGCTACCTTGTACGTTAAACTTGGTACAAATCTCTATCTATTTCCAACCTGCAGCCCTAAACCGTTTGATCCCACTCTTTAAAAAAGCTGACAATCGCGGATCAGATCCTCCCGCCAGCAAAAGCTTCGCATAGGAAAATAAATACAATCCAATAAAAAACCGCGGATGGCAGCAATCTACGAATATAAACAGGATCATTTGAGCACCGTTCACACATTTCGGAAGGATACCGAAAAATACGAATATACCGAATTTTTTGCACAGACTGTATTTCCAACAAATACCGCAAACAGGCGGTAAGTAACAAAGCTAAGCCCAAACGAGAGGCCATCCTAACGGGACGACCCGCGGGGTTATGTGGGGTCTACCAAGGTCTCCACTTCCAAGGAACTTTCCTGCATCTGACATCATTGTGGCTTACGGGTGTGCATGGACGGCGTTTTTGAATTGCCGGACACAATTGGCATACTCTTGCATACGGTTTTGAGAGCCCTGACATTGGGGAATATGTAGATTGGAAGGAGTTGTGGTCAGTAAAATAAGATCCACTTAGCGGATGCGCTAGAGGTAAGGGTTTCATCGCAGAGAGCGATCGACAGGAGAAACATTCTGGACTGACTCTGAATCAGAGGACTTGCGTGATACTGGGAAGGGCTAGGCTATTGCATCGTATGCATAAGGCAGGCACTAATGCGGCTAAGAGAAACTCGTGACCGGGCAACTCCACTTACATTGCACACAGAGACGCCAGTAGTTTTGACAAATCCAGGAACGAAGGATTAGAAATCTATTCTCGGATACGACAGATCCATGGATGCAATCTCTAAAAGAGGACCCGAGGGTCTGGGACCCAAGATTGGAGACTCGGGGGAAGATCGAAAGGAGAAAGTACAATTTGTGCATTAAGAGTGGCTCGATTGTCTGAAACGGATAGTTAGTACTGTACGGCGAGATTGATAGAACTGTTTTCATACGGAAGGCCCCCAAAATTGCGAAATGAGAGCAAAAGACTGGGGAAAAAGGCTCCTGGGACACCCGTTGGCTGACAGCCGGTCTGAGCGCCCAGCCAATCACCATGTATAGATAAACCCGAAACAGCGGTCCATGGGATCTTCATAGACCACCGGCGGCGGATGTCCGAGTAACCCTTGCCGCTTTATCTGGTTGCTGGGACCAGCTTCTGGTGTGGACTCTCAATCTTATTTCTCTCCGGACATGAGTGTTGCGCAAGCCGTAGTTTGTGTCGCCTCTTTAATATTATTCTATGGTTCTTGGACATTTTCCTTTCTGCCTGCTCGCACGGCCGACCCGATCTGGGGATTCGATCGTCAATCTTTCTCGAGGTTGACGCGTCGGCTTTTGATGCCAAGAATAAGGGTTTCTTCAATCAACCTTGTGCTACGTCTGGGATGGAATGTACTATAGCGAATTTAATTGAATAAGCAAGGTCGTCGTATTCTGAACCTGTGCATCAGAGTGGTTGGTTTGGTTGGTTGACTTGTAACCCTGTCCTCCGGTGACTATCTGTATCAAATGATACAAAGTCCGTATACATATCCAGAAAAAGATATGAATAGAATCCGCAGCCATAAGGACAAACGCTCAAACCGGAAACGCCAGTGACAAGAAGCAAACAGACGGGACTAAAGTCAAAATGGGAACGGGGTATCAACGACGTATGCTCGGCCCTCGACCAGATCGAAATCATCACCAGAACAATCACAAAATTGTATATTAACAGACCCGTGGCCCGTCGACTCATATATCGTCATAGGGGTAGGCAACACCGAGTTTGCAAATGAAGAATAAAAGTAAATAAAAACGGCATAAATAAAAATGGCATAAATGACGGGGTATCATTGCTCGGAGACTCGTGTTTTATCTCCGTATTCAACTCCCCGTAGAAAACAGAAGCCAACCCATTGACATAGGAAATATAAGATTGCAAGATTGCAAGACAGCAGAAGTGAAAAGCAGAGGTGGAGGCTTGAAGTGAGATGATGAAGTATTAGAAGGTCAACTTGATCTCAATGGGGGATCCAGGCGCGTCGACATTCGAGCCCGGCATTGTCGAGATGTCGACGACCATATCTTGTCCCTCAGGGAGCTCGCGGACCACATCATCATCCACCATGATTTGCATGCCTTTTTCATTGACGTGCTTGATGCTCACGATGCGCACCGGGTCGATTTGTTGCTTGCTGCAAATCTGCTTCATGAGGTCCTGGACAGTGCGTTCGGTCAAGTAGATAGCTCGATAATAGTCCTGGGGATTCTCCTCGTTTCCAGAAAACCTAGCATAGAAGCAGGCAATCGGCTTGGGCGGGCGTTCCGATGGAGGTCGATAGGTGGAGTCGATGCCAACAGCCTCGAGGAAACCCCTAGAGGCTTGATTGGCAGATGGAATTTTTTGGATAGTCATCGGGCGCGAGTAGGCGTGTGGAGAATTTTCAGAGGGATTGCTGCTTTCAGGTGAAGGAATCAATGCTTCGGCAGACGAGAAATCGCCAGTTTTAGTCCGACTGACAGTCTCAAATTTGACGGACTCCCCGTCACCTGGCAATCGGATCGGGTATAGATCGGGGTCATCTTGTTGATCGCCGCGCAAACCAAACACGCTCACTGAACGAGTTGATGAAAACATCTCTTGCATCACGTTTAGTTTTGATTGGAGGTCGTCTTCCAGAGAAGGCGTTCCCGAGTTATCTGAGCCCTGTGACCAAGTACGCTTGTGCTTCATCATTTTCATGGAACGGTCGGGTCCCTTTGCAGTGGCGTTGCTGCCCCGTTTGCGCTTGGCGAAACCACCACCCATTTCGGCCTGTGAGATCTGCTGTTTGAGTTTGTCGATAGTCTTCTTGACGTGCGCAACGTCGTTGGACATCTTTCGCTCAGCGCCGTGGTCCCGGAAGAGTTTCACTTTGCAGTAAGATAGCTCTACTTCACGCGCTGCGCCAGGCATTTGGCCTGGCGAGATAAGTTCAGTCTTCGCGCACAGTCTAACGGGAATGCCCTTCACGCCTTTGGAGTGGCTAAAATCAGTGGAAAGGAAGTTGAATCGCACGGGAATGTTGCAATCCGAGGAACCAGTCATTGGATTGGCGGTCCATGTGACGCAAAATCCATCGACTGACAATTTCTCGACTTGTACTTGACGGTGCTTGTGAGCATCGCCGCCGCCTTGTAGGGGATCCACGTATTCGACAGCCAACAACTTCCCACCACGTTGGTGGGCTTCGCTTGAACCTCGACCTTCTTTCCACAATTGCCAACACGCAGATGGTCTCGCCCTTTGCTCTTCTTCCTCAAAAGAGATGCGAACATAGGTTCTGTATCGAATCGGTCGAGAAGTTCCCACGGGTGGGCTCGAATCCGTGACTGACAAATTGTATGCTTGTCCCTTATTGAGATAAGTCACTGGAATTTCTCTCACGTTCTTAACCATCGCCGTTGGTGCTCGAAGAGAGACACTGAAGCGGAATCTATAATTCGGCAGGTGGTTAGCATTGAGAAGGGGAAAATGTAAGGCAATTGACATACTTTTCGCCCTTGGCATAAGACATGTCTTCAGTTGGACCTGCTGGGCCTGAGAAGTCCGTCGAGGCCGTCACATTAGATGCTGAATCAATATTCATGTCATTGACAGATGAATCATCGAGCGATTCATCCATAACATTATAATTTGAATTATGGTGCATAAATGCGCTTGGAGCGTATGACGCCTGCTGGGCATACGGATTGATTTCTGGCATGCTGGCAAGAAATTGTGGGTTGAAGGGTTCAAAGCCATTGCCTGGGTGATGATGGGCTCCATTCATTGGGTTGGTAAGGGAGAGTGGAGTGATCATATGCATTCCTGTTGGTGTATGCAAATCACCGGCCTGGTTGTGATAGATAGCACCCATTCCACCGGAGTTTGGCGTATAAAGACCAGAGTGTTGACCGGCGAAAGGCATCATGGAAAAAGAACCGGGTTCCATCCATGACGGGGTCAGGCCCAATTCTTGCATATTTCGGGGAGTGCGATCGTTGGTGGGAAATTTAATGTCGTGTTCTATAGTCCTATTTGTGAAAACCACGATCAGCTCCACTGTACATGTTAGGTAATTTCAAGTTTACTAACGTTGAAGGCATCATGGAATCTCCATTCTGGTCAATATTTGGTCGTGAATTCGAGGAATCCTGGCTGCCTCTGCGAGGGACGACATCCGAGAAGGCTTGTTGGAAGCGACTGATGAAGTCGCCATCAGGCTTTCGAGTGCTGTTTCTGTAGCACCAGAAAATGTTAGAATCATGAAACTAAATGCCAGAAACTGAGGATCAAAACCTACCGGTTGCTGAACATTGGGAGCGATTTGTCAACGTTTCCTTTCGCTAGGCAAAGCAAACACGCGGAATTGGAGAAGTGTCGGACAAGAGAGAAAAGGGCTGCAGAATTATGTGCAACATCTGATCCGACCTAAAATATGTTTCAGAGCTGAGGGCCACAATTTGTAGGCTCTCAGTCTTTCCTAGCCATCGAACTAGGACACTCGAGGTTTTGTTGGTCTCTCCAAAGTTGTGGAAGGACCGCAAGGCGCTCGATGCGATATTGAAAGTTCGAAAATTCAAGATTCGATCAGATATCAGTGGGAATGAGGCCAATCTCGAGTCTCTTCACTGAATGTAGCAACTTGGTTTGTGCAAAAAGTGTGGGTGTGTATGAGGTTGTTCGAATATGGGGTGAAGCGCGGAGGCTAGAGACGGAAGGTCGCGCGTCTAGTCCTCGTCAAAAGTGGTAGAAGGGAGTGAAATTGAATCAAATCGTCCAAAAAGGTTTGAAAATAAAGTGGCTAATGGTTCGCTCTTATATGAATTTGGGAAGGGGGCAGTATATAATTAGGAGACGAGGGGTCAAAGAAGGAGGGGAGGTGTATGACGATCGTTGTTTAAGAGTTAAGAGGCGAAGGGAAAAAGAAAAAAAGTAATGGTACGGTCCATGGAGCCTCCAATGATGAAAGATCTACGAGATCCAACAAAACTGTCACTGAGCCACACTTCAAGGGGGGTGGAGGTCGGAAGATTGAGAAGAGAGAAAGTGGTCGCCACCTCAAGAAGTGACCCGATAAGGAACAGGGGGCCACTTGGATGAATACGTAAGAATAGAGAGAGCTTCAGTGGGGGTGAGCTTCCCGTTTAGTTTTCTTTTTTTTTTTTTTTGGTTTTCTTTTTCAATATTTTTTTTTTTCTTCGCAGCATTCTAAATGACATCTATTTTATATGCGTGAAATGATTGGTATCCGGGGGAGATAAATATGGAGCCGAAAAGAAAGGAAAATACTCGAACCACGGAAAAACAGAGCGGACTGTGTGGAAGAGCGAGAACGACGGTAATTTACGGTGTATTGTCGGTGTACTATTTCACTGTATACACAACTGTAGAAACTAACTTACATCTGCTAATCAACCTCTAGTGATATCATTTTCGATTCATCTTCCTTTCTTTGTGAATGGACCAGCCGGAGACTTTCCGTCTATAGGGCTGTGCCTGCCACGGACTCTTCTTCCCCCAGACGCCACATCTCTTAATCTGTATGGGCTCTATTTTTGGGCCCAAGTTCTCTACAGTAGATGATGTCGAAATGTCGCTGCTCGTACAGATGTGGTTATAATCGCTTTTAGCCGGCTAACCGACTTTTGTGACAACTCCCCACCCTTCCCTCTCCCACTACCAATGCAGATAAAAATGAGACGTGCGTCCAGGGGAGAATGCGTTTGGTGGCGCATGATGGTACAGACAAACTCTGGCGAGCTCTGTTGCTACAGTATATACAATATGTACGGACACAAATCATAATAGTCGGAGCAGCATTTCCCCGTCACACCATGTCGCGATAAATATACGTGTATCAAATCACATTGGCATTCCTCATTGAGTTTGAAGGTTTTCAACCAACTACCCAGGATGGTTGTATCTAGAACGAGCTCGATTTTGGTGCTGACGGCACGTTCGTGTTTTAAACGGTGCTTATTGACCAATTGTTACGACCATGGGTGACATATCGAAGTCTCCATCCGACGTTGAATTACTACACTGGGCGACAACTCCAAGGCCGAAAATAAGATACTGTGAGCGTCATTGTCGCGAATCTTATGATCCAGACATAGAGTCCTTCCTTTTTGGCTCATTGACGAAACCGAGCCGTTGGGTGATATGTGGCGAGTTTGATAATTGGGACAATCGGTTGGATCTCCACCGAAACCTATAGCCCCTGTACTCGACTACTCGTAAGTTTATTCATTGTCCATTTAGAGCTATTGGCTGGGCCCGGAATCCTTCACTTAAGATGATGGCTGAACTAGCATGGCTAGGGATGATCTCATTGTCCGACGTGCCGCAATCGAATGTGGCTCAAAACGTCTTTCAGAATAAGGTTCAGGAGACTGTGGCTCAGTCGCTGTCTACGCCATTGTATAGGTTCAAGTACGAGAATTTGCCTCGTTACGTCGGTGATATAACATAAAAGTCATCGTTGCCCATCGCATTGAATGTTTGAGCTCATACTATGGAGGTTACAACACAAACGTGTATTATCTGGGCGGTATGTAAAAAGTATCCCTTTAATACACCTAAATACAGATTCTTACCATACTGCCGAGGTGCAATTCATTGCTGGAAGGAGATCCCGCCAATCATATCGTGTAATCGGCGGCGGATGTTCGGGCGGGCCAGTCACATTACCGCAAGAACAAGCATCCATCTTCTCGATGTTTCCTTGTTACAACTCCTACCAAACTCGTACAGAGTGATATATAAAATGTAGATCCCAACCTCCACGAAGTGTTTAGCCTACCCCGTACTTATATAAGAGATTGGTCATTTGCTGGAGTTTTCCTCCGACATTCATTAGTGGTGAAACCAGAAGGTTCGTTCACAAAAATGACCTGTTCGACCAAACAGGCATCGTATTGTCTCTTGAATATAATTGTTCTACAGAGTGCCTGAAATGAATTTATCTTCAACGTTTATCAAGTACCGAGTCATCTTGTAGGGTTTACGAATTCTCCAGCCGTCGATTTAAGCTACAGAGGCTAGCTAAAGCACGAAATAGTACGGAGTACATTATTGAGAAAAATTACGCTGTACTAGTACAGACAGGTTCCGCGGAGAACGTTACATACTCGACCTCCCGAACGCAAACAAATCTCAAGCAAATACCGAGCACTCCACCTACGACACGCCGCGACCACAATCACTAATCCAGGTAGCTTTCTTAGTACTTCATTTGTCATTCATCTCCCGAAACGGTCAAATCAGATATTGACGTGGAGTTCCCCGTTGTGTTACACCCGACTATGATATATGGGTTTTATGTGTTCTCGCTTGGCAGTCATGACGTGGTGGCTGACTAGCACAACGTTTTCGGCCTAGACAGGGGTAAGCTACCTGGACGATTTGGAAAGACGGCTTTCAATTATGAGACGAACATTTCGATCAGAGCGTGTAGGATTCGAAACTGTGTATAACACGTGAGTGCATCTTTCATTGAAGGCCAATCGGAAATCTTAGCCAGGCTGATCGCACAGCCGATAATTGGGGGATCGAAAGAGGGTTACTGTTTGACGGGCCCAATGAATTTGTTTCGGGGAGCATAGGTGAGAAACGTGGCCAATAGGATACAATGCTGTGCCAAGGCGATTCCTTTCGACGCCGATTGAGTGTACGTATCAACACGGACGTGGATCACTGAGCTCATGGGGGCCCAGGAGATGAGAGGGGCGTGCACTATGGGCTGCACCTGCATGTACGGGAGAGTACCAAGGGTTAACTTAGCACTGGCTTGCTGTACGGTACGTAAGCGGCTGATTTTTCCGTCTCAGTAAGGCAACGAAATACATACATGAATGTACTTTGGCGATCGACGGAGAGACAACCCTTGTGGCTTGCAGTGATGGAAGTGTAGCCAGTCAGGAAAACAAATGACCTTGCCACTTCGGAGTCAGGCATCCGACTTCTCTTTCTGTGTCGACCGCTACATCACAGCTAGCTTCATTACGCAAGCTCCTAGGTCCAGCCACATAGCATTCTCATACGCCATAACGTGCTCGAAGGTACAGTACAAAATAAGTACACTGCGGGGGCACGGAACGAGTGGATCTGTCTAGGTGCTAAAATATCCAATAGTCGTTTGAGGTTGAAGGTGTGGCAAATATCAGTCAAAACTTCTTGGACTTTACATATTCCTTGAGGCGCTTGGGTCATACAACGTCCACCACTCCGTACAACGGCCGCTAATATTGTTTCCCGAGACCCATCCACATCTAAATCGGAATCAATCCAGAATATCAGATTATCCACCATGGGGAATGATCATCTCGATCATCTCGATCATCTAGAAGATATTCAAAACTGTCCACTATAGACTCAGAAGTTACCTCATAGATGTGTATATAAAAGGTTGGGCACGTGGAGCATGATTCATCGTTGACTTGGAGGTCACAGCGTTATGGGCGGGACTTGCAAGGTTTTCTTAGATTCACAGATTCGCAACCCTGGGCAGTTCGTCTGCCAAACATACAAAAAAGTACAACGCTCAGTCGGTAGGTACTTTTGTTGTTCTTATGATATCATTTGGGCCCTGGTGATCTCAACGATTTAGAATTATAAAGTTACCCAGGGATTACGGCCCGAGGTTACGTCACAGAATATACAAGCAAACCTCGGCCAAAATCCCGTATAGTTCGTGCGCTCTGTGAATCTAAATTTTGAGTGTGAGTTCCTTTTCGACTAAAGTGGTTAAGTGTTTAACCCTATGCGAATTCGTCGAACAAGAATTAACAGTAATCCCATGATATTACTCATATCTAAACTGCCGAGGAATATGAACGATGTCCCCTTTACAAAAGATGACGATGACCCAGCCGAAGAGCAAAAGCAGGCCATCGATATGCCCGGTGAATCCATCCCCCACGCAAGAGTTCCCCACGACACGACCAGAAATGCGCAATGAGCAGACCCAGTGCTCGCAGTCGCAGGTCAGACAGAGAAAACCCACCATGCACACATGCAACCTCTTAATAGACCCATGAACGCCGATGATGGGGTTTAACAACAAATGTAACAACAAATGAAAACAAGAAAAGTGTATAGACATAGACAGAGCCCGGTGGAACCTTGGAAAATGGTAAATGCAATGGCAAATGAGTGCCTGGTTCCTGGATCCTGGATGCCCATTCCCCGGTAGGAGGGAAAGCGTGTAAAAAGGCAAGGCAAGAAAAGTATCAGGCTAGAATGGCCTTTCAATGAAGGTGGGTATGGTTGTGAGAGAGTGAGAGAGGGATGGAGGAAGGGATGTCTGAGCATCCATGGCCCGCCATGTCGTGTTATGATGATCCGCCCGTGTTTCAGGCCACATCAGGGAAGCATGAGTATCGAGATCATGAGCCGGGAGGGCCGTTTGTGTAGAATATCGGTGTATAGCGTATAGCTATCAATGTTGTATGATCAGCGAGAATCCATCGACCCAAGATGCACAAGAGCCGGCGATTCCAGCAATCTTGTAACCCAGGGGTGGGATCAAGGTGTGACTATTGCAACAAGGTTAGTATAGTTCAAAGTCTCTTTCGTAACCACCGGCATCATACCCTGAGCCGCCAACGGCATTTCCATATACACCTGATTTCCTTCCCAAACTCGTGAGAATCTCGATTCCATCAATCCAGAGGCCAGCCCGGACATAGAACCCAAGCAAAATTTCACCGCGGCGGACATCAAGGGTGAACTCATCACCATCGGGCTTGCCTCCTCGTTTGCCAAAGAGTTGGCTGGTCTTATCCGCGTAGAAAAACTCGAGGCCATCCAGTGCAAGGCCGTGGTAGACCTTGATCGAAGTCAGGAGCTTGTGATGCACGAAAGCACCCTCCAACAACAGCTGTTCGGGCTCGCTTCCTTCCATGGCCGAGTGGCCCAACCTGCCGCTCTTGTATCCGGACTGGCCTTTCGGCAACTTGACCAGGGAGTTTTTCGACTTCAACTGGCTAATGTCCTCAACAGTATAGCTGCCCATTGCACCAGAGAAAACCACCATCCGAATCTTCTTTTTCTTCTCCTTTTCGGTGCCAAACAGCCGTTGGCGGAGTTCGCTCTCTGTGACAGTAACTTGTTTGGGAAGTCCATTAGGACTTGACTCGGTATTCAAGTATTCGATGAAATTGTGACAGAAGTCTTCGCCCTCGGCATGCAGTTCCATGAATGCAATTCCCGATGAAGCAGTGAACAGAATCTTGCCGCTCTCCACTGGCCACACCTGGACGCTGTCATCCGAATTGGGATAAGGATCACTTGGAAGTCGGAAGCTGGGATGGAATCGGAAGCGCAGCGCATCTAGGCGATGCCAGCTACACTCATCGTTGGGCAAACACACTTTCAGTCCCTGGGTCTTCGTCCGAGTCGAGAAAGGCTCCCGAGTTAAAAGGTTCGGTTCAGAGTGACATAGTCACGGAGCATGACGCCCGACTCTTGGTGAGGACACCCGAACAAATGACCAACTTCGTGAAGATGAGCACCAATACCCAAGTTTGCGGATTCCCAGTTGGAGCCAGCTTCACCGCAGTCATTGGCAACGTGGGCTGTATCTGTTCGAGTGCAGTCGGAGAATGCATCCACTACGTCTTCAAGACACGATGGATAGCTTTGAAGACAATGTGAGCCAAATATGGCCATCTTGATATCATCGTCACCCGACCCTAGAGCTGCATGGCCAGTGATAACCTGTGATGTAGTGTCCCAGTGAGAATCGAGCAGGAGAACAGAGACGTATTGTTTCTGACCAGGCTGAGGCTGGAAATGCTTGCGCACCGCTTCCTTGGCAATCGCGAACAACTCGTCCTTCTTTTCCGCTTTGTCATTCTGTTGAGCAATGTTGAGATCCCGAAGTTCGGCCACCGTCTTATCAGTGCGAACCACGTGGATTTTGGCCTCGTTGCGCATTTGAGCCTGTGTCAAATCGCGACGGCTCAGAGTGCCGGATTGCCATTCTTCTTCAAACCGGAAACAACGACGCCCAAAGTTGTTGCGGAACATCTGTTCGCCGGTGAAAGCCTGCCAAAGATAGGCCGCCATGCGATACTTTCGAATGGCCATGTCCAATCCATTGCCCTCGCGTTCCACTCTTTCTGGCACGGCATCGTATGTGCCCTCTGAATCTTTCCCAAGCAATACGACCAGCTGCAACGGCGGGGTGTTGACTAGAGGAAGGTAGTTGATGCAAATCCAAGCTGAGTGGATGGCGGGGTGGGTGCTGCCCGTCGACAATTTGGGTGAGACGAAATCGAAGCGCAAACGATTGGGACCGGGTACTAGATGAACGAGGACTTTAAAATGCGACGCTGTGACGGGCCAGCCGACCGACGGAAAGTTGTCTTGGTGGTGATAGACTGTGACAGTTCCGTCCAGCGGATGTTGTCTTGGGTCACCGATCTGGCCATATACGAGGAGCACCTTCTGATTGACCTATAGAGAGGTCAGCGAGGAGCTTTGATTCCACCAAATTGTGTTTCGCTCCAGGTTGTGCTGGCGCTACGTACCCATGAATTATCCGACACGGACACGATGCGCGGGGCATAGGGCGATGAGGGGACTTGTGTTCGGTATATGCCATTGATAGACGAGGCGCTGCTACCCTGTAATCCAATGTATCAGCCAGTGTTCCTAGTTGCGCCCCGGGACGGGCTGGGGTTGGGCCGTACGATGACGCTGTTCCGCTGGGAGTTGATCACAGAGGGCCCCGGTCGCTGAGGTGGAGCAACAGGTGTACTCGCAGTGCTGCCATTAGATTCACTGAGCGCTGGCAAGCTGGGGGAGGAGAGAGTCGGGCGAATTGAGGACGGTGGAGTGATGGAGCTGTGGGAGGACGTGTCGATCGTGGAGGATGATTTTCCGGAGACCTCCTCCACGCTATGAGCTGGAGTTTTCTGGAAACTGGCCTTCGATCGGCGCCGTAGCTCTTTGAAGAACGGCATAGCGAGTTTGCGAAGAGGAAATCGAAATCTCCCCGGGCAGCTGCCGTAACTTGTCAGGAACGGGCGCGACCGTTTGCGGACCCCGCGAACTAGGGGACGAATTCAATAGCTGAGATAATCGCCTTGAATATCATAGGTTCTTTGAGAGGGAAAAGGGGAAGGAAAGCAGGAATGGCCCTAAAAAAAATAAAACAATCTATACTTAGCTTATGGACATTACGTACCCGCTGTTCAGGTCGGCCTATCGCTCCCTAAAGTTGCAATGTTTCACCGAATACTGGGCTAGGGCTCAGATCAGGATCTGAGAAACATCCCTTTTGTTCTCTTATCTTTTTACACGCTTTGTTCACCTAGTAGTCTAGTGGGCTTGGCTGATAATCCCTCTGCTATGCTGCATTTTCTGATCATCAGGATTGCCTTGTCCACGGAACTACGTAGGTGGCTCCCTGTCATTGAGGCCATCCACATGGATACGTTGGGGCTGCAGGGGCTAAGATTTTGAAACACCATTTTAATTAGGGCCACAGTTCCAGGTATACCATACTCCTTGGAATTGACCGATCGATAGTCACCTTATTTCTGCACGTTCGATGCAGGCTTCCCGCATGTTTCGCGCCCTCTCTAACGCGATCCGTGCAAAGTCCTCGTTTCCGGCGCATACCCACGGGATGACATCGTGGTCAATGCCGTTCTAGGATCGGAATTTGCATTGTTTCTGGGGCAATGCCGGAATTGGCAATATAGCAACAATTTGTCTTTCGACAGATGAACCTTATTAGAAGAGCAACTCTCACACATATCGATGTTCTTTTGCTGTGGTGGAATAACCTATATCTTGCTAAAAAAAATAAGGGAATGGAAACCGTGTATACTATGTTGAGAATCACAGTAACGTTATCTTGCATCTTAACATAATATATGTGGACATTGTTCTGAATGAGTTAGGCGTAGTATAACGTTAAAAAGCAAGCAACTTGTTACTCAAATTGATAGAGATTTTGCCTATCAAAATGACACCGTCCTGCTTTCGGAAATTGTGCAGCTTTTTCAAGGTACACGTTCATTTTCTACTCGACAATGGAGAAGGGAGGGGCAACCGCTAACAAAGGTGCAACCTAGCTCTCAATCAATAGAAGGATAGTGATATAGCGTTAGTTAGTACACTGATAATATGATGTTTGTTCCTAATAACTGCCACCTAATCAGGAAGGCTCCCAGTCCAACCCCATAACAGCTCTCTCACTCCCCCTCTCATCATCTCAAGCTCCACCAACTTCATATTCCATTATCTTGACTGACAATACAGCGAGAAGAGCCATCTGCCTTAGCTTCTCCGTACAAGCACCAGCTGGTACACTCAATTCGAGTTATCGGGGTTCGATATGCCTGGTTCTGGAGAAATAGACATTTCCGACAATACATTTCCTCCTCTGCCACTGCATGCATCATTTGGCCTGGACAGACTCATTTTCGAAACACGGTCGGGGATCAGTCATCTGATGCTCTGTCAACGGGGCGCCATTGCTCCAGCTAAGGCGACGACTCCATCGAGGATCTTCCGGGCTTAATCCTGATCCCAAGTCCATCAACGGATAAGCACAAGGCATATGTCTTTTTTACGTAGATCACGTATTTCAAGCAGTCCATGAGGTGGTGCATGTATCACAAAGCCCTTGATCTCGGGGGGTTTTCACATTCGCACCGGAGGCATGTTCATAAACAAGACGGCGGATTATACCCAGAAAGTTGTTGGGAGAATGCGAGTCAATGTGCTTATATATCACAATTCCATCACCCGGCTGTGTACATAGCCGGGCTATGTTTCTTTGTCTTACCATCGTGATATCTTGCGTCCGTGAGTAGAGACTTGGGGGGTAAGAGCATATTCGACATTTAACAGAGAGGAGCGATGTTTGATTGGTACTTTGAGAATAGTCTTCATGAGGAATGATACCGTGGCATGTCACCAGCCAGCTGGGTCAGAAAGTCGATCTGCATTTCATCCTTGGGCACCCCTGTGCTGTCTGCCGGTAATGTTTGGCAAGCAGATCCAATAGCGGAATACAGCCGGTGGTTGACAAGGACCCCGGTATCAGGTGAAAAGGTTCAAGAAGAAGATAGGCTAAAGTCGGTGGCTTTCGCTTCGTCTATGACCTTAGGGGTATCAAGATATACTGCGTAAAGGCAAGCTTGATAGGGCTGGACTTCAATAGAATGTCTAGCCAATACTTGAGACAAAAGAATAGATTGTAAAAAGGCCTAGGGGCAATAATACCAGAGAAGCAACGGATCGTGGGGGTGATATTGTGGTGCAAAAATAATCTTGAGCGAGGGCACGTTAGCTTTTTATGTATTTCCCTATATTGAAACCTGAAATGGTTGATTCCAAGCAGCCCTGACATCAGTGTCTTATAGGTACTCGGCTTGATATCATTAAGATGCTGCTGCAGTGAAGGGAGTTCGCCTAAGCAAATCTCAAGACGGTATCAAGCACAGGAAGTATGCCCAGGGACTAAAAATGTCACCACGTGACTTACACGTGACACAATACAGGGAGACTCAGGTAGGGATATAGAACCCAAGGGACAATGATCCAGAGTTTTATATTCAATTTACCAATGATCACAACTCTCAGGGCTGTATAGTGAAGTCGATGGGGAAGCTCCAATACATCCAGGGGAATTGGGATGACATCGTCACCCACTCTAGTCTGCCTAGGTGCCTAGTTAAGTGGATCGGAATCTGCATACCTGATTGTTTCTACGGCAATGCCGGAATCCGCAGACGAAACATTTTTCAGAGCAAAAGCCAAAAGCCTCAAGCGGGAGACGGGATGAGGACTGGATAGATCAGATTTCCGTAACAGCTAGCTATGGTTATGCAGCTTGCCTCTACTAGTAGGAGTGTAACGCAGTAGAAAAGGGGAATAGAGACACAAATGTACAATCAAAGTAGCATTTTGATTGCAAGTCTCGGCTAGCATAAGAAAAATAAAAAGAACAAGAAAAGAAAAAGGCATGTCCCTTTCTCTTTGACGCATGTAACTTTGCCCAATACGTTCAAGTGGCACACTTCTCCAGTAGTCAATCTCGGCTCCATCGCGCCAATTGGCCCTTCTTTCTCAGCCCTTGCTCCTACAACACTTGAACCACCATTCTGCTCTTGCTTGCAAAGGGGTTCTCCTCCTTGTCTTTCGTTTTGCCATTTCGCCATCATGACTCTTTCACAGCCTGGCTCGGCTGAAAAAACAATCCGCAAAATCGATATTGCCCAGGTAAGGAAGGATGTCAAGCCTTGTCTTTTGGGGTGCAATTATGGCCTAAATGCTTGTCGCTGGATGCGAATACCTCCACATAGCGTTGTGAGCGTCAACTGACTCTTCTCTGCGCCCAGGTTTCCCTCAGTCTGCAAGATCGGTTGGGTCTTGCCAAACTCAAGTATCAGCATGGTCGACTGCATGGCCTGAACCCGAACCAGCAGGATGGCAGATCTACTTTTGACAGTGACAAACCCTCCGACTCCTCCTCTGAGTTCTCCCGCAGTCGGTGCGAGACTCCCTTCACCTCCCCTCCCCTCCGAGCGGCAACCTATTCCAAGGAACTCCCTCGATCCGCCCGCAATAAACATGCAGCCACATTCAACTCTCGAGTGATGCAGCCCATGCTGTCGGCTAGTCGAAAGCGTCTGCGGTCGGATTCTGATTCTGAACGTCCTGCCAAGGCCCCTCGGGTCTCATGGAAGAGTTCTTACCGGCTGCCAGAATCCTCTCCTGGCATGAACCGTCACCTTACAAGCCGCCGCCAGGCCCCTCCTTCATGTCCGAGGCCACAATTCCAGAGCTGTCATCTCCAGTGTACCACAGACCATCAGAAGAGAGGGACCCAGATCTGCCGCTGCACAGTTTCCAGAATATGAGCTCGATGGTGGGCTCCTCCCCTCCACGGACCCCTCCCCCAAGCACATGCGACTGTCGCGCAACGATCGGCCGCATCATGAGGATGGCGCAGATTTGCTCCTGTACCTGGCCAACTCCCCAACCCCTGCTCGGATTGCACGGGGCGCTGGAAACCAGGCTTTCCCTCCTTCGACCCCTCCCAGCCAGCACGCAATGCTGCCAGGCATGACCCCCACACCTGGAGGTGGCGGCATGTTTGCCAATATCGGAACCCCAGGTCAGCAATTCAACTTTGCCGACTTCGTGAATGTGACCCCCAGCCCGGCTCAGCCAGCTTGGGGTGGCCGCACCCCTGGCAATCCCAGTCGCACCCCGCTCACCACCAAGCAAGCTCGAAAGCGATTGAACTTCGATGCCATTGTGCCCCCGAGCACCTCTGATCCTCGCATGGGTGGCAAGGAAACCGGGCTGGCTTTGCAGCTCGGCGGCGAGCTTCGCCCTTGAGCCTCTACACTTCTCCCTCTCTTCTTTTCTCTGTCCATTTACGCCTTTACTTCCTTGTAAGCCCCCTTCACGACTTTATTATGATCATGTTATGTACACATTGTGTCCATTCCCTATGTAATTTGCCCCTTGTCTCTTTGGAGAGCCCGGTTTTTTCGAGGAGAGACCTGGCTCTCTACTATCCCGTCCATCCAAACTTGCATTCACAGGCGTTATCTCTTCAATGCTTTGCTTCTGTGCTTTGCATTGTCTCTCATTCCTCAAGGCAGTCACAAGTCTTGCCCTTTTCCCTTTTTTTCTTTGTCTGTGCCAACCCTGTCCCTCGACATGTCCACCTTGCATTCTCATATCTTTTCTTTACACCCGGCATATATTGCCCATGAAACCCGGGACTCCCCAATGTTCTCAACGACCTTAGCTAATATCCCTGTGCGGCTTCTATCTTCGCAAAAATGCGATAACTGGGATGGTCAATGTTCATTATTGGAATTCAAATGCGCACCACTTCGCATACCTGCAATTCAACTCCACATATTCGCGTCTGTATACAGTAAAACAGTATCATAGTAACACAAGTGGCCTGTATTAAGCTATAAATCCCCATCTTGAAGAATATCTACGATGAGCTAGCATTCCACATACCTCGCACACCCTGAATATATATGTCCCCATCACGTCCAAATTTACTCAACCGTCAAGTCTCAACACCATCACCAAATATGCGGTCAACCCCTCAATTGTGCGGCATCCAGTTCAACCGCGTTCTTTCGCGTCACTTTCGCGTTCAAAGTTAATAGACTTTCAGCCAATCAGAGCAGATTATAAGCCTATGACGTAGCCTGAATCTGACTAAGCACACGAGAGCCCCAGAGTACTTCAGCACTTCTTAACGAATGAGATAAGTTACATCTGCATAAGTTCCTCTTGTGCATCCATGCATGATCCTGGAAGGGAAATGACCTCGGCTATCGATTGGCTGATATGGCGCCGCGTCGACGTGGACAGTCGTGGCATGATATTCAGCCAGTCAACCGAACCAGCTGAAACAAGGCTGCATGGCGTAACACAACCCCATTATGTGTATAAGATAGACAAATTATATCGACAAATCGTATGCTCGATTCTGATCTACATGCATTTGTAAAGTTACCTACTTAACTACAACTCTTCTTCCACGCCGACCTGATCATCCAGCCCGTCCTTCCCAGCCCCACTATTTTCTACACCAGCACGTTCCATTTGCTTGCGCCATAGTAGTGCCAGATAATCAGATGTCGTAGCCTCGTCGATAGACTTATCCTCGCGGACCTTAAGAAACCGTGGAAATCGTAGGCTCAGACCTCGCTCTTCGCTGACAAGCCCGATGGCTGCTGGGTATGTTGGGCTCAGCGTGATATCCGCAAAGGCCATTTCCCATACTTCCTGCGGCTCGAACCAGACGTCTGGTTCACCGTAGTATTCGACATAGCTGGGCCGAGAAATGACGTTCGTGCTACCTTGGACGTATTTGTCTTTGTTGGATTGGTAGAATTTGTCGGTGAAGCCGGATATGCATTTTGTTACGGCTTCTAGAGTGCCGGTTTCCGGGTTGCGGACTGCCAGGAGGATTGGAGACCACCATTTGGCTTTACGCCCCGAGCCGTGCCAGCCTGCGACTGGGATTAGGTCGAGGGTCTCTGAAGATGTGCTGTAGTCCTTTTTCACTTTGAGCCAGGATTCGAGGCGTTTGTCTGGTTCGTAGGTTGAGAGGAGGGCTTTGCGGCGGCTGCTCTTTTCTTTGGACTTGCTGCCGTTTTTTAGTTCTGGTGGTTCTTGGATGGCGTCCTCGGGGTCTGCTTCTTCGCTGGTTGTTTTGGTGTTGTTTTGTTGGGCATCGGCTGCTGTGTTATCGAGTACTTTCACCATGATGCCCTCGCACTTGACATCAGTGGCACCTTTGAAGAACTCAAGCACGGTTTCAGAATCTGCCGATGTGGCGTCCATGCTTTTGACCCAGGTAAAATGCTTGGGTATTTCAACAAAGAGACTGTGGAGGAGTTCGCGACGCTCTCGGAATGGTCGATCTAGCAAAGGCTCGCCATTCAGATACATGAGGTCGAATGCAAAAAGACACACATTAACCTTGATAGCACCGATCTCAACATTCTTCTTCGCACGATTGGTCAGTGTCTGGAATGGCTGAAGGTCACCAGTCTCCCGGTCCACAGCAACCACTTCTCCCTCCAGGATAAAGCTAGACACGCCTTCTCCACGAATTTGCGGGACCAAAGATACAAGATCTGGATATTTCTCTGTCATGAGTTCGAGATGGCGCGAGAAAATGGACACTTTCCCTCGCTCGTCGCAGTGTACCTGCGCGCGCTGTCCGTCATACTTGTATTCACAGCTGAAGCTTCTTCCTTGCAGTTTTGTCAACATGTCCGACAGATCTCGCGTGATGCTACCCAGCATTGGTCTCAATGGAATGTGCAAAGCCAGGCCACATCTAACCAAAAGCTCCTCTGTAGGTCCAATCTCCAGCAAACATGGAATGAGATCGTTATAATTCGGGTGCCTGGCATAGGAAGCTTTCACAGTCTCTTCCGCATTGTTGTAGATTTCGGCCAGCTCGTCCTTCTTTAAGCGAGCCAATTCGTTCTGTGACCGCACTTGAAATTCAGCTCCCGCCGGTTTGGAGTAGATGAAAGCTCGCGCGAGAGCTATAAGCATGGTTGTCTTTACTGCACCAATCCGCAGATTCTGGACCAGTGTCCGGACAATGTATCGACTCTCCTCCGCGCCTCGTGTATCCTGTAGAAGCTTCTCGACAATCCTCTGTTTAGTCTCTTGACTACCGGTTCCTTTGCTTGTGGCAATTTTCATAAGGGCTTGGTAGACACCCTTGATTTTCAATGGCTTTGGTTTGACAAGCGTGAAGGATTGTCGTTTCTTAGCTTCGAATGCCACATCACCTGCATCACCGTGTTTATCGTACAGTGATTTGAGACTTTGATTGTCGAGACCATAGATCTTTTTCAGTGCTTTTGAAATAGATGACCCTCCTAGACCTAGCTCTAGTTCATCGTATGGAGGAGATATTGAGTTGGTTGCTAGCCACACCGCGGGAAGGATACTCGATGGGTCTCCTTCAATCAATACCCGAAGGAAGTTGACGAGCGTATCGACGATTTTTATTCGGCTGGTGGTTGCATTCGCCAGAACAAAAGCCCTTGTTAACAAAGCATAAGAAGCATCTCCGCCTTGGCTAGCCCAATGCGACTGCAATTCCGCTGCGTACTGACTTGCATCAAATGCCTGGGGACTTTGATCGAACGGAATGGCAAGGGATGTGATATCCTCTGTATTTGTGGAGGACTGCAGCGATAAAGTGTTCTTTTTTGGAGTCGCTGGAGGTAGACTCGAAGGCATTGAAGTAGATGGCGGTGCATTTATTTGCAGATCTGCTTGCGTGTTTTCATTTAAAGAACTGGTATTCTCTGAAGCAGTTTCCGGTGTGTTGTCTTGGGCATTTTCTTTAGCATTCCATTCTGCTTGTAACCTTCGCGCCAGAGCTTCATCCGAGAGTGTTTGCTCGGTGACGTCGGGCCCAGTTGGATTCGGTTGTTCGGTCTGGCCCTTGAAGAACGATTTAATACTGCGCATCGGCTGAGGGGATGAATTGGCCCCATTTCTCTTGCGCTTCTTGGCTGGGCTGGACATTATTAAAGGCGTGGGAGAGCAAAGAGAGACGGCGCATGGTTGCCACCTGAGGGTTGCGGAAGACGTCAGTCCAAAGGCGGAGGATCAACATTCGCGACACCTTGCGCTTCCGCAGTTAATTTTCCTCCTCCAACAATGGCGCCTCTCACGGCTTTATCTTCGCATGAGCGGAATCGCGTCGAAGATTATTTGAATGACAAGATCCAGGTCTCTGCCGATCTTGAGAGTTTGGATTCGCTATTATCGAGCCTCCGCGCGCAACAGGAGCTTCAGCGGAAACAGGTACCACCCCTCACCACCCCGACTTTCTCTTCCGCCAAGCATAGCTAATACGGAGCCTCGTCAAACAGCTAGCAGAAGCCCACGAAGCATTATCTAGTGCAACAAAAGCCTCCGATGACCATGCTGAAGCCACTCGAAAGCAAGCCGAGGCATTCACCCACGACCAAGCGGACATCGATCGACGGCTAAAGGCTATCACACAATCTGAGACCAGCGATGAGGCAGCACGGAGTCTTGAAAAGAGCATGGAGAGACTCCAACGGCTTGAGGTCTCTAAGGGATACGTGGAACTACTCAAGGAAGCCGAGGAATTGAGGTAATGACATCGTCGCCAATCATCAAGGACTACATACTGAGACTGTGATACAGCAAGCAAGCTTTGACAAACCTTGCCTCCGAACCCCGCGCTGCCTTGAAACCATATTCCCGACTGCGAACGATCGTCGGATCACTGAAGGATGCCCAACCTGCTGCTGAGGGAGCAGCCCCTCACCTCGTCGACTACACAGAGAAGCTGGCATTTGCACTGAGACAGCAGATGAAAGAATACTTTGGCAATAACCTGAAGAAGACGTTAGAAGAGCTGAAATGGCCGACACGAGACTTGAACATTACCGATCAACTTCTAGCTCGCTGGCGACAAGACGTTGAGCTCTTGATCGACCTCCAAGCACCGTATGATCAATCCGCTCGTGAATTTGAGCGCAGATGCTGACCGCTTATCCCAGGGAACTCCAAAATCGTGATGCATTAGGATCGGGTATGGCTCTCGAGCCGCCGGTCTTGTTCCCATTGGAGGTTATGGTGCATCCTTTAGATCTCCGATTCAAGTACCACTTCAGCGGGGACAAACCGACAAACCGACTTGACAAGGTAAGGCGGTATCAAGTTATCACTGAAGCAACATTCTGATAATTTTGCAGCCTGAATATTTCCTCTCACATATCATGGACCTGATCAACCAATACGGCGGGTTCTTTGTGTCCTATTTGCAGCCTATCCTCGACGAAAAAGCTCAAGCTCTAGGATCGAGTCTAGACTGGAACTTCTATAATGCGTCACACAGTTTCATTACGGCATTGATTCCGATGCTGACTCGAAAAATCAGCTTATTCCTCCCTCAGATCTCAAACTACCCTCAATTACTCAGCCACTTCATTCACGAACTGATGAACTTTGACAATGAGATAAGGGAAACATGGAACTATCTACCAGATCCATATGCTGATGACAATTGGAAGGGTATGACGTGGGAAGTATTGACAAGGCAGGGCTGGTATGATCGCTGGCTTCAGGTTGAGAAGGACTTTGCGCTGGCGCGATACAAAGACATCATTGACACGGCAGACAGCGGAGAAATTGATTACGATGGCATGGAAATCACGGCAACGAAACCAACCAAGGCTGCAATCCGCGTGAATGATCTTCTCGAAACCATCACCGAGCGCTACCAGCCTCTATCGTCTTTCAGCCAAAAGCTACGCTTTCTCATTGACATCCAAATTACAATCTTCGACCAATTCCATGAACGCCTCTATTCTGCTCTCGAAGCATACCTTGCAAGGACATCTACGCTTGGACGCACTGTGCAAGGAGCCGACGGGCAAGCCAGTGTGGAAGGTGTTGCCGGCCTGGAGCGACTCTGCAGGGTATTTGGCAGTGCCGAGTACCTGGAAAAGAAGATGGAGGATTGGAGCAACGATGTATTCTTCGTTGAGCTTTGGTCCGAGCTTCAGGATCGGGTCCTACAAAACCGAGACAGCGGTCGAAACGTGGCTGGCACTATGTCCGTTGCCGAGGTTGCATCGCGTACCTCCCCTGCTATCACCAGCAACAATAGTACACACACCGAGACCTCGTCAGACGGTGCTCTCTTCGATGAGACGGCATCCGCCTACCGTCGTCTACGACTCCGCTCCGAAACCATCATCACCTCTACCCTCTCTTCCAATATCCTTGCTGCTCTGAAGCCCTACTCTCGGGTATCTACCTGGGCTACACTATCGACCCCCTCTGCCACGGCGACGGCGTCCCCGCTTTCTCCATCCTCTGATATCGCCCATGCTATGCGTACTTTGTCTACCCAACTCTCCTTCTTATCTCACGCGTTGGGAACCGCACCTTTGCGACGAGTCTCGCGCCACCTTCTTTTATCCCTTCAGACTTTTATTTGGGATAGCGTTTTGACCAAAAATACCTTTTCTACTACCGGAGCGGCTCAGCTTGCCAGCGATGTCGATCACCTGTGTAACGTGGTAGATGCTGCCCTGGGAGCATCCAACCACGCAGGGATCTCCATGCGTACTATCAAAAAGCTTACCGAGGGATTACGTATTCTTTGTTTGAGTGCCGCTGAGCAAGAGGGCGACGCCCCTGCAAAGCATGATGCGGCTTTAGGGCTGTGGGATGTGGAAAAGAGGCTCTTCAGGGATAACGAGAGCGCACGAGGCGTGCTTGCTGAACTGGAAATTGACTCTCTGTCTGAAGCCGAGGCTCGATCTGTGTTGGAACGCAGAGTCGAGATTGGCAGTTGACAGTTTCGATAGGAATATACCAATATTACTCTTATTCTATTTTACCTAGCTCCTGTGTCAAAGCGTTACTTCATATATTTGCTTACCACTGCGTAGGTCATTTCCCTGGATTACCGGATTATCTGTTTCAATTGATCTATGAATCTTGTACATCATGTCCCGTCTCTCATATCTAAAGAATCTATAAGTTATGTATGAATAAGTCACAAGTCTAATACCACGTATCCTCTCAGGAACGATGGACAACAGGCCCATGTCCATGTTCACCAAGCCGCTTTTGAGGAACGGCCGAGTTACCTGCCTTCAACCTCTCAACAATGCCAGGACCAACTTCTTCAATGGCGTGGACGAGTGAATTGACGGTTTCAGTGGTTGTTTGGACATTCACCACACAACGGAAGAACTTTCCATTTCCAACAGCATCCTCATCGCCACTGGGAGGCGCAAAGTCCACCATGAAGCCCTTGGGAACAATAGCATGAGTAACCTGCTCAGTGACCTTACTGTTGTTCTTCGCTCGCTGTGCTTCATTCGAGACAACGCCGCGCGGGAAGACGAACTCTTTGCCTGGTGTGTAGTAGAAGCACACCTGCAGACAAGGCGGGGGGTTCTCGCTGATAAGAGTGAAATCGGGATGTCGGTCGATGGTGCTAGCCAAGTGTGCGGCGATGTCGCATGCCGTGTCGATCTGCTGCTCGTATCCCTCGCTACCGTAGTATGTCCAGCCCAAGAACAGCTTCAGGGAATCCGCACGGCGGCCACATTGAAGAGTGAGGTCTGCCAGATCCCACACTTCCGGCGATTCAATTTCCAATTCTGACTCTCCATCGCCGTTTGCCGTGGGTTCAGTGTCTTCATTATGGAACAGATACCCAGCAGGAAGGGTGTTCGCCTTGTGGAATTGGCGCATGTCCGATGCGAGCAGGAACGAGCATGTCACAGGCACGCCGAGCATCTTGTGTGGGTTGATGGCGATACTGTTTGCCTTCTCTGCGCCGGTCAGCTTATGCTTTTGCCGCTCGGAGAAGACAAATGAGCCACCCCAGGATCCGTCGATGTGGAACCACATGTTATACTTCTGACAGATCGCAGCAATCTCGTTGAAAGGATCGAAAGAGCCCAAGACCGTTGTACCCGCAGTAGCATTGACATAGAATGGTGTCCGACCTTCGCTTTGAGCCTTCTGGGCCAGTTTTTCTAGTTCGGCTGGAATCATCCGGCCTACATTGTCAATTGGAACGGGCCAAACAGCACTGCTGCCAAATCCGAGCATCTGCGCTGCCTTTTCTACACTGTAGTGGCCATGGGCGCTGGTGAAGAGCACGAACTTGTAATCGCCATTACCGTCCGACTTTGTGCTCGGGTAGAGGTTGTTGCGCGCAATGACAACAGATGTAGTGTTCGATGCCGACCCTCCCTGGACTGAGATACCTCCTGCCCGGGGGCCATTCAATCCAAAGAGATTCGCCAACCGCTGACCAGTAAACTTCTCAATCACAGTGAGCGCAGGCGAGACTTGGTAGACGTGTACATTGGTGTTCAAGGTAGCGAGGATGAGTTCTGCCGCCACACCGGGGGCATTGGTTGACGCATAGAGCTTGTCCAAGAAGCCTTGGTGCCAGGTGTTGACTGAGTATTGCAGAACCTTCTGGAGAGTCTCGATCAAACCTTCCTGCCCTGTGCCCTTTTCTGGGATATCGAGCTGGAGAATGTCCCGCAGCTCTTCGGGCTTCTTGTAGTCTACCAACGACGTTCCTGCCAGGCCGGTATGTCCATTGGCACCATTCTTTTTTGAGGACCCGCGGGGATTCTCGTCTGCGGATCGAATGAATGGAATGAGAAGGTCTTCCACTGCTTTCAGAAGCTATCCAATGGACATGTCAGTTAATGGGCCTTGAAAAGAGGATCCAACGTCGGAATGCAGATCATTGCGGGCACAGTTGACTCACATTTTGCACTTCTTCAGCGCGGTTGGTGGACGGCGCAATGTCCGACATTTGTACAAATGCTCACGTTGAATATGTACAAGAGCAAAGAGAATCAATTGATTCTATGTGAAGACAAAGAAAAGAGAAAGAGGAATCGGATGGCGGGGGAAAAAAAAGTTCCCATGCGGCGATCTCGGAGATAGCGACAATCCCGCAGAGCTTGACATCATCCGACTGTGGGGGTGATGGTGAGATACTATAAATGTACAGTTTACTGCCTGTCAGTTATTTCTCTATGGATATAGTTATAACTACGATTTGTTGCTGCAATTCGATGCAAACTACGGAGTATTATAATTAAGATTGGGGCGAATCTGCAGGAACCCGCACTGTGCGCCATGCTGCATTGTTCCACAGAGGGGCTACATGTATACGTCTAACAGCCACAATTTATAACTATGTTCAATCTGTTCAAGTATCTATTATCACAAAGGAAATCAGATATATATCTTAAGCAATGCTAGCTTTAGGTGATAATGAAGCAAATGAAAGATAAATCAACACTTTTTAGTTGATATAAGTACATGTGCATTTCGTCCAATAACTTATGTCTCTATCTGGTAATATGCCGTGATTCAATCCCTCATTCGGTGGATGCAGGCTGGTTCTCACCAGCACTTGCCTCCCTGGCTGCTGCAAACCGGGCCCGAGCTAACTCGATCTTAGACTTGGGACGCTCGGCACCTTCATTGTACTCAGTTCGCTCCTCAATACCCTTGGCCTTGCGAGTCCACTCGCCCCGTCGGCGCTTGAAGAGATCCATGGACCAGTTTCGCCAGACTGCGCGGCCCAAGAAGGAATCACGAAGGGCCATTTCATTCTGGGAGAGTTCTTGCGCCATGCGCTCCTTGACGAAGAAGATGTCCTTGGTTGCGGACCAGAGGGCATCAACGACACGAGACCCGCTGCTGTTCAGAGCAAGCTCCATCAAATGGCCCTGGAAGCGGGTAGTGAGTTGTCGGCGGATTTGGGTGGTGGATGTAGAGGAAGTCAGCGCCTGCTGGACGACGCGAGAAGATGTGGGTTCTTGAGAAAGTTGGATAATGACGTGGGAGGGCTGCGCAAGCAGACTCGTGTAAACAAGTTGGCTGAGCGGGCCAGGGACCGTCAGCATGGCTTGAACCAGGAGAGAGCCATGCAGTTTCTCTGCTTTCTCCGCTGCAGATTCTTGAGGCGCAAAGCGAGGTTTGCGGCCATTTTCCTCGTCACCATCCATATTGTGGTCTTCGGATTGCGAAGCTGGCATCTCTGAAGGAGTAAACTTGAGCATTTGCTGTAGTCTAAGGGTAGGGTCCTTGTCGTAAGCACCCTCGAGTGCTTCAGCGAGAGGTTTCGTGTCCACGCTACGAGCGACGCATCGCTCAATCAACACCTTAGGGACAATAAGTCTTGATCTTTCAATCAAACCTGTCACTTCGGGAACGATATGATCCATAGCAATCTTCAAATCATCCTTGCCGAGTCTTTCCAAGATCCGAAGGACTACATATCCAGCAGTGCTGTTTCGTGAAAGAGATCCGATGCGATCGCTCAAGTTGTTTCTGTAGAGGTTCTTGAATGCTTTGCCAGGAAGATACCGCACCATTGTCTCCAACAAACGAGACCCAACCGGATCGTAGAGAAGTCCGCGAATAAAGATTGCGCTGTCTGATTCCTCCTCGAATGACTCGTCTGGAACCAGTCGCCGGATAGTAGACTTGGGATCTTTGGCACTGGATTTTCCGAAATGGGAAAGCTCCAGGAATAAAAGGACCTGAAGCACTGGGTTACCCACTGGATGGGTGGCCAGGGCTCGTAGATAAGTATCATCGAGACCGGAGACCATATCACTCATGATTTTTTTAAGTGCTGGCTCAAAAGACTCTGGCACGCTCCGCTTTTGCTTTTCGGGATGTGTCTTCTCTTCTCCCTGAACCATTGGGATGTCTATTCTTTCCTTCTTGCGACTTGCGACAATTGACTCGTTTGACGTGACATCCACTGGCTCACCGGCAAGAACCAGAAGTAGCACTCGGATTGTGTGCGACGCAAAGCGCTCCGTCAACAGGAAACCCCAGTTCTCCTTCAGCTCCTCGATAACGGCCATGAACATCTCTGCGAGGGACAGTTCAGGCTCCTCCTCTTCATTTTCTTCGTCTGACTTCTTGGCCTGTGCTTTGGATGCCTTTTGCATGACCGCAGGCGCAGCATGGATAAAAAGTGTTTCGCAGCAGTGACTGGCAAATCGGTGCTGCACCAGGTGGAGGAAATGGCCAACGAATTTGCTGAAGATTCGACGCAATTGCCGAGCGTCTGACATTGAGATCAACTTTTCCATGAGTCTCGAACAACCCTGACTACAGGCGATCTTCAATTCCTTGCCGTTGGCCTCTGAGTACACACTGTCGACGAACAAGCTGCGCTCTTCGGCGTCTTGGAATTGGTTCAACTCCAGCATTTCGTTGGCGCGAGAAAAATATTCCGACTCTTCCTCGTCGAGAAGACCGTAGAAGGGCATATCACCAGATTCCTCCTGACCCTGTGTATCCATCTCTTCTCCCTGGTCCAAGGGAATATAATCCTCATTGTGCTCAAAGGTTTCGTCGTGTTGCTGTTCGATGGTCTCGTCAGCCTCATCGGTAGAGGGCTTCATGCGTTTCGCGACGGGGGCATCGGGCGCTTCCTCGAACTTTCGCTTGGATTCATCCTTCTGGGCCTTTTTTCGGCCCTGCGGCCTCTCTTCTCCTTTTCGCGAGGCATTGTAGTGGTGTGTGATGAGGAAAGATGCGCCTGGATCGCTGGAAATTTTATGGATAAGCGGTGGTCCAAGCGTCTCCGCGGCGCAAGAAGTTTGCTCTGTTTGCAGTTGCTATCAATTATCAAGCCAAATATTAACAAGAAACACTGAGAAGAGTATTACAATTGGATTCATATGACATACATAATATACAAATTCCCTGACTTCTTTTATACAGCAGAATAAATAGCAGAGACATGACGTCCACACTCAACCCGTTGCTCCATGCTCACAGTGCGCTTGCCAACCTTGCCCTTGTGACGGGGAATGATCTGCAATCGTGCCTCCGCCTGAGTTTTCTTTGATTCAGGAGGAGCATTGATATAGATTGGCTTGCACTGGTTGCTGCGTTTGCCTGTGCCGAGCTGGAAGTGCTCGTTGCCTCCCCACCACAGCACATCATAGCCCCAATCTTTGGATTGGTCCAGGGTGTCCTTGGCTGTTTTGCCGACATTGGTCTTGTTGTCGAGCACAGCCGAAACATGGGTAGTACCGACAGAGATATCCCGAAGACGGATGGGCGACATTTCATTCTTCTCCTCGTCGAACTCGCCCATGCCGCTCAAAGCCTTCACCTTGGTGGGCGCATCTTGCATGTGGATCCATTTGCCATTGCCGAGAGTACCCCAGATTCCCCTACCACAAGACCATGTATCTGCAGTCACCACTCCCAGGTCGCGGACATCGGTAGGGTCTTCCTTGGGTGCCAAAACACGCTTGGCATCAACGGTGAAAAAGGTGTTCGCACCACCGGCAGCAATGCTGGTGACCTTTGGCAAATATGGATTCTTTTTATAGAGTTTTTCCACATCGAGAATGAAAGGAGCATCCCTGAATGATCGTTCTACGTCCCAATCGACACCCAACTGGCCGAGGGAGTTATCACCAAATGCAAACATATGACCATCCTTGCTCAAGGCTAGAGAGTGGTAATCTCCAGCCGCAATTTGGACAATCTTGAAGCCCTTAAGAGCTGTGATTTCATGGCAAGAATCCGCCGGCCCTTTGGGCCTGGTTGACCAGGTGAGTCCCTCAACACCAAGTTGGCCAAGGGAAGGGTATTTCTCGGTAGAGGATGCCGCCGAGAAGACTCGACCGGAGCTTGTGAGGAGAAGCACATGTTCCTGTCCACCACTGATTGTGATGACCTTCTCACCCAGCTTCAAAGATGGCTTCAGCACACGATAGCTGAGTTTAGACTGGTTGGCCCAAAATGGGACCCATGAACCCTCCTGTGCCTTTGTGCCACCCATTTGCTCATTTTTGGATGTCGGTAAGGAGTATACAGTTCCATCGGAGGAAAGCGCAATGACTCGGCTTTCCGACAGAGCGAGTGAGGTGAGGTTTTTGCCGGTCAGAGTCTCAGTGGGCTTGTATTCCGTCTCCGAGAAGCCATAGCCCCATTGGACTAGATCTCCTTTTTCAGTAATTGCTGCACCGGACTTTTCCTCGATCTTGAGATCTCTCAGTACTTGGCCGTTGAAGTATTTGAACCGTCGCGGGACCTTGATGTCAGTGTCTTTAGATTCAGGGTCCACCACACGATGAACGTTGGAACCCCATGTGTAGACGGCGGGGCTTTTGAGGCTTCGCTTTTCTTGAACGAACTGAGCACGAAGATCGTTGACGTCGATGACTTCCTTCGTTGACTCCGGAGCACTAGTCCAAGCTTCCTTTCCATCGGTTATATAAGAATAGCCCAAAACGGCTGCAGTTCCTGTCACTGCAAATGCAAGGGAGTTGCGAACCCAGTGCGATGAGCCCGACTGAGGTTTATGTTGGCCGCTCGCAAATCGGGACCATGGTGCATTGAGTGACTGGGCCGGAGCTCTGGGAGGGCGAAAGGCGAGGACCGAGCGTGTCGCAGGCCGTCGCATATGTGTGGACAGCATCGTAGAATATGGGATCACCAACTAGAGCATATCAAGCCCAAGCAGCTGGCAAAGCAAATGTTGTATCCGGGGAAGCTCGAAATGTCGGGCCTGTGATTTGTTGCGTCAGATGGAGGCGGCAGCTCGTGGCAGAACACCTCTCAACAGTGGGACCGGAGTTGACCACATCGCAGGTCGGCTTCAACATTCCACTCGGCCCGAAATACACTCTGGAAAAAGCCAGCAGAGAGCTATGAGCTGCAGGTTGATCTCGAAGACACTCCCCGGGCCTTGAATGCACCATGCCTTCCACAAAACAGCAACGAGCCCGCCGCCAGACCGCTCCCTCTGGCCCGCCGCGCAAACCTACCGCATATGAAACTCAGCCAGCCCTCGATACGCCGCAGGAGGAATCCCCTGGCCCTCTCCAGTGGAAAGCTCCGGGTTGGAACAATGAACTCGAGTTCTCACAATGGCTCAATGGTGTCAAAGATGACCTAGTTGAAGAGAGCTACGACGAATACACGTACGGCCCCTAATTGAATATAGGCTTGAACCTTTACTGATTAGAGCTTATCTAGGAACTGTTTAGATGAGCTCGAACAATCGAAAGAACACATTGACGAAATATTGGCGAATACCTTGACCCTTCTGGACGACCTATCCAACTTGTCCGAATCGTTCAAGTCGGTCGAGACCCAGACATCGAACTTTGAGAAGCAATGCGAGGGGCTTTTGTCCGCCCAGGAACGTGATACAAAGCTTGCCAATGGGATCCAGAACAATCTTCACTACTATGATTTCCTGGACCCGGCTTCGCGACGGCTTAATGCCCCCGGTGCAGGAAATACTGTCCGCGATAAGGAGTTCTCGGATATGCTGAGACGTCTTGACGTGTGCTTGGACTATATGGAGACGCATGTGAGTGGATTCGCTTTCGAAACATGTCCATGGCTAACCCTACGCAGATGGACCAAAAAGAGGCAGAGGTTTATCGCTCCAGATATCGACTACTGTTAACGCGTGCTCTAACGCTCATCCGAGGGAATTTTGTTTCTTCACTCAAAGATATCTATCAGAGCGTCTCCAAAAAGATTTCGGATCAGCAATTAAACGACACAGCCTTGTCCGCTCTCTTATATGCCAAGTTCAGAGTCGGAGCGCCTGAGCTGAAGCAAATTGGGGTCGAAATTCAGAAACGAGCTGTTCCACCACTCAACCCAGACCAAAACAACGAAGCCGAATACCAAAGTCTTATGAATGAGCTTCACAGCAACTACTCGGCTACCCGTACACGGCTGATCATTCCACTCGCCCGCAAAAAGCTTGGTGAAATTACCCAGATGCCTAGTTCTTCTACGGACCTGGTTGCCTTTGCTCGCGCAAGTATCAGTTATATTCGTGGACTTTGTCTAGACGAGTATGATCTATGGGGAGAATGGTTCCATGGACAGGGAGGTTTATACGACTTCCTTGAAACACTATGCGAGCCACTCTATGACCATCTCCGCCCTCGAATCATCCACGAGTCTGACATCGTCAGACTCTGCCAACTGTGCACCCTTCTACAAACCCGATATTTCTCGGACCCAGAAGACGAGCCAGAACAAGTCGAAACAAACCACCTCGACTTTTCTGTTTTAATTCAGCCAGCCTTGCAAGATGTTCAAGCTCGACTTGTCTTCCGCGCATTGGCAGTTCTGCAAGACGAAATTGAACGATACAAGCCTCGCCCAGAAGACATCGACTACCCCATGCGCAACCGCCAAGTATCCCTGACCGTCTCAGACACCCAGATCTCAGGCAAGAAGGACACATCTGCCGCTACCATGATCGACATGACAGCCAAGCAAGGCGACGACAACGGCGAATCACAAGAGCAAGATGGAAAATGGGACTTTGAGACCCAAACCGCTCTCAAGGGCTGGTACCCGACTCTACGAAAAGCAATCTGGCTCTTAAGTCGGATCTACCGCCTAGTAAACGTAAGAGCCATATCGTTTACAACCCAGAGAATAAACCAGCAAGCTAACAAACCCCCAGTCCACCGTCTTCGACGACCTAGCCCACCAAATAGTCCACCAAACAACCCTCTCCCTCCAAGACGCCAGCACCCAAATCTCCGCCAAATCCACACAAGCAGACAGCCAACTCTTCCTAATGAGCCACCTCCTAATCCTAAAACAACAAATCGTAGCCTTCGACATCGAATACGTCGCCCCAGAAGTCTCCTTCGACTTCTCCGGCGTGACAAGCACATTCTGGGAACTCCGCGAACGCGGCGGCCTCTTCAACCCGCGTAACCTAATGCGGCTCGTCGGCCATGGCCTAATCCCACGCGTTGTGGAGAACATGCTCGACGCAAAAGTCGAGCTGGACGGGCGGCTCCGGACTGTCATCAACGACTTCATCAATGCGTTCGCGGCGCGCATGACTGCTTCGCTGCCGGCTAAGTTTGTCGATACGAGGAATCTGCAGCGCGGGGAACTTATCCTGCCTTCTTGTCGGACTATTGAGAAGGAGGTTCCTGTTCTGAGGAAGATTCTCAATGAGTATATTGATGATACGCGCATGAAGGAGACGCTTGTTGGGGCTGTGCAGGACCGCACGATTCAGATTTATGAGGATTTCTTTGAGAAGTATATCTCCTCCGAGAAGGGGAAGGGTGTTTCTGTTAGTAGGAAGGGGAAGGGTCGTGAAGATGCTGTTTGGGATGTTAATACCTTTGCGGAGTGGTGCGAGGGTGTTTTCCGGGTTGGCGTTGCTGGCTTGCAGGCCGATGTTCCTGAGGATGATGATGATGATCTTTTGAGTACCAGCTCTTAGGGTGTGGCTTCTTTTCTTATAATTTACCTAACCCCTTTCGCATCTTGAGCATAGACACCGCGTGGACTGGCGCAACTCTGTACATAAGCCTGAAATATAAATATGTGATCTTGTCAGATGCTTTCCCTTCCCTGTTACTGATGTATATATACATAGCACAGCAGCTTGTAAAGGAAATATCGAGTATCCCAGATTCATGTCATGATCCACAGGCAAAGTATGTATGTACAGCAACTACCGGGAAACCCAAAAATCATCTAGTATCGCTTCAAAACTAAAAGACAGGGATGGGGTATGTACGATCCAAAGAAAGGACAAAAACCAAGACTCAAAAAACCAATCGTAAAGGCCGGCTCACGCTAAGGAGAAAGAAAAGAATAAACACCTCAGACGCGAATCTTGGCGTACAACGCCGTATCCAGGAAGTTATAGTTTGGATCGGATTCACAGAAGGGGTGGCGTGTGAGCAGAGTTCCGGCAGTAGGACGTTCAGCCGAGTCGCTGGATAAAACGTTAGCTATGATCGAGAGCAGTGAAGGGCAGAAGGGGTTGGACATACATTGTAAAGCAGTCATACATGAACGCAAGAGCCGCCGGACTAATGTTCAGAGACACATCCTCTGGAATAGGAGGAGCCTGGCTCAGACTTCCGAGCTTGAAGATGGCACCGATGGCCTCCTCCTTGCTCCACGGTCTTCGGCCAGCGAACATCTCTAATACCACACAGCCAAGAGACCAGATATCGACCTTGGCACTGTATCCCTGGCCTTGGGACTGGATGACTTCGGGAGCCATCCAGAAGACAGAACCCTGCATTGAGTTTGTCGAGTCGTTGCCGTAGATATCATCTGTTTTCTTGGAAATACCGAAATCAGAGATCTTGCAGGTTCCATCGAGATCCAAGAGGATGTTGTCTGCTTTCAGGTCTCGGTGGAGGATTCCCTTGTCGTGCAGGTAGGCCAAACCACTTAGTGTTTGCTGCGTGAGCGATTTCACAACACTCTCCTCGAACTTGCCGTGTTTGCGAAGACAACTTCCAATGGATCCACCAGAAATATACTCTAGGTAGATAGAGATGGAGAATTCGCCACGCTCGCAACCGAGATATTGCACGATATTGGGATGTTCAAGGTGCTGCATGGTGTCGATTTCCTGATCCAATGCTGCGACCATTTCCTTAACTTTATCTTTGTCTGTTCCCGCAATGCGGGGATTGATCTCGACCAATTTCACCGCCAAAACTTCACCATTGTCCGCGTTCATGCCTAGGTATACTCGGCCGTAGGTACCCTTGCCGATAAGTTGACCGCGGATGATACGGAAAGTGGGCTGTCGCTGAGGAACAGAACCAGCATTCGATGTGACTTGGTTACTGTTCTGCGGAATGGGATCGAGCTGGCTGATCCGACTACCAGGTCGAGGCCTGATTTGCATGATCTTGGCGCCGAACATTTTCGTGCTCTTCCGGCGTAGAAGATCACCCGACTTTTGAGGACCAGCAGCACTAACACTCTTCGTTCGGTTTGCTCCCTGGGCCACTTGACGAATGGACTTCATACGAGACAGACCACCGCCGCCACCACCTCGTGCGATATTGCGTCGAGCGACAATACTAGCGTCCGGTGGTCTGACGGTAGCTGCATCAGATCCATAGGGGTTGTTAGAAAGGGGAGTGGGATGCGGAATAGGCTGTGAGGTCTCCTTCTTTTCGTTGAGACTTGCATCATGCTCAGTATTAGTGACCTTGGGGGTGGGCGATGGAGGCTCATCCAAATAAGGAGCATCAAGATCAACGTCAGGGAAGAAGTCGTCAAGCTTGTCAATGACGCCTTCGACAGCAGGTCTGCTAGCCCAGACATCTCGGGCAAAAGAATCCCGACGAGGCAGCCTCTCGTCTTCAGGCGACACGGGTTCGTAAGCGGTGGCAGAGGACGGTTCCTTGCCATCCGATGCATCTCCAGAACTGGGACCGGCCGTGCTCGGAGACTTGAAACGAACAGATAGCCCCTTGCTGAGCCGGTCTCCAGTTTTTAATGTGAGAGACGGCCTCTCTGACTTTCTGTCAGGCTCTGGTTCCGTTTCCTGTTCCTCCTGGGTTCTTGAAGGTCGAACTTGGAAAAGACCATCGTCTGAATCGTCGTCCGAATCCTCTTCTGGCTGGGGAGTTCTCTGGAAGGACACTTGATTTTCTTCAAAGTCGAACTCCGGTCCAAAGGACTTGCGGGATTGCAATGTAGGCCTCGATGGACCGTCAATATCAGCCTTTTCAGACGGTTGATTGGCAAACGATACTTCGGGCTGGGAATTCCTCGAGGAAGAGGGTCGCGAGTCTAATGGATGGTTAACAAAGAAACAAGAATCAAGGGCGTGGTACCCACCCAAAGTTGTTTTACTCGACACTGTTCCAGCAGAGTCAAGTGTCCCTGGCCGATCCGACTCTGAGCCTACGCTATCCCGATTGGTAGGCGAAGATGGAGCTACTGAAGGCAACGGAGTGCCGATGGCACTTGTAATACGGCCAACACTGGCAATTGCAGCCCCAAGGCCGTGTGGTTGGACATCAGGCCGGGTTCGAGGGCGCTCACTAGGCCTTCTGCTGAGATAGCTAACCTCGCTAGGTCTTCTACTGAGAGAGTTGACCTTGGTGAGGGTGTTGGATTCAATCGGTGCCATTGGCGGCTTGCGAAGTGGCACAAGCGACTCTCCCTTCTTTTCATCGTAAGGCGAAATGCGAGGACTGTCGAAATCAATGACTTCGTTACGCCTGTAGCCAGTATCACCATAAGCATTGGCCTTTTGTTGAGACAGCGGCGCCTTAGAGAGGAAATATTGCTTTTGTTTTCGTTCAACTTCACGAAGATGTTCCTCATGGCGGGCGAGTAGATCGGCTTTCTCAGAATCTAGTCCCTGGTTCGGATCTGGAGCGGGTTCCGCCGGAGAGGTCTTCACTGGAGCTTTGATCGTGGTCTGCCGAGAGGCAAAGGATGGAGAGCTTGGCATAGCATGGTGCGGTGAAATGCGATTTAGGGCGTCCTCATCTAGTGGCTTTCTGTGAACCTGGTGATGTGTTGCGGTTGGAGACAAGCTCTGCTTGTCGGCGAACGAAACACCCAGGCCATCGACCCGAGGAGTAGTAGGAGGATGAATAGGATTTCCCCGCACAAACAGCTTGAGGGAACCATATTGATCCGACTTGCTGCGGCGTGAGTGGGTGAGATTTGCATCGCTCAAAGGATTCTCGTGCTCAGTCTGGCCAGGCTCCGTGAGGAAAATCTGAGCACTGGTCCAGTCAGAGATTGCCATGTTTCGACAGATCTCAGCACGGAGGTTCTCAACGGGTTCCATGTCGGAGATATCAACCAGGCGGAAGTTCAATCCGTCCATGGTCACAAAAGCCCATTTTTTGGTCTTTGTTGTACCCGTAGTTGGACGCTCGCCAACGGACAAATCACTAGAGTTATACCCAGGCTTTGAGTAGGGGAGGTAAGCCCCATAAGGACGAGTCTCTGGACTGGTAGTTGGCGATGAGTCGTCTTGCTGCTGCTCAGGAGATGGGTGACTGGAGTCATTGGGTCTTGTTTTCTTCTTGAGGAAACCCAAGAAGCCTTTACTGTGGTCTTTATACGAAGAAGGGGTATCTCCACTCCATTGGCGAGAATAGGCATCTTGTGGAGAGGGGCGCGCGCCTTCTTGGCCTTGTCTGCCATAGTAACGGGCCGTGGAGCCCCGCCCAACACCTGGAATGGAATCGGTGCTGTTCCCCCGAGAGTGGTCATATTTCAGGGATAAGTCCCCAGTAGATGATGTTGGATGTTGCGTATAAGCGGGTGTCACATGCGGCAAAGCTGGGCTACCACTTTTCGGGCTACCTTCATGGGGTCGAAGGGCACCACCATGGGTTGTACCACTTTCACTACCAATCGAAGGGCTCTGGCGTCGATGCTCGCCGATTCCAGCAAGGGCATTGCGCGAATAGTCAGATCGCAGCCAGGTTGGCGACTCGCGCGCGGGAGAGTCATACCTCGGCGAATCGTGAGCAGCAGGAACCGGCATTGTTACCGAACGCTGTCCAGCCAGCTTTTGGTTCTGATTGGCGGCTTGCAGCGCAGTGAGATGTTCCGGGCTCACATCGTTAGTACCAGCGATGGGACCAGCAGAACGCGGTTCGGGGAAATGATTAGACAAGCACCCTAAACTACTATCAGGGAATGCATTCGGCTGTGTGGGCTGCAAAGGCGTAGAAACCGTATCTTGCGAGCCATCGTGAATTTGACGAATCAGTTTGCGCATGCGCTTGCCTTCGTCTCGTTCACGGCCAGGATCCCATTTTGTACCATTTCGGCCACACTCTTTGGCCAACTGAGGATAAACCACCTGGTGCATTTTGCCCAGGTTGCCTCGGCCGCCAGAGCCGTGACCAAGCTCGAGGAAGTCGGCTCCTTGGAGTTCCAAAGACTTGAAAGTCTCCTGCCAGTCATTGGAGAAACCGTTTCTAGCGAGCCAAATGAGCACTCGCTCCAGCGGCCACTGAATCGCAGCCTCGCTGTGCGACAAACCACCCAACGACGCACCGCTCGGGTTGTGGCGATGGCTTGATGACTTGACAATCTCACCAGCCTGGGGCTGGGAGCTGTCGTTGGATGTCAGTTCGTGAATGTTACCGTGAAGACCGAAAGATTGGGGAGCAGTGCGAGCCCCCGGAGTTGGGGGAGGCTTGGGTCCAGTTTGTATGGAGCTTGGGTGTTGATAAGCTCGTGCGGTTGGTTCATACCCAACCGTTGTCTTTCGGCCGTGGCGGAGTGCGAATATGGGTCATATTGAGCTCTTCCATGAGTGTCAAAGAGCCCCGGGATGCCGACTCCAATTGTGTCGTTGCCGGGTATGTAGGTGGCGGACGTCAACGGTTGGGACTCATTGGGAGGGCGTGGCGGGATTATTGATAACGGAGCCGGTGGGCGGCCATACGTTAGATGGTGATTTTGTGCAGGGCCAGCAAGCGGAGGGGGCGGGGGTGGTGGGAAGCCTGGGGTCAGCGCCTGTCTGCCCCAGTTTTGCTGCTGCTGCCACCCTGTAGGAACCCCGTACGCTGTCGCTGGGGTATACGTCGACCCTGGAGGCGGTCCGGGGGGAGGAGGCGGTACAACTTGGCGAGGCGGAGGCGGAGGTAGGTTCATGGGATGGGTTTGGGATGAAGGCGGGGGCCCTGGGATATACTGCTGTCGTCCGTCCATTGTGAAGGCCAAAGCCAGCCCTGGCGCGTAATCTTCTGCAGGGTGGTTTGTCCTGCTGTCTCGGCTGCGACACCGAGGGGTGCGGATGGAGGTCTTGTCGGGGTCGTTTAGATATGATCATCCACACATCATGCGATCAGGAATAGTCAAGCAGCCGGGATTCAAAATTGAATCTTGACGATGGTCAAAGCAGGGACCAGGGGATGCAAAATCAAGTGTCCGACCCGGCTGACATTTGACATGTTTCGGCGTCCCCGAAATTATCGCGCCCGAAATTGCAGACCAGACCGAGATCGCGAGGGGGCTGGGTGACAGGTCGGGATAGTTGCAAGACAGAAGATATTAAGTCGCCAACGTTGCCCGCTTATCTTCAGATATCAGCCGAGAACCTTTCGCTGATCAGAATGAGCAGGTGGAAGCGACAGAAACCACTCCTTGCGTCGACCTTCTCGAACACGAATCCGCGAATGGAACTGGAATGCTCAAGAAAGATATCTAACATCTAACTGAACATTGGAGGATCGTCACGTGGCCCCGCTTGAGTGGAGTCTGCTACTGTATGTTTTCCGACTACGTCCAGCCCTGGAGCACTCACATCCCCTGTTTTCACGCCGGCCTGAAATCTCCCCAAGTTTCACTCTGAGGGAATTAGCATCGGTAGCGCGTACCTTCAACGTCCCTTCTTTGATTCCTCTTCTGCATTGCTTCAAGGTGTTTCCGTAGATCTCGTTTGTCCATACGCTATTCCTGGAGTTTCCAATTTTCTCTTAGATTTTAACGTCAGGTCTTGAACATATATTGCGTTTGGTCAACTTAGATGCATAAGAAATTAATGCGCTATTAATCGACAGAAATCCAAATCGCGAGTAGTATTTTCGAGTCGTAATCATTCCCGGTTGACATATCAAATGCCACATTTTGTACATAGCCAAAAGCCCAGGCCCAAGCATAAGCGTACACATTGCAAGCAAAAAGGAACACATGTCTATACTTAGAGCACAGTACCCTTGTTTTGCTCCTTGTCAACACGGTAGTGTTTCCACATACCGATAGCAGGGATCGCAAGTACGAGAACAGCGGTCGCGGAAATACATCCATACTTCTGATTGTAGCCATAAGCGTAGTTGATAGCCTCGCGGATCTCTGTACCTGGAAGGTACTTCATCTGGACAAGGTATCCACCGCCAAAGATGGTCGACGCCTGGTCCTTGGCACTCTCAGGCAGGGCATTCCGTAGTGCCTGGGGGAAGGTATTGGCGTAGATGGCAGCGGCGACGGCGTAGCCGATAGCACCTCCCAAGTTCGAGAACAGAGAGACCAGGGAAATCATCATGGGGATGCCCTCGCGATCGGATGCGCACATGACGGCCATTTGTTCACCAATGACCATCATACCACCGGCGAAAGAAATGAAGATCTGGCACATGATCACGTATCCAATGTCCCCATCGGAGCCACGGAAGTGAATCATAAGGCCGGCTCCAAGGGTCATCAAGGGCAGAGCGAAGAAGAGACAGGTGTACTTGAACTCCTTGACGTAGCGGATCCAGAGACCAAAGATCGGCGACCAGAAGCAGGAGCCGACGGTGTAGATGGAAGTCATGTAGCCAGTCATGGTCACATCGAGGTTGTACACCACCATGACGAAGTAATAGTAGTACAGATCCCACGAGTAGAAGCTGAAGTAGAGAATAGCCGATAGAGCGCATGCACCGAAGACGGTGCGGTCTCTGAAGAGCTGGTAAGGAATGAAGTGAGTGCGAGCGAACCACTTCTCCCACGCAGCAAAGACGAAGAATAGACAGAAACCAATGACCAAGGGGGCGATGAAAGAGGCTTCCCCGTACTGGGCGCGGCCGTAGTTGGCCAAGCTGAACGGCAGGAGGAAGAGGATGAAGGCCGCCATAAGGATGAGGGCTCCAATAATGTCGAACTCGTGTATGTAGTGCACAATCGACTGCATGATAGTCCGGCCACTTGAGGGACGCTGCAGCACGCCCATCTTGCGAGCCTTGATCTCATAATACTTAAAGACACCTGCCAGAGGCAGGAACACAAAGGGCTGGATAATGGCAAAGGCGCCGTAGGCCCAGCGCCAGTTGGCGGTCTTCAGGAAACTGGCAGCGGCCAACGAACCAGTGAACGCGGTGCAGATGAATGGGGTGGAGGCAAAGGCAAAGGCGAATGCACGGTTGCGCATGCCCGAGGTATCAGCGATGAAGATGTCCAGAATGACATAGATCGCATCATATCCAACCCAATACAGAACGTAGCCGGCAGCGTAGCTGTTGGCATTGTTGCAAGATGCGAGAATGATAATACCGAGAAGGTACACACCAGTGAAGATCACCAGAGCCTCAGCGCGTCCCCACAGAGTCAAGATCTTTCCAACGGGCAGCTTGAGCACTCCACCGACGATGCTGGCCAGGATGCTGGCAGTACTGACTTGCGAGGCATTCTTGAAGTTGGAGTAGGCATAGTAAAGAACGTTGTTGCCAATGGCAGAGTGCAATGCTAGCATGAAGAAGCAGACCCAGATCCTATAGATGACGATGTTAAGATGGCGTGTAGAGGTCTAGGGCTTTGCAGAACTCACCAGGCATAGGTCGCATAAACAGCCTTCTTGCTCCAGACGAGAGCAACAGCCTCGGCCTTGCGCACACCGGCGGCAGCACCGGCAGTGATTTCATCAGGGTGTTCCTGAATCTCCTTCTCCGCACGAGCCAGGTTGCTCAGGTCACTATCGACCCTGTTTGGTTCGACATTGACCTCATTCTTGGTCTCGACCTCCTGGGTGGGACGCAGGTCCTCGACAACGGTATGGTCCCTCCGACCACGAGTCAGGTTGATGACACCCATTATAAGGACGATCGTGGAGGAACAGAAAGAGAGAGAGAGTGTGTGTGTGTAAGAAGGAAGAACGAGGGTGGGACCACTATTTCTACATGGGACCAGGTGTTGAAATTTACTTCCAGCTCCCTAATTAATTCGGCACTAAACCCAGTATAGCCCGGTAGTCCTTAAAGTGACCGAGGAAGCGGATCAGATAAGTGCAGCTCGAAAGGCCCAAATGGCTGATTGGACTACACCAGCGAACGGATCCCCGTCGCCAAGTCTGGCTGTCAGTAAACTTTGGCTAAGCAAATTACTTTGGCGGCACTTGCGGCAGACTTTTCTCTATACATTGTTTGTTAATTTACGTACATCGGCTACAAAGAGTCGGTGCTCAGATGCAGATAGAATTGTAGAGAGCAATTGTAGATTGACTGCAGACAAACATTGACGCATGCCTATATACCTAATCGGCGCACAAGCACGTTTTTCGGCTACCCCGGTAGAGAATGCAACCACTTTCCGCGCCAAGGGCACTCTGTCTTGGCCAGATGCCAGGGAATCCACCCGAAATCGGCGACCTTGTACTCGGCTTTGAAGACAGTAAGACAGTAACATGCTACATGTACTGTGGAAGGTTGAATTCTATTGTTCTTCGGATCCTTGGATCTTATCAGATGATCACAGAATTATCAGATCAGAGATTTATCAGATCACAGAATTATAAGATCACTTACTTAAGTTTGGCTCATGCGACTATCTTCTACTTCTTCGGTACCTTAGAACTTTAGGATATGATGATTTGCACTTTCACCTGGGGCTTAAGCCACAGCTTAACTTTGGCTCATGCGACTATCTTCTACCTCTTCGGTACCTCAGAACTTTAGGATATGCTGATTTGCATTTTCACCTGGGGCTTAAGCCACAGTCTCGCCCTAGCGTGAGCAGACTTACGTTCTCATTTGACTCTCCTTCCCCACTTGTGGCTCTAGTCAATGTCGACTTGCGTTTTCCCGGTACATTGCCATGGATTCGGCGCATTTTACCTTCTCTCTAGGTTCATATTTTCCAGAAAGGCGTTCCGAGACAGATTCGTCTGAACTAAAGTGGGGAATAAAAACTCTGGCGTCGGATCTGATAACCTCAATCACGGACTTTAGAACTTCTAGAACTACATAGTATTCCGCCGCTATCCTGGAAGGATTCATTAACGGGGCAGGTTGTCGCCGAGACATCCGCTTACCGTGGCCATGCCACCAGACTCTGCGAACCATCTGTGTAAAGCCACACACTGACCCACTTGGTGCAGTTCCCGCACCTCTAGCTATGGATAGTGATACTTATTGTCTGGCTAGACTGGACGTACAGTCGTTAAAGGGTGTTCAGTGAAAATTTCCGCAGGCTCAACGCTTGTCTGGGTGCTATCCTTGGGGTTAACTGCGCCAAGTATAGACGCAATTCTCTCAGCGCGAAGCCAATTGAAGAACATTGTCTCGTTTACCACTGCAGTGAATGATCAGGGCTACTAGTTACACATGGAAAGCTTGTATTCTAGACAAGCATCAGATACGAAGTGCCTAGGTTGTCACGGAAACGGAAATTCAACTGTGAAATTATCTGCATTGCTTCGAGACTGTACAATAAAGAAACGGGGTAAACCCCAACCAGCAAGCAAACGTTGAGAAAGGGGGCCCTATTCGAAAGAATGGCAGATAGATCGACGCCGATGGAAGATGCAATGGGGGCCCCAAGCAACCGTGTGAGCCCTGACCATGTTTCATGAAATGCCCATCAAAAACAGGGGCTGGGTCATTAATGTCAAAGACAATCGGGATATTTTGAGCGCCTGGAAATGGAAGATATTGCAGAGCAGGTATCAAGAGATTGTACACAGAAATGGAAATTATGGTGGGCCCCGTACGGGACGGAAAATGGTAGCCGGGAGCTCAACGGTAGGAACCTACGGCCATATTAGCAAATGTATCTGGAAACAATCAGAAGAAGGATAGACTACCATTGTAATTCGGGGTTTGACCTGACCCGCGGGGATTTTGTGGGATTTGAAGCTGGGCGACGTTGCTAGGGAGATCAATGCGACGAAGAAGATCAATCATCTTGTCAGCAGAAAGCCGGGAAATATTGTATGAAGATGCGGGAGGCATGATGCTCAGCAAGTTCACTACCTCACGAGGCAGAGGGGCTGGAGAGCCTTGGGCCTTGTATGAAGTGTTTTGGCCGTTCAACTGCTGCACTCGCTTGCTTTGGTCGAGACGCCGAGCTTGGACGGTCCTCATTGGGGACTCGGCGCGAATGAACTTTCGTGGGCGGTTTGAGTCATCATCGAAGTCGTCGACGGGGTACGGTCTCTTTGGGGAATTAAGAGAGGGCTCCAGGTACCGTGGCATAGGAGACTCGTGGAATTCCGAGGTACCACCGGGAACAGTGGTCCTAGGCCGGGTCTGAGATGGCGATAGAATGAGACGCACGGCTGTGGGATCAAAGGAGGGGATAGAGTAACGATGGGCGAACTGTTCCAAGGCAGGATCCTCGGGGTATAGCTCGCGCATACGTTTCTCCAAGTTGACAACTTGAGTGAGATCGCCGTAGCGGGATTCATACCCGTGCAGGAAGGAAAAGATAGGCTTGGCCTTGTAAACATTCTCAGGAACCGATGTCAGTTTCCTCACGGTTGTTTCAAAAACGGCGCGGGCATCTTAGGCATTGGTTAGTAATTTCTCTTAGAATGGTGCGGGGATTAACTTGCTGGTAACATCGTTGATGTCGAGAAGATGCTTCAAGTACTCGAGCGCGAAGTTCTCATCTTCGGGGAACAGCTTTGCACCCCTCTCAAATATTTTTGTAGCAGCGGGATCCTTGTAGCAATGGTACTCCATGAGAGCACTGGCGATATAAACATCGCTGGTGATCCGACCACGCCTTCTGGCTTCCGCAAACACTTGTCGAGAGCCAGCCAATTCTCCAGGCTTGCCTTTGCCCTGGATGCGACGCATAGAACGCATGAGTGAGATCCATGCGAAGGAGACAGTCTTGGAGAGAACATTGATCTGGATGGAATGGGCTTTGCGAACTGCCTCAATCTGAGCCGTCTTGGCTGCCTCTCTTTCCTTTGTTTCCGGGTCGTCTTCCTCCTCGTTCCCGTTCTGAGGGTGGCTGTCGGCATTCTGAGGGGCAAATGACTCTTCGATGCGAGCGATATCTTGAGATTCCTGAGCGCGGGCCTTGTTGATCAATTCATAAAGCGTATCAAGAAGCTTGTCGTAAGGCTCCCGGACCTTGGCTGCTCGTTTGGCGGAGTCTTGATCGGCATCAGTCACCATTTCCAAGCGGTCCGCGCGCTTGAAGGTTAGCAGACAGCTTTCTGGATTTGCATCGATGCCCTGTTTCAAGAAATCGATGCCTTCGGTTTCCATCTCATTCGAAAAACAAAACTCGGCAGCGTCGAACCAAATTTCGGGCAAGAAGCTCAATGCCATGAGTGCTTGCTTGTAGACGTAGACAACGCGTGCTTTGAAAGCAGGAAGATCGTCCTCCTTGAGTACCAATGGGTCCTCTTTCTCCCATGCTATCCAACGCTTCCAGATCTCGGCCTGCGTGGAGAACTCAAAGTCGCCTTCAGAGCCTGGGACTGGAGGCAACCGGGGAAGCGAAGTACGGACCAAGTTGCGGGTGATATTCTGCAACTCGGTATGTGAGCTGCGTGCAGTCATGTAGGATGGCGACTGCTCTTGCAAGTATCTCCGACCCTGGCAGTGACAGTTAGTAAAGGCTAGTTGAACTGCGAGGGGGAGTGGCTTACCGTAAGCTTGTTCAAACCCATCTCGAATTGATCATACTCCTTCCAGAGAGTATTGACGGCCTGTGTTGGGACGGCAATGGCTCGCTGGTAAGCTTTCCGCAAAATATCCATCTTTTGCTGATCCTGCCACCCAGATCCACCGACGGTACCTGGCCCCGAACGAATAAACTCGATGTAGTCTGTCCAGATGTTTCCGCAGTCCTTGTCCATACCAACGTATTGAATAGCCAGGTCGTAAGCCGATGAGATGACGGCGCGCGCCTGTCCAGAGGTATCCGTAGTCAAAGGATTACGGCGACGGACGTAGTCCAGATAAACTGACCAGAGATCGACGCTGGGGATTGTCAGAAGCGTTCGATTGAAAAGTTGCTCCAGGCGGAAGAGTTCATTAAGTTCGGATTCCATGACAGCATATGCCACCCATTGATCAGCCTGGTATCATATTAGCAACATTGCATCTTAAAGAAGGGAAAATCAAGCTTACCGCCATGGGGAAAACCTTCAAAAAGTGTTCATAGGTCTCACGGGCACTGTCCAGTCTGTTGCGGCTCCTGTGCTCGGCAATTAACTCCAACCACGCGGGAATATCACCTCGGGGATCCTCTTCAATGCGGTCTTGCAGGATCCCCACACGGTCATGGGGAAGACGACCCTTGGCAGAGGGAGAGTCAGGTACAGGGGTAGGATCAGTACTGGTCTGCATGTTTGTAGCTTGCACGTCCTGCGCAGCCCAGTAAGATTGGCCAGAAACAGAAGAAGGATCAATATTAGGAACAGGAGCAGGAGAATAAGAACTATTGAGATCTGGCCCACTGATAGGACCTTGCGCAGCTTGCGATGATACATCCGGGGAAGTGTTTTGAATTGCATTTCCTGAACTGGGATCTTCAGACATGGTCACAGTCATATCATTTGCGTTCTCGTCTCCAAGTACAGCTGGTGGCTCATAGTCCGCATCACCCTTGTCATCCTCATCATTGTCAACCTCAAATCCCCCGATCGTTGTGCAATGGGGTTCGGCCGCGTCACCGGATGGTGGAACGGGCGTTGACGTCTGAGACTCAGCACGTGAGGGCTGCTGGGAAGGATCAAGAGCGTCGCCTGTCTGGCTAGCGTCCATGTCTGTAGCACCGGTGGGATTGGGGGTGTTATCATCCGTGAGAGTTGCGTCAGTGGGGGCATCGTGAGCCTGCGTATGGTCGGGTACGGCAGTGGGGTAGTCATCTCCTAATGTCTGCGACGGGTCGTAGTCATCCGAATCAGAGTTATCGCCCTCCTGCAGCTCGGCGGGGGCCGAGTCGGTCATGGTCTCGGACTGTTGAGCTTGGAAAAAAGCGGCTTCGGCTTCATCGTCCATGACGGGCGATTGCGAAAAGAGAAGCTGGATAAGTTAGAAGTTAGAAGCTGCAAAGGTCAAGGCGCGAAGTGAGGCCAAATCAAATGAGGACCAAGACTCCGGAGGCTTTGCGACACAGCCACTGGAGAAGCTCAGCCGCAAGAAGGGAAGAGTTGAGGTTGCCCCGGTAGTGAGTCACGTGCGGGCGGTGAGCGCGATGCGAGGGACGCGAAGGCGCGTCGATCGTGGGCTCCTCGCATTGAGAGGGGCCGTCGAGAGTTAAGTCCCTTTGCATTCTTGTGGACCTCTGTGTTTGTTTCCCTTCTTATTTCTCTTCCTTTATAATTCTTATTTGACATCTCCCTCCCCCTTGTCTATACCTTTCACTTCTTCCCAATCTTCTCATCCTCTCCCAACTACGTACATACAACCAATCTTATCACAATGTCCGTCGTCTCCCTTCTCGGGGTGAAAATCCTCAACAATCCGGCCGCCTTCACCGACTCTTACCGATTCGAAATCACCTTCGAGTGCTTGGAACAGCTCCAGAAAGGCGAGTAAAAAGTGAATCTCCTATTTCGAGGTCAAATATTCTAACACACCCTGCTTAGATCTCGAATGGAAGCTCACCTACGTCGGTTCCGCCACTTCGTAAGTCCACCCTACTTATCCTCGGTCATTCCATCAGATTCTGACTTCAACAGCTCCGAGTATGACCAAGAACTCGACTCCCTCCTCGTCGGTCCCATCCCGGTCGGAGTGAACAAATTCATCTTCGAAGCCGACGCGCCTGATGTCAATCGCATCCCCAGCTCGGAGATGTTGGGCGTCACTGTCATCCTCCTCACTTGCAGCTACGATGGCAGAGAGTTCGTTCGCGTTGGCTACTACGTTAACAACGAGTACGACAACGAAGAGCTAGCAACCGACCCGCCCTCGAAGCCCATTATCGAGCGAATTCGCCGCAATGTCCTCGCTGAGAAGCCCCGTGTGACTCGCTTTGCTATCAAGTGGTAAGTCTCCTTGTTTTTTTTTTTTTTTTTTTTTTGTTTATGGGGCATTAATTGACATGGTTTCTAGGGATACCGAGGATTCTGCTCCCGCTGAGTACCCGCCTGACCAGCCCGAGGCCGATGGCCAGGCCGACGACAGTGGTACCTACGGTGCTGAGGAGCGTGAACTCGAGGCTGCTCTCCTCAAGGAACTCGAAGAGTCGAACAAGCCCGCTGAGGGCGAGGACCACGAGATGGAAGGCGCTGACGCCCCTGCTGGCAAGGAGGATGAAGAGGAAGAGGCCTCCGATGCTGAGAGTGAGGATCTGGAAGCTGAGAGTGATGACGATGAGGATGACCTCGATGAAGAGGAGGGTGGTGATGGCGATGAGGATGTTGAGATGGGCGATGACTCCGAGCAGAAGGCTGCTCATCCGGCCCATCAGCCTGAGGTTATGGCGCACTAGATCATGGTGTGCCAATGATTCGAACACGCATTTCTTTTATTTTCTTTTTATTTCTAAATGCTCTTTGACGACAGCCAGAACGCGACGTTTACGACCCAAGGACTGATTCTCCCCCATACTTCTCGAAAAATGGGAATTGATTATAGTCTATGAACTAGAATTTACATATTTCTGAACTTCAACGAGTGCCGATCAGAAATTCAAATTCCTTTGCTCTGATACATGTAAAATTGAAGGGATTGCGACTAGTGGACCATTCGTTGTAATGCATACATCCCCTTCCATGCCTCTTACGATGCATTCACCCTACAAGCCTACCAGGTGGTAACAATGAATCCCTCCGACCTGCCAAATGAAGTCATAAAAGTGTACGATGGATTCTAGATCAACATGAAGAATGTTCGGACTGCCATTCTACGCCGAGCTATTCGCCAAAAGGGAGCCCTAGACTAGCTACTATTTATCCCCTTCCGTAGCAACGTAGAACTAGTGGAAGCTGTCTCACTTAGTGGCCTTTTGGACATTGTTAGGCAATCCCCCTTTCACATACCTTCAATAACATATTTGCAGGTTCTTGATCACATTGGCCCGAAATTGAAGAGACGAATACGGACTACTTACGGCCTTATATCATCTAGGGTCCGTGTTGTACTACTGTAGAGCACAGCACCCAGCTCGGGCTAGCTCGGGACGGGGTATACAGCAACAAAAAATGCACCATGTAAACCCAGGTTAAAATTGTAAAAAAAGGTGATATATCACATCCCAGGAATATTGACCCAACCACCCTTGGGCGGTAGAAAGACAAGAAACAAACAAAACATATCCATACTGTATGCATTCTAATCAAACCATTGAACCCAGAAGGAGGACAAACTAAAGCCCAAACTTCGAACCAAGCGCTACAAAAAGACCGGTCAGCATCAATCACGCAAGGGGGTGAACACTCGGGCCCGCGCGCCCCATCAGAGATCGACTTACCGCCAAAGACAGCCTTCCTCTTTTGTGACTGAACGTATTTGCCAACATCGCTAGCGAAGTTGCTGCTGTTCTCCTCGAGCCTGTCCATACTGTCTCCGACAATCCCTAGTCGCTCTGTGCGTTCTTGGACTTGACGGGACATATAAGACCAATAGCCTTCTTGACTGCCACTCTGTTCGAGTGGCGGTGCGGCGCGTCCTTCTCTTAGGGCTTGTCGGCGTTCTTGGTCTTCGTGCTTCATTTGTTCGATCATTCGCTTTGACGGTGGTCGGTCTGGGCCGCCGACTGGAGTTGATGTTAGGTGTTGTAAGCGTTCTTTGACAGGGGTCACTTACTCAATATATCCATGTCTGCTGGGGAGACATATTGTGTCCCGGAGATCCATTGGATGTTGGTAATGGTAGGACGCTGAGGGAGAACAGCCTCAGGGTTGTAGAGACGGTCTTTTGAGGGGTGTCTGCGATGGGTATTAGCACATCATCTAGTTAACCCATTAGAAATACGTACAGTTTGTTTCCACCTCCCCAGACATTAAACAGCCCGAGTTCCGAAGGACCAACCCATGTCATGATATTTCCAGTTGGGGTAATGCATGCTTCTGAAAGTCGTCGCATGTCCGCAATATGACTGAACTTGGTGCATCCAATATCTCGGAGGCCAGGAATTGAAAATGCGCGGGCATTCCCATCACCAAATAGGCCTACCAAGCTGTAGCCCCGTCCCTCAGTTTTGACGACCGCTGCCGAGTCACAAATATAGTCTTCCCATGCTTTATGGGCACCCTTTGATGTCGGGGGCTTGAAGATTCGGCAGCCACCAGTAGTCACAGCAATTACAACGCCATTGACCTTGATCCCGCTTCTCAAACTGCCAACCACACTTGGTGTAGCCAAAGCAAGACCGCCTGAGTCTGCATCAATGGGAATGATGTTGATCACTTTGTCATCAACCGCTGATGTTCCAGCGAAAGCAGCTGTGTAGGTGCCATTGGAGCTGGGAAGAATCTTGAAGGTTGCCACATTACCTCGGCTCGTGCCGACAAAGCAGCATATGCTGGAGTAATCTATATTGCGATTAGACTTAGCTTGAACAAAATGATTTAGTTTGATCTTTACCTTCGCCTTCCAGGGTCATCACACCAAACTCAATATTAGTGGGCCATTCAGGATGGATATCCTCCGAGCCACGGCTCTTGCGGACGAAGCTGCTCCGCTTCGGTGCTTTGATGAAATCGGACAGATGCGCCGTGTGAATAACTGCCGGGCCTCGCAGATCAATTATCGCTAGGCCACCACCTTCGAAACCGACGGCCACGAATCCTACTTGGCCATGCTTCAGTGCAGTCACTGGGCCCTGTTGCATATCCAACATAGTAAGAGGAAGTAGTCCTGTCTTAAGGCCTGGGTCTGTCCGCTGGGTGATCGGAGTCAATTTCCCGGGCCCTTGGTTGGCACCAGGGGGTTCTTCATGTCCATACGAGGGGTTATTGCCCCATCGGAAGATAGCAAGCTCTCCGGTCTTGAGACCAATAGACATCTCGCCAGTTCCGCTCGCAAGAGACATTTCCGTCACTTCGATGTTGTTAACTCGGCCGATAGCCCGGGCAAGATCAACTTGAATCACATCGCCGTTTTCAATTTCGTCGTCATGTCCACAATCCCAAACACGAACGGTACCGTCTGCATGAGCCGTCGAAACGACATTGCGGTTTTCAAAGCGCTTGAGAGGGTTCTTTGCTTCCGCACCGCCCATTGCGAATTTAGGGCCCTGCAAGCGACGTTCTTTCAGACCGAGCCACACAGATCGATCGACGGGAGTAAGCACTGCTTTATTCACAAACGGATGAACGAGAGTAAGGAAGGGGTGAAGCATATTGGTTGGGGTAATTGCGTGTCCACTGGGGAAACTCAGGGTAACAAGCTCGCCCGAGGATAGCACAGCAAGAAGCGCGATCGGATCTTGAGCACCATTAAAGTAAGGCGATGCACGAGGAATAAGACAAAATTCGACAACTTTAGCCCCTGGTGGAACAGCAAGCTTCATCTCTCGCCGTGGGCGCTCAAAGTAGCTAGATAGAATCTGCCATGAAGAGGTCTGGTAGTTGGGAGTTGGGCCCATGTCCAAGAAAACGAGACCTTTGCTCTGCTCACCAACTGGCCGACCACCAGCCACCAATAGGCCAGTATCATCCGGGTTTTCTTTGGCACACCAAGCTACCTTTGTTATCGGCTCCCTGGGCCCAGGGACTTCTCCCGGCGAACCAGGTCTGGCAGCATCAGGGCTGTCAACATTGGGTGTTTGGACCGTTCGAGCGTGAAGTTTGCGGCCGTCCTTCGTATCCCACAGTACCAGACTTGAATCCTCATGGACTGTGAGAATGAAGATACCATTCGGGTGCCAAATTGCGTTGGTCAACTTGGGTCTGCGCACGTCGCTGGACGGCAGTGAATCTCCACCCGGGGCCCTACGAGGAATCTCGTAGACAAAGAACTTTTGCGCAATATTCTGCTTGAACGTGAATGTCACCGCTCCCTCGGGGTATCCCACTAGGATTTTGCCGATGTCTCGTGTGGAAAATGCCAACGACACAACAGGGGAGAACCGCGCGCGAGGGTTGCGTTCCAACCACAAGTTCGGGATTTTGAAAGGTGTCATTGATTCTCGGTCCAAATCGTATGCAATAATGTCACCTATTCCAAGGTCAGTCATTGTGTCTCCATTGATCACTGACAGTAAACAAACCATTCGACAAGCCGATAAACGCATAGTCCAAGCTCGGATCCGTTAACAAGGCCGTCGCTTGGCCTGGGGGCGCATAGGACACGACCATGCGCCCAGTCTCCAAAGAATAAACGCTGATTTCATTCTTGGAGTCGAGGCTCACGAGCTTGCTAGCGCAGAACTGGAGAAACCGCGCGGACGCCTTGCGCGGGAATTCAAAGACCACCGACACCCGCCGTTGCCCAAAGACATAGATCTGCCCGCTTCCAAACTGGGTATCACTGGTACCGATGGCGAGGAGCGATTGAACAGGATCGTATGCGATAGCACTAATCTGTGAGTTCACACCACACCGAGCGAACTGCAAACTGCGGTGTCAGTAAAAAAAGAGGATGCCTGGGATGCCAAGACGTACGTCGTCCAGGAGGAACAAATCTGGGGACAACCCCTCAGACAGGTCCTTCTGGATACCGGCTTGCTTGCCTCGCAAGAACTGAGCCATGTGGGAGTATCCTGCGAGCTGGAGTGGCAGGTTATCAGAAGGAAGAAGTCAAAAAGTGTGGAGAGGGACAGCTGACGCCATGCAGAAGCTAAACACGGATCTGCCCCGCTCCGCCCTATGAACTCCGACACTCCGGCTACTTCCCTTTGTTCTGTTCTCATTGTTATACATGTATATCGCAATTGGACTGACTCGGAGATCTGCTTTATTTGATCATATGCTATATATTTGGGGACGACAAAACTCCGGATTCCATGCAAAACTATAAATGGGGCCCGCTGAAACAAATCGCTTGAGAACAACAATCTATATCTCAATCTCCAAGGGTATCGCGTCGAACATGCGATGAACCAGTCAAAGCAGTTGCCACGTTACACCTATTCAAGTCTCGCCATCTCCGCAATGGTGGTTGTCAATCGTCTCCGCGCGTCGAATTCGATCGTCTCATCCCGGCTTCGATGATATTGGAGAGTGATCTGGGAGACCAGCCGATAACATGCATACCTGATGATAGCATTGAAAGTTAGCATGATTGACTTGAGCGATATGGATTTCCAGAAACACACAGGACCAGCCGGACTTTTTCCTCCCTTGTTCGAAACGGTGACATTCCTGCCCCTTGCAAAACCGCCGGTGATGGGTTTGCAAAGATCTCTGCCATCAACACGTCACCCCAGAGGGCACTGCTAAAGTCCACAATTCCCGATACCTGCTCAGACTCCTCGTTCAACAATACATGGGAGGGCTGACCGAAGTCGACGACCACCAAACGTGGTAAGGTGACAAATTCGAGAGCAGGTGCCAAGCGACTTAGTTCGTTCCGAATCTCTAAATAGGGAGATGAATAAACGTGTCCTCGGCATCGCGAAGGATGCCTTCGAAGAGGGTACAAAAGGCTTCTCTCCAGGAGGGCCTTCCAGCCCCGTATGCCACTTGCTGCAGAGACCCAAACCCGGGTGCTGCATTTTGACCGATGGTGCTCGACAAGAAACCCAAGTGGCGGTCAACGTCATCCCGTTTCTCGGGAGTGAGCTCGCTCTCCATCTCGAGCAAAGTCTTGCCTTTCATATACTGTCGAATCATATATGGAGATCCCCACACTCTGCCATGGGGGTCATAATGGTAGAGCTGGGGGATACAAGGGTTTCCACTCTGACCAAGCAGGGCAAGAAATTGGGCCTCGGTTTCGAGAAATGATCTTTCACGTCGGAGAAGAGCCGTTCTTGATGATGGGGAGCCTTTTAGCAACAAACGAGCCCCGTTTGACAGTGCCAGGAGCCGTAACGTGTGAACATGACCTAGAATAGGGTGCGAATGTTGCACGCTAACCGCAGAGGGGAAGAGCAGCGAGAGTACAGCATCCAGCCTATGGTGTTCATCTTCTTCGGTGACACGGGATTGACGAAAAGTGCCCATACGGCTGTCTGTTCCCCCGAGGGATGGCATCGCAGACCATGTTTTCAAGTCAAGCTGTTGCATCTTGGACTGTTCTTATTAAGGTCATAGGGGAAATTGACCGAGATCGACAGACAGGGGAGAACGAAACTATGTATAAGCGAAGCTGTGAAGTCTCATAAAATGAAAGGGAGCGGTCTGCCTCCAAGGAGATGGGTTGATATGCCATGCACTAAGTTAAGCGTCATAAATCTCGGTTCAGGCTTCCAGAACAATACAAAGACCAGAAGATCCATAGAGAAGATCGTCTGGATATCCTGTCTGGGATCATCAGACCGCCATGGTTGCATTGCGCACGTAACATTCTGCTGAAGGAAAGTAGCCACGGACCTATTACCAGCGCCATAAGTTTACTAGGTTTACCCACGCGAGATACGAGCTTTCGCTTGTCAAGAGTCAAGCACATCCGAGGTTCAAACACCAGCAGCGGAGCCTAATTAAGAGAATCTGTTTCGCTCAGAGGCACTATCCAAGCGACATGGAAATGAAGTGAAGCCCGACTCGCCTAACCATCCCCGTCTTAGAAAAGCGGCTATCCGAGCACCGCCACCCGCCCAATCACAACTGTGTCTTGCCGAATGTCTCCGTGTGGATCGCCGGGATCAGAGAACTTCCATTTGTTCTTCGTTAATTCTTTCTTTTTTTTTTTTCGATTAGTTTCTTACTTGGTTTTGAATGTATTTAGTATTGCTACTTCTGCCTATGCCCAATCCGTTACAATAGATCGTTTTCGATTGCTTGAAGTTGTCTTCATATACTCTAGGCTCCTATGTTCTACACTGTACGGAGTATATGCGCGAGGATTCCCCAAATGCAAGGCATTCGGCCTTGTACTGTAAGCGTGCTCGGGCCCCTTGGATCCGCAGATAGCTCCCAGCTCCCAAGTCGTTTCAGATTCGGAGAAAACTCTTCGGGTATAATACTTTCCTTTGATTTCATTGCGTGCCTGGTAGACATGGCAATGCCCCGCGCGGGACGGCTTGTGGCTGCATGAACTTGGTGGCAGTTCTAGTTGAACTCTAGGCATCTTAATCGCACACACTTGGATCCTGGCGTCACTGACAAAATCCATTGGATGATGATTTTTGACTGAGATAGCTACAACCATAGCCATAAAGCCTGGGACACCTCAAAAGGGTATTTGGTCGCTTGGTCAGCCTAAGCCTGGGCCTCACTGGTCTTAGGGGTTTCAATAGCCTTGGCTTCTCCTGCTTTCGGGGTTGGGTCGTAGATCTCGGCCAGGTTGAACCGTTTCAGCCTATCGTAATCTCCTCCTACCACGCTCATGCCAACCACGTTCTGTAACGAGTCAGTCAAACCCCTGATAGGTCATACAGTACCCAATGGGAAGGATCTCTCAGTACTGACCTGGACCACATCAACGAGAATGATAAGATCATAATTCTTCAAGTTCACTGGATGCTCAGGGCCAACAACATCCGCCACGGTTTTAATGATAATATCGCGGTTGAGCTTGTGGTTGCCTCGCACAGTAGGCCGAATAGCGTACTAAATAGATGACAAGTCAGCACTGCCCAAACGCCATTTCCCCTTACGGCGAGATGCGTCATCGGATGTTTTCCCACATCAGTAGATCTCCGAACGGGCTTGAACTCACCGTCTTTGGAGGCCCACCCGAGTGGAAATGAGGCTTGAGTATCTCCTTCGCGAAAGCTTCTAGGTCAACGCTCAAAGTCTTCCGCATGGACGTGATTGGATGCATGCGCTTAATATATCGGCTCTTCTTCGTCTCCGGATTGGCCTCTGCTTCGAGACACAGACGGTGAACGAGCTGCACCGGGTCTATCGAGGGATCAAGGCGCATCCAGACCACTTCATGGGGTTAGCATGCACATGTTCAGAACCGAGCGCATAAGCGAATGGCGTTTTTGGAGCGTTGCCAGACGTACCACATGGTAGCTCCATCTGAACACCCTGAAATTGACGAGGTTTGTCTTTGTTTGGCTGTAAGCCTTCCAGCTCCCTGCGGATCTGGGCCTCAATGTCTTCGTCGTCTGAGTCCGACTCTTCTTCTGTCGGCTTCTCGTCACCTTCAATAGCCTAGATTGAGCGTCAGCGAGACTGACCTCGACCATAGTTGTTCCTCTTACTTGAGAAAAAACGTCCATTGCTTCTCTTAGGCATTTTCCTTCTCTGCCCATGTCGCATGTCAAAAAGACGCCCGACTCGCCTGATTCAATGGCGACTCGACTTTTTTGCTGCTGCCATTTCCCACCCTAATCCCAGTCAGCGCTCAAATTGTGTATAGCGCTGTGGTACGGTCGCGCCAGTGATAACAAAGCCTCACCTTCTTCGAACGAGTAGTGCTCTTTGGCATTTTCCCCATGTTGTTGATATGAAGCTCAAAGTGGTGGGGGTCGGAGTTTTGTGTGATCAGCCCGGAGTTATGATTGGGTTAGGCGGGATCGACAACTTTGGAAGTGAGCTTCATCTTCTTTTTCTATCGACAACTGCAATTGACACTTCTTATTCGTTCACTAATGAATAGTAATTCGAGAACATGTGGATATTCCTCATTGCCTGTTGTTTGTTGTGGGACAATTGATGGCATGACATCAACTTATCCAATCATGACGTAGTCCCAGGTCTCACTATCATCCGGTTGATCACCCAGTTCTTTTGTTCTTTATAAAAGCTTACTTGCTTTTTTTGCGGTCTTCCATTTCTCTTTTTCGCTATCTTTCTACTCCTCAACCTTTCCTTGGCCATGGCGTCCACCGATATTGCTACTCAGGAGCTTAAGAATCCCATTGATGTCACCGAGTACCTCTTCCGACGTCTCCGCGAGGTCGGAATCCGCTCGGTGCACGGCGTGCCTGGTGACTACAACCTCGCAGCCTTGGATTACCTGCCTCGATGTGATCTCAACTGGGTTGGGAACTGCAACGAGCTTAACGCCGGTAAGATGCGTAGATAGAGATGAGAAGCAAAAGTACTTGTCTAACAGCTATCATAGGTTATGCCGCCGATGGATACGCTCGTGTGAACGGTATTAGTGCCATTGTCACAACCTTTGGTGTCGGAGAGCTGTCAGCCCTCAACGCCATTGCTGGCTCATACTCCGAATTCGTCCCGGTCGTTCATATCGTTGGCCAGCCCACCACCCAATCCCAGAGAGATGGAATGTTGCTACACCACACTCTCGGAAATGGTGACTTCGACGTCTTCAACAAGATGAGCTCTGCGATCTCTTGCTATGTCGCTCGACTGAATGACCCCCATGATGCGGCAACTCTTATCGACAGTGCCATTCGTGAATGCTGGATCCGCAGTCGTCCAGTCTACATTACTTTGCCCACCGATATAGTCGCCGCCAAGGTCAACGGTGATCGGTTGAAGACACCCATTGACCTGTCGCTGCCTAAGAATGACCCGGAGAAGGAAGATTATGTTGTTGATGTTGTTTTGAAGTATCTCCATGCTGCCAAGAACCCTATCATCTTGGTCGATGCCTGTGCCATTCGTCACCGAGTACTTGAAGAAGTGCAAGACCTCGTTGAGAAGTCTGGACTGCCGACCTTCGTAACCCCTATGGGCAAGGGAGCCATTAACGAGACACACAAGAACTTCGGAGGTGTTTATGCCGGAAACGGCTCCAACCCTGGAGTCAGCGAGGCTGTTGAGGCATCCGATCTCATCCTGAGCATTGGCGCCATCAAGTCTGACTTCAACACTACCGGTTTCACCTATCGCATTGGACAGCTGAACACCATTGACTTCCACAGCACCTATGTGCGGGTCCGGTACTCCGAGTACCCCGATACCAACATGAAGGGGGTCCTGCGGAAAGTCGTTCAACGGATGAAGCCTCTGACTCCCGGCCCTATCCCCTCACTCACGAATCGACTGTCCGACGGCGAACGAGCCTCGACCGACCAAACCATTACGCACAACTGGCTATGGCCGATCGTTGGACAGTGGCTGAGAGAAAAGGACGTCATCATTACAGAGACTGGAACTGCCAACTTTGGTATCTGGGACACCCGCTTCCCTGCCAACGTAACTGCCATTAGCCAGGTCCTCTGGGGCAGCATTGGTTATTCTATGGGAGCCTGCCAGGGTGCCGCGCTCGCTGCGAAGGAACAGAAGAACCGCCGGACCATCCTTTTCATCGGTGATGGAAGTATCCAATTGACCGTGCAGGAGCTGAGCACAATTCTGCGGAACAAGTTGAACCCTATTGTGTAAGTTTGCTTGGCTCACTGTCCTCTCCCTTCATATGCTTACATTTTGTTAGGTTCGTGATCTGCAATGAAGGATACACCATCGAGCGATACATCCACGGATGGGATGCGAAGTACAATGACATCCAGTCCTGGGACTTCGCCAACATTCCCAAGGTTTTCGGCGGCAAGGAGAACTACCAGGGATACCGGATCAAGACCCGTGACGAGCTCAACAAGCTGTTTGCCGACCAAGAGTTCAATTCTTCCGACAAGCTTCGGGTAAGTCATCTGCCTCGGTCATTTTATAATTGCCTACTAATACAAAACTTAGTTGGTCGAGCTGTACATGCCGCGCGACGACGCTCCTGCAGGTTTGAAGCTCACTGCCGAGGCCGCTGCCAAGCGAAACGGTTAAGCATGAAGCGCGAGAGATATGACTTCGCTCTGTCACGATGCATATGAAAAATAAAAAACATGAAGCGACATCTGCTTTTTCCTCTGGCGTTTATTCTAAAGGGATACGGATCGGCAACACCCACTGTGTCTGAACTTAATTGGGCTTCTTCGAAAGCATGAATTTCTCTTCTCTACTCAGATTACAATGTGGAATGAAACATGATATGATCAACTCTAGATTAACATCCTACCTGTAAATTATGGAGTATTATGTTACGACGATGTTATACAGCAAAGTAGGCCCAGTCAGGTGATGATTAACGGTTGAAACCTGCAAGATTCCGCGTAGAAGTATGTGGAGAGAACCCAGCTTGATCAATGCCAAGCTTGTGTAGTCAAAAAAACACGAAATAACACCAGTCTCTGGAGTTTTGAGTACACTTGCCTGACAGACCACGAGGCTCCAGCCATCGACATCGACAAAACATACATCTTGCATGGCAACGATCAACAGTTCTCATCGAATACTTAGGGTAATAATCAACGTAGGGCATGGGATTGAAGCATTGTTCGTTTGATCCGATCACCGTATTGCGGGTACGGGCACTTGCTTCGATCCAACTTTGACAAACGGTATATATCCGACAACCGCGACCCTTCCTCCCCTGGTTTGTCAGCCAATCCGTATTGATAGCCTCCAGATCTTGAGGTCTTCAAATCAAGTCGAATAACAGTTAGCACATGTAAAAGAAATGGGAATAACAGAAAAGAAAGAGAAAACAAGATCTGAAATCTCGTTTAGCGTTGGTCACTATATTTAATCATTCGGATCATGGCACGCATTATAGACGTTCGAGTATGTTGGCACTCTACGGATCAGTCTTTGCTTTTACTGTGAGGGTAGGAGCAGGCTTACGAACGAGTTCTAGCTTTGTTCGGGAAAAAGGACCTGCATAGCGATAATGACCGGCTCACAGACCTTTGAGTGATTTTGATTGGATTTCTGGGGCTAGGCGAAGACCCAAAAATCAGTACATAGACTGATTTGGTTCGCTATTTCTGTCTCTTTAGCTCCCACGACTCCGTGCTGCAATTTCCTTTTTGACAGCACGAAATCTAAGATCTTGGAAGCTCTTGGCCGTATCATTGCTTTGATTCATTTGCTCCAACTGCCTAGTTCGTGGGCCCCATGTAAACGCCAGTTCCTTCCCCGTTCCTAATCCCATGGACGAGGCGGTAGAATGGCTGAGTTTGCAATTTAGCTCCTAAGTCATAAGGTTGTCAAGGCTCCTAATGCTGTGGATGTTGTACTAAGGCCTGACAACCAGAGCCGGCCCTAGACAAAGCTTGGTCGCAACCCCTGCCCGCTTATCGGCGGGTGGTACATACGAAAGCGAGAAAGAATTGAATAGAAGAAAAGAACAAGATTCGGGATCCCATTCAGTATATGCCTATTGGATGATGCGCCGATAAAAGCCATTTTTATTGTGAATATCCCGTTGTTTACAAATGGTTACTGAGCAGCTGCTCCTCCTCATACAAAGGGCTTTATTCCCTACCCCATTATGCTATACGTCTGTTCCCGACTGCCATTTGTCCTCCTCTCTCCCAACACCGTGAATGCTGTATGAAGGTCTGGCATCACACTCAGGACGTAAGTCCGTAATTACTGCCCAGTCACAAGTGGGCGGCCGATACAAGAAAAGATGAAAGAAGAAAGAGAAAAAAGGGAGAGGGAGGAAACAAGGAAAAAGATGACAGAGAGATGGATAGTTCATTCCACGCAGTTTTTGCATTTCATTTGTGCTGTGGATTGTTCTTATGCGGTTTCGGCATTTAGACGTACTGTGTTATGCTGGTTCTTCCATCTCGACCCTCAGCGCATAACCAGCCCCTGATTCTGTGTTGTGGGAGCATCAGGCGTACGGATTATGAGTTCTTGCTTCATTTGGAGAGAAGCGCCTACATAGCCATTACGATACTACTTTGACACCAACTGGTTGAGAGAACTTTGATTGATAGACTCAATATACAAAAAGATAAAATAGAACAGTAAAGCCAAGCCGAAGCCTCTAGTCAAGGTAGGCATATACAAACTACTGGTACGCACACAATACGAAAAGAAGCGAAGAACAAAACCCGAACTACGATTTAGTGTTGTACGTACAAGGAATGAGACGAAGAGAAGAACAAGATTCAAATTTATCATATGCCTATACGAGCTATCCGCTCACTTACAAGCGGGTGGTGTATGCAAGGAATGAGAATTGGAGAAGACCAAAGCCCGAGATTCTATTCAGTAGGCCATACACCACCGCTCACTTACAAGCGGGTGGTATATACAACTAACGACAAGAGAATAGGACCAGGACTCGGACTTCTATTCAGTAGGGCTATACAAACTACTTGTTCACTTATACGCGGGTAACACATACAAAAAGTGAAATAGACTGACGAGTAAGAGGTTGGTAGGCCATAAACCACCTACTCACTTATAAGCGGGTAGTATATACAAAAAGTGAAATGGAACAGAATAGCGATAGAAACCCAGGATCTGGATCCTATTCTCTAGTGTTAGATAATGATTGAATGGCTCGCCAATGAATAGTCAGTGCATATATTATAGACATATCAATTTCCACTCTGTATTGTTAGCTCATTATGTGAAAGGCTTGACACCAATATCTTGCGAGTACGTCTCCTACGTTTTGCCTTTCTCTCTATCTATTTATACCCTCTTCTTCCCTCTTCCCTTTTCCTACCTTCTTCACATCAAGAGACTTAAGTATGTATTTCCCTTTGGTACCCTTTGAGGACTCGTAACCTTACTTGAATACCCCCTCTTCAATATCTTTCTTGCACCTTCGGAATTGTGCTTCTCTTTCTCAACGCTGCAACCTGACTGACAACTCTCCAGGATCACATCTTTAGCCCCTAACAGAAGAGGTTTACTTCAGCTCCCAGTCAATATCTTCTTTTCTTATTTACACACCATAACTCCGAGTACCACGTGAATTATCATACATCCTGACTGCATCTTTTTCCCTCTACATGTATGGAAGAGCATTAGCCAACTTCTCTTTTCAACGTCCACCATACGATCACTTCCGGCTCAGTCGCCTGAAAGGTACAAGTGAACCTTGATTTACAACCCTACTAACCTTTGATAGCCCCAACCCCCCTCCGCATCATGGACCCAAAATCGTTCCCCGAAGTAAGATCGTTCTCATCTTCTTCGAAGATGAAGTCCGGTGCATCCCAGCATGCTGAACCATCTGGCTCCTCTGGTCATCCGAACTTCGCCTCTGAAATGCCCTTCCGGGAATGTACTTCCGCAAAGCCACTTGGCCCGCGTCTTGCCAAGGACTTGCGCGAGCACAAATCTAACGTGCACGAGGATGCTTCGGGAAAGAAGGCCGAGGAAGCCAACACCTGGAAGAGACGTATGCGCATTGACCCTGACACTGGCAATAGGCAAGTCAAGGGAACGGGCTCTATTAGCGAGAACTCTCCGATCCGCCGAAACGAGTCCCCTAAGAGATGGCCCCCAACCTGGACCGAGAAAGAGAAAGCAAATGCCGAACTCCTGGAACGGGAAGCGGTCGAAGTAGCTGTTTACGAGCCCGAAAGAATCGACCAAGACAAGACTATCCAGCACCAAGACTACACTGAAGTGCACTGGGATGGTTGTAAGAACATCGACATTCCCTGGCATCAATTCAAAATCTTGCCCTCCAGTGTAGTAACTGCCCCAAGCTCTCTATGATTTATTCTTACTCTTTCTAGTCGAAACCTGACCCCGTCAAAATCCAACGTCGTGTTGGATACTGCACTGCCGGCAAAGAGATCGAGTTGATGATGAATGCATACCCAATCCTTTCGTTCCCGACCAAGGCTGTCTATCAATACGAGGTAAGCGCTTCCTTTTCAGTCCATACTTGATATCGCAAATTGCCAATTGATTGCTAGATCAACGTTCTGCAGTCCAACCAGAATCCCAACAATCCCAATGAGAAACCGGCCCAAACTGAGACCGATCGACGAATCCTGAGGAAGTGTTGGAACAGCGAGACACGCAAGGCTCATATTCCTGATGGCATCTGGGATGGTGGCAGGATTTGCTGGTAAGTATTACACCAATTTGGGCTATTGGGGATTTAATTATTGGTATCGCAACAGGTCCTTAAAGGGTTTCAAGAGTTGGCTCGAGACGGTTCAATTCAAGGGTGACTTGACTCGCGAGCTTCAGACTCAAAAGAAAGTTGAGCCCGGCCACTTTCCTACTTTCAAAATGTCTGTCAGGCAAAAACGCAAGCTTAACCTTGGCGTAATCAGCGCTTGGCTTCAGGGAAACCATGAACTTGACGAATACGTGATTGAAGCCTTGCGTATGTGATCGTTACCATGTCCTGTCTGAACTACACTGACAATCCAAGGTTTTCTTGACCATTTGCTTCGTGAATGGCCGACTAGGGAGTTTGCGGCGATTAAACGAGCTTTCTTCTTTGACAATCTCGGTGACAGGCACGCGTTGAAGCAGGACTTTTATCAACAACTCCAGAACATGGGCGCTTCGGTGTACCGTGGCATTTACCAAGCAATCCGTCCGACTCCGGTGAGATTGATATAGTGGAAACAAAAAGGTGAAGAAGCTGACTCGTGTTTAGAACGGCCTTATCCTGAATGTTGATGTTGCCCACTGCGTGTTCTATTCCCGTATCACCCTAATGGGATATCTGATGAATGCTGCAGGCTGCACGGATTTCAATACACTCATCAGGAAGCTATTGCCCTCAAAAGACCTCCATGGGAAGTTAATCCAGTCGAAAATGATCGTGCCCCTGAGCAAGAAGATTTTTGGCCTTCGAGTGGCGCCAAACTACGACGGCTGCCCTGTTCACCTAAAGAGCTTCCTGGTAAAAGGCCTGATCAATGAAAGCCCAAGGACATTTGTTACCGGTTTTGTGGACAAAGCAACCGGAAAAACGACAACCATGAGCATTGAGAAGTACTTCAAGCAACGGTACAATGTTCGTGTCACGCACCCGACCATGCTCTTGGTCGAGATGCAAAAGGACAAAGTCTATTACCCAGCCGAGTTCTTGGTCATCAAGGGCCTTCAGAGATATCGCCCAAAGCTCAACGATGCCCAAGCCGCACAGATGATCCAGTGGTGTGCAACTAGACCCCAAAAGCGGTTGGCGGATTCTCGCCAGTCCAAGGAGTTGTTGGACCACAAGAATGACCCGATCTTGCAGCAATACGGCATGGTTATCAGTGAGCAAATGATCAAGACGAAGGCCCGCCTTCTCCCATGCCCTGAGCTTCAATTTGGCGGTAACCGAAAGCACAACCCTTTGCACACTGGAACCTGGGACCTGCGCGGAAAGAAATTCTTTAAGAGCAACGAAAATTCACTGGAGCGATGGGGTGTTGGTTTCTTCGAGTCGCAGCGAGGTGGAATCGGCTATGATCAGGTCCTCATGTTTACTGAACAGTTCCAGAAGATCTACCGCCAGATGGGAGGCGATATCACAAACCGCCCCGTCGTGGTGCCACTGAAGGAAGACGTGGGTCCTGGTGTCCGCAAGGTGTATGAGGCGGTAGTCTCGCGTTACCCAGGCGAGCCACAGCTTCTGCTTCTGATTGTTGGGGACAAGGATTCTTTCGTGTATCTTCGCATCAAGAAGTCCTGTGACTGTCGGTATGGAGTCCCCTCGCAGGTGCTCCAGTCTAAGCACTGCATTGCCAACAAGCCCCAGTACGCTGCGAACGTTCTGATGAAGGTCAATGCTAAGCTAGGTGGTATCACGGCACGAGCTATTCCTAAAACCAAAGGTTCTACTATGCGACCCGGCTCCATGATCATCGGCGCGGATGTCACCCATCCTATGATGGGCGTGTGGACTCCATCTCTGGCAGCATTTTCGGTTTCTTCTAACTCCACTGGTACCCGCTACATGGGTGGCTGTGAATGCAATGGTGACCGCATTGAGATTATTCGCGAAAGGGTTGTCCAGCAAATCCTGCGCCCTCTGGTCTCCGAGTGGAAAGCGACCATTGGCAACGGCAAGGCCCCGGACTATGTCTACTACTTCCGTGATGGCGTGTCTGCATCCGAATACCGCAAGGTTCTGCGTGAGGAAATCCCTTCTATCCGCTTTGCGATTGCACATGCGTGCGGCCAGAGCATTTGGGCAGGCAAGCTGTGCGTTGTTGTCGCCAACAAACGCCACCATATTCGTGGTTTCCCCGATCCAAGTAGCCGTATAACCTCGGACCCTAACGGTGGCTGTCTCCCCGGTACTATGATCGATCGCGACGTGACCAGTCCCAATGAGTGGGACTTCTTGTTGTACACCCACATTGCTCTCCAGGGAACCGCTCGCCCAGTCTATTACCATGTCCTTCTGAATGAGATCGAGAACCTCGGACCAAATGATCTGGCTTGCATGATCAATGACCACTGCCACCAGTACATTCGCTCTACCACATCCGTGTCTGTTCATCCTGCCATCTACTATGCACACTTGATCTCCGTTCGTGCTCGCCACCACGAGGATGTCCCGATCACCTCTGGCCCTCAAAGCGGCGTGGAGGTCAAGATGTTAAACCCGAAGCCTCCCGGTCCCCGCGCAAAGAAGCTGCTTCCAATTGAGGGCACTTCTAACAGACTGGCTCTTGGCATGTGGTACATTTAAGCAGCTTATATCTGCTCATCATTCTCAGACCAATATCTTTCTTGTTCTCTGGATGATGGTTCCACTTCGCAGGGGGATCTACCATACACTGCGGTACTTCCTCTTGCGAAATTCTGTATCTATCGATGGTGTGTTTTGTTTTTAACCGTTGCCAGGCAGCGTTTTCTAACACTTTCTTTTCAAGGTGGTCTTTTCTGGGGCTCAGGTTAGGACAGCTGCGTTTTTAGATGAACAGGTGGGATGTCCAGGCTTGAAGCGTATCAGAATTGGCATTCGTTATAGTTTTTATCAGTTTGATCATTTGGGGGGTTTTGTCTGGCCGTTGGTATCACAATTTCGGTAGTTCCTGGAATTATTGAACATGGTGGACTTGGCGAAATTGTCCTCGACTTGATCTTCTGGTTTTCAATGGGTTGTTTTTGCCTTCGAAATTTCATAGAGAGCACAAAAAATAGCATTTACTTCCCCAAATTGTCTTCTCTGCAGAGCTTAACAAGAAAAGATCCCTTGACCGGTACAGTAGGAACCGTTTGTGCGGGCATGGGCACTCGCATTGCCACTGAAACAATATTTCTCCAATTGGAAGATCTCCAACTTCCACACTTTAAACTGCTGAGCTGTATTTAGAGTTCCAAGACTATCTACCATCAACAAGATGCACTGACGTTGATTCCGCAGTGGGCCATTTGCAGAGAAAAGCTTAAATCAACGTCCAAGAAGCCACCTCCACAGCACTCTAGGAAATACAAATAAGAGGTATCTGTTAAGACACATGGAAATTGATACCAAACAGGTAAATAAATTGATTTAAAAAAGTAACCGTGTTAAAAAATAGAAGCCCCTTCCAGGGGACTATAGTACAGGAAAGTCAACACCCCTTCGTGATAAATGCAGAATGATCCGATGCCGTAGAACCTCAAAGAAAAGATAGATAGGAAAAGAGAAGTGACTGAATACAAAGACCGAATTATGTATTGCCGGGAGCTTGAGAGGTAGAGGATACCCGTACCTGTATGGTCTGACGTGCAATGGTAGGTAAAGCTCCACCTGCTGCTTTGCTTCCTGTTCATCAAATAGTATCGTCGCAGGGAACGCATGGTGAGAGACGATGGTGTGTGCAAAGATGGGACACGAATAATCGAGTAATGATGATAAAGATACATGCGGAGAATAGAAATATTAGAGAACAGAAAATATAAGAGCGTGGCGTCATAGTTATAATTCATGCGTCACGTTCCATTGGTCATGGTTTCACCAGTGCCGTCAGGGAGACCAATTCCGTCTGGGATGGAGGCTGCAGCATCCCCAGCGGTTTGGTCGCCATCGGCATCGCCATTGGGGTTGGGCATATCCAGGGCTGTACCACTGTTTTTCTTGGCCTTTTTCTTGCTCGGTTCCGTAGCGCCAGCCTTGGATGCATGGGGTGGAGCTGCCCGTTTTTGCGGGCTGGTATGAGGGCCCGAAAGACCTGCCTGGGGGATCTTGCCAGAAGCAGGAAGACGGGGTTTCGCCGCCATGGGTCTCTGCTTCGGAGGTAGCTCAAGATCTTCAGTAAGAGGCTCGTCGTGGTTTGCGTCCAGCTTGCCCTTGAAGAATGCCTGCACCAGTCCAATTTGATCTGACAGGTTTTCTGTGGAGATGCGCGCATATGGAGGAGGAGCTGGGAATAGAGTGACTGCCTGGGAAACACTGGTGCTCTGCGGATTGGCTGCATTGAACATGCGGTTCTGAAGCAAATGTAAGGGCACACTGAGGGTAGAAAGACCGAACTCGCGGTCCAAGCCAAGTTCCTTGAAACCGAAGAAGTCCTCATCGATGTCCTCGGCGAAATCACCACCGACAAATTGTTCGCTGCCATCAGCAAACGCGGTGGAACCATCTTCGCCGCCTTCTGCAAGAGCCGGTCGAAGAAGTTCAGTCAATAGGGACTTGAGGCGATCGTGAGCAGTTGTGAGCTTCGTACCCAGACGATCCACGTCGTCCTTGATGTAGTTCTCCAGTTCATCCACAGAGATGCCAACTGAAGCCAGGGTGTGTAGGATGACTTCAGGTTCTGTGTAGGCAGGTTTCCACTCAGCAGCCGACAATGCAGCCTCCTGGGACTCAGTCGCAGGAACTTGGGGGGTCTCCATGTAAGATTTGAGCGTTGAACCAAGCTTGTGGAAGAAATCAACTGCAATGTCTGTGACAGACTCGATTGCAGATGGCTGGTATTCCTCGAAACCAGTATGGTAAAAGATTTTAGCCACTGAGCGCTGTAAGGCCGCCCGGCAGACGAAGGGGGCAATGACAGGGCCATTGTCGTTCAACACATGAGGTTCCGCATCCTGTTCCACAAATGGCTCGGGGTTGTATTTTTGGAACTGATTGTGGTACATCTAGAGCAAAGTTAGTTGAGGCTAGTCTTGATTAATCGGCTGGCTTACCTGAGACTGAAGCTGCATCTGCTTGACAATGCCAATTTTTGAGCAAATCTTGCGAGTTTCTTGCATCTGTCGCATGTTGGAATTCATCTTCTGGGTCAACTTGCTATCCGGTTGGACGAAAGAGCCCTTTGGAAGAATCCTGAGGAACTCCTCTGAAGCATCAACAACATTGCCCTGTCCATCTTCCTTCCAGGCTAGTTGTTCAGGAAGATCAGGAACGCCAGACATCACGTCATAGTAAAATGGAAGCATCTGGTCTTCTTCCACCTCAATCCCTTCCGCGAGGGACTCGCCTGCAGCCTCGGGTTCCAGTTGCGAACCTGTGTCGCGAGACTTGTCGGCTTCGATAGTAGCCTGCTTTTGGTGTCGAAGCCATCGACGCATGCCGGCCTTGGTTCGGAGCAGGGCCGGTTCCTCAATATTGAGCTTGTCACCCCTGAGGAGACGGTGTCGCTCTGCAGCAATGCGTGCTCGATCCTTCTTGGTGACCTGTTTCCACACCTTGTACTCTGGGTCTTCCAGTTCCACGCCGGGAACCGAAAGAGCACTGAGGGCAGTAGTGGATGTAATTGGACCATCGAGTTCCATAGCATCATCCTGGCTCGCCGCCACTGCTCCTGGACCAGCAGGGTCAGACGGAGTGTTAGATCCAGGAGGTGGTGTACCAAATCCATTCTGACTTGCTTCACCGGCAGCATCCGAGTCGGCACGCACTGGCGCAGGTGGCTGAGTACTGGGTGCCCCAGGTGGGCCCTCGGAGCCGCTGGGGGTATTGCGAGAAGGTGCGGTGCCAGTGCCTTTCTTGGAAGTCTTTTTACCAGGGGCCTTTCTGCCACGCGAGGACATGATGGGTTCATCATCACTCTCCTCAGCACCATCGAGGTCTGCAAGTTGAAGTCGGCGTTCCTCGGCCTCCACTTCAGCACGATCTCTGATGACGATGTCCGGAATGAGAGGAACAAGCTTCTCAGTTTCTTTCCGCATGTAGAGCGCATGTTTCCGCAGAGGGTGTTCGGCGTTGGTGTTGTATTTCAAACAGTTGGCCCAGATGAGGGTGAGATCATCCACAAAGTCTTGCTTGGATTTATACTGCAAACCCTTTAGTTTCTTCGTCATTGATCCGAGATCCATCGGGTGCTTGATTACTATTCAGAAGTTAGTGAATAAAACAAAACCGGAGGGTGAGGAACCATACTTAAGTGATAGTCCGGCGCATCACGTTTGTTAACACGAGTCAAAAAAGCAGTCGAATGCTCAGTCATAGCCTTGAGCTCGCTGAGAACCTTTTCCGCGGCTTCATAGAGTTCCTCTTGGCCAACCTTGTCTTCGTTTGCCCACTTGCTGCGGTTTTTGCGCACTTCACTCAGCAAGCTTCGTAGTTCAGCATCGGAGGCCTGAACCTTGTCACGTTTCTTGTCGATTCGAGCGATAAGGTTCTTCAGGGTCAGGCTGGAAGCGCCTAGGTTGGTATTGCTCAAGGAGCTATAGCCATTGGAACCAGCCGAGGTATTGGTCCCTCCCATGTTGGCCTGGCCGGATATCTCTGCCTCGACCTGACGCTCGGACTCTTCCAGGCGTTGTTGATCGAGCATGGCATCACGGTCATTCTCCAGGGTGTAGAAAAGAGTGTGGAAACTCCGCCGGGCAGCCTCCTCCGTCGCCTTCTTGTCATCCTCAAGCTGCTTCCGAATCTCCTCCATTGTCTCCTTCTTAGACTCCTTTGCACCATCTGCACTTGTGGATGCCGAAGTGCTGGGGCGGTGGGACGGCGGCGTGGGGTCTTGAGAAGGGGCGGCGGGCTTGGGTTTCGAAGGGGATTCGGAGGCGTCGTCCATTTCCTCGTCTTCGTCGTCGTCGTAATCATCGTAATCATCATCGTCGAGCTTTCGAGCAGACTTGCGCGGTGGTGCGGAAGGGGGTGGCGCATCCTCGACGCGTTCGGGTTGAGCCTCCGGGGGCTCAATAGCTTCCCCAGCCGTTGCGCCGGCGAGGTCATCAACAACGTCTTGTCCAGAGAAGAGCGCACTTATTTTCGCCTCACTGCGGCGATACAAATCACGGAATTGGGCAATGCGCGGATCTTCTTCCGGCGCGGTATCGGCTTCGGAGGTCAAGCTGCCGGGGACCGGCCCTTCGGCGCTGACAGAACCGCGTATTTGGGGAGTTCGGGAACCAGATAATGTCTTCACTAAGCCATTGACGGGGCGCGGAGAGTCCTGGAGGTCATCTGGAGGCCGGATATTGCCTGGGGGCCAGGCGTTGTGGCCGAGCGACATGCTCGCTCCAAAACCCCGGTTTGGGGGCGGGCCAGACTCGATTCTCCACGATTAGAATTATGGGCCGATCGGACGCGACGAAGCGGTCTGGAGAAGGTCAAAAGGCATAGAGATAGAGGTCACCTTCCGTAGAAACCCCCTGCGATGTCAAAACAGCAAAAAAAGATGCCGTGGGGGAGTGGTTTGATGAAGACGATCGGAGGGAGCTACATAGGAAGTTTCGCTGGACGGGGATGAAGTACAGGCGGGAAGGCGGAGTCATGTGGCAGATCGTCCGATGTCAATGAAGGTCGATCGCGATTGTTCGCTATTGATTGTCTCAGATCTATTGTCGCATTAGTTCTCTATTGAGTCTCTATTGTGATTTCACTAACGGCATTGAAGTTATTGCTGAGATCTATTGTCGCTGATACCCCATTCGCTCAGCATATGACGCACCAGGTAGCTGGGGCCGAACTCAACGTCTGACAGCTTCCGCTCCGGGGACTGAACCTCACCTATTCAACTTGAGCGCCACCTTCCCGTTTCTACCTCTACTTTTGCGGCTCTGCCCAGAGGTCTTTTTGGAGGTCTTTTAAGACGTTAATTTTGACGATTTTCGTCCGTCATGCGCATTCGTTACCCTTTCGCAGGTGAGCTACAGATTGCCTTTCTGCTTCCGGCGATCCCACTAACAGTTCCAGGTGCCTTTGCCTTCCTGCTCGTCGCAGCAGCTTATATCGGCCTCCTTCCCCATAGCGAGTCTTCAACACTACCGACACAACTTCAACCGAATGACAAGTTCCTCCACCTCGTCACGTTCTTCCTGCTTTCCGTCACCTTTTACTGGATCTTGGATACCACCCGCAAGCGCACGCTACACGTGACCCTTTTGGTCTGCACATTGGGACTCGGTATTGGTTCCGAGGTCATCCAAGCCTTTCTTCCCAATGGCCGAGACTTCGATCTATTCGATATAGTCGCCAATGTTGTTGGCAGTCTCAGCGCCATCGGTCTATGTGGTTGGTACCACCGACGCATGATGGAACGCCGTCGGCAAAGTCGCTATGGCCTGATGGAAGATGGCACTGAGGATGTCGAGCTCGGAGGCGTAGCCAACAGTTCTCGCCGCGAGTCGGTAACAATGGGCCCACAAGAGTCCGGTGTCACGAGCCTCGAGCAGGAGGTCGACAACTGGGACGAGAATGCAGTAGACAACTGGGATACTGAGGAAGGTCCAGAACATGACCGAGAGACTGCTCCGCCCATCTATCAAGAATCCAGCTCTGCCGATTCCCAGCCGGCTGCGGTTCCCATCGGGGCGAAGCGCAATGATTAAAGCTATTCCTCAACTACAGACTTGTGAAAAAAAAAAAAAAAAAAAAAAAAAAAAAAAAAAAAAAAGAAAAAAGGCTATGCAGCCACACGATATTAAGACCCAAAGCCTCTTTGCTGTTACGTTTCCGCGCCCATGATTATGGATTCCCTCCACTGGTCTCATGTCGGTCGGTATGATACCAAATTTTCGGTTATACCTACCAGCGTTGTGCTTCTGATTTATTGATTTGATTTGTTTATATTGTTCTATTATACGGAAAGAGGGTACTTCCAGGGAGGTGAATAGTTGTTTCCCTTGGTAAAATGGGGAGTTTCTGCAAGGATGCTCTCGATATTTTCGGTGGATTGTACAGTGCATGATTTGATGATTGAATTGAATGTCAAGAGTTTAGCAACTTAATATAGAAGCTAATAACGAATTTTGAAAAATGGTCATAGAAACGTAAGTGGAGTCTGCAGATGAAGATATAGTTCCGGTTATCCTACTGAGGTGTCTCGCTCCATTTGTGTCTTCGAGTGAATTTCCACACGTTTGTCTGACTGTATAAATATGTTTCGATTGACATGGGCGAGGGCGAAGTGCTCGACACTTGATACAACATAGCATACGCTTGATCGTGACTCCTCAACTATATATATTGCAAGTTAATCATCGACCATTTAAACCAGGCTTTGTGCCGTGTAGCAGCGCAATTTAAATCACCAATTGACTAATATACAGGAACTCTAGCGAGATAACAGCTAATGCTAGTCAACAATCATAATAACTACAATCCCCTAGAAGAGCAGGGTGAAAGACAAACAATGGGTATTTCAACGGGGAAGAAAGATGCAGTGGGCGTATAGCAGAACGCGAAACTATGAACAAAAAATAGCAGAAATCAAACGAACACCGGCCATGATTTAATGCAGAACGGGAAGATATTCAACCAAGAGACCAAGGCTCGCGATCGACGAGGCAAAATAACGTGACGGATGAGGAGGGGGAAAAATAATGCGTATAAAGCAAGTTGCTCAAGGCGGAGCGGACGTTATTCGTTATCAGACACTTCCGGCGTACCGGACCAGCTTCTGGTTGGCGTGGAAATGCGACTTGGGGCAACCTCCAGCTCTGGTTTGGCAGTCGGCACGTAGCCGGCCTCGTCACTGAGTTTGGCGACTTTGGCAGACCTTTCTTCGCCATCGCCGGGGGCATCAGAGTCATGATCTGGAACCTTGCCCAGCTTGGAGTCGGTTTGTTCGCGGAGGACCTCGTAGATGAATTGCATCTGCATTTCATTATAGACCATCATCATCCGTTGCTCGCGCATCTGATTGACGGTTTCGAAAACAGGATCAATTTCGGGATCCGTGACATTCAGTAGATGACCCGATTCCAGCTCACAAAGCAAATGGTCCAGTGCGATAAAGGTTCCGGTCCGACCAACTCCAGCACTGCAATGCACAATACGCGGGTTTTCAATGCTGGACTTCGAGGCAGACAACTTGATGAGCTCGAGCAGGGCCTGGCGATCACTACCCTCGGGCTTTGAGTAATCGGCCCAGCCAGCGAAGAGAAAATGCCAAACAATCTTTGACTTTGAACCGATGGACAGCTCGAGTTTGCGGATTTCAGATCGGGACCTAGCATCGAAAGTTGACTCCAACAGTGTGACTTTGCCCAAAACGCCAGGCTCTGTTTGCTCATCCACATTGAAGAAAAGGTCCGACTTGTCTGTTGACAAAACCATCGAAGCCTGCTCAGTGTCCAGTGGGAAGTATTGAGCGCACTTTTCCCGGCCCGCTTCGAAAGTTTGGGTAAGCATTACAATCACACCGACCTCTTGACTCTCATGGAATACCATGTGCCAGAAATGAGCGAGGTGACCAAGTGTGGGACCCTGCTGATGGTCAGATCTTGCTAAGCATGGACGTAGCTCGCGTAACGTACCTGTGTTGCAATATATTTCCTTCTTTCCCTCGTCACGGAATCTTCCAAAAGAATCGGAGAGGCGTTGATAAAATCACACTCGCCGTCAGCCACTCGCAAGTGAATGCGACAGTTTGCCCACGCCTGCACATTCAAATATCGGTTCCTCTCCTTGACCTTCGGATCGACCTCGAGGGCGAAAGGATGCGACATGTCATTGGCCATCAGACCCTCCGCGAGACGTGTCCGCTGCATCCATTCTAGATCCTCGAACTTTTCATGGATCTCTGCACAAGAAGCGGTCAGTCACATTCCCACGTGCGGGCTTTATTTTCCGAGTGTATATATGTGCAACCCTCACTCACCCGCGACAGATAGACACAAGAACGGCGGGATATCTTCCGTATTCCCAGCGTCCAACTTGGGGTCCTGGTCACCCAGTACATCGAGGCCTGCATCGTTGTTCTCAGGCAGGCCGCGCTTGGTTGTCTGCACGCTAGTGTCGATCTTGATAGACGGATGCGCCATTTTGGCGGCCGCGATCCGCTGGAGTGCTCGCACTTTACCGACGACGCCACGGGCCTTTCGCGAGACTGACTGGGCTTTGGATCGCTTCTTCGGGTGCGGGGCAGGCTCGGACAGCGATGGCGAGCGAGAAATATCGGTCTGAGGAGTGTCGGAGCTATCGAAATCAGAGACCTGCGATATCTGCAGCGTCGACAGATCGGGACAGCTATAGAAGCTGTCCCGGGAAGATGTGTCCAGGGCCAGATTTTTTGAGTGATGGGGGAGGGGCTCGGGCGTCGAAGTGGGAGGCAACAAAAATAGCAACCTCGTATCGTTTTCAGGCCGTATACTTCCGAGCCCTTGAATATAAGTGAAGAAGAAAGAAGTGTGAGACGGGAAAGGGGAGAAGTGGAGGGGCGTGAAAGTAGTAAAAGATCCGAGATGTCGCCAGTATAAAATTATGAAGAAGTATATAGTACTCCGTAGAGTAGAAGTATGAGACAAAATTAAACAAAATACACCCGGGCTACAACGATTGACTATAAATATTGACTCTTACCTATTCCGAGTTCATCGTCACATTGGTAATTCGCTTTGCCACCTCTTCAACTCAGCTGCTTGCGGCGGTTCTCCCTGCATTTTGATAGATACGGTGTTTACCCCTTTACACTCTTTCTTGGCTTCCTCTCCCTCTCTGATAAATACTCTCAGATGACGGCACCCGCTTGCGCCGACTGGTGTTGACCACCTTATTACGAAATGGTCTCCCAAGCTCAGATCGTCGATCGCACAGCGACGACACAAAGTGCCACATCCTTGGTGTCGCGTCCCTCACACTCTGGCAGACGCCACCGGTCCGGTCGCTCGCACCATGGCGGCTCCTCGCATTCCTCCTCGAACGATTTTCCCATCTTCACGTACACTGGTGACACGGAGGTCGTGATTCGCGCTGGGTCACAAGAACGGCGCTACCTGCTGCACCGCTTAATATTGGCACAATGCTCGGGGTATTTTGAGGCGAGCACAAACGAAGACTGGTCGCGCCAGACTGCGCTGAGTTCGTCCAAGCCAGATGGCACCCTGTCGCGTGTGAGCGAGGACGACGATCTGTCTAGCGGGTCAACACTGGCGCCATCCGACCACGGTGGAATACCGTCACGGCCGGGCGAAAAGAGACGCTGGAGATACGAGCTTGATTGGGAGAATCGCGCCGAGGATGAAGAGGCGATTCTCGTGCAAAAGGTGAGTCGCGGCGTGTCGCATACGCTCATTCTGGTGGAAAATGCTAATATCGCTTCTCACAACAGCAACCAAGCTACGCGCCCATGTATAGCAGTGACCAAGCTGCCCATCCTCCAACGATGACCAAGCCCTCCAATGCTCAGGCAGGCTTCTTTCGATCCATGGCGAACCTCACGGGAATGCAATCAGTAGCCCACCTACCGCAGACAGGGACAGAACATGGAACCGGGGTCGATCCGTTGATACGCGACTATGACAATCTGTTACGACTATTCTACAACCACCCACCCATCCTCAACAGTGTGAATATTGCCTCCGCATATACAGAATGCAAATCCCTCCTCGCGTTAGCGGATATGTACGATGCACTCCCGGTGACGGGCCCGCGTGTAGATCACCACCTCCTCGGCTTCGGATCCCGTCTTTTCAAGCAAATCGGCAAATACCCACCCAGCTATCTAAAGCTAGGCTACCTCGCCCGCAGCAGGGTGATCTTCTCCGAAGCCCTAATCCACGTTGTTGGCCAGTGGCCCGCAGCTCTCCCAAGCTTGCGCAGCGGCTCATACGCTCCTCTACCAGACTCAGTCTTCGATCTCATCGAAGACAAAGTAGAGGACCTCGACGATCTGAAAGCGCGCGTGGAATCCAAGCTCTTGCGCCTATCCCTAACAACCTCGCGCGGCGAACGCGTCGGACCCTCAAACGCATACCTAGACTGGCTAGCCGTGTCCCTATTTCGCCAATGGCTCATCGAAAGCACGACACCACCACCAGCTCCAATTCTCAAAAATTCCTCAACACCAAACGAAGTCCCCTCCCAACCCGCTCCATCAGCTTCACATCCAACAAGCTCGTCTAGATCAACCACCCCGCCGGACCAATCCGCGCGCATCTATAGATTGATCGGCTCTTCCAACGCGCAAGCATATCTAGCCCACGATGAGCTCAAGCGTTTCCTCAAACTCCATCCAACTCCGTCCTCTGGTTCGCTATACACACGCGAGACTCTTAAACGCTTCGAGCGCAAGATGGATGAGATGAAACGACTTGCTCGGGAAATCGTCAAGCCGCTCATGCGCAACTTTCTTGAATTGGAGCTGAAAACTCCTACTGATTCAACGGGTGGTGCTACTGCTGGTCCTCCTGAGGGTAGGTCTGCCGGCTTGCCCTATTTGACATGTACTCGCGTCGAAGATATGGACTTGCCCTGGAAGTGAGCTTGGTCTTACGATTCTATTCGTTTGCCTGGAGAATTCGACTACCCTAATTATGATCTTGCAGTATCTGCTGTTTTTGATGTGTTATGTTTGTTCTTGATTTTTGATGTTTGTGTCTTTGTCTGCTCTCCCTCTCGGACTGCTGGTCATGTCTGATTGGAAGTGTCTAGACTTTACTCTGCCATTACCCACGATGTGATGTGTTCTTGATTTATGTTTTTTTCTTTTCTGTTCATGTGTCCACGAAGTAATGAATGGCTCTGTGGCTGCTCTGATTATTCCCCAGGTTTTCTCGTTTGGTCTTGAATTTTGATTTCTGGTTGATTTAATATCCTACTCCATCAACCCTTGGTCGAGTGGGTAGGAGTCATTTGAGATATCCTCTTTGTTTTCGTTATTTCCCTTGAGATACCAAAAAATACAATCCAATATATTTACTGAAAACCATCAGCTTTCCCTTCTCAAGAACCATTTGAGCGACAAAATAGATTTGTGATTTATCCAAATGTATTATACCAGGATCATTTGCATAAAAATACATACTATACATGACTCGATGGAAGAAAAAGCCCCTCTAACGTCTGCCAATACTCTCCATACCATCCATCCAGGGACGCAAGACCTCAGGAACAACAACAACACCACGCTCGGCATCCCATCCATTCTCCAGGATAGCAGCAAGCACACGTGGAACCGCCATAGCAGTGCCATTCACGGTATGCGGGAACCGCGACTCCTTAGCCGCACCACCACGCACACGTGCCGCCAACCGGCGACTCTGGTAGTCTGTACAGATAGAAGCGGAGGTAACCTCGCCCCAGGCCGATTCCAGATCATGGACCTCCGGGTCATTGGGGGTACCACTAGACACCGCAGGGCGGAGACGAGAGGGGAACAGAGCTTCAATGTCACGCTTGCGGGTTGCGCTGGCGCCTAGATCGCCGGTGGGCATTTCAAGGACTCGGCAGGGGAGATGAAGTGAGGTTAGGATCTCTGTCTGCATATCTAGTAGCTCGTTGAAGAGGTCGTCGGACGTAGGGACTGTCGTGGCTGCCTCTGCAGAGCTGAGACTATCCGTCCAGCCGAACAGTTCGACCTTTGTGAACTCGTGGACGCGGTAGAGACCCTTTGTGTCGACGCCGCGGGAGCCTGCCTCGGCGCGGTAGCAGCGGCTAGCACCAACTAGCTTGATGGGTAGTTCGGCGGCGTTGATGTCCCGGCCGGCGTACATGGCAGCGAGGGGAATCTCGGCTGTTCCGGTGAGCGAGCGCTGGGGTTTACTATTGCGATCGCGCTCGTTTTGCGCGATAGACCAGATCTGTTGCTCGTCGTGTTGGTCGCGCGGCTGGAACCCGCATGCCTCGGCGATGTAGGAATAGACGATTGATGGCGGCGCGACAGCTTTCCAGCCCCGGCGTCTGGCGACTTGCAGGGCATATTGGACCAGTGCTTGTTCCAACATGGCACCCTCGTTGATGAGGAAGTACCAGCCCCATCCTGTTGTTGTGGCAGAGCTCGCGAAGTCTAGGAGATTCAGCTCTGTTCCGATTGTGACGTGTGACCGTGCCTGGAGCTCTGCTGGTGACTGTTTTGTCCATGATGGGAGCTCATGGGGGTCGAAGTTGATGTAATTTACAAGACTAGGATCGTGTCCGATGGGCGTGAATGAGGAGGAGAGGTTCGGGAGGGCGAGGGCGAGTCGGTTGATCTCTTCTGTGCATGTTGCTTTGCGCTCGGTCATGGCCTGCGAGTCGTCTTTCAATCGCTGGGCCTCCGATTTGAGTTCGGCAATTTCCTCGCTAACATTCTTTTCACTTTTATTTCCATTTTGGCCGTCTGTATTTTGCCTGGCCGCAATATGTAGCTGGGCAATCGTCTTTTCTAATTGCTTGATGCGGGACCGGGGGTCTTTCAGGTCGTGGTCGAGTTGTCTGGCTTCCTCGGACAATTGTTGGATTTTCGAAGGGTAATCGGCGTGAGCTGCATAGTTACGGTCTATGCAGTTTGATGCGTAGAGGTCCGCGTTTTGGCGGATGTGCTTGACGTCCGGTGTGGGTTTCGGAGCTGTCGCGGGTCGCAACACGTCCCGATAGCGCCGGCCGGCAGAAAAGTTGCGCAAAGGTGTTCGGACTATTCCATGTCTGGATGTAAGCCTGCAATTGAAGCAGATGTATGAGGAAGTGAGCGCCATGGATTGAGGTTGAGAGAAAAGAAACGAAGCCGAGTTGCAAGGCCGAGTGGAGCTCCCGCCTAAACCCTTTTGGGGGATCGGCAGAAGTATACCGCAACTATATTCGAGCTTCTCTAGAGGAACACGTCAATTCGCGTGGATATTATCAATTTGACTATGTAAAAGGCATAAAATTTGCAATCTCAATATCTTCAGTGTCCAATCTCTTTCAGGGAAATGGCCCAACTCCATTCCATAGTGATGACTTTCTCGCCTCGGATGTCATAGCCCCAGCTTGTGCTTACTGATTCTCGCACTCACTCCAGAAAGAATCAGGAAAGCAGACACAAGGACGCCCCATAGCGGGATATGCAGTGCCGCTTTGTTGTAGGTTGTCTGCGTCGCTGCCACGACAGTCGCCATCTCCAGCAGTAGCAAAACATAGCCGGCCCGGCGATGATATTTGTAGATGCGCTTTCCGGCTTCGACGCTGCCAAAAATGATAGTAGGGAAGAGAAACTGGGCGACTCCACTGAGAGCTTGCAGTACTATCGAAATGTACGTGATAAGGCCTAGGATGCCATGGGGGAAACAAAGTGAGGGTGAGAACCCTTGTTGATCTCGATAATGACGAACGCTGAGACAAAAAGTACCACACTGAGTAGTTGGATTGTGTAGTGGATACGGGTGCCTGTGAGCTTCTGTTGCGGGGTGGCGGTTGGTTGTAAGATCAGCGCTGCCTGGACTTGGAGGAGAAGTGCGGAGCTGTTGAGGAGCTTCAAAGTAGTGTGTCAGTCACTGTCGACTCGGATATCTTGGGGTTCCCTTACTGGATGTGGAGTGAAGAAAGAAAGAGGTTCAGAAAGAACCCCTTGCCAGACCAAAGCTGCTAGCTGTATTTGATATCAGTTTCTGCGGGGAGAAAGTTACAGTAACAAGGCCTTACAATCCAGATGCCAGCTTGAGCAACACTTGCCGTTCCTGAAATCAAAGTTAATCGATGCAATAGTCAGCTAGTCCCTAACCCACCTGTGAATAAGTTCCGAACGATACTTTCGTTTTGCTTTTGTGTGACATCTCCTGGACGACCCAATAAGGGTTCATCATCTCGCGATTCAATCGTCACTGGATGCTCTTGAGGAATTCCTGTTGCCGAGGCCATTATGTCGAGATTTAGAAGGGATGTATATGATGAAGTCAGAGTAGAGACGAGAGGAACAAAGAGAAAGGCGGTGACGCTATTCTTTCATCCATGGTACCATCCATCGATGTATAAAATCAAACATGGGGGGCATCACTTTCTCTATTGGCGTGATCTGCGGTTACAATGACGGTATGCGCCTCCCGAAATGTGGAGCTGACTACGCCAGTCCACTGCATTTCTTTGCCAATCATCAGTTAGAAAAGTAAATATTGCGATGATCTGGTTGGCTGAGATACTCCTTACTCCAAATCCCTGCATTTCGCATCATTTCTGTATTACTGTACTTGGACAGTATGTGATCTTGGGTCATCCTATGCAGATTCCGGGATGTCCGGAATGACTGACTCTCCATGTATTTCTGGGAATATATGACTAGCTCATTGTTTTATTTCTGTCACTAGCTACTCCAACCTCTGTTTCTTTGAACACTCTGGCGATGGCGCATCACTTCGTTGGCGACGCCGTGGAGAAAATGCCTCATATTCCTCGATTTTCCGATGATATTCGTTTTTATATCTATCAAAAGTACGAAAGTCCAACTGAACCATCATCTCCATCGAATCCGCCACTGTGTTTGCGCCATCAGTATCCCATAGAAGCGTTTGTCTCAGCCCCACCACATTCTCAAAAAGCTCATTGCACTTCTTTGTCCAGATATAGTTTAAAAGGCTAGTCTCGCGGCTACAAATAGCCTGTCCAGCCAGTCTTAGCCGAGGGATTCGAAGGAGCAACTGACCCAGTGTCCTTATAACTTCGTCCCGGCGCATCGGATGGTGCTTGAGAATATCAATCTGGAGGTTCAATGTGGTCACGAAAAAGTTGCGCTCCTCCTCCCACGCACCGTGAGGTGGCTGCTGGGACATCGTGGGGTATCAAACAAATTCTTTGAAAAATAGGTCAACTGCGAACAGCCACTTGGATGATCACAAAGCGCTCGACGCCTCCCAAAGGTGGCGTTGTCGAGGTTCACTGTGTCTTCGCAGTGCAGCCTTGGGGCTGTTTCAAGATCAATACGCTGAAAAGAAAGAAGAGCCGGTGGTATTTATTGTTAAATTCTTTATTCCTTTCTACAAACAGGGATTGTTGGTTATTTATCTACGAGACTGAGAGAATAGAGAACAAACCTGTGTCACGATAACAAAGAGATTCAAGCACAAATACCTGTGTGTTTCTTTCTGGTGATATCAACGCATTGTTTCAAGTGATCTGAAGTGTCTCGTCTAGTTCCAGGGCATTCTCAACACAGGCCCTTCCTCTCCGGATCCAACCCGACCAAAGACGACCTCTGCTCCCAGATGTTTCGGATCCAAGTTCATAACAATGTTGAACAAAGAGCTACTCCTGTTGGAGATAGGACGCAGCGGATCCTCTTCGCAGCAGATCGCCTGCGGCAGGTTATACGTATCAGAGAAGATCCGGTCTCGCAATAGAGCGGGAGTGATGGAATCGCCTTTGACTCCTTCCTGAATCAGCTCCTGTGTCAACTGTTGCAGTCGCTTCAACCGAATGGGAGACCCAGAGAGCCATGGTGGCTCATCCACATAGCGGTTCTCAATGAAGTGATTGGTATGCCCGATAACTCCCGATGCATCTTCTGCAATATGCTTGTCTCCTACCGGCGATAATTCGAGCCCTAGGGCTGTTGTGCTGTCGGCGCAAAGAATGTGCTGGGCAGAGGCTACACCACCCAGAGACTCGATGGTCTCCACGGCGTTCTTGACAGAAGTGCTTTCCAAGCATAACCGAAGCGCCACGTGAATCGGGAGCTTGCTACTGATCATTGGTTTGGCGCGGATTGCATTGAGGCAAGTTCCAACACCAGCGGAATTGAATCCGATCTTGCCAACAATTCCAGCCTGGTGTCTGTTAGTCATGTGCAGAACTAACTATACGAAAAGCTCGTACGAATAGTCCTTACCTCGGTAACCATATAGATAGTCGGCTTTCCAGGCTGCTCAACAGAAACCATAGCCAAATTCTTCTTGACAGTCGCCGTCCAATCCCAATTCTGCGAGAGTAGTCGCGCCCCATCGCTCTTCTTCCAGCACAATGTTGTACAGCCATCGGAGAACTTTCCCAGCGCGATCTCACTTCGAGAGTTTAGTGCTATAATGTCCAGCACATCTAGCCCAGCACCCTCTGCGATTCCTTCCATCTCGGCGTATACATGCGGTGTCAGCTTTTCGAGCGTGGACTGAAACTCCCTTGCGACTTCGCGTACATCGCTCCAGGATAACTTCGAGGTAGATTGGAACATGCGGTCGTAAATGGATATTTGATCATGGATCTGCTCTCGTAATGAACGGCCATGTTGGATCCCTATCTAGATTTACATGTTAGTTGGAGAGACTTAAAAACGAGTTCACGAAAGATGTACATCTCTGGGGGAGCCCTTTAGAGTGAGCTTGATCGGTTCGTTTTCCGACATGGTGAGGTTGATACGGACAGCTTTCAAATGCGCATTTAACCAGGATCAAGTATAGCGCAAACTATTTATTGGAGATGTTTATCAGCCGAGCCGAGCTCCCCTCAGTTGGAGTCAAGCGGGGACTTGCCGATAAGAGTCGCAATGACCTGCCCTAACCGGCAATACCTTCAGGCGGCACCTCAGGGAAGTTGGATGCTATGGGTTGCCTAGAATTCGCTTATTGAAATACTCCAACCGACTCCAACATGCGGAATTATCATGCGTTGAACTTTTATCAATGTGTCAAGATATAAGGCGGAGCATACTATGTCTCCGTGATATTCCATCCATGTGGCGTAATTCTTATTGCATCTATGCATCTTTGATCAAGTGCTTGAACAACTTATCTAAGTAATACGCAGACTGCTTCGGATACCGAGTCTTCTCTTCAGACTCGAAGTCAATCCATGTACAGCCAAAGCGATCCGCATATCCAGCGGCCCATTCTATACGAGAGATGTAAGTAAATCAGTCATCAAAGGAAGGCTGAGTAACTTACCCCAATTATCAGTGAAAGTCCAGGCAAAGTAAGACCGAATATCAATTCCATCCTCTTTCACAGCCCGCGCCAACGCATTACCAACATAACCCTCAAAGAACTTGATTCGGAATGTGTCTTCCAGAACCTCAGGCGTAGGTGCGACTTCGCCCTTGGCGGTCGTACCATTCTCAGTAACATAAATTGGCATCTGGTATCGCTTATAGATCCAGTTCAACAACTTCCTGAATCCCCACGGCGAAGCACGCAGCCACTCAGTATCACTCTCCTCCCCACGAGGCACACCTTGCTTATTTTCATCATGAATCTCCACATTCCCTTTATGGTCATTGATATCAGGCGGCGTAGTCGTATGCTTCATGAAGAAGGTCGTATAGCTATTCATCCCATAAAATTCCGAGCTCCCAAGCACAAGTTTCGACTCTTCAGGCGTAAACCTAGGCAATCGATCACCCAGCTGCGCACGCATCGATGCAGGATAATCTCCAGTCTTATAAACCGGATCCGCAAACCAGGCAATCTCGAACTCGCGCGCTCGCTCCGCAGCCTCTTGATCGCGCGGATCCTCTTCATCCCAAGCCTCGGACCAATTGCCATGCAATGTAATCCCAATAGTCCCCTTCTGCTGAGGCTGGAATTCTTCACGGTACAAGCGCGAGACATGGCCATGCGAAACTAACTCAGTATGTGCGACGATGAAAGGCTCAGTGGATGAATCGCCCTCGGCATTGCGCTCGCGGAAAGATGATCTACCCGGCGCGTGCACTCCCGCCGCATAGCCAGCAAGTGTATACACGCCGGGCTCGTTATATGTAATCCAATGCTTGACGCGGTCGCCGAAGCGCTCAAAACAGACACGGGCATATCGGACAAAGTCCGGTGTGTACGCCTCCTGGTTCAACATACCGCCGTATCGATCCTCCAAAGCTTGCGGGATATCCCAGTGGAATAGGGTCAGGAAGGGTGTGATTCCATTGCGGAGGAGTTCATCAATCAGGTCAGAGTAGTACTTGATACCTTGCTCGTTGACTGGGTCATTTTTGCCGCCCAATGGGATGATACGTGACCAGGCTAGGGAGAAGCGGTAGGCGTTCACGCCGTAGGATTTCATCAGGGCTACATCCTCGCGGTAGAAGTCGTAAGCGCGCACAGCGTCGTCGGCGTTGCTTCCGTCGGCGATCTTGCCTGGCGTGTGGCCGAATTCATCCCAGATTGATATGCCTTTGCCGTCTTTGTTCCAGGCGCCTTCTATTTGGGCTGCTGCTGTGGCGTAGCCGTGGAAGAAGTCAGGCCGGAGGACATCTTTGAGGTCCTGTACTGAATTTAGATCCATGTTGGGTTTTGTGGCTGGGATTGCGTAAAGGGTCGACAATTTATTCTGAGTTAGCTTGGGGAGCTTTGGTCAATAGAGAAGGTCACCCCGCAGGAATATGCCCGGTTAAATTGCTTGGGCGATTTATCCTGGGACTGGGAAGGGGCTTTGTTCCGTGATGGTTTGGGTATAGTCTGACAAGGATGGGGGGAAGTACAGCTCATATTCAGAGGATCATGCCTTTTTTACCTGCGACAAGTAAAAACAATTAGCAGATATGAATATATTCTCTAAATTATCAATCTATGGAGCTTTGACTCTATGCTCCCCACGGCCTGTAATCTCTACCGACCCATTCTCACCGAAATCGATGACAGTCTTCTCTCCACACTCGGACTTCACAGTAATAACACCAATAACACGCCCATTTTCCCAGCTAAACTGCAGTACAAACCCGCCGCGTGCCCGCACACCCCGAATAGATCCCGTCCAGTCCCTCGGACACGCAGGAAGAAGGCGAATCACACCAGGTTGGGATTGGACCAGCATTTCAATAATGCCCGCCCCGCCTCCAAAATTACCATCGATCTGGAATGGAGGGTGGCTATCTAAGAGGTTGGGTAAGGTCGACCGAGCCAGAAGCAAATCTAGATGCTTGCTACATTCCTCGGTTTCCAGTAGGCGTGCATGCAAGTTGATCAACCAAGCACGACTCCAGCCAGTATGGCCACCGCCATGCTCTGCGCGCCGACGCAGCACTACTCCACATGCATCCGCAAGTTCGGGGGTTTGCGTTGGCGTGATGGCATTTCCGGGATGAAGTGCCCACAGATGTGAAGTGTGACGGTGTCCAGGCTCCACCTCGGCATAATCGCTGGCCCATTCTTGTAGATATCCCCCAGTAGAGATCTGCATTGGTGGGAGGCGTTTTCTGGCATTTTGTACCGCCGAAAGAAGAGTGTCCTCAAAACTGAGTGTCTCTGTGCAGGACTCGAATGCGCTTAAAATAGCATCAATAATTTGAATATCGATTGTCGATCCCTCACACAACACTCCCTTTTGTCCCTCGTGGTCGTAAAATGAATTCTCGGGCGAGACAGACGGGCTGGTGGTAAGGTATTCACCCTTGGAATCTTCGACCAAGAAGTCAAGGAGAAATTCGACGCAGCCACGCAAGACCGGATGCATGCGACGAAGGAAAGCTTCATCGCGAGTAAACTGGTAATGCTCCCAGATGTGGTAACAAAGCCATGCACCACCCAGCGGCCAGATACTGGCCGGCATCCAGCGATCGACTGGCGCTGTATCAGCCCAGATATCGGTGTTGGAATGGGCTGTCCAGCCTCGACATCCATACATGATTCGAGCCGTGTCTTTTCCGAGTTCGGCCATGCGTTCCAGCAAGTCGAAGAGAGGCAGTTCACATTCTGAGAGATTGCACATGTTTGAAGGCCAGTAGTTCATTTGGAGATTGATATTGATGGTAAACCTAGAGCCCCACGCTGGATGAAAAGAGGGATTCCAGATCCCTTGTAGGTTTGCTGGTAATGGTTTGTATCTATTTCGACTGCTAGATATCAAAAGGTAGCGGCTGTAGTTGTGATAAAGGGCGATGAGACCTGGGTCTCGACATGATTGCAGACGTTTGTCGGTTGGGATTTCAGGAGAATCGGTATCAAGTCGTAGTTCCATTCTATTGTACAGTGATTGATAGTCTGCAATATGTCGGGTCACCAGATCAGCCGAAGAAAAACCCATGGCATCCTTGATATTCTGCTGGGTCTGCTGATCCACTTCTTTATGGCGAAACGTCGTTTGTGCCGCGATCAGGAGCAGGGTATCGCACGAATTCACTATAAGATTGTTTCCGATCCTTGTTACTGTGCTCTCTTTGTCTTCGCAGCGAAGGGAAACTATACAACACACTCGGTTGCTGTCCTTGCCACCAGGAGTAACATGCATAGTGATTGAGTCGTTGGTAGCACAGATATCGTCTAGCCATTCATTCGTTTCAAACTCCAAGTCGCTCATACGTGTCAATCGGATGACATACTCCGCCCTAGCTGATGAACGCATTCGAATTGCAAGCACATCATCGGGGAAACTAGCCAGGGTTTCTCTTTCATGGAAAACACCCTGGTATTCATATCTGACATGCGAGACGGCGTGTTCTAAATCCAGTGACCGACGATAGTTCGTAACCTGCTCAAAGTCGTGATCAAAGTCCAAGAAAATATTTCCCAGCGGTTCGTAGTTTCGCTGGCTGATCGGGTTGGCAAAGAATGCCAGCTTGGCTATCTTTTCGGCCTCGGCATGATTTCCTGCGCGAATAGCCTCTCTTAGACGTGGGAGATGCTCCAACGCGTTAAGCGGGTTACGATCTTGAGGGCCTCCGTACCATACCGAATCTTCGTTGAGTTGCAACATTTCGGTGTCGGTCCGTCCATACACCATGGCGCCTAAGCGCCCATTTCCGACTGGTAGCGCGGAGTTCCAATCGCTTGCAGGCTGTTCGTACCATAGTTCGGACATATTGGGATAAAGTTGGAAGAATCCGATCTTCAAGACTGTATTTGTGGTCTGAGGTCTGAGGCGCGGCACGTCGGTCCGTCAGCCGGGAATGTTGAATTCTCAGAGTTGACAGCCGGATATGTCGAGAGATAGTGTATTGGAAGTTTATTCAACGGATGATCGATCTCATTTGGGATGGAAAACACACATGCTAAATGCAGCGGTAAGTTCCAGCCCTAATCGCTTCCCCAGATTCCGGTTAAATGCCCCAAGACATTCCACACGCACTTTGACCCGGACATCGAGACTAGCGTTGGCGACTAAGTGAGTTTGCCATCTTATTCCAGTCAACTCGAGGCTGCTCGCCCCGCACTTGCAATTTAGTGGTGGGAAATCTCGGCGGACGCAGATGGCATCCAATAAAAAAAGCAAATCTGCAAGGATGATCGTTCGATTGTACTACGTGACTGACGCCAAATCTCCCTCCTTACCACTTTTGACCAATAGTCGCCAGTCCTAGTGGTTATACTACGCCCCTCCAGATGAATTTGGTGGCCAATTTGTCCTCTTGACTCCTGGTCCATTACATTGCTCCGTGGCGGAATAGGCACTGGGCACCATTCTAGATGCCGGTAGTACATCTTGTCTCCTAGCTCGCTAGGACCACTAAAGCTGAAATACCCCGGCATAGCCCTCTTGGCTTGACTGCATCGCGGGTCCTCGATCCATATATTGGGGCCTTCCTACATACGCACCTTGTTTCCTCTTCGATACCTTAACGCCGAAACGATGGTCAAATCGGAGGCTGCAGTTGCCATAGAGGCAGAGTTTAGCAAAGGAGACACCCAGGAGCATGTTGAGGAGGTAGCACTGGCCCGCGTGACAGAGGAGGACCTGTGGAAGCTGTCCCAGGAGTCGTTGAACGTATGGTCATGGACCGGATTCCGTCTGGGTCTCATCATGTTCATCCACGGCTGCAACCAAGCTGGCTTTGGAGTTGACTGGGGGTTATTGGCGGTATCAATTCCTTGGATCCGTGGCATGAATATTTCGGCTTTGGTACCGCCGGTGGCACATATGGCCTAGTCAATGCCCTGATGCAGATTGGCACTGTCTGTGGTGCACCATTCATGGCTTTGGCCGATGTAATCGGCCGTCGTGGGATCAACTTTACCGGCAATGCTATTGTGATTTTTGCGGCTTTGCTGCAGGGCTTGGCAATTAATCTGCCAATGTTTATGGCTGGACGATTCTTCATGGGTTTCGGAACTGCGCTCATGTCGAGCTCGCAGTACATTGGTGAAATATCGCCTGTTCACCTGCGTGGTCGCATGGTCGGCTTTTTCGGGGCATGTTTCCAAGTCGGTAGTCTGACCATGCTCGGTGCCATGATTGGACTTTCTACTCTGCCGGGCAATCTTTGCTGGCGCATCCCTCTCATCCTCGAGGCTCTCTTCCCGGCCATTGTCTGTCTGGGCATTTACCTCATCACCCCCGAGTCGCCTCGTTACTATGTCATGAGGGGCAATCGACAAAAAGCCAAGGAGATTATAGCCAAATACCACACCACTAGCACGGATGTCAATGAGCCGATTGTTGAGATTGTTGTTAGACAGATTGAGGAGTCCCTGGAGAGCGATCGCGATCGGTCGGGCACCAGGGCCTTCTGGGACTATCGGGTCTTCTTCACCAAGACCGCGCGATACCGTCTCCTGGTTCTGGTCTTGTATTCAATCTTCCAGCAATGGAACGGAGGCAGCATTATCACATACTATGTAAGTAATCTGGCCTGCAGGCTGAATCATTTGCTAACATTAGGTAGATGACCCCTTCATTGCAGCAGCTTGGCATCGATCGCACAAAGCAGCAACTCGGCATTACCATTGGAACCACAGCCGTTTACTTTGTCTTTACGGCCGTCGGATCGTTCCTCGTTGACAAGTTCCGCAGGCGAACCTTGATATTTATTGGCCTGATCAGCATGATTGTCTTCCAGACGGCCACCACGATCACATCATGGCAGTATAGTCTCCACGCCAACACCGCTGTTGCGGCACTCACTCTTCTCTGGATCTTCCTTTACCAGACTTTCTCTGCGACGTTTGTTGCGACCATGCACAACCTGTACCCAATTGAAATTTCTCTCTGCCACTTCGTGCAAAAGGAATGGGTCTATACAGTCTGATACAAGGTGGTGCTGGAGCCGCGCAGACGTACGGAATCGGAGTCGGCATCGCAAAAGTAGGATACAAGATTTGGGTAGTGTATATCGTTTACAACACCATCCAACTTGTTTTGTCCTATTTCATCTTCCCAGAAACTGCCGGTCTGTCTCTGGAGGAGATTGATACGGTATTTGAGACCCCTGGTGTTGCGCCAGTCAAGATGTCGTTGGACATCCAACAGGCCAAGAAGGAGAGAAGCGCCGCGGGACGGGACGAGGAGACTAGGTTTGGATAATGAGTTACTGTAGCGAGACACAATTAGTCAATATCCAACAAAGTGCAACCAAACCATTTGATGTATGTTTCCTGTCTCTGTTTCAGTCAAACTCTCAGTACTTCCAAGTCATATTGGGGCTAGTCTTTTCAGCTGCATGTCTGCTCATTAAATTGCCCCGTAAATGTAGACTCTAGCTTCAAGCTGATTCAAAATTACACAAAGATCTGACACCACAATTACACAAATAAAACAGATGAAACGCGTCGGACCCGACATCACGCTGTGCCTACCCATCGGAGGGGTGCTTGTTCTGTTACACAGTATCCGTATTCTGTCTTCCCAAACGTACATGAGACAACAGGAATACGAGAATCCACAAGTCTATCCTATTGAAGTCCCAGAAGGGAGTGTGGTAGGGTGAAATCGTATATAGAAAGCCTCAATGGCAGGCATCAGATGATCTCACGAGCCCTAAATGTCCGGACCCATCTTGGTTGGACCCATTTCACTTCCCGACAACTCTGTCTGATGGAACTCTTTTTTCTCCGAGAATCATTGCCACCAGTCCAGAATCCAATCATACCTGAAAGGTCCCCTACATCTTGGCCTGTAGCGTTGCACAAACAAATCAGGTGCTGAGTTAGACCTTTGAACTCCGGTCCCGAAGCTCTTTTTAGCTTCTTGTTTTCAGCAAGGTACTATTCTGACCTGGGATTATTTTAGTCCCCAAAATTTTATCATGTGCTTTGGCCAGATGAATAAAACGGTCAAGGGGCTTCTCGCGTGTAGCATCACAGACTGTGTGGGTGTGGTGCTCTGTAGCCCTAATATGGCCATCCTTGAAAACATGGGCTGGTGACGCAGCCAGAAGAAGTAATCAAAAAGAGAGGCTAAATAAAATGATTCATTGAGACAATCTAGTTGGCGTGTCCTTTCTAGGTACTGAAGACTTGTGTATGTATGTACTTAGGCAAACTCGCCTAATGAGTTACGGTCTGGCCCAGACGCAGCATGAATATATATGACATTGGAATTGTGAACAGACCAATGGTCCAGTTCTTCAACGCGGGTGTGCAATTATTGTGTGCAAGTGTCAGAGCTTCAAAGTGAAGGACAATTGTACACATCAAGAATCTTTGCAGGAACACGGAGAATAAACAGCGAGTAAGGTGGAAATGACGGACAGGCTACATCAACTCTATTTTTGTGTAATACGGTTGCTTGCCTACATATGTTTAATCAACAAGACCTCGTGGCAAGACTGAAGAGGGCAATGAAAGAGGGCCAGCATCAATAATCTTCCAATTAGTGGTGCGTTCTAGAGATATCCAGTTTGCTGCTGAACAGATCTAATTCAACTTGTTTGTAGCTACCTCAAGCACCATCTGTGCTCCACTGCATATCACAGGCATTCTGGTACAGACCCTGATACACAGACGTGTATGGACCGCCATACGGGCCGAGACGGGACTGCTGCACCTCTCGGTCGACGCTTTGCCTTTTCAGCGAAATTCCTTCAGACATGCACGCCCGGTTGCGTGGTCTGGCGATTAGAAGGTTGGTGTCACCATGAACTTTCCAATGAGGACACTAGGTGAGCTGGCAATCATATCGATTGGCTCGGTGGCTTCCATCACGAGACGAAAGGCAGTGTTTCCAGGAGGCAAACGGGCCATCGCCGCTCAACACGGGATGCACACGGCCCTTCTCGAGTACGGCTCTCAGAGGCACAAATGAGGAAATTTCGGGGGAGCTGTTGGGCTTGTTGAAATTCTTCTTGATGTGTGAATGTGCATGTGTCTTTCAATTTCCTTCTATTTCTGGGTTGGTTTGACGGTGGCTATGCCCCGTCTGCAGCTTTGAGGTGAGTGTGATACGGGGTGTCTGGTATTGGAGTATTGGAGGGGCAAAATTCCCTTCGAAGGATAATGACGGTGAACATGACCTTGGGTATAATTGATAGTTCCTCGCTCTTGTTTTCTGTCCTCATTGCCCTGTCGGTCTTTATCTGCTCTTGGCTTCATTTTTTATTTCTATGTTTGCATGAGGAAGGATATTACTGATCCTCCTGCTTCACCATTGCCGGTCGGATATACAGGCTTCATTTCTTGAAAATAATACTACCTTATCTACCGTTGCTTTTCACAACACACTCCACTGCTATACCGACTCTAGCACATTCCTTTCAAACGTATTTCCCTCCGAAATGCCCCCGAAATGCGCACAAGACAACATGGTGCCCGAGGCTCAAGGACTGAAATACAGCAAATTCGAGATGGCGCTTTTCTTGACACAACTGGCATGGCGATCCACGTATGACGAGCGCATGGCCTCGCAGGACCCAAACCTGACCTCAGTCACCGAAGCCCAAGGCCAAATCCTCAAGCGATGGAAGGCTTTGATGGACAGCGAAAAGGAACTGGCTAGCAAAGAGGAGAACTTCTCTCCTAATGTCAAGAGAGAAATGGCGGTTTATGAGTGGAGATACAAAAGGCTGGAGGCCACAATGGATGCACCTCAGAAAGGATGATGCAAAAGTGTTTTATCTCTCTCTACTGCTACTTCTGTGTTCTGTCGATCTGAGCGACGTGAAATGGAGGCATTGCTGGCGTTGATTTAGACTTTGCAATGTATTTTGGTCTGCTTTAGCAAATATGATGTCCGTTTTTCTTTCCGTTTAGCATTTTGTGCATTTTTAAACCTTCAGTAGCAGAACTTTTTCTTTCTGGGGTAAAATACCTTGCTCGGTCTCGATCCAAAATATCTAAGTCAATGTCATACGGCCGGGCGACATTGCAAGAGTAATGAAAGTCGCACCTCGTGTGTACTCAGGCGAGGCAATTGGAGTATTCCAGCGCGAGATGGTAAGAGCAACAGACGAGCTCAGGAGTGGCATCATTTGTATAACGCTGTGGCATGTCGGGTCAAACTGTGAAACGTGCTGATCAGTTCAAGACCAATTGAAAGCTGTACTCGACCCTCGGATTCCGATGAGTTCCGGGATTTCATGAAGGTTGGGTAAGAGTTTGACTGGGGCCCTTTAAACTCCTTTTGATTCCTCGTGTAGTGTAGTTTCCCATATTGTTCAATAAGATGCTACCATTCGAAGAATTGCACCCATTGGAGACTTCCCAGGTAATTCGCATGGGTCAATGGACCAATGCTGCAAGCAACACTCATAGCCTTTGTTCTGTTGAAGCGGGATTTCAAGACTATGGCTAGCCATTCGGGGGAAATGGATACGGTTAACAACACGTCTTGGAAGAAGAGCGCTTCTCATACCGTGCTATTTAAGTAAACCAGTCTTCTCTCATATAACAGCTGAATTTGTCCGTCTTGAAAACGCAGCAGGTCCCCACCATCGATATTGACCAAGTCTTCACGACTGCCAAGCTAACCTCGCTCAACAGCAAGGTCCTAGCCTGCTCAAATGACTATTTCTTTCAGCTAATAAATTTCTAAAACTAACACCCCCACCAAACAACGCAAAATCCGCTATCTCACGCCAGCATGTGGTCGTTGACGCCGGTTTTTAGTACAATGGCTCGGAGACACGCCGCCATAAACCGGAGCCACATGACTGGACTGCGATCAAGCCAGGCCTAGCCGCCAGACCCAAATCACGGCGTGGGAGTTAATATCGCAAAGTTCAGGTGCAGGTATGGCGGCAAGGGAGAAAATAGGTGGCTGCTGATCACTTCAACAGCGCTAGCTGGTTTGACATGTAAGGGGTGAAAGTGTAGACACTAAGCACGTCTTAGAACCTGATAGAAGAACTATGTCCATAGCTCATGATGAGAATGCAAATAATGTATGTAGTATCGAGTCATTCTGATTAGATCATAGCTCAAGTCTAGCATTTGTCCGTGATTAATGGTCAAGTACCCATGTCATTCATTGACTGGCCTTTCAGCATAATTTCACATATATCAACAAAGAAGTCGCAGCTGGAAGATTGGATAAAAACGCCCTATAGACAATTGAATCCAAGGAAAGATATACCTTCAAATCATGACTATCAACGGAAGACAAGAATGAAATAAAAAACGATAAAGCAGATTCATGATTCTAATGACAAAAGTCCAAAAGCACAAAACCAAATGGGAATGAGAATCGCAAGAATGAACAAAATGATCGACCTCAATGACGCCTGATTTCTATCTCTCCAACTCGGGGTATAAATAATAATGCGTAGACTCATTTCCTCGGCAGCGACTTCATCGGGAAAGATCTCGGCTCGTCAGATGCCGAAGAGGAGTAGCTGGTAGGGGTGCTGGCACCAGCATCCATGCTGGCTCGAGATCGCTTTTCTCGAATGGCGAGGCGGGATTTGGGGTAAGATGGCACGGGGGCGAGGTATCTGTCCAGGAGTTCACTCAAGATGGGCGAGCGCACTGGTTTCGGAAGGTAGTTGTTCATGCCAGCCTCGAGACACTTCTCGCGATCGCCTTCGATGGCACTCGCGGTCATGGCGATGACTAGTACCTCGTTCACGTTCGGATCGGGGTCACGGCGCAACTCGCGGGTGGCGTTGTATCCGTCAAGAGTGGGCATCATCACATCCATCAAGACTACGTGGAATGGATTGCCTTCTTTGGATTTCGCGCGTAAAGCGTCGACGGCTTGTTTGCCGTCGCTGTATGCCTCGCACTGGAGGCCAAGACTGGTGACGAATTTGACTGCGATCTTTTGGTTGATCGGGTTGTCTTCGGCGATGCACACACGAATCTGGTCACGGGGGATCTGGGTAAGGTCGCGGGCTGATGACTTGGGTGATTCCTTGCTTTCTGTTTGACTTAGATCCTGGGACCATGCGGTCTTTACAGCTGTTTTCTTGGGTGCTTTGTTGAAAACCAGGTGGAAGGTCACTGTAGTTCCCACGCCGGAGGTGGATTCAAGCCAGATAGCTCCACCGAGAACGTCTTCGATGATGGCCTTGCAAATAGACAATCCCAATCCACTGCCACCATACGATCTCTCCGTGGACGCATCAGCCTGAGAGAATGGTCGGAAAAGCCGCACCTTTTGTTCATCTGGAATACCAATACCGGTATCGGCGACTGAGCATTCAAGACGAACACGACCTTTGCCTTCACGGGCAACCCTCGCTTTGACAGTAACCGACCCATTGGGGGTGAATTTGTAACTGTTGCTAAGGAGATTCATGAAAATCTGGTGTAAGCGAACAGGGTCGCCTAGAACCACAAGGTCTGGCGGAACTTTGTCGAGGTTTTCGATTGTTTCTAGGCCTCGATCACGATGTGTGTATCGCAGAGCCCGAATGACCTCTGAGATGGTTTCCTTCAAATTGAGCGGGACCGTAGAGATCTTCATCTTTCCAGCTTCCAGCTTGGAGAAGTCTAGGATGTCGTTGATGAGAGTGAGCAAAGTATCAGCGCACACGCGAATCGATTCGACGTATTCGTCTTGCTCTTTGTCCAAACAGGTACCTTTCAGAAGTTCCGATAGACCAATAACACCGTTCATGGGTGTGCGCAGATCATGCGAGATATTGGCGAGGAAGATTGATTTGGCTCTGGCAGCGTCTTCCTTGAGTTTGACGTTGTGCTTGGCTTCAGCCTCGGCAATCTTCGCTTTTTGCTCTGCCTCTCGTGCGAGTGCGAGTGCACGCTTTTGAGACTCAATCATGGAAGCATTCTTGGCACTGACCTTGCGAACCTCACGGAAGAGCAACGCGTTCGACAAGGAAATACCCATTTGATTGCAAAGCAAGTGCAAGACGACGACGTTCCGCTGAGTAAACCAGTTTGGTTTTCCCTCCAAGTGAATGACACCGAGTAGATGGTCTCCCTGAACGACTGGCAATGCAATGACGGAGCGACCCGCGGGGAAATTTGCCAAGTAAGAGTCGCTCACATTGGAAAACCGCTCGTCTTCGAGCACGTTATGAACAAGGACTTCTTCCTTCGTACGCATGACATACTGTGAGATCTGCAAAGCCATTCGATCATCCATTTCCGGGAAAGGAAGACCCTCTGGGTATGACTTTTGACCCTTTTCAGCGTCACCGGCAGCAGCAATAGCGAAACCGTGCTCATCGAATTCGGTGGCAATGATTGCGAAATCAGAGCCGTTGCATGATTCGAGAATAATCTCAAGCATTTTCGTAAAGAGCTTGTCGATTTGAAGCTCAGACGACATGACTTGGCTGGACTCGAGAATGCTGGATAGATCAATGATATCCAGTCCGACGCTTGATATATCGAGGGATTGATTTTCGGCGCTACTTTGTTCAATCCAATGCTGTCTCCTCTCTTCCTCTTCCAATTGCTGGGGGAGAAGTATCTCTTCATGTACAACTTCACGGCTGATCTCGAGGAGCGAGTCAACAGTTTGACAGCCAACATCGACGGTCTTTGCTGACGTAGCTGTCTTGAGCAACCATTCGTGCTTTTCAGCGAGTTGCGTTGCCTTGCCACCAGCGCTGATAGAACTCCACGCAGCGATGGCTTCTTGGATTACAGCGCGAGCAGCCCGCTTTGCGCCACGCCTAACCAAGAATTCACCCTGTAACTCGAGTGCCAAGGCTTCTTCAAAAGGCCACCCATGGATTTGGCAGTGGTCAATCGCAGCCTCGTAGTTCTGGATGGTAGCACTGTGATCATTGCGAACCTCAGAAAGTAAGGCCTCTAGGATCATGGACCACATGCCATAATTTGCTTCTGAGGCGCTTCGGGCAAAGTCAATCTCGGCTTTGTAATCCAGAAGTGTATCCATCTTTCCATCGAGATACCCCTGGGCAGGATAGTCATTGTGAAGCGTGAGAAGTGACGCGGCTAGATAGAAATGGATCACGTAGGCTACACGAGTAGACCAGAGCCTGTGTCTTGTTATCAATAATTGCGTGCCCACTTCAACTGCTCTGGTATGATGACCAAAGATGAACAATGGGATCATGGCAAGGCCCCAATATATGTCACGAGGTCTGTCAGCGTTGCTCGAGCTAACATCCAAATGGGTCATATATTCATTTGTACTGTGGTTGGCATCGGACATGATGCCTTCGGCAAACCGGAACTCGGTCTTGCCTTGAAGGGCGCGTGCAACTTGCTGGACTGCAAGAAGACTAGCTCCGCCACGTGTGTCTTGTTGCCACATGGGAATGTCCTCCGGAGTCTCCGTGCAGAAGGCTTCTAGCTGAGCCATGTCTTGGCCCAGGTATAGACGAGCCATAGCCATTGATGAAATGCTGATTAATGTCAGATAAGGATCGCCCATTGTGAATGAGGCTTCGAGTGATGCTTCGAGGGCTGGTAGAGTGGATGCCATGGGAACACGCAGATGACTGACGTAGAGATTATGAACTATTGAGCCTCGACTTTGGGTCCACAATTCAGGGCAGCGCTCAAGGAGTTCTAGAGACCAATCGCTCAGCTTTGTGCCAAATTCGAGATCCTTGAAGCGACTCATTGCGATCATCGCAAGGTGGGAACATCCAATTGCGATTTGGGTGAAACCACCCTTGAACATGTGGATATTCATCACTTCAAGTGCCATGCGATAGAAGGTCAACGCATCGTCCCAGTAAGTGACCGTCATCGCCTCAGCCATGACTGCCCCGATGGTTTGAACGGTAGGATCTTTGCTCAGCGGTTGTTGAACAATGCGACCCAGATCGGCAGTGTCAAGATGCGACTTAAGTTTGAGATAGGCCGCATCGCACTCCGCAAAGGTCGAAGGTTGGCGAAGATGAACCCCAAGTTCATCAAGACAGGTGAGAAGGGATTCCATAGAGCGGTGGTGATCGCCTAACTGCGCAAAGATCTTGGCTTGGATGATCCAGGCTCTCGACTTGCTTACAGCATCCTTGCCATGAGTGAAAACCTCCTGGATCAACTGGAGTGCCTCATCATTCTGGCCTTGAGACCACGACATTTCGGCAGTCGCAATGAAGAGCCGCATAGTTTCGTCGTAATAAACGTCAGGTTTGCGATCATTCCACAAGTCATCCTGAAGTAGAGCGATGCAATGACGGAAGTACCAAAGTGCAGAATGCCGCGCGCCAGATTGAGCAGCAATTTGCCCAGCATCCCAGAGGATCTGTCGATATTCAAGTCGCCTGGAAACGCGAGACTTGATAGTACGCGACGCCAGCGCCACATGATGAGCCAGAGAGTAACGGCTGCGGTGGTCATGGTAATACTTCATCAATGCTTGAGAGACAATAAAGTGCATCTTTTCTATATTGCGGCTCTCATTTAAAGAGAGGGCAGCTTGCACAAGCCGTTCGTTGCCAAACCTGGAAGTTGTTGTTAGATCCTGTGTGGTTCAACACAAGCAATAGACTTACTTGAATTCATCATCGGTCTTTCCTGCATTCAACAAATTTGACTGTACCAAGAACTGCAATCCAACAACTATGTCACCTCGTGATTGCCTGATGAGTGTGACATTTTGCGGTGATGTGAGATCCACATCTTCATCACCCTCTGTTGAAAAGAGGAATTCACTTGTCAAAAGCTTTTGCACCAAGGAAAATGAAAACGGGCTACCAAGAAGCGCTCCCCAGACCATGATGGAACGAGAAGCGAGAGGGATTTCCTCGAGACGCTTTGTAAGGAACCCAAGCCCGAGCCCTTCTCCGTACACAGGGGCCACAAACTCAGTAAAGATTCGATCCAGGTCAAACAGCCATTTTGAGTCCTTCCAGGAATACCAAATGCAGTTTTTGCTGTAGCAGGTTTCAAGCATGACACGGACGTAGAAGGGATTTCCTCGGCTTTTCTCCTGAATGACAGCGCAAAGAGGTGTCAATGTAGGATTAGGCTGCTGGTGCATTGTTGCAGCAACAATTTCCATGACATGATGCTCTGCAAGAGGCTCAAGAGCAATGCGTGTGATCGTCGGCATATCTGTCTCGAATAGAGCCCGGACTTCGTCAGAGGCAATCTCATCTTTCCGACTGGAAAGTATGAGCACACAAGGTAACTTTGCTTTGATGATCTTCAATACCAAGTCCAAAGTTTCGTCGTCCGCGTGCTCGAGATCATCTAGACATACAGTGATCAGCTTGAACTGACACAGCGTCCTAAGAATTTCGAGGAAAGTGTCCATGAGTCTCATGTTCTTAGAAGCAGCGTTAGACAAGAAGAAATCGAGAGAAGTCTGGCCCTGATCCAAACCCGGAATGTTGACGCGCTTCGTTGGCTCGCCTCTTGGTATATTGAAGGTGGGCTTGGCATCGGTCGGTCTGTACTTCGCACCCGGGGACATGAGCTGTTCGGGGAGATCCAAGACCCTATGGAGAGTTGGCCACATCGGTCGCAAAGCCATCCGAACACTATTATGATAGTTCGTTGTAACATCTCGTTCAGAGAATGTTTGCCGCAGCAAACTTGCTAGAAGCTTTGCAAAGGGTTCGAATGGAACCCGTTTCGCTCGGTCCAGGCGTGTGATAGCTATGCAGCCAAGTTTTCGAACTGCGGGTTGTATCCGATTCAGAAGATCTGTTTTCCCGATACCGGCAGATCCGCTGATCGTAATCACTTCACAACGCCCGCTGCGGCGGCTATACCCACCAGACCTTTTGGACAGAGAATTGTACGAATCCGTTTGGCTGATAGCGTGCTGACTTGGAGGTGGTTGACTGCTGTGCCCGGCGGAAAGGTCTGTATTGTAAGAAGATCGAGAATGTGAGGGGCTTTTCATCCGACTCGAATCAGATTTCGGAATCTTTTGTGTATCGTCGGTTTGGCTCGTGGTATTCCCAAACGTTGGTGTTCGAGATGACGTGTCGCTGGTTGCTGCTGCATCTTGGGGGTTAACAGGCGAAAGTTGAAAGCTGGTGGCATTAGAAGCCGATCTTGGAGGCAGATGAAAGGAGCCAGAATCACTGGAGACAGAAGCTAGCTCAAAGCTTTCGACGCGACTATCAGAAAGCGACGACGACGAATTGAGGGTATGCATTGTACTGGGGCTCCGTGCACCAGCTCTAGCTAAGGCCACTTCCTGACGCTTGTGTACTTTTTCGATGACGCCAATAATCCGGTCGTATTCTTCGTTCCGTCCAAACATTTGCGATGGAAGAGTGAAAAAGGAAGAGACATCTCCTTGTGCAACTTGAAACTTGCTCAAAGCTTCGCTGTCTCCGTCACCAAGCAGTTTCATAATATGTGTCAGGTCTCTCTTCACCGATGAGATCGTGTTGTAACGGTCATGGACTACTTTCTGTGTCATTTTTTGGACCACGGCAGAGAGAGCATCTGGGATATCCATTCGTTTCCCAGAAACTGGTATCAATCTCTTGCCTAGGACGTTTTGCACAACCTCGACGGGGTCGGTTCCATCGAAAGGCAGTTTCCCAACCAGCATCGACCAAAAGAAAAGGCCCAGTGCATAGATATCAGTGCGGCTATCTGGTTCTGTGGGCATTCTTCCGGTCTGCTCCGGGGCAATAAATTGCAGCTTGTATTTGGCCCCAAGCTCGCGCGATACGGAAGACCATCCCTCGCTGAGAACATTATCAAATGCCCTTGCACCGTTGCCTGTGTTTGAAAGCTTGACTGCTCCGGTGTCGGCACAGAAGTGGAACGCATCTCCACGAATTTCACCGTGAACTGTCTTCAAGCCATAATGCAAGACTTCCAAGCAATCGCAAGCGCCGATTGCGAAGTCAAAGAATGCTTGCAAAGAAATTTGCTCATTGGGGGTGGCATTGTTCCCCTCACCTCTGGACCCGGCCACAAAGGAGGCAGGGCCAAAAGTGACTAGGTCCCGCAGCCTGTCATGACCTGGAGACTCAAATATCGCAACAAGGAGTGTCTTTGAATCACCAGAGTCTGCTTGCAGTCTGACCAAGTCGATCGGTCTTATTGTGTGGTTGCAATCCGGATCAGACGATTGCACAATCGACCTGAGCATGTGAAATTCGCGTTCAAGTCGGACGATGTTGGTAGAAATTCGTGCGAAAACGGGGATCCATATTTGTTCATGTTCACCCCGGGAGAGTGAAATGTCACTGCTTGTTTCGCTAGCGCTTGGTCTCCGCAACGCTCGAGCAGAAGGCCGGGCTTCTGTGCGAGGGGAGAAACGCGTGAAGCTCGACGGTCCGGAGGAGGCAGGCCCCGAGGAGTTGGCTATAGGGGTCGAAAGGTCGGATTCTAGGGTATGGCGAAATCCTGAAATATGCCAGTGGTTGTACGTTGAATGAAAGGGCTCAGTCGCCTGGTCCCAGGTATAGCCAGGCAACTGACCTAACCGTTCAAACAGCCGGGCCGGTGGAAGTGGCAGGTCTTCGCCGAAAAGAGGATCATCCATTTTTCAGTCTTTGTTGGGGTTGGCCCGGCGTATGGCCATGGGCCTGTCTCTGACAGGAGTATCGTGGGTCAAATTCAGTGGGGGCGCGGCGGAGGATGGGATTACAGATGATCGGACATGGGGATGCAAGCGGCATCCACGAGAAAACGGACTTTGCAAGCTCGGTCGCGGTACCGACTAATGATAAGAGGCGTCGCCTTCAGGCGTAGAAGGTCGTGACATTGAAGGTACAATAAGATCTATGCTGAAACAATCTAGGGAATCGCGGGCGTTGGAAATAAAGGTTTTGCGCTGCCTGAGGTTTGAAATTAGTCATCCATCACAAGAACCCCAGACAGGTGGGCGGTATAGACACCGGATGGGGGCGACTGATTGGATTTACCATAACTGGATACCTCTTTATGCGCTGGAATATGACTTACATTCGTGACCAATACGGCGTTCGTAGGGCGTGCCCCCTACGTCATTGAGAAATGGGCTGCTTCTGTCTAAATATACTTTTCCGGACACACTACGGGACACATCCGCAACTTTAGCGAGCCAAGTGTCAGCTCATCGGTTCGTATGAAAAGACAAGGTTCTCATGTAGATACCACTCTAGAGTACCATGGATCCCCTTAGGCTCTTCACCTACATGTAGATGATCGGTAATTGTAGAGTCAATTTGTCACCTGGAGTGGGAAGGAGTAGGGTTTGATATATAGCTAACTGGCATTGCCGAGAGACAAATACAAGGAACTGAAGATTTATGGTTATTGTCACCAACGTTAACTTTAAAAGTGGTGGGTTCATAAAGCAGACAACTCAATATATATAAACCGGAAGAAGAAATGAATTTATACATCAAATAAGGATAGCCAGTCGGCATTATAGGAATGTTTATTATACCGGCTGACGACGGGGGGTTCTCAGCTGATATAGATTCGGATGACTGTCGGCGCTGACATGGTAAACTATAATCCAATGCCATGTCATGTCCAAACTGTGTATGTAGTGGTTTTCTTGCGTAAAAAGGGGCGTCGACAGCCCCATGCACCAATCATTCCCAAATCGAGCCAACTTAGCGCCACAAGAGCCCCGTTGACGTCGGCTGGTCGATCTCCTCGTTCCCAGGGGGTCTGGCTTCTGCACAGCGTCACAATGCATTTTGGGCTTTCTAGAACCTCCATTCCGAGCGAGTTAGAGGCTGATCAAGGGGGTCAATGGCCTTTTTCCCTCCGGTCTAGACCCCAGAGGAGGCCTCTCGTTGCGCTCTGGCATATCTATACCGATATGTTACCACAATACCAGTGGTAATAGATCATGTGCCCCATGAGGATCCTTTAACCAACCAGATTGCAAGATTCGAATCCTCACACAAAATCCAGGTAAGAACAATCACCGGAGTACGGAGTAAAGATGGGGGAAGTATATGAGTATGAGGGTGTTTGTGGTACCGGTACCGGATTTCGCGTATCCAAGGAAAGAATCCAGGTACTGGCAAGATGAAGGGGGATTCCATATATATATGTTCAGACATGGATCATAGAAATTAGGAAATTAAGAAATTAAACAAATAACTTAAATCAAATAGTTAACAGAATAAGAAAGAACCGTTCGAACCGTTCGTAACTTGAGACAAAGTTTTTATTTCGCAGGGAGGATATACGTCATAACCCCCCCCAAGAGCCAGTGCATCACTGCTAGTCCACTTTTCCTTTCCTTCATCCACTCCTAAATTGATCCAAGCAATGGGGCCTGTTTCTAACAGTCCTCCTCGAACACATTTCCTCACCTGGTACCCTTGCTTATCTTCATCGGGATTCTAAATCCATCCGACTCTCACCTTCTTCCTTGGCGCTTTCACCTTCCCTCGATGGTCATGACATAACCGCCTCACCCTCCTGTGCCCCAGCCTTCCTACAAGTTTTTCCTGCCGGAGAGAATGGGGGACGTCCATAGCAGGAGGAGTCCTCCATTCCCTTCGCCTACCGAGACCCTGTCGTCCACCGTGTCCCAACCTCATATGCAGCCTCTCCGATCGCCCGGCTACAGACCCTCCCATGGTCACCAGTCCCAAAAGTTGGCGGATGAACTTGCGGATAGGGTGGATGCGCTGGAGAAGGCATCGGTGCAAGTACCTCGTCTCTCGCGTGGCGACTCCACGGAGCATAATGTTGGTTTGACGCCGATCACCGAAAACCCGCGATCGGAACGTGAGCGGCAGGAAGAGCAAGGACGGAGCTCACACACCCTAAAGGAGTTGCGAAGGCAGATGGAAGAGCTGCTCGTATATCAGCAAATGCAGCAAACCCAGCCTCCAGTTTCGCAGACCCAACCCGTGTCCGCCCTCTCGAACGATACCCCAAGAAAGAGAAGATTGTCCAACACCTCCGTGGAGGTTCCAGTTACCATCGTGCGCCCATCTACAAGCTCAACGGACTCGGCCGGAACAATCAAAGGCGTCGACATTGAAATGCCATCTCCCGATCACCCACAACCGACACCATCCTACCCCTTTCCACGAATGCAGCACCGAGCTGCCAAGATGGGGCTTGAGCCGGCAGGGCGCGTGGGACAATTTAAATTGAAACTTCCATCTGAGAAGTCCCCTTCCACGGCGGAATCTCAAGCTACGAATGACCCTCCAACGAAAGAAACAGACCCCGCGCCCGTTTTTCTACCCGAGCAACATAAAAGTATCATGGAAGATCCCAATTTTGCCAGCCCCAATCTGTATGATTTGACACTACAACTGAATGCTCAGTCAGGACTCGAATCATGGTGGTCTAATCTGATCGACATTCTGCAAACTCATTACGGCGCCGATCGTGCATCACTTGCTGTTCCTGGAGATGTCACTGATCTAGAGAACGTACCCTGGGGCCAAAAAGCAGTCTTCAACGGCAGCATCGATACGTCGTTGGATGACCTTCAATCACGTAACCCCGAAAAGCCACTGTGCCCTGAAACTGCAGAAACACCTGCCACACCACGTAAGAAACAAACAACTGCCATGAAGAAGTCCGAGGATGGACTGCAGAGCAAAGCTTCGACTACACGGCCGTCTCTATCATCACGCCATTCTTTCGCAGGTTTCGACAAGAACAAGGAGAAAGTCCCCCACCTGGATCAACACCAACTTCCCAAAACAAACATCAAGTCTGCGAAAAAGCACGTACAAATTGCTGGCCAACAAGAAGAGCTTGCAGACGATACCATCAACGCCCTCCTCGGTGGTTTGCGACAGGCTGTGTTCCCGATAGCCCGAGCACTGGAAGTGGAACCAGATCCTCTCATTAAGCGCACAGGCGTGCCCAAACTGTTTGGACGGACCCGTCCTACAGTCTTGACCCGCCAGTATTCAGAAGTTTCCACGGATTTCGCGCATCCTTGGAACGAGTGTGCTAAAAGCCCAAACGAGATGGTCCAAGTCACTCCCACTGTCGATAGCCCCGAATCCAGCTTAAATCAAGGCACAAACACGGCCCCATTGCCTTCGAGCCTAGGTCCCCTTAGGCTGAGAAATTACGACGAATACGAGCAAATACCACAATCTCCGTGGTCCCAGTCTCCTGCTCCCTCGCCAGCACCTCGTACGCATGCGGATCAAAACCCATTCTTTACAAATCACTCGGTTGATGAAGGGGCTTTCTCCAAAAACCCCCCTTCGCATGATTATTCCAACAACCTCCCCTTGGAAGCTATTGGAGTTGATCAATCCAAAACCGTCATTCACATTCCTCTTCTACACGGCGGTCATTTTAACCAGAACTCTTCGTCGACGTTGAGATTTCCTGTTGCCATTGTATCAATGCTGTCTACCATTGTGCCCTACCCGCCCAATCTTAGGCAATCACTCGCGTATTTGATGCCTCATTTAACAAATTCTTTCTGCCTGGCTCAACGAATTAGCCAGCTTGAAAAGCAGTTATCATCAAAAGTGGAGACTCCCCGCTACGGCAACCTTCTAGGTCTCGGGGGAACATTCTCAGATGCAAGCAGTGAGCTAGAACTTGTTGCGGGACTAAGTGGTCATGTCAACTATTCCGTTGGTGATAATCACCCAATGTCTGCGCATACCAGCATCACCAGCCCCAGCGACCGTTCATCTGCGAAATTCAGTCCCGCCGTATCTGGATTTGGGACACCAGGGTTTGATTTAGGATATGGATTTGGATCCACGAATCATTCTCCAAGATTGACATCACGTTCTGGCGGAGAAAGTGCTGATGGGTACTTCAATGTTCCACCGCAGAAAAGCACTCGAGAAAATGTTTCTCAAACCAGACCTCGGCTCCCTAAGTCAAAAACCAACATTGAATCTTCGACACCGGCTTCCCCTGGGAAATTGGTTGGCAAAGCGACCGCTTGCGAGGACACCAATCCACTAGATCCGACTGTGATAGTCGGATCTCCATTGCAGGAGACCAGACCGCACCTTCCTACTCTTTCTCCAACTCAGCAGTCATCACGTCAAGCATCTACAAACTCTTTGTATGCTCAGTTACAGCGAGAGATCTCACGCCCGGTTCCTGACACAATAGCCCATTTAATGCTAAACTCAATTCCTTTGCATCTGTTCCTGGCCAAGCCCCAGAGCGGCGAGGTGATATGGACCAACAGCAAGTTCGATGCATACAGAAGAAGCCAGCCACAGGAGCACACATTGCGTGACCCGTGGCAAAATATACACAGCAGCGAACGCGAGCATGTGGATAGCGAATGGGCAAATGCTTTACGGACAGGCGCGCAGTTCACTGAAAGGGTCCGGGTCAGAAGATACAATGATGAATCAGCATACCGTTGGTTCATTTTTCGGGCAAACCCGCTGATCTCATCGGCAACAGGAGAATTGCTATATTGGATCGGCTCTTTCCTTGACATCCATGAGCAACACATTGCTGAACTTGAAGCGACACAAGAAAGAGAGAAGTTTGCTATCGACGCAAAGTACCGGGCATTTTCCAATTCGATCCCACAAGTCGTTTTCGAGGCAACAGAAAACCGCGGGTTGATCTTTGTGAACGAGCAGTGGAATTTGTACACTGGTCAAACCCTCGAGGAAGCACACGACCTTGGATTCACCAAACATGTCCATCCCGCTGATCTTGAAAAGTGTGGAGGATTGTCTCTCAACAAAGCAGCCCGTCATGCAGACTCGGACGACATTGCACCGTCATCATCAATCGTCGGTGTCGGATCAGCTCTGGATGAGCTGGTGAGACGCGGAGTTGCTTCTTTACAGAAAGACGAGAATGGTCGAGTGTTCTATTCTACTGAGATTCGTCTTAGTTCCCGAGGTGGTGATTTCAGGTGGCATTTGGTTCGCCTAGTACGTGTCAAGACCAGCAGTTTTGGAAGTGAGGAAGCCTCTTGGTACGGAACATGTACCGATATCAACGACCGCAAGAATCTTGAAAGAGAACTCAACAAGGCCATGCAACAGCTGAACAACCAAATGGAGTCCAAGACAAAGTTCTTCAGCAACATGTCTCATGAGATTCGAACACCGCTAAATGGAATTCTGGGCACCATTCCGTTCATTCTTGATACACAACTTGACAGTGACCAGAGGCGAATGCTTGACACCATCCAAAACAGCTCAACCAATCTTCGCGAGTTGGTCGACAATATTCTCGACGTTTCGCGGGTTGAAGCTGGAAAAATGTCGATGGTCAAATCTTGGTTCCACGTCAGGTCCATGATAGAGGATGTGATTGACACCATCGCCTCCCGAGCGATCGATAAGGGCCTCGAGATCAACTATCTCATGAGCGCAGACGTACCATCTATGGTGATCGGAGATCGATTCCGAATTCGCCAAATCCTCATCAACCTTCTCGGAAACGCTGTCAAGTTCACCGCGCAAGGTGAAATCCATATCTCCTGTAGCATGCATCGCAATGCAATTACAGATGACAAGGACACCCAAGCATTTATGAGTTTCGAGGTCGTAGATACCGGGAAAGGCTTCAGCCCACAGGATGCGGAACGACTGATGCAACGGTTCAGTCAACTTGGAGAAAATGGCTCTCAGCAACATGCAGGCAGTGGCCTTGGACTATTCCTGTCAAAGCAGCTTGTTGAAATGCATGGCGGCAAGCTCACGCCTAGCAGCAAAGAGGGCCAGGGCGCAAAGTTCTCTTTCAATGTGGAGGTTGATGCTCCTCCGCCACCGTCGCCCTCTGAACAACCTAAACTGCTTCGCCATGGTTCAAGCGGCTCCAGAAGACCACCAAATTCCAGAACGACCTCTTATCAACAAGCGCCACCTTTGCATTCTCGAGACTCTGACTCGCCCTCTGGACTCGGCTCAAAGAATCTCTACCCACCCTCGATCGGATCTTCCGCTTTGCCCACCCCAGATATTGGCTCTGATCCTTTACCGCCTCCTTTGGATCAGACGAAGACCTTGTCGGGCATCCCGGATACTGTTTCAAGTCGAGAAATTGAACCTGCCGTCACGAAGCCTGGTGCAAGCTCATCGAATTCGCCAGCCCATTTAACATCGCCTTTGTCTCAAACATCTGCATCTCCAAATGAAGCAGAGGGCCCTGTCGCCGTTCCGTCTAACGGTCCATTTTCTATCGTGATCTTATGTTCGCTTGAAAATTCTCGAAAAGCCACAAAGCAACACATCGAGCAAGTTGTACCTCGCGAGATTCCTTTCAACATCAAAGCATTGCCTGATGTTGATGAGTGGAAAGACATGCTACATCATACTTCTGATACGCAGCCTTGCACGCATTTGGTCTTGAATCTTCCCACCGATGACATCCTCGAGGTCATTCACCTTGTTTCTGATTCACAGATAGACCCCGCACCGGTTGTGGTAATCATATCAGATCTATACCAGAAACGCCAAATCAGCACGCGAGTCAAAGAGCTGGCGGCAACAGGGAAGCAGGTCTTCATTGTGCCAAAGCCCGTCAAGCCCTCTGCATTCTCGACCATTTTCGATCCCGACAGCAAGCGTGAACTAAGCAAAGATCGGAACCAAGACATGGCACGCGAAATCAACAACAACTTCAAGACAGTATCCAAGATGGTCAAAGAGGTTTTGGGCAACAAAGGTTATCGAGTCTTGCTTGTGGAAGACGACGAAACCAACCGCGATGTAAGTTCCTGCAGAAATTAACGAGCCTGTGGAAAGCAATACTGACGCGTACATAGGTCATGTTGAAATACTTGGATAAGATCAAACTCATGTCAGAAACGGCATCCAATGGAGAGGAGTGTACCAACATGGTGCTCTCCAAAGAACCAGGATACTATTCTCTCATTATTGTAAGTGTTCACCCGCTGGTTGCCTCTTACCCCACACAACTAACATGGCCACAGTGTGATATCCAAATGCCCATCAAGAACGGTTACGAGACCTGTAAAGATATCCGTGACTGGGAGCAAAAGAACCATTATCCGCAGATTCCAATCATGGCCCTTTCGGCCAACGCAATGACAGATCAAATCGAAGACGCTGCCCGTGCAGGATTCAATGACTACGTCACTAAGCCGATCAAACACAACGAATTGGGCAAGATGATGATGGGACTTCTCGAACCCGGTCGACCCCTCATGCTTTTACGGGACCGCCTTGGCCCAGAGCATCAGAAAGCCGCCGCTGCTGCTCGCCGTTGACCCCAACTCGTCGGATGACCTTATTAGCTCTCCTGGTTATGTGCGTCTTCAACTCTCGTGCTGCTCACTTCGCATATTTCGTTCTATTATTCTTGTCTTTTTAGCCTTCTTGTTTTCCGCCGGTTTTTTTCATTTTGCTTTCTTACGATGGACCATGGAGCGACTTTTTTGGGATCTTTGGAATCGATGACTTGTACAGAGACAGACGCCATTGAAATCTTACTAGACACGCTCAGAGTGTGTATATCGATGTTGTCGCACTGCTTCTTGCTGTATTGGTTTGGATGGTTTTTTAATTTTTTTTATTTTTGAACGTTGCATGCGACATACGGATCTGCATTTGCTGCTGAGCCTCGGACACTATTCCCCAGCATTTTCACCGGGTCGGAGGGCATTTGTCTATATCTCAACTGTTTTGGACTCCTCGTTTAGGATGTGGTCTTCCTCTGTTTCCCTTCCGGTCCTGTGCATCATGGCGTCAGTTGTTTTTCGAGAACAAACAGAAGCAGAATTGTTCTTTTCATTGCGCTTTCTTCTGTGTCTTTTCCCCTCTCTTGTGATACCAGACTATGAGCGCACGAGATCTATATAATTTCTGGATCTGTATTTGTTAATAATTCAACTCTTTTTCATATCTATTTCCATCTCTTCTATCTATCCGCTCGGTGCTGGGTCTGCTGAATTCAGAGTTTGGCTGGTACATGAAAGGATCCTTGTACATGGATTGTTGGCCTAGTTTTCATATAATAGAGAGCATTTCCATGTACAGATCAACATTGTATAGCTTTCCGTTTACGATCCGCCTGGGTCTCAAGTATGAGAAGAACGGTTCATTCGCTCCTTGATCTGACAGGTTCCAGGACCAACCTAATGAAAGCTAGGATCAAGCAGTAGATTTTAGAGGGGGCTAGTAATTACAAGGGAGACCAGCGTTAGGCATCGGAGACATGCAAGGCGTAAACTATGAATCATCGGTACTTGAAGTCTACTTATGGCGACCAGATAACCCGAAACCAATCAGAAGGGGGGTTCCAGGAGACGAATCAGCCTCGCTCTGAGCCACCAAATCTCAGTTCCAGGAAGAGACAAAAGTCGAGCCGTGAACGAGATGCTCCGGAAGTATGTATCTGTTGCTGTCCCTGTGATAAATCCGAGGGTAATCAACAGGAAGCAATTGTATACATGGGGATGCCACCCGGTCAAAGAAATCAAATAATAAAGCATAGCCCGGAAAGGAAAAGCGAGTGAGGTGGCATGGCCAGTCATGGCGCTGCATGTGGCGGTGAAGCAGTCAATCCCCGCCTCACCCCCACTTGTGCGTTGGGAAAAAAATCATACTTGGTCCTTTGGAAGTTGAATGCTGGTATTGTGCCCTGTGAGTACGTGAGGCTTAAATCAATGGGTAAGTGGCTGCACATTATGAAGGCTGGAGTAGTATCCACCGTGCTATCCACACTCGGCGACTCGGAGTCTGGCCCTAAAGGACAAAAGGACACTATTAAAACATCACGTACATGTACATGAAAGGTTCGCAATGGCTTCGGGCCTGAAGGAGGGGCGGATCAGGACCGGACATTGGGCCCTGACAAGTAAAAAGGATGTCCAATTCTCGAGGTTGTGCGCGTCATGTCTGATGTGGCCGAATAGGAATGCCCAGCCAATTTGGCAAAGACAAATTGTATCCCTGCTTTCCTCGAGCTAAGGGCAATAGATTGGGAGGTGGTGTCACAGGTAGTATCGACGGGGTATATCGTGGTCAGGCTGCAAGGCTCCTTAGGCGCAAGGCATCAGTCACTCCGGGTTCCAGATCAAACACCCGGGCCTTCAAAGGATATGCCCTGCAAGAGCCTTTTTCCTTCTTTTGTCAGCATCCAATGAAGAGCATGCGGCACAACATTGGGTGAATTGCATTTGCGGCCTGCAGAACGGCCCCCTTTTTCTGGAGATGGGGTCAAGCAAGTCATCGGCCATCTGCATAGAGTGGAGAGAGACGTGCTCCACGTTGATGGGCGTCTAGAGCGCTTGTTGATGCTGCAATGCTCTGTTGCTCCTGGTAGGAACGGATGGCCATTGGTGGACGGCAGAGGAGGGGGACCTTTGGCTGTCGTTTTTGCTGTGCAGCAATAATAGCCGCATTCAAGCAAACGACGTAGCAAGGATCAGCAAGCCCTCCTCTTTCGTCATTCGACACCTTTGGATCAGACTTTGGTCGCACGAGTCCGGGATCAATCTTGCTCGAACCTCGCATGGGGCCACTAGCAACATTGGTTCCTTCGAATCGATGCCCGTTCCTCGTTCGGTTCATGCAGTGATGTCCAACATTCCAACATATTTGATCTTCCCGTGTGACCCTCTCTCGGCGTTGTTTTTGGGCCCTTGGGCTCCGATCTCATGATGTAAGGCCGTGAGACATTTCTGTTTTTTCCCTTTACCTTTTTGGCTTTTCAAGGAAGACCGGCGATATTAACCGCTCAACCTTTCTCTCAACTAGTAATCATGTCAGATTCGGAGAGTTAGATTCTTGAGAAACGCATCGTACCCGTTCTTGTGTAGTTCACAGGCTTATCTCGCGAAGCGAATCGACTTGGATCGACCCTCTCCCCAGCCACCGAATTTTGGAAACAAAATAAGTTCAGTGGAATAAAGGTAAAAAAGTAATTGGGGTGCGGAAAGCAGAAAGAAGGATAGAAACAGGATGGAGGGCAAAGCCCATATTTATATCTCACCTTGCCCAACTCCACCTCTGCTGCCATCCTCGAACCCACTCTCCACGGCCCTCCTGGCCAATTCCTGAATACTCTCAGCAGGCGCTTTGGCCGCAGAAAGTTAGACATGATAGGGGGGCGTAGATCGAGACCAGTTTTGGACCAAGACGCCACGGAACGGCGGAAACCCTAGTGGAGGAAGGCTGGCGTGCTAGACCAGACAGATTGAGTCTTTTTCCCACTCTGAGCGGGGTTAGGGCGGTCCAAGAGGCAAATCGGCGGGCAGATACGGAGACTGATGTTCAGGCGGAGCTCGAGGATTGGAGGTCCCGGACTGAGGGGAGACCAATGTGCCCCCGAGTGGTCCAATGGCTCCTTCGAGGCCTTCACATCCTTGCCGTCACCCTCGCCTCCTCTGTTAGGATGGGGAGGATCGGAGGGAAGACTCTCCGTGGAAGGCTATAAAATCCCGCCTCTGGTCCGGGGGCCTCTGGTTTCTCTTCCTCTTCCTTTCTCATCACTCCCACCTGGGTCCGTTTGCACAGTCTTCCAATTTCTCTTCACACCTTTGATATTGCTCTGCCTTACCCCATAGAGGTTCATATACTCTCATAAGCCTCACTGCCTCTTCCACAAGATATACTTGACGTCGTTGCACTCTGTCGTCATGGCCACTTCTCGTCACTACTATCAACCGGCCGCCTACTCCATCCATGCGCCTTCCAAGGCACCGGCGCCGGCGGGTCTTTATCCCATCTCCAGAGTGCCAGGCTCCCCACCGAGTCTTTCTGGTGCAAGCACCACTGTCGGCAGTCGCTCCTCCGGCGGACTCACTTTCAGCTCCGCTGGCGACTATGACTCCAGCTCTGCATCGTACTCTGGCGTCGATGTCGTCGATGTCCTGAGCGACCGCATGCAGGATGCATTTGATCCAACACCATTGGACAAAGGTCTCGCACGACAGGCACAAACGTGAGTTGTCCCAGCGTAGAAGCGCAAGTTATCATGTCATCGATCCCGACAGACTCCCAGCGAGACTACAGGATCAAAAGATCTTAAATCCCGAAAAGCCTAGAAGCAATCAGCGAGTATCAAGCTAACAGCAATTGAATCCACCAGCTCGGGCCAGCTCAACGCAAAGCAACAAGAACTGCTAGAGCTCCAAGCCCTAGCCCAACGGCGACTGAAAGGCGTACGAGCCAATTTCTCCGAGGGCCTGAAAACAGCACGAGAAACCAAGCGCGACCTAGAATGGACGCAAAAGCGCGTGAGGTGAGCAACAATAACCCACCCCTGAAAACAGCCCCTTGTCGAAATGATTGACGTGCAAGTTCCGCTCCGCTCCGCGACAGGGGCTTCCGCTCCGCCGGAAATAGAGCTTGGCACGTGCACGTCGATCAGGAGTGTGTGAGCTGTGGGCTGCCGCATTAGTGCCGATGAGGGTGCTTCTAGAAGACTAGGCTGACGAATGCGGCTCTGGAACAGTGCCCTGAAAACTAAGGCCGAGAAGGCTCATCCCGAGGAGTACCGCCGGTCTTCGAAGAAGTATAGCTATGACGCATACTGATCGGGTCGGTCCGGTTCTCTTGATGACTGATATGATGGGATAATGGGAAAATACGGGGTCTCTTGGTTTCAGATTAGGATATACGGTGTTATTTTTTTCTTTGTCTTATTCCTAGTTGGGCTTGGTGCATCCTATGACGCTTTTGTTCCAGGCACGTGTGTATATGTTGGGCGCGAAGTTGGATGCCATGGCTTCTAGGGGAGGGATTCTCTGAATGGTACTTGTTTTACATCGTTTTCTCGTATGAGCTAGTAGTTGATGCCTGTAGATCCGCTACAATAGGCATTGGAGTATGCCCTAACCCCGCTGTAGAGAGTGAAGACCCCTGTATGGTATGTTATATAGCTGTACTGGGAGCCTAAGGCCGAAGGCTGAGACGTTTCAGCTGCGAGTAGTCGGTTAGCCTTCCTTTCCCGTTTAGGAACATCAATTGTTGATCTGCTTTAGATTAAGATTAAGGACCTTGTATCTGTCTCTCATTCAAGGATTTAATATTGCATCTATCAGGTTTATTAACATCAGGCTTTATAAGAACGAGCAGCAATGACACAAGGCTGGACAACAAGCTAGGCTGTCAGATGGACGGTGCAACCGTGCCGTTGAAAAGAATTGGCATACTCTTGTACCATTTACTCTGTGGTCTTATAAAAGTGGTGACAAAATGTGCCAATTGGCGTTGGAAACTATTCATGGATGCTGACGGTAGGCCTAAGTACATCAGAGAGAAGAAGTGAGTATGTATGTTGTAGAAAGTACTGATAGCAAATGTTTAATTGCAAACCAATTGTGGCCGTTTTCAAACTATCTGACAGAGATTCATCTATAGAAACCCGTTACTGGAAGCTCTGTTCTTCCTCAATAGCTCGGTTGATAACACGAACAAACCGGCCAACCTTGTCAGAATCCTGCTTAGCCGTCTCAATACCCAAAAGGACCTTCTTGATACCAACGCTGACGCGTCCGTCATCAGCAAGACCGCCAATACCCTCAAGGGCACGTGCGATCTCTTGGGCATCAAATGCACACGATTGCTCCATAATATATTTCAGCTCACCGAATGAGCCAACGTTGGGAACCATGATATCCGAGTTGAAGGAGTTGTAGATGTCCAGCTGCTTCATCAACGCACGCTCAGTAGTAGTAGCCAGAACCAACAGGCGACGACCATGGGTGGGCTGCTTCCTCAGGAAGACCATGAGGGCCTGTAGCACGCTGTTACTGAAGCGAGGACCAATTGGCACCCAGTCAATGATTCGCTCAATGTTGTCAATGACAACGATACTTGTCTGACTCTTATAAGCGCTGTCGAAGATCCGGCTAATGTGCGAGATCTTGGCTGGTTCGCTGAAGCCGACCATGTCCTCGGGGCTGATGAGCTTGATGAAGGGGAAGCCGGAGTTGATGGCAATACGTGCCGCCAGGGCAGTCTTGCCGCTGCTGGTGGGACCGTGAAGCAGAACAGAGAAGAGTGGTGTTGACTCGGCCTGGCCGACTTGCTTGACGAATAGCTCACCTTCCCGTAGGATTTCGTTGATGGTTTGGGAGTAGTGCATGATGCCGTACTGGATACGGCTGGACAGCTCTTCTTCGGAGACACCAAAGGCGGGCTTGACTTCATCGAGAGATTGAAGGAAATCGGCACGATTGACCTTCATGTTCACCACATCGTCATTGATGCTGGCCATGGTGCCGACCTTGACATGACGGGAAAACGCAAAGGATGATGCTGACTTGACAAGACCGGCGATCTCAGCACCGGAGAAGTTCTTGGTCAAATGAGCAAGCTCAGTCAGATCAACGTCGACATCCATGACATTGTTGTTCCGCATCTTCTCGGTGTGGATGTTGAGAATCTGGCTTCGACCGTGCTCGTCTGGGAGCGAGATCTCCATGTGCACCTCCAGACGACCCGGACGCAGCAGGGCTTCATCAATCATATCCATGCGGTTGGTCATACCGATCAACAAGATGTTGTTCAACTGGTCAACACCATCTAGCTTTGACAGAAGCTGGTTAACCACGCTGTCACCAACACCAGTGCCGCCACCACCTCCACTACCACGTTGCTTGCAGACGGCATCCAACTCATCAAAGATGATAATGTGGAGGCCACTCTCGTCGCCCTTTTCTCTGTACTCCTTTTCGGCATCGGCGAACATCTTTCGAATGTTCTCTTCTGACTGACCCACGTATTTGTTCAAAACCTCTGGACCATTGATAATCTTGGGCTCTCTGGCATTGAGCATCTTTCCGATTTGTCGAGCAATCAGGGTTTTACCTGTTCCGGGAGGTCCATAAAGCAAAAGCCCCTTCACGTGCTGAATACCCAATTTCTCAACCAGACCAGGAGGGAAGATACGAGACGCGAACGCACGACGGAAGATTGTACTAAACTCAGAGTCTAGACCACCAATACCCATGTCCTCAAACTTAAAGCCGGGTTGAATGATGGAGTTGGCCGCTGGGCGGCGGTTAGATGCCTTCACATTGATACCGGTCTGGGCATCCTTGAAGAAGTTGAGCTGAGTGTGTCGTGTGAGGATACCTCTAGCTGCAGGGTCAGTTTCAACATGGCCAGAGCTGAGATCTACCTTCTCCGATGTCAAATCAACCCGTTGAACGGTCTTGACCTGCAGAAGAAGGGGAATGCTCTTATGGTCCATCAAGACTCTCTGGCCGGGCGAGAATAGTTGGTTTTCAAAGTTCTGTAACTTATCAGCGTTTGCTCGTGCTATATATGAAGTTGGCCTACCTTAATCACGGCCTTTGCCAAATCATCCTGATCATAAGGGGCCTCGACACGCTTCTTGGTAGATGCGAAGCTGACTTCAATATCCGCAGAGCCCAGATAGGCCTGCCCGCCTTGGCTGAACGGATCATACAGCTGCACCTTGATCGAATCTCTCAACCCAATATTCGCCCATGTTCGCTGGGGGTCTGACATGCTCATAAGACCCGGGGGGAAGCCATCGAGAGGGCGAGCGGAGAAGACATAGAGATCGTTGATGAGGAGGAGGACATCGGCGCCGTCTCGTGAAGGTGGGATGTCTTGTGGCGAAACGGCGACACTGCAACTATTAGCAACGGAACATAGGTACCGGTAAGATAACACTCACAGGTTACCAAAGGTGTAGTTGTCGTTCGGACTCTTGCTTGGCTGAAGAGTCCAAGTCGGGCCTGGACCTCGCTGTCCTGCTGGCATTCTAGATGGCATCTGCTGCGGAGGTCTTCCTCCAGGTGCTGGTGGGCCGCCGTAACCCCTTTGATCAACAAACGCATCAGTCATCGGTACATCGTTATCGCGGACAGGAGCTGCAAATCCTGCACTGGATAAAGGATTGCGATTGTTATCATACCGTGGGGGTGCTTGGTTGGGGTTCGAGTAACCCTGCGGGGACGGCTGTCCGGACTCTGCTCTGGAGCCGAAAGGGTTTGGAATATTGCCACGATTGAACATAATGTGTTCGCTGAGAGCCGCTAATTGACGAGGTTGAGGGGAGGACAGCTGAAGTTATGTGGTACCGCCACTCTGTCGGGAACGAGTAGGCAACGATGTATGACAGTCAGCGTTGCGGCGCAGCAGACTGAGCCTTAGTAATCCGGATGTTATGGTTCCCTTGGATAAGTAGAGACCCGCAAGAGACACAAATATGAAGAAAAGTGAGAAGTCCGGAGCTGTGAAGCTGTCAGGGCACTTTGGCCACTCCGGGAACAGCGTCGGCCCGTGGGAACGTCATTATCGATAAGGCCTTCTCTATCTTGCTTGTCAGAGTCTACGTTGCCCAGTCCAACATGCCTCTGTAAGTGCGATTTCTTGCTATTGAAGAGAGATTTACTGACTAACTTTCTTCTTTCAGCCACTTGCTAGGCAAAAAGTCTTGGAACGTCTACAACCTCGAGAATGTCGCCCGAGTCCAACGCGACGAGGCACAGGCGAAAGCTCGCGAAGAGGAGGATGAACGCCTCATGCAAGAGATCGATGCCGAGCGCAGGATAAAAATACTCCGGGGCGAACGTCCACCGACACCACCAGCCCCCTTCCGTCCATCATCCGAGTCAGCGACTCGACCAGACCGGAAAGCCGGTGACGATACTGGGCATCTCCGCAAGAGGAGGCGCATAGCCGGTGAAGACGATACGGACCGAGACATACGATATGCCAGAGAGGATGCGGCGCATGCGATTGCCAAGCAGGAAGAGCTTGCGCTTACTTCTCGGAAGTCTGACAAGACCGCACAGGCACCAATTCTCGATGCCGCGGGCCATATTAACCTATTCCCAGCTGCAAGTGCCAAATCAGAGAAGAACCCAGAGGCCGAGGCTGAAAATGCACGTAAGAAACGAAGCTACGAAGATCAATACACCATGCGATTCTCCAACGCAGCAGGTTTCAAAGAGACAATTGGTCAGAAGCCGTGGTATTCATCTGGTGGCCAGGATGCGATAGCCCCTGAGGCTATGCCCGAGAAGAATGTGTGGGGCAATGAGGATCCGAGGCGCAAGGAGAGGGAGCGAGCTCGTATGGATGTCAATGATCCACTCGCTGCCATGAAGCGCGGTGTTCGGCAGCTGAAATCCACGGAGCAGGAACGCAAACGATGGAATGACAATAAGCGAAAGGAAATTGAATCACTTATGGCCGATGAGATACACCAGTCTAGGCACCGGCGGAAGCGATCAACATCAGTGGACAGCCTTGAGGGGTTCAAACTTGATGCGCCTGACAAGGCATCCGAGAAAGGAAGAAGCTCCCACCGGCATCACCGTCGCCATCGAGATTCAAGTCGGAATCGAAGTCGAGATCGCTCGCCTCGTCGTTCTTCTCATCGCCGCTCTTCACATCGCAGCCATCGTGATCGTCATGACGATGTCCGTGCGGCTTCCAGGCATTCGAGGAAGTTAGAATCAAAAAATCATTCCTAGGGTTATTTCTCTAGGCCACAAAACCCAATTCAACATTATGATACCCTTGTGTTCCGTTCTAAATGCAAATAATTTGTGTATTCACTATATCTCATCATGCAAATGGGTCACATTTATTTTTTTGGCGTAGAATTCGTCACAAAATTGCTCCATCTTTACAGGAGGCTCCAGAGCTGGACGCCCTTCTCGTTTGCGTCAGAATCCCACTGGACACTGATGTCAACACCACGAGCGCCCTTCTCAGTCTTCTCATAGCCAACCTTGCCGGAGATGGTCTGGCCCTTCTTCAGGGGTTGAGCGTTGTGCTTGGCCTGGTCAATGAGAAGAATAGTCTGCTGCCAGTGGGTCTCGGTTCCGTGGGGACCAGTGGTGAAGGAAACAATGCCCTTCTTTTGCATCTCCGAAGGAATGGCGTCCTCAGGGAGAACAGACTCGCTGGAGGGCATGAAGAAGATGTCGAACCAGATAGCCCATCCGTCCAATGCGTCGATGTCCTGGTTCAAGGTGACCTGGAATTCCTTCAAGAAGGACAATTCCTCAACAGTGATGGTGTGCAGAGGCAGAGTCAAGAAGATTTGAGACTCTCCAACAATAGTGTCTGGCTGGTTGCTGCGAACGACAGCCTCGTCATAGATCTTGTGAAGCATGCTGTCCATCTTGAACCCGTAGACATTGTTCCAGAAAGAGATGTGCGAAGCAATGAAGTCGGGGTCGGCATAGGGAGCAATGCGCAGTGTAGCGTGCGAAGGAGCCATGAGACCACCGGGAACCAAGTAGCGGTCTCTGGCGTAGATGACGGAATCAAACATCGCCTCGAAAAGGAGACCGTAACCCATCCACTCAGAGATGATGATGTCGACCTTCTCGACGGGCAGAACAACTTCTTCAATCTTACCACGGATGCAAGTGATCACATCTCCGAGGCCATTGTCGTGGACAATTTCCTTAGCCCGATCAATAATGTTCGAGTTGTCCACAGCAATCACCTTCTTTGCGCCAGCCTTAGCGCAGAACATGGAGAGGATACCAGTTCCACAGCCGACGTCAAGAACAACCTTGTCCTTGAAAACGTGCTTGTTTTCGTAAACGAAATCACGATAGGAGTCAGTGCGGATAGTGTCTTTCAGCATAGATTCGTGGATTGCTTTGGCAAGAAATTAGCAACCGAATTGTACTCAATAGGGGGGATCTTCATACCGTTGTAGGCATACGAGACGAAGTAACCATCCTCAGCTTCCTGATGTCTGTCAATGGCATGGGATGAGGGCTTCGGTGTCGATTCGGCAAGCTTCTCGTCCTCCTTGGACAACTGATCATCCATAGACTGCTGCACAGCAAGACGGTATTCGGAGAATTGGGTCTGGAGACGCTCGAGGTTCTCCTGGAGTTCGAGTACCTGTCGCTCAGCCTCGGTTCCAGGAGCAGATGGTTCATCCTGCTCCTCGGCAAGGTCATCCAAGCTGTACAAAAGGGCGTCGTCCTCTAAAACGGGCTTAAGGTACACATCGTCCTCGAACTTGGACTTGGAAGAAACGTCTGGGGCGTTGTTTCCGTTCTTCACTTCGGATCGAACGTAGTTGACCAATTTAATATTGTCGAGGAAGTCCAAGTCTAGAAGGGGAAAAAGTTAGCTTTGGGTTCCGTTCATGAACAGAGTCTCCTACGATAGAAATCAGCGCATACCAAGGTCCTTCTGGATCTTCAGCAAGTCGAAGTTATATTTCTCCTTGCACTCCTTCAACATTGAGCGCGCATCAGGGAAGACTTGTTCGGAGAAGAGCCCAACCACAGGTTGCGACTCCTCATCGGGCTCAACATCTTCCCAGCCCTCCTCGTTGCTGGTATCGGAGGAATCCGAGACCGAGTCAGGGATATCCTCGCGAGCAGGTGGATTCACAGCAGAAGCAGACATAACTAGTCAATTGCACAAATTGCAGCGTGGAGGGGGAGGGGCAGATAGCATTTTGATAGAAAAAAAAAAGTTGTTATCAGTGCGTGCCTCAGGCCATAACCCCCGTTGCCCCGCCCCAAGTTTGTTTATGCGCAATACATCACATTTGCTGTCCGCGACCTTCTCCCTTGAATAATCGTTTGACGCTTTCCCCATGTTGCCCTGATATCTTCGCTAGCTCCTAAATTTCGTCCCTTTGACGCATATATCCTCGTCTCCCCATGGCTTTCTTCTTCAATCGCGGTCGGTCGCGGCAACCCGCCGAGATCGTTCGATCAACGAAGGAGTTATTATTGAGGATTCATGACTCCCAAAATGCCCTCAAGGTCGGTTTCCAAAACAGCAAGCTGCTGATTTACGAAACACCTCGACTAACCAATAGACCAGGCTGAAGACGAGCTGGCGAAGCAGCTCGGCCAAATGAAGGTGATGGTGCAAGGAACACAGGGTTCGTCTTCTGGAAGCATCAACCTAGGAGTCAACTACTAACATATTACTCTTTAGAGGTCAATACATCACCCGAACAAGTCCACGCCCTCGTCCAAGCAACCCTACAAGAAGACCTACTCTATGATCTATCGCGGAGCATCCATTTACTTCCGTTCGAAGCCAGAAAAGACACGCAGACCATATTCTCTCATATCCTTCGCTTCCGGCCTGTTTCATATGCAGATGACAAAGATCCTCCGGTCATCTCCTATCTTGTCCACCATCGACCGGAGATTATCATCGAGTTATGTCGGGGGTACATGCAACCCCAAAGTGCCATGCCATGTGGCGTCATTCTCCGAGAGGCATTAAAATTCGACGTGATCACCGCCGTTGTACTATATGACCAGTCAAGTGAGGGGGAGCCCGCAGTGCGGCTATCGGAGTTGAAGCCGAACCTACCTCAGAGAGGAGATGGCGTGTTTTGGAGATTCTTTGAATGGATAGACAAGAGCAATTTTGAAGTGAGCGCGGATGCATTTACAACTTTCAGGGTATGTTTCGAGCGATGATTATGGGTTGACAATGGCTAATTCTACTTTCCACAGGAGATCTTGACCCGGCATAAGAGCCTCGTCACTGCATACCTAGCCACCAACTTTGATCTATTCTTTGGGCGATTCAACAGCATCCTTGTCCACTCGGACTCCTATGTGACCAAAAGACAAAGTATCAAGCTTTTGGGAGAGATCTTACTGGATCGTGCAAACTACAACGTGATGATGGCATATGTGGAGAGTGGTGAAAATTTGAAGCTCTGCATGAAATTGTTGCGCGATGATCGGAAGATGGTACAGTATGAAGGGTTCCACGTTTTCAAGGTATGTCAGCCCTTAAAACTTCTATAAACACTCCATCTAATAATGTATAGGTGTTCGTGGCAAACCCAACCAAATCGGTAGCGGTGCAAAGAATTCTGATCAATAACCGTGATCGATTGTTGCGATTCCTGCCTAAGTTCTTGGAAGACCGAACTGACGACGACCAATTTACGGATGAGAAGAGCTTTCTGGTCCGCCAGATCGAACTATTGCCCAAAGAGCCTGTGGACCGGACTCGACCTGCTCGCGACTCGCCATCTGGGGCTAACACGACCGCTGTGGCTTGAGCGTAGAAATTAACACTTGGATCGCAATGACCCTTTCATGGCCTTATGACACCCTTTCTCGTGATTATAGTTGGGGACGGTGCCCCCTTTTTTTGACTGCATTGGCTGATGGCCCAGCCTCAGCTGGAGTTCACGTTTTGTACATCTTGGAGGCGTATAATTGGAAAAATTGAGGATTTTGCTGCATCTAGAGACTTACGTAGACATCTATGGGGGTCTTTGATCCCGCACGTCCATGGGGTTTCTAATCTAAGCACAACTAGCGCGCTCCACCAGACTCCTTGTTCTATCCACACGGCCGAAGGTGGGACATGAAACCCCCTTAAAACTTATTTTAGAGACATTTTAGAGAAAAAAGAGTTGAACTCTTAGCCGAGGAATGAGAGGGGAGTACAATTCCGTATGTGTACATGTACTTCGCGCCAAGACCCCCGAAATACTCCACCTCTTCATATCTCCTAGGCCTCAATTTTAATCTCAACCTTGACGAAATCCTGATGCTTGAGATTCTACCATTGTCACTCCTTTCTTTGTTAGAGTTGTCTGTTTAAACCTCTCCTTTCAACAGTTCGATCTTCGCTCTTTGCGTGCACTCCTTCTGCCCTTTTGCGATCCAGTCCATTCGCAAGTCATGCCAGATAATGGTCAATGAGGTTTCTACATCGTTCCCCGACCGGTCGGAACCCCGTTCGTCGATTCGCGCCGTGCCCTTTGAAAATACCATTCCTGTTGGCGCCCCTCTTGCAATTCGGTCGGTCTCGTTACCCACGTCAGATGCGCCACTAGCTCCCAATGGCCGATCGTTCAGCACGAGCGCTACCTCGACTCGTCCTGGTGACAATTCGCCCTCTGCATACGCGTCACTGCACGATATCAAGCAAGACTCGCGCCTTGCACCGTCAACGCCAACCGGAGATGGAAGCCGAACGATACGATCGGAAGGGCCCCCCTCGTTGCGCAGTGTGCCCAGCATTGTTGTAGATGAACCAGGCCTCCGTCCCAGCTCGCGGCCAGGTTCACGGCCGGGCTCGCGTCCAGGCTCTCGGTGGTCAGAGCGCAAATGGGGTGGTTTGAGGAAACGTTCGGCGGAGATGGACAGAAAGTTTTGCTCGGAATCGCCTCCGCCAGTACCTCAAATCGAACGCCCTTTTTCAGGTATTCCCCTCGAGATACCGACGGCATCTTTGGAGGGGCTGGATAAGCCGATGAAGTTTTCTACTCGTGGAAGCTTGATCAAGAGCAATGCAAATCGCCCCCACCCAAAACCTTCCAGGGAGAAGCTGGAGGCACACCCTGAACAAGTGCTGGAATCCACCACACCTCAGAAGGTAAACGAACAACTTGAGCCACGGCCTGAGCAGCAGCCAGAACAGTCCCCGGAACCCCCAACTCCTGAGTTGACGCCTTCCCCTTCCATTACCACCTGCCGAACCGAAGGTGAGAATGGAACACCGAAGGCGGTCCCGCGACGCGCTCAACCTCAAGGCACTCTTCGCCCGAGACAGCTGAGTCTTCCAAGCAGAGTCATTTCGGCAGACGAAGACATGCTGTCACGGCGAGTTCGGCTCATGTATGAAAAGGGCGAGGATAACGTCACTGACTCTGAAGTTGCGAAAGCAATGGCTTCCGAGAATGGTATTTTGTGGGAGGAGGGTGCGGCTACAGACTCCGAAGCCCCTGGCGCTCAACGAACTGAAACTGAAACAAAACCACGGGCATCGGCTGAAGTCGAGCGCAAGCGTATTAAGAGAGAGACCCAGGAGCTAGCAGGAGGTGCCGAGTATTGGCAGAATGTCAATGCCGGGGAAGTCGATCGTTATGGCTTTATTCGCCCTCCGACAACCGCCAACGGCTCTGAGATCAACCCGCTACAGCGAGTCACTACAAGTCTTCTTCTAGCTTCCGAGACACCGCGTCGGAAACGTTCTATTCGTCCACCAACTGCTTCGGCTAGCAATCGTTCCTTCAACGGTCGTTCTCCAACACGCCAGAGCTCCATGGCCAACCGGCCGTCATCGTCGCAAAGTAACTTTAGTGCGCCGTTGCGCCGCTCAACATCTCGTTTGCGTACCGCGACCAATCGTCTGCCTCACAATCGAGACCGCAAGACCAAAGATGAAGCAGCTGACATGCTCACTCTACCCACCGAATCCGCTGCTGATGAGAAAGATGACACTTCGGTTTCTCGTGCCATGCGCAAAAAGGAGTGGCAGCGCGAGGACAAGTGGACCAAGATGGCCAAGCCAACACGGAAGAACAAAGACGGCGGTGGCATGACCTTTGAGTTTGATACGCAGAGTTCGAAGTTGATCGAGCGGACATGGAAAGGCATACCAGACAGGTGGCGGGCTACAGCTTGGTACTCATTTCTTGAGGCCAGTGCTAGACGTCACGAAAATAGTCCCTCTGAAAAAGAGCTCATAGAGGCTTTCCATGAGTTCCAGTACGTATCGTCGCCTGATGATGTTCAGATTGACATTGATGTACCGAGAACTATCTCCAGTCACATAATGTTCCGGAGACGGTACAGAGGTGGCCAGAGGCTACTGTTCCGTGTGCTTCATGCCATGTCACTATATTTCCCTGATACGGGCTATGTACAAGGCATGGCAGCTCTCGCAGCTACATTACTTGCATATTACGATGAGGAACATGCGTTCATAATGCTTGCCAGGTTATGGCAGCTGCGGGGTCTGGAAGAGCTATACAAGTCTGGCTTTGCTGGTTTGATGGAGGCTTTGGCCGACTTTGAACGAGAGTGGCTAGCTGGTGGTGAAGTGGCCACCAAACTCGTAAGCTGAATCAGCCCAACCCACGAGATGCATCTTTGCTAACAACATTTCTTGCAGAACGAAGTCGGAATTCCACCCACGGCCTATGGCACCCGTTGGTACCTCACCTTGTTCAACTACTCGATCCCTTTCCCGGCCCAACTCCGGGTGTGGGATGTTTTCATGCTTCTTGGAGATGCGGAAGACACCACTGGCCGGCCAGGAGGTTCAGGGAAGAATGGCGACTCTTCTACTGAAAACCCAAGAACATTTGGCCAAGGCCTTGACGTTTTGCACGCTTCATCTGCCGCTCTTATTGATGGCATGCGTGAAATCATTCTCGAATCCGACTTTGAAAACATCATGAAAGTTTTGACTAGTTGGGTGCCCATCAAAGATGTCGAAATGTTCATGCGTGTGGCCAAGGCGGAATGGAAGGTTCATCGCCGCCGGAAGACCTCTTAATTTCCTTGGTCAAGGGTTTGGTGTCTGTTTTTCCACCTTTGACTAATTACTAGCCTTTTCCTAATTCTGGCCCAATGGGTGTCTATACCCTAATGATTGCAATTCGCACCCTATGGTCAGCCTCTAATGTCTTCAACCTATTATACCCTTTCTCCCCAATTGCGAAGAGTGCATATTATCTATACTCTTCCTACTTGGAAATTCTTGTTCTTCCCACCATTCCACATTCCTACCCTAATACCCTCTTTACACCGTGGGTACTAATACTTCATGACTGTCGTTTCCCTGTCCGGTTTTCCTAGACGATACCTATCTTCATTCCCCGTCTCACTTTCTTTTGGCCTTTTTCCTTATTTTGTTCCTGTCCTCTAAGTCTTTTGTACATTTATTTGGCGATTAGCTTCGGGGATCTTCACTCGTCTATTGGTCCAGTTTGGACATCACGACTATCCTGAACAACATATAAGCCTACTGTGAACCACAGTCGTGCCGTTGACGTGCTGATGTGTACCGATCCCCATATACCCGGAAGCAAGAACACAAATTTATCTGATACCCAAATCAATAATCTCGGTTTATTGAGTCTGATCTGAAAACGCTAGGGTTTTCCCAACAGGATGAGTCTGTCAAAGGCTTCTCCAAGAACACTTTTATTGCAAAGATATCCGAGGAGCCCCTTGCCGCCCTTGGCGCCCAAATTACCCTTGTCAACATAATTTTTCTTCAGCCAATTCCTGGCAGTGGGATCAACTTCGCGCTGCTGAACATATATGACTTCAATGTTGTACACCGTATCCAAGCCAACAGTATCCATCATCTGACAAGGGCTCTTGGCAGCCTTGAACCAAGCCTTAAACATGTCATCAACAGTTTGACCATCACAAACCCTCAGCCAATACCAACAAACACTCCCGCTTTATAGAAGCCCAAATGCGATCGAAACCAAACCCAGTCGAATCAACCTGGGCATGAACAGGCTGGAATCCAGCAATCGAAGCCTTTTCCATCCAAAACGGAAAGATATCCAGATCGGTATGTCCACAGGACATGACCTCGTAGTTCACCTGTTCAGGCGGCATATAGTATTGGCCATTGCAGATACGGTAATTCTTCTCCGTTTTGATGATCATCTGGCTAGACTCCAGCGAAGATGAGTTGCTAGTGATAACATAGACCGGCGGAGTGACATTGTGGATCTGCGCCAGGATCTCGATCTTCATCTCCAGCTTTTAAGGAATAGCCTTGGTAACCATCCATGCGTTTTCAGCGGCTTCTTGCAGCGAGGCGGCGGCTTTCACGTTGCTGGGCTTTGTGCGTAGCTTGGCTGTGCGCCTTTGTTGTTGTTGATGTAGTTCACTGCGCCGACGTAGATGGCTTCTGATTTCTCGCATAGGGGTACCGAGAACCCGGCTGCTACCCACATCGTGCAGATTCGTCGTCCCGTCATGCCTGCGCCGACGACGGCGATGGGACGGGTGCTTGTGTCCGGTTTGGTCCATGGGGTTGAGGGCATGGTGGCCGTTTTGCGGGGGTATTTTCGGGGGCGGCTGCGGGAAGGATTGTTGGCCTTACGGGTAAACAGGTTGAGTGGTGTGTGTAGCCACTTTCTTTTTGAGTTTGTTAGTTATTATGTTATAATGATTGCGGATGTATTTGCCGGGTGGCTGAAGCTTGGCTTGAACAGAAGTATTTGTGAGTAAGATGGAAAGCACTGTGGAGGGAAATGCTAGAAATTGGGAGCTGATCCAAGGCCATGGATCGACTACTCACAGAAGGAAGGGTCTTATTTGCATGTATGCTTCCATGGGTATGCCATGTGGCACACGAGCTTAAAAAGCCTAAAATAAGCTCAAAATAGTAATTCAATTGCCGACTTTGGAAGGAGAGATGTCAACATCCTCAATCCAATTAGATCTCGAGGTAAAGTCTCAAAGCAGGAAATGGGCCACTCAGGGTAACCGACAAGGACCGAGGAATGAAGTATACCTACCCCTCATGCCAAGGGACGCTGATCTCTCCAACTTTGTCTGGGGTAGACTTGCATACCCCGGACTAGACTATCCCGTTAGAGAATTTAGAGAAATGGGAGTATAAAGGGCGGAATAATGCCCGCTCTGAGGGGTAGGGGTAGTCTTTGCATTTGTAGCTTCCAATATTGCCATAAGCTGGGAGACGTTTCTGTTCTATCTTTGCCTTCTTAGGAATTAGGAAACAAGCATACAGGTATCCTCTCATCAATCTCAGCTTTCGTGGTTTATCGTTCCAGTCCCTTTGCTTACTTGTTAGCTTCATTTGAAGAACTGCTCGCTCTTATTGCCCACTATGGTCGAATTGAGCGACACCCCTGAGAAGCCCGCCGTGCGCAAGGTCGAAAATGCAGTCATTCCGCCACCATACAGCACCGATCTCAAGCAAAAGGAGCAAATTGCAGACACCGAGTCAGGCAGCCTTGGCCCGGCGGCCTTTGAGGGTGTCGATGAGAACGCAGTGCTCCGGAAGATGGACATTCGTTTAATCCCAATGCTAAGCGCCTTGTATTTGCTTGCATTCTTGGACCGAGGCAACATCGGAAATGCGAAGATTGAGGGGTTGGTTGAGGATCTCCATATGACTGGGCCACAGTACAACTGGACTTGTATGTTTACTTCTGACTCGGTTGATTTGATATGAGAACTGGCTAACCATTGTTTGCTATAGTGACTGTATTCTTCTTCACCTACGCCGCTTTTGAGCTGCCGAGCAACCTTCTTCTGAAGAAATTGAAGCCTTCGAGATGGTTGCCCTTTATTATGATTGCATGGGGGATTTGCATGGTGAGCGCTTGAACACTGAGTATTGCTGGCAGCGAACCTTATTGATGTTGGGTATCTTCCAAACAGACCTTGATGGGAGTTGTCAAAGGTTACGGTGGATTGTTGGCCACTCGTATCTGCTTGGGAATTTCTGGTACGTTAATCACAGCCTTTCAAACAACATACTCAAGGGTCCAGACTAAACGTTGGCGCAAATATAGAAGCCGGTCTATATCCCGGTGTGGCATACTATATCACCCTCTGGTATCCGCGCCACAGAGCACAATTTAGACAAGCGCTCTTCTTCAGCGCCGCAAGTGTTGCGGGAGCATTTTCTGGGCTTTTGGCATATGGAATTGCGGTATGTTTTCCCTTTCCCATCGACCAAGTCTATAGTATTAACATATCATGATATTTCTAGAAAATGGACGGCGTCGGCGGATATGCCGGCTGGAGATGGATTTTCATCCTTGAAGGCCTATTGACTGTTCTTGTGGCACTCATCGCCCCATTCGCAATCCACGACTCCCCAGAGACAGCCAAGTTCTTGACTGAAGCGGAACGCCGTTTCGTTATCCATAGTTTACGGATTCAGAACTCAGCGGATTCCCACGAGACGGTTCAGCAGAATGAGAAATTCCAGATTCGCTATGTGATCGACGCATTGAGCGACTGGCAGATCTGGCTGGGTATACTCAGTAGGTGTCGATTCTTTCTATGTATGTCTCCGCTAACTTGGGCAAAGTGTACTGGGGCATCACTTGTCCTCTATACGGAATCTCCCTATTCCTTCCTTCTATTATCAAGGACTTAGGGTACAAGTCATCTACTGCACAGCTTCTCACTGTAGGTGGCACGAAACTGTTCCTTTTAATATGAGATCTAACCGCTCTACTGTAGGTGCCAATTTATATTACAGCTGCAGTTGTAGCCGTTGTCGCAGCATGGATCTCGGACAGACGAAAGCAGAGATCACCTACTATTCTATTCTACATGACTATGATAGCAGCGGGATTCATCATCGTTCTCGCATCTACAGGGCGTGGAGTTCCAGGAGTTGTCTACTTTGGTGTCTTCGTGGCGGTCCTCGGTAAGTGTATTAAATAAAAGTCGGGCTATCCAGATAAAGTTATCAGCTAACAAAGTCACTGAAAGGCATCTACCCAGCCTTTCCTGGAAACGTTACCTGGTTGAGTGTCAACATGGCGGGTGACTACAAGCGAGCTGCCGGTATGGCTATCCATATTGGCATAGGAAATCTCGCAGGAGGTAAAGATGTACCTGATACTTAAATCTCTGCTCTTACTAACATCGTTTTGAATAGCAATGTCGTCCAATTTCTACCGTTCCCAGGACGCACCTAAATACATTCTCGGCCACGCACTAGAACTTGCTTTTGTCGTTGTGGGCATGTTGGCAGTAGTTGCTCTGCGCCTGTCTTATCAACGCATTAACCGCAAGCGAGATGCTATGGATCCTTCTGAGTATCCTGAAGATCCAGACTCGCTGGGTGACCGGTCTCCTCTCTTCAGGTACATGCTTTAGAGGAATTGCATAGGCTGTGCGGATACCCCAATAATGGGTTGGAGGTCCAATGCGTCGTTTGTGCTTTTGCATTTGATAAACAATGTTGGGACTTTAGGAAATGAAGATACCAAATTAAGATCTATGAACATCTAGTTTAAAAAGAACACAAACGCTAGAGTAGCTATCCATGACATTTCTCACTCAATCGTTACACCCTTGACCAAATTGGTGATTTACATAGCGAAACAGTGTTACACCGCATCCTAGGCCCAAAAGACTAGCTAAAAAGGGGAGAATATGAGGCAAAAGGTACTAGCAAGCTATTTACTGTCCTACCCGCCTACTTTCCACTAAGTTGAGACCACATGATCAATTTGAACGTTTCTTAACAAATCTAATATTTCAAAACATTTTATGAAAAGTACCTAATACACAGGGCTAATATTCATACAACAGCTCCAACAGTCTGGAGTATCAGCAGGTGCACTGCACCCAGAAGTGATAACACCAAAATCTCTATGGGTATACCATTCGAGGAGTGGGCTATGGAAACTGACCGAGTTGCAGACTGGCCCTCTTGTTTTATTCTACGTAAAATTAGCATGCATTCTGCAATCTGATCCTTGAAAAATCATTGCCATCACGAAGGCGGAGACATATATACCGTAGGCGGATCCCCACAAAGGAGCGCAGCGGGAAGACATCCCTGAGTACACAGCTGATAGTTTGTATCAGAGGGAACATAGACAAAATTTGGCATGACAAAGTCAAGTAAAATGTTGTTGGCGGGTAGGGCTTGGGCTTGCATGCAGAGCAAGGCCACAATAGCGGGTGAGATGATGAAATGCATTGGATGAAGAGTGGTGCTACCAAGATATATATGATAATAAGATCTAGCAAATTGTGATTGCAAATATGAGATGGAATTGTCGACAGCACCACCCGGGCTTCTTATTTATGTTGGAGTAAAGGTTTTAAGTTGCCGCTGTACTACTGAAGCATGCCTGTTTAACACCAGAATGTGCCAGAACTCTTCGTGTGGGACTAACGGAGTGCTCGAACTAAAGTTTTACCAGTATGAAAAGCAAGTTTGCGCAAATATCATCGCCATATACCTGCGGAGATCGCTTCTTATACTTTAGACTGCTCATGTAGGCTGAACCAGAGATTCTCGACAGAGACAAACGGCCAAGGACAATATGCTAACAGGTCTTACTCGAACTTGAATACAATCTCTCATGGATATTTACTGATACCCCACAAAATAGTATGAAACCTCGCCAGCTCAAAACCGCAGAGTATCAAAACCCTATAAACTTGCATGAAGGCCACAATTTGCAGCCTGGGGTGTAAGCAATTGGCTACCTATATCTTTGCATACTTTGAACTCTCTGTGTACACTTGATTCCCACGAGTAACATAGGTTATGTGACCTAGACATCTAAGACCCTTCCAATAGAGAAACTCGTTTCTTTTCCACGGCACTGTTGTAGGACAGGATCGGTCACATTCCTTCTCTTTCTTCCTTGTGAACATGCACTAATCCTACTGTAGTACTAATTATGTCTATTAGAAAGAGACCCACTCCCCGTGGATCAAAGCACGTTATAACGAATGCAATATCAAAGCCAAGATGTAGCATACGTTGCCTGTTTGTGAGGCCCAGTTCAATTCCTCCTTTCTATTATCTCCATTCATACGCTGGATGAATCCACACAGCGGACTTCATTCAAAACTAAATACTCCATACGCTGGAGCCTTAATTTGCTTGAACCGAGGCCACTAATAACCGTTGGTGTCTGCCTAAGAGAATTCGGAGTCGGACTTGGCTTAGAAAACGTTGGATGATCGTAGCGAACAGGTATAATTATTTGATCGACAGTTATCCACTCTCATTCAAACATTCACGTACGGAGTCAGCTATTCAGTTCTGCTGCTTCTGTTTCACCATTTTGTTTGTTGTTCCACCTTTGACCGCCCTAGCTAAGCCGCGTGTGCACTTTGCCGACTTGACACCTCAATCATCTCTGAATCCGCATCTTCCTCTCCTCGAATACAAGGTCGCTTGATATTTATCTGTCCATCATGACGCTGGCTGAGGAATTTCGTTCGCGCAACTTCAGTAAGTACCCGGCGTGTTCCGCCCGCAGATCCTCAACGCTAATGTTCTTTTCTAGGCATCTACGGACAATGGTTAGTCTATCGCGTCGCACTACTTCCTCGGATTCCAGTTGAGCTTGAGCACCGTCGCGGGGAAGTAGTACAGTTGAGACATCGACCGGTGTCTGCTACCTCATCTGACAGCTCTTCAATCTGCCCCGGACATCAGTTTCGCATATAAAGGGATGATTCTAACGAGGTATCTAGGACGGGTGTGGTGTGCATTGTCCTTTGCTTTGCGCTTGGCCTAGCCAATTGTTTCCACCTAGGACTCCGCCTCATCTTCAGTATAATCTGCCTGTGAGTTGCCGTTACTTTTATTTCCCGCGGTATCATCACAAATCTAACCCGTATAGTGCCTCGTCATTCGTCCTCGTCTTCGTTGAAGTACCCTTCCTCCTCCGAATCTGTCCTACCTCCTCCAAGTTCGATGCCTTCGTTCGCCGCTTCACAACCAATTGGATGCGCGCCACCATGTACGGCATTCTCAGTGCTATCCAGTTCGCCAGTATCTCCGTCGGCGCATCCAGCCTAATCGCCGCCGCTGTGGTTCTCCTCATTGCAGCCCTTTTCTACGGACTGGCAGGTCTGAAGAGCCAGGAGTTTGTTGGTAGCAAGACCCTGGGAGGCCAGGGTGTTGCGCAGATGATTGTCTAATACCGATACCACGACCTCAACGCCGAGCCGTTCTTTGCCTTTTCCTATTCCAGCCAGATGCTGGTACCCTGGCGATGAAGGGGTTGGTGATGCGAGATGCTCGATGCAGATGCCGCAAAGGATAAAATGACATTTGGGCAACGTGATTGGAATGCGCTATGAATTCGTTTGTGTTTTTTATCATCCTGTACTTGTATGTCTCGGTCTGTTTCGAGATGACCCTGAGCATGTCTTTGTTTTCAATATCGATGAGCGTTTCTCCCAGGGATATATTCTTGTTTTGTGGTTTGAGTTCAGAATAGGTGTTATGATTGCTGTTTTAAAGGTGCATTCATTGACTTTTGGCTTGACCAGCTTACTTGGATCAGACTCTGTGCAGTTCATTAAATCCTCATCCCTAGAGCACGTGGCCTATATCCATGTATTGATTTCGACATGTGGGTCAACAGGGAGACAACTGACTGCCGATGACCTCCAATAGGGCGAATAGGATTATTTAATACCTACCTCTACAGATATAGAGTATGAGGCCTTTTCCGAATAGATCTCACCTAAACACCCCACCTACCCGAGCTGACAACCTCGGGACTTGGCGCTTCCAAGATTGCCCCCGCACGAGACAAGTCACCAATTTGAAACAAACAGGAACGCAGGCAAATGGCTGCCGAGAGAACCTTGGAATACCTGGTCACAGGTGTTACCCCGCAAATCCTTCTAGCCTTGGTGATCACCCCGGAAATGGCGGGGGTTTGTATAGTCTCATAAGGCTGGACCCTGTTGGCAAGGTGAGCATGGGTACTGTACAATGCCATAAGGAAGCAAGGATTCAGGAAATCTGATATCGAAGTAAAGAAAACGATGATGCAATGCGGAGAGCAACACCTCACCGCCTCGGATCCGACAGCCAATCCCGCCGCAGTGAAATAATCGTCTTATCTGGTTCAGAGTCCAGACTGGTTGGTTTCTTGTATTTCACCAGGGGAAGATCCTGCATTCATAGTAGTTGAGACACCATTGTCCAGAACATCCAGAACGTGACATGCATAGTGCGTAGTCACTTAATGGTACATTAAGTCCGAGTCACAAGTGAGGCATTTGCTTGTAGCCTAAGAAAAATGCCTCAAATTCCTTAAAAACGAGGCGCTATTCATCGTTCAATACTGACTTCATTGGGGTCGAAAGGGAAGAATGGTTGGTTGGCATACGTAGACTTGTAATATTACCGTATTATCTAACAGAGCACGTCACGGGCAGAAACACTCATACATCATCCTCAAATCCACGGAATTGCTTCAATATCTGCTTCTGCTTCTGCTTTTGCTTTTTTTGCTATTTCTGCCTCTATTGTTTTGATCACTTTCTTGCAATTGGACCGATCCTGGTTCACATTAAAAAATCTGGGTAAGCAAATCATTCTGCATATTCTTATCAGTTGCTGGCCCTTTCCTTTCTCCTGTCTTGCGTCAACGATGCATACTCCCCGGCGGGAGCTCCCTTTAGATGTCCTGAACCCCTGCAAGCCTGGTGGCGCCAAGGCCCCGTCATTACCTAGCCTGCACATGGTCCATCGTGGCCGTGGGGCATTCTGTTGGGCTGCCGCTGACTCGTCGATAGCTACCTAGTACTTCATCATGTCGACCCAAGCTGCTCCGGCCGTCCCTCCTCGACCGGCTAGATCTCCTCAGCCGTCGTCTTCTTTAGAAGCGCCCAACATTCCTCCCCGTCCGAACAACCGCCGGGTCGATCGTTCAGTTTCCCCCATGCGTGACAGCTATGCTCCCTCGCCGTTCAATGAATGGAGCGGTCCCGGGGTGGCTCGTACCATTTCGAATGATCCGCCCCCGCGCCCTCCCAGCGTGACAATCCCCTCGCTCGGTGAGGAGGGTATCGAATATGCTGACCTCGACCCGGGTAATATGTCGGATAGCCACCATCAATCCCCCGCGGAGACTCGCAACGTCAGCAGTGATCTCAAGATTCATGCGCCGAGACCCTCGTTGCCGACCTCAAGTGCTAAAGCGAAAGTCCAGGCCGTCACCCGTACCGATTCCCGGCAGGCCGCCGCCGCGGGAATAGGTCACGAAGCCTCACCAGGTCGGGATGAACAAGACCGCTCCAGCCGCTCGTTACATTCCCGGACCAATGGCTCGCGCGCGGAGTCGTCGACGGCCTCCAATGAGCGCCGTCACTCCGCTCAGCTCGGAGACGAGCAGGGCTTCCGTGTGCCCATGTATCCCAATGCCGGTGATGTCCAGGCGCCATCCCCGAGCCCTTATCTCGAGCAAGGCTCGCAACGTCCGGGTCGCAACCACAATCGCACACGCAGTCATCGTGACTCTTCTTTGCCACCTGGAAGCTACGGTCTGCATGGGCATGGTGTCCCGCATTCCGACAAGTTCGAGAAGGCTTGGTATGAGAAGCACCCCGACGAGTTCGTCAAGGAGGAGGGACAGTATGGTCCTGGTGTCGGCACCCCGCGTCCCGATTGGGCATTGAGCAGTGATGACCTCAACAAGATTGTTCGAAGCTCCGCCCAGACTGGTTCCGGTCTTGGTGAGTATTTCGAGCGAGTTCGTCACTGTTAGAAAGCTAACTGTCATCAGGTACTTCCCCAGCCGTGGTGGGCACTCCCGAAGAGGAGGTCGGATATATGGCGTCTGATGAGTACATGCATCGCATGGCTTCTCCCCCGCCTGATGCACCGCACGAAACTCAGCCGGCAGTTGAGTCACCACTTCGCCATATGAGCTTCCCTGCGGAAGCTGGCCAGAAACAACCGGAAGGAAGCCCGCTGCGTCATCGCAGATCGAGCTCATATGGTAACCAAGAGAGTGATGTAATCCACGTGGATGATCCCAAGCATCATTTGCATCACCCGGATGGATTTGCCCCGACTCCGGCGATGGAGGAGAGTGAGCCAACGTCCCAGGAGGCCGAGGAGGAAGAAGAACCGATCCTGGCCGCTGATGAAGTGCGTCCCGAGTCGGCATATCTGCATCCTGCTATCTCGCCAACATTCGATCACCGAGGAAGTTTCGAAGATGAACGCCGCAGTCGGACTCCCAGTGCCTCGCATAGCCGCTCCAACAGTCGATCGGCTAGCGCGCAAGGCCAGCTCCCTGTGCTGACTCGCTATGACTCCCGCGAGGATAGCCATACACCACTTGAAGACGTCGAGGAGTATGAGCCGCTGTTCCCTGAAGACGATGCCAAGAAAGAGGGCCCTCTATCAGCTGCGGATCGCTTCAAGAAGAGACCTGATGCACTCAGACATAGATTCCCCAGCCAGGATATCTGGGAGGACACCCCGAACAGTCTGCAACTTCATACCACAGTGACTACCCCGGATCTGCCCAGGCAGGACTCTACCGAAACGTTTGAAACACCTGAACAGGAGGCCAACCGGAGAATGCAAACCACCAAGGTTGACTCACATCAAGTTGCTGCCCACATCCTGGAAGGCGAGAGCTCCAAGGAGAAGCATGTGCGCCCAGACACATTCAAGCAGCGTTTCCCTAGTAGAGATATTTGGGAAGATGCTCCGGATAGTCAGCAGCTGGTAACCACGGTTGAACCTGCCAAGGAAGAAGTCAAAAGTCCAAACGTGCCTTCTCGGCCCAGTGTTCCTCCCCGCCCGCAGAAGCAGCCTCAGTCTACCTCGCCAATTGAAAAGCGTCAGCCACCATCAATTCCAGAGAGACCGAAGCCTCAGGTTCCGGCACGTCCCGCCAAATCCATTTCCCAGGCCTCGACAGGCGCCGAAGAAGCTCCGCGAGAAACTCCTGCAGTGAAGGCCAAGCCTGCGGTTCCAGCTCGTCCCGGCGGGAACAAGATTGCCGCTCTGAAGGCCGGATTCTTGACCGATCTGAACTCCCGCATCGGAATGGGTCCCCAACAGCCGAAGTCTCAGCCAAAGGAACCAGAGCCTGCAGCGGAAAAGCAACCTCTGAGTGACGCTCGTAAGGGTAGAGCCCGCGGCCCGGCCCGCCGAAAGCCCGCTGTGGAGCAGACCACCCCCAAACTCCCGACGATCCCAGAGATCAAGATCTCAGAAGCAATAAACGTCTGGCAGATCGGACATGATGGCAGCCTAACAGTCGGCACAAGCGAAAAGGAAGAAACCCCCGCCGCAGTGCCAAAACCAGCCGTGCCAGCCGAACAACCAGTTGAGATCCCGGCCACGCAAAGCACCAGTGAAGAACCAGAGCCAACCCAGGAACATCCCACCGCAGACGTCGCATCTTCACCGGGAACCACAAAACCAGTGCTAGACACAATGCAGATCTCAGCAGAAGCCCCAGAAGCGATAGAAGCATCGTCGGGAACAAAGAAGCCAATCATCGAGCCACCAACAAAGCAATCAATCCATCCCACATCCGAAGGCGGCTCCCCGAAAGAGGGTAAAGAAGATGCAGAGCACAAGACTTCGGAAATGACAGGCGCTGCCCAGGCGTTGGCTGATTCCACTTCGGCTGCGCGCCAGCTGGATGATGCCCTCGAGACGCTTGCTGCGTCGGCGGATGGAAAGAGGGAGTCGGATGGTCAGGTTCATGATGAGGAGTAGTAGTTGCGGCATGGCGGTTGAATTGCCTGGCTTATGCCCCTCGCTTACCTGTGGTGTCGTTCATGTCTTCTTCTAAGATCGTTCCCAGATAGTAGCCTATTCTTTCTTTTCTAACGAATGATTTGTTGTTTGATTTCTAATCTTGGCTTCTTTTCTAGTTTTGTGTTTATCTGGTAGATGGTTTGTTGGTCTAACGGTAAGTGCATGCCTGCGCTCAGCTCACTATAGTCTGTTTAACTTGTAGCCTTTTTATCAATCTTCAGTTTTGCGTACCTGAACCAATATGGCCCTAACCGCACGCTGGCACTTTACCAGAAACGGGCGGGATATTACGGAATCTGAGAGTCTCGCTATACCCTTATAATCCTAATACAGCATGAACATCATGCTATAGTAGAGTTGATGTTTGTATCACATCGAGTTAAAGTTATAGTACCCACTGGATTTTGGCGACCATCGCTATAGGATCTACAAACATTTGTCTGCCACACTCCCTATATCGACAGTTGTATCCTGGGACCCTGTTAAAATGGCGCTTTTTACATCCAATTAAGCATATCTACTACATGCAACGACGAATCACCGGAACACTCAACATCCGCTTCGTCAATCGCATCAAACAAGATATCCCGTAGGTGTGGCGTTTCTTGTCCGTGAAACCTGTAAGCCAGGATGAACTCGAGACCATATAGAGGATCTGCCGTTCTCGGATTCTCTTGAGTACTACCGCTATGAGACATGACATGTGAATAAACTGAGCCGATTTGTCTCAGGTCTGATAGAATGACTAGGAATTGCTTTAGTGTCGGATATTGCCATTGTTTATGCACGTAAGAGCTACAAAGATGCTCTCAAATGAGCATATGGTAAGTTTCACCGGCCCGAGAGCATTGAGGTCCCATTCTAAGTAAACATGAAGAATGTCCGAAAGCAAAGGGCTATAAGCGGAGGCAATGACGTGATTACGTGACCCCATTGACAGCCGCGGCTCACTGCCGACCCTAACCTCCACCTGCAAGCTCCCCTCTTTTTCTCTGGGGGATTTTCCATGTTGAAGATGAGCCATATTCCTTATCTCATCGCTTAGCCACTATCCCTCTTGTCTCACACATCCATTTACCATGGAGTCCGCCGGATACTCAGCAGCTGGCAGAACCAGATCTTCCGATGGCGCTACAACCAACCATGACGGAACCTCCACATTCCAAGAGAGCGTCACGCCTCAGACCGAGTCGACAGAAGACACAGAAACCGTATTCTTAAATAAAGGCACATCCACCCCCAAGGCCATCGAAAACGGCGCCGATACCTCCAACATTTCCCTCGACCGATCATCAAATCCCGCCACCACCGCAGATCAAGACGAACCGCGCAAATGCTGGATCTGCTACACAGACGAAACAGAAGACTCACCCCTCAACCAAGAATGGCGCTCACCATGTCCCTGCGCCTTAACAGCCCACGAAGCCTGCCTCCTTGACTGGCTCGCAGACATGGAAAACCCGCGGTCGCGCAGGGGCAATGGAAGCGCGATAACAATGCAATGTCCGCAGTGCAAGACCGAAATCGTGGTGACCCGCCCCCGCAGCTACGTGGTTGACATTCTCCGATTACTGGAGCGGGTAGCAGGCCGGCTAGTCCTGCCGGGCATGGTTTTCACAGTAGCGGGCACCGTCTGGGCCGGGTGCTGCGCACACGGCGTTTACTCCATGTACCTTGTCTTCGGAACGGAGGAAGCGAAACAGATCATGGATGAAAGTATCGATGGCCCGTGGAACCCCGGGTTGAATCTCGGATTGCCGCTCATCCCGCTTGTTTTGATATTCTCACGGACTCGATACGCTGAAGGCCTTCTCCCGGCTATTCCGGTTCTTTTCTTTGCTGCGCATAATCCTGGCCAGGAGCCTGATTTTGATATCTGGCCGCCTACGCCTGCTATGACGTTTGCTGCGCTGCCATATGTTAAGAGCTTCTATGGGGCGTTGTATGAGCGGTTATTCGGTGGCTTGGAGAGGAAATGGATTGCTGAAGTTCAGCCGAGGGCTGCAGAGGAGATCTTGGATGATGCACAGCAACAAGATCAGGCGGAGGGTCTGAATCGATTCGAGGATGGCAACGGACAGATCCTCATGGAGATCGATCTCGAGCTCCAGATGGGCATGGGCGATGAGAATGCAGGGGATGGTCAAGGTGCCCCCCTGCGGGGCAGGAAGAAGGTGCCAATGCCGGCGCCCCCGAAGCAAACAATAATCCGCTTGGACTGGGGCGACGGAATGAGATCATCCACGATACTAGTAACCTGGCTGATGCCATCCTCGGCGCACTTATCTTCCCGGCGATTTCGGCTTCGATGGGTGGACTGTTGCAATGCGTCTTACCTAAAGCTTGGACGACGCCATCCTTGGCCTTGGAGCGTGGTCGCCCGGGGCTCTTGCAGACTCGCTGGGGCCGCAGCGTTGTCGGTGGATGCGCTTTCGTCTTGCTGAAGGATGCACTGGTATTGTATTGCCGGTGGAAGCTGGCTCAGTCACACCGCCGCCGCAAGGTCTTGAACTACGATCGAGCCAAGAAGCACCACGCATCCAAGCGTTCTGTGGGCTAGCTCTGACCTTGACCCGTCTTCTTCGTCTCGCATCGTTTCAGCCACCACTTCTTTCTGCTTTCCAGGTTATTTCCGGCGCATTGTTTGCATTACATGGCGTTTTATGGCATTATCTCTAACGAATTTGGCTGCGCCTTTGACAATTGATGCCTTTCACGATACTTGACATCACGCCGAATACCATTTGATCGCTCTATATGATACGAAATTCAATCATAGTCTTTTTCCTCGGAAATATGGCCCATTCTGTATTTACTATCAAATGTCCAGAATTCAAATAAATCAGTCATTAGATGCAAACTATTATTTTTCTAGCCCAACTTGAATGGCTCAACCACCAGCCTCAGCCATAAGATTGCTCATCATCAAATGTTCAAGATCGAAAATCCATTACAGCTACAGGTGCATACCGCGGATCCCAACAAGCGCGCGGCTAAAAAGCGGACAGAATTCTGCCATCAAGGAATTATTCCTCCGTACACCTCAATTGCATTAAGCCAACACCCTTCCACCAAACAGACCACCAGCACAATGAAGTCATTATCACCAGCCCTGGCCTCCCTGGGCAATGCCTTCCGCGTCCCAATGTCAATGGCACCCGCGCGCCCATCAGTCTCCCGCGTCTGCCACGAGAACCTGAACCGCCAACAACAAAAGCCGGGCCCAGTCACAGCAGCGCTGCAATCAGCCTCGTTCTCGACAACGGGCGCAATGGCCAAGAGAAAGAGCGGTGGTTCGACCACTGATAAGCGCATTAGTATGTTTCAATTCCAACTCTAATGGCGAGAGCTGTCATCACACGACACTTCCTCATTCACCCCAAGGAAACACATGAAACACATAACAAATTACGGACCATGAACCAAGAACTAACACATCCCACAACAGCCATGATCCGCTACTTCCTCCACCACCCTCTCACGCCCCGTCCCCTCCGCTTCTCCCGTAACCGCTACCTCCGCCACTGGACCATCCACCGCGCCTGGCAATTGTTCCAAGCGCAGCAGCGCCGCAAGCAGGAACTTGAGCTTATGCGACAGTATCAGAGTATGCAGGAGGCCTGTGAGGAGCTGCGGACAGGTGCTGGGGATGGTGGCAAGCTGTTCCGCGTGTCGATGAACAAGAAGGGTATCTTTACTGATATGTTCCCTATTGAGTATGCTCGTATGCAGACTGAGACTCCTCCTGCTGAGGGGTGGAATTATGATTGGAAGAAGCCGGAGCGGAAATAGAGTGGTTGGATTCCAATCGGGGGTTTGATGTGATGTTGGTTTGGTTGGAGACTTGACCTCGTGGATCGGGGATTAGGGTCGAAGATATGTATCATTTTGGCGCTATGTATCATATGCATTTCTTTTTTTCTTTATATTTTGCATCTAACAAATCACTATTTCCATTGGATTGTATGTTCTACAGGTCACATGTGACAGTCAGGCAGCGGTTGTCTCGAGCCGAAAGAAATGGTTAATTATATATCAGCGGACAGGATGGCAAGCGCAATGTATGAGGCGCCCTAAAAAAAGTGACAGAAATTACTACATGAGAAAAAAGGAAAATAAGGAGCGAGATCGCAACGCACTTCGGGGAATTGAAAGGCAAGGAGGGGAATCCGGAGTTGCACGTGCATAAGTGAAACAGAAATAGAGTCAAAAGGAAAGACGTAAACAGCAAAAAGCAATAGACACAGCAAACAGTGCTGGAAAGCAGACATCGTACCCAGTTCAATCGACCAGGTTAGCATAAGAACCTCCCAAACGCCAATGATGCATGATACAAGGGAGCGTCAATAGATCGCCAAAGTTACGGCGACATCGAGGTCCAAGTCGAGAAAAAATCGAGCGCTGGCAGAGAAAGATTCGGCATTTTTGCACGTCCCAAATCGCATCGTCAGATAACCACACAGCATGAACTTTTGCGCTTGTCGAATGTGAGCAGCGCTGCACGGGTAGCAGCTTCAAAGACATCGTCGACGCCTTCACCTGTCAGAGACGAGCATTCGAGGTATTTGCGAGCTCCAATTGATGTTCCAATATCATTGCCCTCCTTCGTTGTCACGAACTTGAGGGACTTCTTGCGCATTTCTTCGATTGCCAGTGGATCTTCGCGAAGGTCCTTCTTCAATCCGACTAGCAGGATCGGCACACCAGGACAGCGCTCGTTTGCTTCTTCGATCCACTATATCGCAGATCAGTATCACTGGCTGACCATTTGAATATATCCGAGACGTACCTTATGTTTCACGTTCTCCAACGAATCTGGAGTATCCATCGCAAATCCAATGAGGATGACATGGGCCTTGGAATATGCCAATGGTCGCAAACGCTCATAGTCTTCTTGTCCTGCTGTATCCCAAAGAGCCAATTGGACCGAGCGGCCGTCGACTCGGCAATCCGTCACGTAGTTTTCGAACACCGTCGGCACCTAGCGGGGGTTAGATTTATGTCTGCGAAGGAAGAGGGCGTTCCGAAATACTAACGTAATGCTGCGATTGGACATGTTAGCTACGACTCTTCGTCTTCGGGATTGTTAGGGGCAAACTCACAGTTGGGAAGTACCCGAGGGTGAAGACACTGAGTAAGCTGGTCTTTCCGCAAGCACCATCGCCAATTATCACAAGTTTCCTATATTTAGGTTCAAATTAGCCCATGAAATTATCCTGGTGGCTTCAATCCCGCGAGCAATCGGATCGCGAACGTTGGGCCAACACTTGCAAGTGATGCGTCAACCCCCTCATGAGATGAGACGGTGAGGGGCGAGACCACCGGCGTACAGCACATACCTTCGCATCACATTATCATCCTGCGGCTGCGACATCTTTAATGGCGTTGAGAGCTTTCGCGATACACAAGGGTGATGGAAAGCGGAGGTGGATCAACACTCGAGATGACACTTTTAGTCAGATCGAGAATCGATTACGAAGCGTCACGAAAGTGGGCAGATGCAAGGACAGATTCAGTCCTGGGCAGTCAGTGCCCAAAATGTTTACGAGAATAAGGCAAACGGGGGGCTTGAAGATGCCAGTGACGTGACGAGTTGGTTGGGGGAGGGGAGGAAAGCGGGCTGAGGCTGATCGGTTGACGTGGACACGAAACCCAATAAGACGTAAAGAAGGGCGAGAAAGGTAGAGAAAAAGAGAGGTAGAAAGAGAAGTGAAAGTCGAAGGCGCAAAAAGTGGAAGCTGACGATAAGATGAAGGGGAAAGAAGGCGCTTACAGCCAAGCGGAGACTTATTATTACTCACGCCGAGTTTTGAGGTGGACTAGATACCCAGAAGGTATCCTCTCCGTCTGATCGTCCTATAGGGACCCTTTTTGCCCTTCGTTTGCTATGGAGATATTTTTAATTAGGTGTCTCACACTCTGTGTTGGTGGAGCTGACGCTCATACATCTTTCCCCTTGCGATTTCCCTGACCGCCTAGGGGTTATTGCGGGCAGTATAATGGACGGTGTGGCACGTGATGTGTGTTATATCAGCAGGAAGTGAGAACATGGGAGGTTATGGCTGGAACAACATGGAGTTTCGAAAAATTGACTTCCTTTGTTTACACAATTGTTGATACAATCCTGTCTCCCCCGCCCATATCTTCATCCAAGCAACCCACAACGCTGCCCAAGACAATTCAAGATTCACACCTGACTATTCAGGCACCAGCTCGCTTGCGGCGGCTATCCCGTTGCGGCGGCACGATTAACCAGCCAGAGCGCAGGAAAGCACATCATTTCATCCATCCATTGGCGTTTGATCAGTCGTACCTCTTCGGCGCTCAGCCTTGATATCTTGCTGGTCCTGGCCCTAACACACTGTTGGTTTCCCATATCCTAAGTGCTTACAACCCTAACCCCAGCAGACACGTCGTGACCCGCCGGGATTATTGCTTGTCAACCCCCTCCTCCCATCTTATCCTACCTCACCCCTCCTGTTTGCCACGGAAGCGCGTTCTGAGCGAAACACAAAGAGCGCGATTGACTCCTCGTCCGTGCGTCTGTCAAGGGGAATAATTCCGGTGAGTTGGCACCAAGCGTAGCAGCCGCCGGAGCTTGTTGGTTGAGGCTTTGGGTCTTCCGTTCTCCGCTTTCTCTGCTCACCTTACCCACGTTGCGAAACATTGCTCTTCTGACTCAAGCTCTTCTTCGGTGTTATTAGTATGCTGCCAGTGCAGCCCCGAAAGCTCTAGTCACGTCCACCATGTCGACACATGTGTCAGCAACTCCGCTAGCAACCAACGGCGGATCACACGCGCGGGGTCCTCAGGGCAACACACCTTCCGGAACGATGGCCACACCAGCACCGACCGTGAATCGGAAGAAGCAGAAACGTCGACAGAAACAGGCTGCCCGCTTAGCCGCGGAACATTCCCACGCTTACGCTCCCGGAGATGCGGCGGACTTGCTCGCAACCGATGAACACCACTCCTGCGATGACGGCCATGAATTCGATCATACAGATCATCACAGCACAGCACCAAGCGCTAAGTACGGATATGGAGCATCACACTTACCCCGCGGACCTATGACGAACAACCCCGATGACGAACATCCTGCCGGCGAAAGATCGAAGAGGAAGAAAAATCGAAAAGGTCGATCTGACTCGCAGAACCTCGCTGGTGGTAGCTCAACCCCGCTCTCAACCCCGTCCGTCACATTCTCCCACCCTCCGCCGCCTTCCCAAGCTCTGCCATACATCAGTCGGTTCACGGGAAAACCTATTAAGAATAGCAGCATCTGGAACCAGTCTTCTCTGGAAGAACGCGAAAACATTCGGACTTTCTGGTTTGAATTGGGCGAAGAGGAGCGACGACAGCTTGTGAAAGTGGAGAAAGATGCTGTTCTGAAAAAAATGAAGGAGCAGCAAAAGCACTCGTGCAGCTGTACGGTATGTGGGAGGAAACGCACCGCAATTGAAGAAGAGCTTGAAGTTCTGTACGACGCATATTACGAAGAGCTAGAACAGTATGCGAACAACAACCAAGGCTCCTTTGACGAAGGCGCTCCCATTATCCCTCCACCTCGACTCTATAATTCACCTCTCCGATCACCCGGGCAGCATACTCGAACACACGGCCAATTCCACCCGTCACGGAGCCGAGTTCATGAGTTGCACGAAGATGACGAGGAGGATTTAGAAGAGGACTATGACGATGAGGAGGAAGACGACGAAGAAGACGACGAAGACGATGAAGAGGAGGATGACGAGGAAGAACTTTACAGTGACGAGGAACTCGAGGATGATGAAGCTCGCGCAGCGCGGGCTGACTTCTTCGCGTTTGGAAATAGCTTAACCGTTAAAGGTATGCGAGAAGATGGTCCGATGTCACAAAAGTTTTGCAAAGCTAACTCTGGTGTTCGTGCTCATCTAGATGGAATTCTCACGGTTGCGGACGACCTACTGAAAAACGATGGCAAGCATTTCATTGATATGATGGAGCAATTGGCTGAACGGCGAATGCAACGAGAAGAAGATACCCAGTACGGAATAGCTGCCGCTCATCAATCCTTCCATGGACATAATCATGGTCCCTTGGACGAAGAAGATTATGACGATGAGGAAGAAGATGAGGATTATGACAGTCAAGAAGAGGAAGAGTTCGACGAGGACGAAATGGTATGAGACTAGGATGTCATCTTGTTACGTCCATATACTAATTAGGGCAACAGGATACCATGACCGAAGCACAACGCATGCAAGAAGGGCGGCGAATGTTCCAGATATTTGCGGCTCGCATGTTCGAGCAACGGGTTATGACAGCATATCGTGAAAAGGTCGCCGAACAACGCCAGAAGCAGCTAATTGATGAGCTCCTGCAGGAGGAAACGTTGAACGAGCAGCGGAATGCCAAGAAGGCCCGGGAAGCGCAAAAGAAGAAGGATAAAAAGCGGTTACAGAGGCAAGCTAAGGAAGAGGAGAAAGCGCGCCGGGATGCCGAGAAAGCTGCCGAAGAAGCCGCCGCCAAGGCTGCACAGGAGAAGAAAGCCGAGGAGCAACGATTGAAGCGAGAGGAACAGCGCAAGAAACGTGAAGCCGAACGGAAGGCTCAGGAGGAGGAGCGTGCCCGCAAGGAAGCCGAGAAGCAACGGCGTCTTAAAGAGGAAAGAGAACGGCAAGCCGAAACCGAGCGTAAGCAGCGGGAACAGAGGGAAGAGAAGAAGAGGCGAGATGAGGCCAAGCGCAAGGAGAAGGAAGAGCGCGAGTTGCAGGAAAAGCGCACCAAAGAGGAGCGTGAGCGCAAGATGCGCGAGGAGCAGGCACAGAAGGATCGAGCCGAACAGGAACTACGAGAGCGTAGCGGAAAGCGCGAATCAAAGACTTCACCACACTCTTTCGGCACTCACCCTTTCAATTATCCGCCTCACGTCCCTCCCGGCTTCCTGCCCTCTCCTCATCATTCTATGCCCTCGCCCATTGTCCCCAAGGTCTCGACTCCTGGAAGGCCACGCCAAACATCTCATCACGGCTCTTCTACATCCTCCCCTCACTCCAACCCTAACAGTGCGGATTCCTCCCATCATCCCTCCATCTCCCCCCGTTCTATGGCCCATTCGCAGTCGGGAGTGAACTTTGGTAGCAGACAAGGTTATCCTCAGCCTCCTCCATTGCATCACCCTCAGCCATCCGCTCCTCTATCTCCTCTCGGCCGACCAAATCCCCCAGGTTTCCCAAGCCTTGGTGGCTTACCATCCAACCCTCCTGGCATACCAGGGATGACTCCGCGGTCAAGCATTCCTCCAGAGTCGATGTATTCACCCAACGGTGGCATGATGAATCCTTTGCGAGGCTTTCCTGGTCCTGGTGGAATTGCTGCACCCCCTGGAATGAATAATGTTCGTCCTATGCCTCCAAGCCGAGTGTTTCCGCCTGATTCTGGACACGGCCTCGGTTTCACTGGTGGCCATGGTGTCCCCGGCGGATTCCCTCTGCAACAAGGCGGCATGCCGAAGACCCACTCCCGACAACATTCTACCTCATTCGATCGCTCTCCGTTGGATAATGGTTCCCAGCCATTCCCCATCACACGACCTAGCCCTATCAAGCGCCCATCCAGTTCAGCCCAAGATCGGCAGAACAATGGTAATGACTCAGTGCAGCGAGAGGTGGATGGCTTGAGTGCTCATCTTGGCAGCAGTGCGCTCCTTGATGATACTGATGCCACATATCCATCAAACCTGTCTCAGTCATTACCCGGTGCCCCCACTCCTGGACCATTCCCTGGGCCGACAAGAGCCAGCTTCCAAGGGTCGTCGTTATTTTCGGATCCTCTGGGATCCCCGCAAAGTACCTTCCCGGTTGGCTCTGCCATAGGAAATAACACATGGGGTCCACACTATGCAGGTTCCGCCTTCACGGGTGGTTCTGGTACGTGGGGAGCCCCAGCAGCTGGGACCGGATGGCCTCATAATAATGCCTTTACAGCTGGCGGACATCACCGCCCACACACCTCTCGACCTGTCACAGTCCGTCTGCTGGTTATCCAAGCATGCAAGCACCTCAGCAACATGATGAGCCCACGAAAGGGTGCTGGAACTTTCCATGATATGAATCTTGTTCTCGCTCAGGTGGAAAACCTGCGCCCCTTGGGTGAGCCATCAATCTCGTTGGACGAGATGCTTGATATTTGCGATACAGAGGGCAGCCCACAAAACGGCGGCGGCTCTTTCTCGATCAAAGAAGACCAGGAAGGCAGGTATGTCAGGTTCGAGCCTGATCCCAACAGTGCGGCTTCTGGCCACAGGGGTAGCATCGTTCCCGGTGACATCGGCAGCCCAATCCCCAGCAACAGCCATCCAGCCCCCTTCGGTGGATTCGGCGGAGCATCCTCAGTACTGCGCCAGTATTCCTCGCCCGCGACTGGGGTCTTCGGCGGGGCTTCTCTATCCTAGCATGACTTGGTGCCCACCCGGCCCCAGGGGTAAATATCCCCCCGGCCTCCTTCGGCACATCTTGCTGGAACGACTTTGAAATGCCCCCTCATATTTTCCTTTTCATGTTATCCTCTTTTCATTGAAGCGTCATGGGTTAACGTCACATCTTCACCTTTGTAAGGTTCCTGCTATTGATATGGGTTATTTGTTTGTGTGTATTTGGTGTCCTTCTTGAGTGATCTTCGAAGGTATCCGGATTTGTTTTATGTACGGTATGGGTCTCTGGCCTCTCTACATTATGCAGCGATATCCGTGGAGATCTGGGTCAATCACCCGCTCCGTTCATCGTCCTTGCCCAATTGCATGATCGAAGGTTTCTTCGTCTTTCATTTCTTGTTCTGCGTAGAACATGGCGGTATAGTCTGCATTGTCGTAGCTCAGGACTATTTATACGTCACTCTACGTACTAAATCTTAGGCGATCTTCCCGGGGTGCCGCTTTTTGACGGCACTCAGTGTCTTGCTAGTAATTTTTATTAACACGACACCTCTATTGTCTACTGCTTCTTACACAAAGCTGCAGTCTGCTATGATCTCTCCCCTTCAAGGCGTTCACTGGCAATTCTAATCAGGGCTTAGGGCAAATCAGACATACGGAGCTCGGGAGTATGATCATTCTACCCCACTAGCAAATTTGATCCCGCCCTACAGTATATCACTTCACTCTCAATCCTCAAACCAACTTATAAGCATCCAAAATGAGTGACTTAAGAATCGTGAACGGAAAAGTCCTGACTAACACCGAAGTAAGTCCCTCCCATCCAAATGTACCTAATCCCCCTCTCAAACATCCACCAACCAATCCCCAATAGGTTCAACCCCCAGCCCAATGGACAAACGACTACGAAGTAATGGGCGGCGACACGGAATGGGGTCCGGAAGGCAATGTCCTTCGAATGATCACAGTCTTCGGCATTGAGGGTGAAGTCAAGCCTCTTTTCGCAATGGATCCCGATGCCGGGGAGGCCTTGTCTCTATTTCAGGTTGGGGATGGTGGATTCTATTTCTTTAATATCGAGGATTCGTCGATATTTAAGATTACCAGCCATTCCGATCTTCGGTCCATTGTTGAGACTATTGACGATGAGAGTAAGGGGCTTGCTGGGCTTAGAGTTGAGGCGTTATAGGATGGGTTCCAACGAGTTAGTTACTAGATTCTGGGTGGAATGGTGTTGCTGAGGAATTGATACTTCTGTGAGTTGGTACGCCTATGTCTAGATTATGTCTATAGTGTAGTGTAATGCTTTACGGGCACTGGAATAGGACTTCAGTCGCCTAAGTGGCGACATCTCTAGACAGTGCTGATGCGTACTGGCTCACTCCCGCTACAGAAGAGAGAAACAAAAAGGTTGTCTATAGCCAGATACAATTCACATTGAAGGGTATGGTGATATCCGGAGACAAAGATACACTTGTATATACTGAGAACGAAAGAAAACAAGGAGCAACACAAGAAAAAGAGGCTGGCTTCCAGGAGAGAGACAAAGATAAAAAAGAAATAGACCAAGGAAAGAAAAAAAGGAAAACAAGAGCCGCAGCGGCCGGGAGAACAGAAGAAGCAGAAACCCTACATGGCATAGCGCATACAGCCCATTTCCCCTCGCTCATTGCTAGAGACTCAGCCGATTAGGCCTAGATATCTATCAAGCGGTCACTTAGGCGGGTCTGTCACAATACCTTCGTATTCACGCGAACGGATATACTCCAGTGTGCGATGGAAGTGGCGCTTAGGACCATCGAGGCTGGGGTTTGGCTCGTCTTCGCTGGTCTGCAGGTTGGAGTGGATGAGTTCAATGAGGCCATTCAAGTACTTGGTCGTAACGGTCTCGTTCTGCTGGTCGAAGTAGTAGACGTAGCGGTTGAGGATTTCCACGAAGAGTTCGACGGAGACGGCGGTGTCCATGCAGGCGTCGGCAACGCGAAGGGCACGCTGGAGGCATTCGAGAACCCGTTTGCCATCACGGTAAAGCTAAACGTTGAATGTCAGTGAATATAAATCGTGATGTTCGAAGATTGGTGTAAACTTACGTCCTTGGGGTCGTCCTCGCCACGTTGAGGGTTCTCAACCACCCACCAGAGATGACTGGCGAGGTAGACCGCGCGGCATTGATCGGGCTTCTTAAGGAGCTTGCTGCCATGCAGTGCGGCCTTGGTAATAAGGGTGTCGTAGTTCTCCTTGGAGAATCCACGGCTGCCGTGCAAGGCACCTGCGATGATGCAGACGGCCTGGAACTGGGCGCGCGAGTCACTAATCGCATCTTCGTAGATGGTAAATGCCTGTGCGAAGAACTCGTAGCTGACTTCCTCGAATCCAGTCTGGTCTGCAACTTCACCACACATCACAAACAGCCGCAATGCGAGATCGGCGCAGCCGGGATTTACCCGCTGGTACAAGTTGTTGATACTTTGATGCATGAACCGGTAGAGAGCGGATGATTGTGATTGCCAGTTGTCATCATAGTGCTCTCGGGACTTGAGCTTCCGGGCTAGGCGGATAGAAGCTGTGATAATTGCAGGGGTGGTGTACCGGATCCGCTCGTTGCCATCGGTGTAGGCTTTGCGAGTTGCTTGGAGGAGCTATTTCGACCAGTCAGTAGATGCTGAGTACAACTAGGGTTGATCTTACCTTAAGTTGGGTGTCATTGTTAGGTCCCTGGATCAGATGCACTAATCTTGCAAGCCACCCCTGCTCTTCAACAGTCTCGTCGGTTTCTCCTCCCCGCCGTTGCGACTGTGCCCCAGGGTATCCAGTCGACTGCTGCATGCCTTCCTTGATCAGCACCCTCACCGCCTGAAGCACACGATCGAGATTCTCGGTTGAGGAGACCAAGATCTTGTTTCTCAAAAGGCTGCGGAGAATTTCGCTGGCAACGGCCCTCCTAGTGGGATATGACTGCGAGGTCAAGAGTGGCAAGTAATGTGGCAATGCTAATGCTGTGAAGATAGAGATGTAAGATTGGAGAGGGGCATTGAGAAGGTGGGAGATGTGCTGTTGGGTTGGTGCCGAATGGAGATCAGCATGATCAGTGAATTCAGTGGTCTTTTGCGTGGCAAAGTCCAAGACTTGGTCGACATATTCTAACCGGTCTGGATAGATGTTCAATGCCAGGTTGACGAGTGACACCAATAGGGCCATAGTATCCTGGATCGGTAACGCGCGTGTCTTGATCAAGCTGACCACCTGATCGTAGAAAATATCATATAGCTTGATCTCAGCCGGAATACCAGGCTTCGCATCGTCTCTGTTCTCGACTTCTTTTCCCTTCCCTTCCTTTTGTGGCTCAGAAGGCTCAGCGTTTTCTTTGATTGCTTCTTCGGTGCCGTTTTCTTTGGATGTACTGTCGGCGGTGGCTTCTTTAGATTCCTCTTCTTTGACTTGTTTGGCAATCTCGAGCTTCTGCAATAACCGAGTGACAGCTTCTTCCTCGCTCTGTTTCCGTGCTTCCGGCTCTGTCGCCGACTCTGCTTCTCTTGCCGCATATGAAGACAAGCGGTCCATAAGTCCAATAACAATCTTCTTCAAATCGACGTGTGGGTTGAGTCTGGCAATTGCGGATAGTAGAAGGTCCAACGTATGAAGGTGGAATTCATCGGGGAAAACCTTGGTAATCACTATTGATAAAATCAGTATCAGATTGAACCATGACATCCAGAACAATCTTACCTTCCAGCAAATATTCCTGCGCGAGAACATCTCGGCATTGTACAACCTGCTCCAGAAGCGCCTGTAGAATACCGGATTTGTACCCTTCAAGGTCAACCAGCTGGCTAAGTCGAACAATGTTACTACCCACGAGCAGCTCCAGCTCGCGTCTTTCCTGTATCCGCCTCTCCCGCTCTCGTGAGGGGCCTTGGTGCTGAAGCCGAACCCAGAGCTTGTTCATCTCCACGAAGTTCGTCAAAACGAAGTTGATCGAATCTTGCATGTTACCCTCGGGACCGTCGCCGGTTCCCGATGGCAAGTGATCTCTGGCTTGACCGGAAAGGTAGTATCGCAGGAACAGGCCACGGATCGGGTGTTGGACACCTCGACTCATCTCCATCATGTCCTTCATAATTTCCTTGACCGGCGCATCTTCAACAGACATGTAGACAGTACCCACGGTGATCATAAGGTACAAGCGGGGGACAATATTTCCCGCATACTGGACGAGCTCGTAAAGGTCGGCGAGGTGGTTGACCGGGTGGTTTTCCTTTAGGTAGACGGAGAGGTGTCGCAGCGCGTCGAAGACTGCCATGTACAATTCATAATACTGCTTCGGGCCAAGGCTGGGGGTTCGTAATTCTGAGACGAGAGTTGATCTGTGGAAACAAAAACACCAAGCTGTTAGCACTCGACTCTTTGCGCACTACCCGAGGTCGCTGCCTGGAGGGGAGCTCACCCGCACTTGAGCGCATCCATGAGCTTTCCAGGAGTCTCTAGACATTTGCGCATCAAGCTTGATTGCTGCCTCACCACCCCCAATGCCTCCTCGAGGAGGCGGTTCTGGTCCTCGGTGACGGGTGGTGGGCTAGCCATCGTGGAACGAATGAGGGGCGGAAGCTAGGGGGAGGGAGTGCTGGCGGGTGAACACATGCACTGCAGAAAGCAATTAACGTTATCTAGGCAAAAGGGTTGCGATCGAAGCAATTCATGGAAGAATGAAGGTGCGGATGGGGAGTGGAAGGAGGTGAGTTATCGAAGGATAAGCTATGGAGTAAACGTGACAGGGACATTCCCCGAAACGTCACAAATTGATTTGCCGAACTCCTAACTACAAAGAAACGATCTCCTCCTCAAAGGTATGGAACTATGAAACTCCCTTTAAATCCCCAGTTCCGTCAATCTCTGCTCCAAATCCTCCGCCAGAGTAACCCCTGCTGCAGTTTGATGATTTTCGCCTCCTACTGGGGCGCCGCAGTCGGGACAGAAAGTCGTCTCCACGGCTCCCCCACACTCCCCAATGGTAAATGGATGTCCATTGCGACAGTAATACCAGTGTCCAGTGCCCTGAAACTCCTGAGCCATTGCTGAAATGACTTCCATGCGTTCCTTGCTGGTGATAATCGCCCAGAACGCTGTTCCTCTCAGCATAGTCTCTGCGCAATCCACCTCATCTGCCAATCCTCGTGTTTGACCGGGGTATTTCGTACAAAGCTTCCTGGCTTCATTAATGAAGTTCAGCCCTTCAAGCAAGTATTTGTTACGATGGACCTCCTTATCCAGAGATGGAACATGTGCTCGTTCGAGGCCGCAAAGTTGTGCCAGATAAAGCACACCTTCCACCTGCTGCATAACTCGATTGTGTTCAAAGGCCACCCGGGTGAGGATCTTGCAATCAGTTTTAGTCTTCTGTAGATCAACCTGAAGCCTGACCTCGTTTGCACCCTTTTGGAAAATGAGATTGGAAAAGTCCGCAAACAAAGCGATATCCAGGCGAAGTAGCAGAGCTGTGGCCTGAATGTACCCTTTAGTCTGGAGAACACCGCTGAGAAAAGGCAAGCTGCCCGTTGTCTTCTTGCGTCTCTGAGCATCCTCAACCATCACGCGGACCCTTTCAAAGGGTTGCTCTTCGGGTTCAACACGACTGCGGTATCTGCCAATTCGCATCCGCAAGTCAAGTATGCCATTCCATCGATCACCATTTGTGCTTTTGATGGTTTCTTGCATCGCTTTGACTTGTTCGTTCCGCGTTCCACTGATTGTGATTGAATGTGGCCATGAAGACAATTTGTCGCTTGGCAGGTTCAGCACCGCGTCGATGAGCCGGGGTAGTTCCTTTGCAAGAGGGACATATTGCTGGTTAAGAAGCAAAATCAACTTCTTTGTCGACTCATCAAGAATTGCGCGGCGGATCAGTCGACCATACCTGGCGATGTCTCTCAGAGGTCCACGGCAGGTAGCACAGGTTCTGATGTCTTCAATAGAAAACGGGGTGGACGATGCCCGGATTGCGACGGGCTTGTTATTGGCATCGAGCTCATAGTGTCTGCCCATATCCATTTGCGCATCCATGCTTTCGACTGTCAAAAAGTGACCACATTTCGGAAAGATGCATGGGTTCTCGTCCAGATTGGTATCTTTGTACGCCAGACTTAGGATGAAATCTACTCCATGGTCCTTGACACCGTCGCTTGCGCAGATCTGACAAAAAGAAAAATGAGGACATCTCTCTCCGCACACCCCCGGGCATTGATGACCACAGGCAAGCTCCTTT